CCCCCCGCCCGCTTCCCTGCTCCCTCTCTCCGCGGACACACACAGGATTGGTTACCTGAACTTGCGTAAGTTTCTCTCTCGCTCCGTCCGTCTAGCGCAGCATGCGCGCGCGCGGTCCACGCAACGCGCTCGCGCCAGCCCCCTTCGATCGCATAGCTAAGCCATCTCAAACCTTTTCCCATTTCACCGCCCGCCCCCACCACTCTCATCATCCTCCCCCAACCGCAACCCGCCTTTCTCCCATCCCGACGCGGGCTGCTGCCCCCGCCCCGGCGCCTCCCCCCTAGTCCGGAATACTATTTCCACGAGAAAAAAGCAGCGTTTCAGAACATGGAAATATGAAAAATGAATCTTTTTTTTTTCCAAACATTTTGCAGCTGGCTGAGGAAAAAACCATCCCTGCATGCATGGGCACGTATGTGTATTTGCGGGCCGTGCACGAGCGCGCGCTTTGGGGGGTTGGGTCAGGGAGCCTCCATTTGTGACTGCTCGTCGTCGTCGGCGTCGTCTGCCTCGAGCAGAGCCGGAATCATTTGGACCGGGCAGAAGCGACAGGGGGAACAAATATGGTCCAAGAAGGGGGGTATCTGAACATGACGTCTTGTCAAGACGGAGCGGCGGGGGGGAGGGGAGGGGGGAATGCGGGAAAGCACCAGCAATGGGTTGAGCGAGAGGGGAACGTGCAGGGCTCGTGAGAGGGCTTCTAGAGCTCCGCGTGCGCGCGCCTCTTGCTCGCCATGCTATGACTGCGCTCCTCTGCTCTGAGCATCGTATTCTCCTTGTGAGAATAGCCGACGCTGCGTCTACGAGGAGGAAGAGCGGGCAAGACGTGTTTAGGTCCTCCGTGATACCTGCCCGTAGGAGTGGTCAGGTTCGCAGATCCCTCGCCCGCCGCTCCCACCAGCGTACCGTTGTTCAATTGGCGCGTCACGCTCGCCAAATCCAACTCTAACCAGGAAGCCGTCCAGCTTCCGATCCACGTGTTTTCGTGATTGCCCACAAAGGAAGCGGCCAGCTTTTGTTGCGCGTGCTGAGGCGCTACGTGCAGATACTGTTCGTAAGAAGGAGCGCAAGTCGAGGGAGTAGGGTGAGCGGTTGCTGTTCCTTGTTTGGAAGAATTCGGGGTTGGAGGGGGGGGCACGAGGCTGCTTACCAGGTTGACATCGAGACCGCTATGTCCAGTGGTGGACCAGCCCAGATGAGCTCTCCAATTGACCAGACTAGCAAGGTAGATGGTCAGGGCCAACCCATCATCATCTTCCCTTGCCAGCTCTAGCGCTCGAGCAGTTTCGTCTTCGTCGATGTCGGATTGACCCAAACTGGGCAGGATGCTTTGCACCATGTAATCGCGCAGCTCGCCCTCCGTGCGATTCTCGGCCTCGGCGTACTCGTAGAATTGAGCTGCTAGGTATTCGGTCGAGTGCGTGCTGTTGTTGAGCACGTCTGGATACCTGCACGCACATGACATCGGGGCCGAGTGGACGAGGGGGAAAAGGGAACAAAGCTCAACGAGGGTGTTTAGGGTGTGTGTGCGCGCGCTAAAACCACCTCTCCACTCACCAAGCATACTCCGCCTCTTCATCTTCGGGACGTTGCAAAGCGAGCGTCAGACCTCCACACTCGTGATCGGAAGTGGAGAGCAGGACGATTTCAGGGTCATCGGAAGATTGCGAAGCGTCGTTAGCGTCCACCCATCGAGATACGGCTGTCCACAATTCCTGATAAGCTAGGATGTCGTGCAAGTGACCGATGGGATCGTTGTTGTGACCCGCATGATCGATTCGCGCTCCTTCGATCATGATGAAAAAGGGCTCGTCTTGCTTTTTGAGCGCATTGAGAGCGGTGATGGCCATTTGAGCCAATGAGGGCTCTTGCACCGTGCTGTTCTGCGCTAGCCTGTCAATCTCGTAGCCTTTCGGGGAGCAAAAAGGCAGCACGGAGTGGGGGGTGTCAGATCGCGATAGCTTCCAGCGCAGCGCCAAATCCATCATCATCCACGAATCTTGCTCACTCATATGACTGCTTGTGAACAGTCCCAACGACGGTAGCTGCACGTCGCTTCCATTGTTCAAAGCGTCGAATTCGGCGCGAGTAGAGAGATAGCTCCAGCTTTTTGAAACGGCGGGGCGGTGGGGGCAGAGAGGGGGCGTGATCATCGTCAGTTCAAGACTTGTCCATGTCTTCCACGCCGTCGTTCCTCCCCCCCCCCCCCCTCCCCCTTCCCCCCCCCAAATATTTGCATCACGACCCCCCCCCCCCCCTCCCCCTTCCCCCCCCCAAATATTTGCATCACGATCCCTCCGCGCGCGCTCCCTCGCCGCCGCCGCACTTACCCCGCTGATGTGGCCTCACCGATCAGATCCCGGCCATCCTTGCGCGAAGATCCGCTGGTGGTGTTTGGCAAAAAGTGTCGCCTGCCACCGCCCCAGATCAGATCGACGCGCGCTCCCAGCACCGTACCGCCGAGCATGTGCTCAGCGATCGTGTTCTCATCATCGCGATCTTTTGTTTGGGCAGACGTGAGGTGGGGTGGGGTGGAGGTGAGCGTGTGCGTGAGCGTGTGCGTGAGCGTGTGCGTGTGCATGGCTGGAAATCTTGAATGCGGGCATACGCGCACGCAGGCACGCGCACGCAACGCAACGCAACGCAACGCAACGCAACGCAGGCTTGATTGACTCTGACTCACCAGGCACGTGAGCTGCATAGCTTGCCGGTGTTGCGTGGGTGGATCTGCTGGTGGTGACGAGGGCGGTGTTGTAGCCCTTCTGCTTTGCCGCCTCGAGCACAGTTCCGCAAGGCTTCTGATCAATGTCGACGCCAATGTACGCATTGACGCTCTTGATGCCGCAAGAGTAAGCCGTAGCGCTAGCAGCGCTATCCGTCACCAGACTGTCCGTCGATCGCGTTCGAATGGTGCCGACGATGGACTTGTCCAGTGCTAGCGTGTCGTTCCACTGCAGATTGTCCCGCGCTTGAACAAAGGATCGAGCAAAGGTCTCTGATGCTGGTCCGAAGCCGTCAGAGATGAGCTGAATCACGCTCTTTTGACGTCTACTGCTGCTGCTGCTGCTGCTGCCGCTACTGCCATTTGCCGGCGCTGCTGCTGCTAAAGAGGCCAGCGTGGCGATGAGAAGGACAAAGGAGACGGTGACGCGCATGGTTGGCAACGCGAGCAATGGGTGTGGGATGATGGTCTCCAAGCAGTTGGCTGCGAGCGTGCTTTTTGAAAGTCTTGAGAGAGAGAGAGAGAGAGAGAGAGAGAGAGAGAGAGAAAATGGAGGAGCGGCAGTCCGAGGATGAATGAGAAGAGGGAAAATCCGAAGAACATGTGGTCTGCGCCTTCATTTAAATGTCTCCGCTCGCTCGTATCGCAAAAGGCCACCTCCGCCCCCGCTATACGCCTTGCGATAAACGTCGCTTTCCGCGGTGGACCCCCTCACGAAAGGGCGAGTGTCAGTCAGTCCGCCAAGTAAACAAGCACGCAGAGGTCGGTCGGTCGGTGCAGTCAGTAAGGTCACTCATCGTCAGTGCTGTCTGTCTACCAGCTTGCCTTCCCAGCCGCGCTTTCTAGATCGCCGCCGCCCACATAACAAGCCAGCACGCGCACATTGGTTCTTGGCATCGCGCAGGAACGTGACGCTAAGTCGTGCTTTGCAAAAAAAAATAAAAAGTGTCGAGGGGAGCTGCAAGAACTGTACCGGTACAGGTACAGGCATCAGCTAGGCATCGAAGCGGGGGGGGACCTGCTCTGTCCCAGCAGCAGCAGCTAGCATGGCTGTCGTCCGACACTCACACTCATACACGCTGATCTGATCGAGCAAAAGGGAAGCGGGCAAGGCAAGGCAAGGCAGGTCGAAGGGCTCTGAATGTGACCATGGCACGGCATGGCATGGCGTTCAGGGCACGTATCCGCCTTCCCTGGTGTACCTGATCCTGCGCTAACATACATGGGACCATTGCTGTAGGTACACACCATGGAGTGCTGTGACTCGTGACCACAAGTAAAGGTGGGAACGTGCACCGGCAATCGGCCCGATCCATGCATGCAGCATGACACGCGAACAGCAGGCAGGCAGGCAGGCAGGCAGGCAGGCGACTTGAAATTGCGCTTTGCGAAACTCCTGCTTTAGATCTGCTTGCATATATGGTCGCTCACTAACTGTACCTCATCTTCGCTTGGCCAATCTTGAATCTGAATCACAATGTGAATGAATGGGCAAGTCCGTCTCGTCTCGTGCACAACAGCTATGTATGCCCAAATTCAGATTAAATCAAGAGGTCTCAAAAGGTCCCGTCCCGTCCGCCTTCGTTGAAACGCTTGCTTGCTCGTTCGTTCGTTCGTTCGTGCGGGCCCACGTTTGCTCGATCCCTTCGTTGCTTCCACAGCAATCAAAGCCGCGCAGCGGAGCATTGCACGCATGCAGCTAGACAGCAGAAGCGTTTCGTCGCGTCGACCGAGCTTCCCGCCGGCCGGCCGGTTGGCTGATTGATGCTTTTGATGCAATGCATATATGCTCGTAGCCTCGAGCCGTATGTATGTAGTCGCGATCGAGTCCAGCAGAGTGAGAGTCGAAGTGTGCCCTCGCATGTCTACCGTACCGTACACGCAATCGTACAAAATCGCAATCCTCGGAATTTGTAATTTGTAATTTTTGTGATTCAGTGATTGCAGCAGCAGGCACACGACACGAGCAGCAGGCAGGCAGGCAGGCAGGCAGGCAGGCAGGCAGGGGATCGACATGGTAAACGCGAAAGGGATGTTGCGCGTGGCTTTATTGCTCGCGCGCGGGGAGGGGGCAAGAAGAGAAGATCAACGCGCACGGCCCTGTGCAATGCATGCGTGCATGCCAAGACTTTGCGTGAACGTGCTTTCCATCTCTCTTCGGTCCAACTCGATCGCGACTCCGAAGCGAGAAGAGGGAGGGGGGGAGTCAGTGATTAGGTGATGGATTCTTGATTGCAACCGCGCATCAAGTTGATGTCTGTCGCAGCCATGGCCATCGACTTGGATGCCGATGGGTTTCTTCCTTGGGCACAAAAGCAAGGCACGCAAGCAGGGGCTGCTCGCACGGCAATTAAGCGCGCGTCGAGGTTGTCCAGTGACACGTGACTTCTCCATTCCCCATAATAATTGCTCTTTCGACCCAACTCCTCTCTTCTGACTTGAATGAACTCCCCCCCTCCTCTTCGTCTCGCCACGCGAACGGGCAAGCGACAGATGCCCAGCGGAAATACTCGCTCATCAATCGTATGGTATTGGCAGACGTCCATAACGCTTCGAGCGCTCATCCCTCACCGTCGAGTGGGCCATTTGGCAGGCCGCACACGGCATTCGGTAGACTAAGCAGCATAGAAGTATTTGGGGGGGGGGGGGGGGACAACGCGTCGCATGGCAATTTGACACTGCGGAAGAGGGGTTAAGCACATGGATGGATGTGACGTACATGACCACATCCATCAAATAGACGGAGCCAATTCGAACCACAAGCCCTCAAAAGGTCTTATGCGGGACAATATTTGTCCCTTCCATCTCAGCTCTTTGCTATCCTCTCTACTTCCAAGCACCAATCTCGCCCTCTTTTCCAAATCGTGCAGCTCGACGATGGGCGCTTCGCTCTTGTACTGCACCCGAGCATCCTCTTGAGCCTCGTGCGCCGCATCAGGCGACAGTTCGTACGAATCGATCGTGTCGGCGCTAAAGTTGAGTATGACCAACAACGAGCGACTCGGGACGCTCGCGCGAGCAGAGTCAGAGTCGGAGTTGGAGCGGGCGTCGCAAGAGTTGCGCACATAGCTCATCACTTTTTCGTCCTGCGGTTTGAGAAGGTTGAAATTGCCGTACAAGATGCAATCCTTGAACTCTCTTCTTCCTCGCAGAGCGTCTCGCCAGCCGGAAAGTACGGACCAACGATCTTTCAGCTCTTCCTCCACATTCCATCCTTGCTTTGCATCCTCTTCTTGCACCCTCATCCACGGTTCGGCGGTCGAGAAGCCCGCGTGGGGTCCGGCGGTCCATTGCACCGGCGTTCGCGCATTATCACGTGCCTGTTATTTACCAGAGGACGGAATGAGCGCAGCGGCGGTACAAACGTCAAGCTCGAGGCGGGGCAGGGGGGGCACCAAGCTCACCTTTTGTTGCGCAAAGACGGGCACCTCCTTGGGATCAGCCGGAGGTTGCCTGCCTTGCTCGACCAATTCTCGACATTCCTTCAAGAAATTGACCGTAGCCACATCCTTGTACTCCTCGATGGGCCAATCATGCGGAATGTTCTTCATGCCAATCTCTTGACCCTGGTACACGTATAGAGATCCGCTCAAGCTCGTCTGGAAGAGACTGATCATTCTCGCTGCCGTCTTGCGATGTTCGGCACTGTCGGAAGCCCATCGACTGACCGTGCGTGCTTGATCGTGATTCTCAAAGTAGTTGGCCAACCACGCGCTCGTTCGGTGACAGTACGTCTGCCACTTGTTCACGATGCCGGCGAAATGCGGCAAGTGGATCTTCTTTGGGATCAAGGGCCACTGCTGATCTCCGTCTTGATCGTGCAGGTCAAAGGTGAAGCAAGACCGCAGCTCGTGGCGCGCTGCCGGTACAAATAGGGGAGTGAGGGGGCCAGCCAGCAGAACATCAACCACAAGTCAGGCATCGACTGTGCAATGCATGGCTCACCAGGATGCGTCCAAGGCAAGAGGATATCGGGATGCTTTGCGTGCGGTGTCTCGCCCACCGTGATGGTGTCGTACTTGCTGAGCACCTTTTCGCCCAGCTCCTGTATGAATTCATGTACGCGCGGCCCGTCGCAGAATAGCGATACGGCGGGTTGATACTTTGAATTAGGCTCAGTGATCGGCGCATCAGGCAGAGATCCATCGGCATTGTACGTCTTGCTGATCTCGTTGATCACATCCATGCGGAAACCCGCTACGCCCTTGTCGAGCCAGAATTTGGCGATGTCGTGCACAGCTTCCCTCACTGCAGGATTCTCCCAATTCAAGTCTGGTTGCCAAGGACTAAAGATGCACAGGTACCACTCGTCTGACGCTTCGTCGTACGTCCATGCTGGACCGGTAAAGAAGGCCACCCAATTGTTGGGCGGCAATTTTTCCCCATTCGCTCCCACCTTGCCCTTGCGCCAGATGTACCTGCACCAGAGCGAGCGAGAAGCGCGCCCGCGTCGAGTGAGGAACGTGTGATTGCCACTGCCGTAATGCACCCGCAGCTCACTCACCAGTCCCTCTTTGGTGAGTCTTTTCCCTTTAGTGATTCTTTGAACCAAGCGTGCTCCGAGCTCGTGTGATTGACAATCTGACAAGAGTTCGAGTGGGCGGGGGGGCATGGCGAGTAAGGAGGCTGATGCATGCGCTTCCTGACTCGCAACGAACGCACCAAATCCATCATGAGTTTCATATCGCGCTTCTTCAACTCGGCAATAAGCTGTTCCAGCTGCTCGTTGGATCCGTACCTGTCGGCAATCTTTTTGTAATCCGCCACATCATATCCGTAATCCTTGTCCGGACTCTCGTAGCAAGGACTCAACCAAACCACATCCGCGCCCAAATCTTTCAGGTAGTCCAGCTTGCTCATCACTCCTCCCAAATCTCCCACCCCATCTTGCGCATTCCCGTTCAGGAAAGAAGCGGGCCAGATTTGATACACCACCGCTTCCTTCCACCACGCCGGCTCGGAGTAGCTCGACTGCAACTTGGCCAGATCCGCGTTGCTGAGCGGATAACGAAGATTAGACATGGTCCTGGTCTCTCTCTCTCTTCTCGAGTGTGTTGTGGACGAAGAGGATGAAGAGTCATGGAGCAGGAATCGCGTCGCGTCGCATCGCATCGCCACCCTCCACCTAAATGCCACATTTCGCGCCTCAACGTGGTAGGCGGCCAGGCGGCCCGTGCAAAGCTTGCAAGCGCATGCGAGCATCAGCAAAGCCCATGCGCATGCAGCAGATGTGCGAGACGCGCTCGGCGAATCTGTCGGAGAAGGCGGCGCGCCTGCGCGCGCAGGCGACGGTTCAGCCGCGTCACGTGAGGGCGACGTGGTGTGGATCGAGGCAGGGACCATCCAGATCGTGCACAGGCAAAACATGACCCCTCCCGCAGTCGCTAGCAAGAGTCATCAGCAGAAGAGCAAGCCAGGCCATTCAGCGAGCGAGCTCTGCTCCATCCGCAATTTGATTCACGATTTCGAAGATGAATGGTGAATCGTTGCCAGCACAGGGGAGAGGCACAGATGATCTTGAGTCCTCTGTGCGAGAGGCTCGACAGTCGTGAGTCGTGAGTAGCAAGCAAGCTCTCAAGCAGCTCTCAAGCAAGCAAGCAAGCTGCTGGCTGTCCCACACAGACTCACACTCACAACACTATTCACGATTTATCATTGCGCGACGCTGCACCTCTGTCTCCGATCTCTCCGAATAATCGTGGCTCGAATCGCTTGCCGCTCCAGCTTCACGATTTTGGGAACTACGCTCAGACCAAAGGCCGCACGCACCGACGCATGCACGCGCGCGCATGCAGGATGGATCGAGGCATGCAAGAACGCGGACCTGCGCATCCCTATAGCGTGCGCAAGCGCTGTCACGCCCGCATTCAGATTCAGTATGCGCGTGATGCGTAAAGCAAGACAAAGAAGTCAAATCAATCAAGCTGCATGGGCGGGCTCTCCTTGTCGTATCTTGATCGTGAAGGGTCAGGAGGTTGGTAAGAGCTCGAGTTTGGAAGGAATATGTGAGGCGGGCATGAATTCCTCGATCAGCACAAATGTTGAATCGTGAATATACGTGAATGTGACCGACGGACCGAGCAAATCAACAAAGTGACGGTTTCCGACCGAATTAACAGAAGTGAGGAATTCAAATAATCAATTTTGAATGAAGTCTGCATGATGCTATCAAACACTCGTGACATCCGCGGGCGCTGATTTGCTTTATTGCAGGACTAGGATTTTGGTTACCAGCAAGTGAGCCAAATCTTGATTCAACAAATCAGAATGGAAAACAAAAGAGTCGATCAAGAGGCTTAATTCTGGCGGAGTTCTGGTTCAATTGGGATTGAAATAATAGCACTGTGACTTGACTGCCAAATCGGGACATGAACTTGCGCGCGATACGCATGCTGCATGTATGTATATATGCTGCTGCTAGATCGCCCTGTAGTCGTGATTCGTGAGTCGTGAGTCTGAGTCTTGAGTGTGAGTGCATATATGCCTGGAGCACAATCTGGACCTACAGTACGCACAGACAGCGTACGGCCACAAGTCGTGAGTCGCGAGTCGCGAGTACCGTACTGTATAGGGCGTGTTGGCGCTCTTGCGACGCAGGCCAGGGAGGCAGGCCGATCAGCCATTCAATTCGTGATTCTTGATTCAGATTCAATCGTGGATGCAATCGTGGATCACAAATCAAAAATGCAATTCAAGATTCACCATCGAGGATCGGAGTGCTGGCTGGCGATCTCACTTCACTTTGCTCACGACTCACACACAAAGCTCCCATCGCAGCACTTTCATTCACGACTTTAAACTATAAACACCCAGCACTCTCGACTTCTTCTGCCTCTTGACATCATTGTAGCGCACCTTTCAACAACAACAGTACCACGCAAGCGCGGCGTGCCACCCCCACCCCACCATCACGTCGCGAAACACGGTCGGCGCGTCACTGCCGTACCGTACCGTACCTTGCTCCCCATCCAAATTACAGGGCCCAGAGAGCAGTTGGTCGACGTCGTCGTCGCTTGACTTTGACTCGCATTCCTGCCTCGATCCGGTCGACGTGCTTGCTTGCGTCTTGCGTCTTGCGTCTTGCGTCTTTTGCGATGCGCTTCGCGCCTCTTTCATGACCCTCATCGCGCACTGCACGTGTCGACCATTTCAAAGAGACCCGCCATTCTATCGAACAGACTCATCCAAAGGGCTGCACGCACGCACGCACGCACGCACTTTTTTGCTCTTTGCGAATGGCCTCCCTCGCACATGACCAAACATGTCTGTTCCGCACTTGCCGCCACAAGATAATGGCGCCGATGTTCGACACCTCGCCTCCACGTCGGCAGCTGCTGTGTCCACGCCTACAGCTGCGACTTTTGCAGCGCGTGGGGCAATGGCCAGCAGCAACGCCATCGCTCCATCCTCAGCGGGCGACTCTTCAGCTCTGGCGGAGACGCGCAGGCAAAGCGAGGGCCGGCCTCATGTCCCTCGTCTCGAGACAGACGCGGCCGCTCTAGGCTTGGCATCGCCTTCCCGTCCTTTTGCCGATTTCACGCAAAGCGGCTTTGCGGGAGTTGCGCCACTCGTGCTCGGCTCGGAATCGACATCCAAGCAATCTGCATCTTCAAAAACTGGGGCATTCTTTGGATCCAATGGAGGCGCATCCTCTACGCCGATCTTGCCAGCGAGCGCCAGCGGCTCGAGCAGCTTTGCGGGTTGGAGCTCACACAGGAGAGAGACGTCCGCAACCTCCTCCATCTCCTCGGCAATGGGCAATCAAAGCTTAGTGGGAGATACGAGTGCAAGGTTGGGGCACAGCAGCAGTACCTTTTCGATAGGCTCCTTGGACAGCGTAGGAGGCATCTCGACGAGCGGACCGGAAGGCGCTACTGGCATCGTCCGACAAGGATCTTCAGGCAGAGCGGCATCTGGTCGATGGGCTGGAGGTTTCGGCAGCAGTTTGCAGACGCCCAGCACGGGAGATTTGAGCTCCGCTTCGTCTACCCGGTCTAGGAGGGTGTGGGAAGAGTTTGAGGGCAAGCCCATCACCCCCCTACCCTCTCCCGGCGTCGTCGCAGCATCCAATCAGGCCGCTGGGCTGGGCTACTTCGAGTCGCGCTCGGCTGGTCTTGGAGCAAACGATCACGCCAGCACGTCGCGGAGCTCCCTCGAGAGACAGGGGCGTCCCCACGACTTTATGAGTCGCACCGACTTGCAGGAACAGGAAGAGCATGCGGAACCCGAGACGCCCGTATCTCGCAACAGAGCCTTTTTCGGCAGCAGCGCTCCATCTCCTTTGGGACAAGTCTCATCGCCCGTCTCCGCTTCCTCATTTTTCTTCTCGAGCGCAGCACCCAAAGCGACACCTGCTCCAGCTCCTTCGCGTGGCGCAACAGCTCCACGCGCAGCTAGCGGAGGCGGTAGCTGGCTCGCTCGTGGCGCTATGGGTGCAGGGACAGATGAAGTCGCTCGACCCGAGTTCGCCTTATCGCCACCCGCGACGCTGGCTAGCGCACCCAATGCCAATCTGCGCGGGCCATCTCGATTGCCAACCATGCCGGTTGCGGGCATGCCCATTTCCGGGACGTCTTCTGTCGCTTCCACCTCATCTGCCTCTTTAGCTCAGGCGCCGATGGAGAGCTTGCCAAGTGCGATGACGGGACATGCAATACCGCCCTGGATCAAGCAGAGTCCACCTCCGAGCACGACCACGCGGGCATTTGTGCAAAACCCGCAGCTTGCGTTGGAGGAGAGAATGAGCTCCCTACCCTCTGCTGCTCTTGGCGCGGGAGACGCGAATCGAACCGGAGATGCTTCACATCCACAAGCACCGTCGCAAGGTCGTGGGCCAATCCTCACGCCCGAAACTCAATTTGCCCGCATTGGCGTTTCTGATCCTCCAGTGCTGGAGCCTGCGCCTGCTCGATCTCGCAATGGCTCTTCGCAAAGCGCGGCTGAAGTTGCAGGTGATAGGGCGGACTCGCTGCTGCTTCCTGCAGCTCAGAGGAGGGGCGGAGCGAGCAGGCACGTCCATGGACCTTCGGAAAACGCCAGCGGATCCTCCTTCTTGCCCGTCGCCGCCACTTCCTCCGGCCCTGCTGGTGCTCGCGTGGAGCTCGGTAGCGGAGCTGCGATAGATAGCGCGAGGAGACAGTCGGCAGCGACCATTACGGGCATAGGCACCGGCACAGATGCGGATGCGGATGTGGAGGAGGAGGAGGAAGATGCGAATGAAGGCAGGGTAGGACAGTACGTGATTGAGCGAACATTGGGAATGGGCGCTTTCAGCCGCGTGGTTCTCGCCAGGCGAATAGCTCGCGATGCAATATCGAGTTCGGATACGAATCGCTCGCGCACGCATAGCCCCACAACGGCTTCGAGGGAAAATGCAGCGGCGGAAGCATATGGGAATGCGAACGCAAATGGTGCGGGACAGCTGGGAGAGCAGCTCGTGGCTTTGAAAATGCTCGAGAGGGAACCTTGCGCGCAGAACGAACGGATGCGCGTCAGCTGGGTCAGAGAAGTGGAGGTTTTGAAAGTGAGTCGCGAGGGATCAGGTCAGGTTGGGTCGATGAAAGGCCTCTTTTTTGTTTTACCAAAGCCCCGCTGATCTTCCCTTGCTGCCCTCACTCTCGCACCTAAAAGCACATTTCGCACCCTAGCATCGTACGATTCATCGACTCTTTTTCCACACCGCGGCACCACAATCTGGTCTTGGAACACGTGGACGGAGGCGAGCTGTTCGAGTTTCTTGCAAAGTACCATCCGATGCTGGCTGCGAGGGAATGGCTGGTCAGGCGGATATTCGGAGAGGTCGCGCACGCTGTGGGTTGGATGCACTCTATCCATCTCGTGCATCGAGACATCAAGCTCGAGAGTGAGTGTGCAGCGGCATTTTTCGACGTTGATGTTGCCGCTCACAAGCGGCCCTCTCTCGACTTGCTTTGTAGATATCATCCTCACCAAGGACATCTTTGCGGCTGTAGCTGGACAAAACGTCGCGCCGGCCGATGTTGCGCCCGTGCCGCTACTCAAGATTTCCGACTTTGGCCTCTCGCGCTTTGTGGATCCGGCTTCGCCGATGTTGGAAACGCGATGCGGGTCGGAAGAGTACGCAGCGCCGGAGCTGATCATCGGCAAGCGGTACGATGGTCGAGCGACGGATGTGTGGGCGTTGGGCGTGGTGCTGTATGCGCTGATTTGCGGATTCTTGCCGTTTTTGGAGGATTCGGCTGGAGGAGGAGTGGCTGCTGCTGCGGCGAGGGAAGGAGGTCAGGAACGAAGTGCAAGGGAGCGCAAAGCTCATCTGTTGCGCATCGCCAAGGGGGATTTGAGGTGGCCTGCATTGACCAACGAGGCCTGCTTGGACGTGCCTCGCGCTCCTACGCCGCCAAGCAATAGGCTCGTCACGCCCGCAGCTAGACACATCACTGCCCGTCTGCTGAGAAGAGATGCCAACAAGAGGGCGGCGGCTTGGGACGTCTTTGAGGATGCTTGGATGCTTCACGGCAGCTTTTCTCCAGAGCAGCCGGAATCGTCTGCGTTGGGTCAGAAGACCAACTCTCTGACTGCCATCTGCTTGCACAATCCTAGGAGCGGCCAGGGTCAACGTTGGCTTCAAGAGCACGCGCGCGTCATCGGTGCGGTCGCGGACGTTGCGCGTGACGATTGATCAAGGGGGCCTTTTGCTTGACCAACTTGACAGGGCGGGCCTAGCGATTTGGCTGGATAGACTCCCTCACGTTCGTTTCGATGTGCGAGTCACTCCCTTCCCCCCCCCCACCACCACCCTCTCTTTGAGACCGTCCCGTTCTTGTTTGCTGAAAGTCTGTACCGCCCCCTGCATTCCTCCCTGGGCCCACCTCGAGCGCAAACATCTGATTGCAATGTAACAATATGCAAAACTGCTCGTCTCTCCCCCCCATGCTTTCTGACATCTCCTACTACCACCACCTTTTTCCTTCGCACCAGTCTAGACCGCTTTCGAAAGTCTCGAGTGGTTTCGCGAGAGCGGTGTCCTGCTCCGAGAGTCCGAGTCGAGTTCAGAATTTCGGAACGCGTTCTAGGCTACCTGAAGCCCTCTTCTCGCTCGATCATGCTCTTCTCGATTTCTTTTACGAGTCACATGAATTTGAATTTTGATAAGTGAGTCCTTGAGCCAAGCTTTGCATTGGTCGTTGACTTTCGAAATGGGTACCCACGCTCGACTTCTTTATTTCGAATCACGTCAACTGCAATCCACGATTCAAACTCAAATTCTCGTCCACTTTCACGTTAAAACCTCGATCTCGATCGAGCCCCGACCGACCGGCGCGTATCCAAAAATGAGATGAAGATGTCCCAATTCACGTGATTCGAGGAGTCGGATAGGGGCTTCGCATTTTGATTCGCGCGCGGGGTTGATTCCGTCCGGGCTCGCCTTTGCCTTTCAAGATTCACGATTCACAATTGTTCGAAATTAGAATCACGAATCTGGGAATCACCATCATCAGCATGAACCCTACTTGCTGCACAGGGGGGAGGCAACGACCCTGCCTGCGTGCATGCATGCACATCACCTCAGATGCATCCTCGACGTGGCGCATGCATCACTGTGCTTAGCGTCGTTGCCGTCGCCGTGCCGCGTTTGTGGCTGCGATCGATGGCTCGCTTTGGTCGAGAGATGATCCATCAGCCGCGAAAGAATTAAGGCGCAGCAGCTAGTCTTGAGTGTGCAGCTTTCGTCGGCTACGCGCGCATGCACAACAGCTACACTTACAAGATAGGCGGTCGATCATTTGTGATTGTAGTCACGATTCAAATTCGCATTTAGGCGGCGAGTCGCTACATGTAAGCAGTCAAGAGTCACAATAAGACGCGCCTGCAAAGGGCCCTATTTACATAGCTGGCTGCGCGTGTTCATTGACGATTCACCATTCAGATTGGGTTCGACCTGACCTGATTAGTGACCGCAATGTCGTGTCGCATCACCACAATCTTGAGGTCTGAGGTGGTGCAACTCCACTCTGACTCACGTCCAAGAAGAATCACCGGTCGCCTCGCTGTCGAACGCTGATCCTTCCCTTCCAGTCACGAAAGCCCTGAATGATGGGCTTCTGAGGGCCACACTGTGCCCAGCTTTGGCAAAAGCAGCGCTGCGAGCCGGTCCCACCACCCCTTGGAGCAACAGTGTGCCGACCTTCACTAGCATCGCATCGATTCGCTGGTCTCGCTGACGATTCAGAACAGCTCGGCAGCATGGCGTCAACTTCCACGCCTTCTTCATCGCGCATTCCAGTCGATCTCACGCAGAATCAGCCTCATCGACGCCCTCATCACTTTAGACGCATCTACCTCGGCCCCACGCCCGTTTCCAGCAACGCTGCAGCCTCGCTAGCAGCGGCCATCGCCGAAGATGCGACAGTAAATGAGCCTTTGGGCTTGGGAGTGGTAAAGTCGGAGCCCGCTGCTGGTGGCACAGCGAACCAGGACATCGTCGAGCCGCTACTACCACCGCATTTAGATCTCCCTCCAACATCTCCGCCGCACTCGCACGGTCGCAAAGCGATCCACGATGTGCCGGGCTTTGTGCGCAATCGCGATGACCCATTCAGCGGCGAGGTGGAGGCGAGGGATCTGGCTCGCGACCGTGTGCGGGGACTGACTGGCGACCGAGGGGAGGAGCTAGGCCAGCATCCAAGCTCCGGACCCTCCACCCTTCGACCTCCTCGTTCTCGCGAACGAGAAGCGTCTAGCGAGCGGAGTGTCTCGCAACGCCGCGCAAGTCCTCACGATCTGTCGCCGTTGACCGTGTCGCACCCTGGCATCGCTCATTCGACGTCCCAGGCTGCCCGTAATCGTCAGCACCTGGCTCGAGAGGCATCTGCGGTCAGCTTTGCCAGCGCCAAGTCCCTTCCGGATAGCGTATTGTCCGAGGGCGACGCATTAGCCAGAGCAAGAAAGGGCAAGGGCAGGCTCGACGAGTCTCAAGATGCTCTTCATCTCGAGGATACCAACGGTTGGAGCAAGAATACGGAGAGTAGCACCTCATGGGGCAGGTCGGCTCGAGATCGAAAAGGAATAGGCTCTGTGGAGGGCGAATTGGATGATCAGGTCGCGCAGCAAGCCAAGCGCCGCCTTTCCTTCGACCTTCCGGAAGGCATCGTGCTAGCTAGAAGGGGACGCTCTGAAAGCGCTGCAGCCGGAAGTCATCTTCGCGAAGCGAGCGAGCCTCCCCTCGCTCTGCTGGACGTCTCCGTGGCAGAGGCAGACGAGACCATCGATCACACCAGCGAGACTGGCACTCTGAAAGCTCCGAGCATTCGCAATGGAAGCTCATCGCAGGAAGCCACGCCGAGAGCGGAAAGTGCTGCAAGGCTTGCCCCACTGCATCAACTACATGCCATCGCCCATGCGACGCCCCTCTCTGAGCGGACGACCGGCTCATTGCAAGACTTGGCGCTGGGTCGAAAGGCTTCAGATCGCTCCTTGTCTACATTCAAAGGCTCCGTGCCACGCAGTCGCAGGAGCAAGAACTCCCTGCGGCACATTGCATCAGCATCTGGCAGCCTCACGCGTTACGAGGCACGTAGGCTGTCCAAAGCGAGCGTAGGCAGCCAACACGACGCGGATGCGAGTGCGCACGACCCAACGGCTCCGTCGTCATTTCGCCCCAACGAAGAGGTCGAAGACGCATCGCCTTTCGAGCGACGACTCCCGAAGCAAAGAGACGGCTCTCGAGCCAGAGCTCACATCGCTGCCGAGACTAGCTATCCGCCACGAAGACGAAGCGCCTCGTACGCCAGAGGGCATCCAAGGGAATTTTCACGAGCTAGCAAGATGAGTCGGGCAAGTACTGTCGGAACGCTGGGCAGCTTTGGCTCGCACGGTACGCGATTCACCGAAGGCTCATTCGGAGCTACTGGAGGGTTTCGAGCAAAGCTTGTGGCCTTTTTTGGCGGTAGGAGCAGCGCAACGAGCGCGCGAGAAAGTGCAGCACGAAGGAGATCCGCTTCATTTGCTGCATTGGCTCGGGGTAAACCTGGGCAGGTCGGCACGAGCGCAGGAGGCACTAAATGGGTAGGAGGCAGCTTCGAAGTCGGTCGTCGATTCCAAGAGGTCCTGAATGCTCGCCAAGCCGTTTTGGGCGCATCCTTGTTGGACCATGCATCAGATGACTCTGCCAGCGTCGAGGACACGTCGCGGAAGGAGCAGCGGCCAGAGCGAGATGGCGCGACGCGCGATTCCCAGTCAAAGCACACTACGGACAACATTTCTCGCAGCCCTTCGGATGTTCTTTCAACTTTTGCGCATCAAGCGCAAGGTTCGGCAGACGACAAACAGGTCAATGGAGTTGGGCAGACTGACGGCAAGCTCGCGGACGATACATTTCGGAAAGCGCAGCTCACCGTCACGGAAGCGAGCCCTGCTGAGGATAAAGCCACCGAGAGTACAACGAGGCCAATGCCTAGCGGAAAAGAGACCATCAACGAGAAGCTACGGAATGCATCTGACACGCCAAATACAACGCCGACCAAGAGGAGGCCAATTCATTCGAGCAACTCAGCCGTGTCATTACTGAGTGTTCCGCACACCAAAGGTGCTGACCACGAATCGCAATTCACCATCGAAAGCAGGCACGGCTGGAGCGATGTCGTCAGTTTCATGAGCGCAAATTCCAGCTTGGGCAGCGACAACCGTGTCGCTTCGCCTACATTTGGAAGCATGGCAGAGCGCAGTCGGCGAGCTCTCGAGAATGGTCTTGGCAGCATCGAGGCTTTTCGTGCGCGCCAGGCTGAAAGGAGAGCTGCGAGAAAGGACCTTGGTCCTGCTTTGTCCAGAGACGCGATACGAGAAGCGAGCACCTCCTCGGGCACCGACGTCAGCTTGTCGCAGGCCGCCCTTGGCAAGCCGACATCGCAAATGGAGTGGTCCAGTGCTCAAGAAGACCTCGTGATGGTTCACGTGCAGAATGAGGAGCAGACGGAAGCCATCGCCACGCCCCCAGCAGCCCCATTCGAGGCGCAGCAGCATCCACAGCCACCCATCAAAGCTGATGAGCTGTTTCCCGAGGCGGCGCACAATCTCTTGAGAAGACAAAGCTTTCAAGGTGTACGCGTAGACGGCGTCAAGCCTGAGACAGCCAGCGATCATGAGGTCGTCGTACAGGGCACGCCCACATCCGCAGGCGATCGTGCGCCAGATGCCATCGAATCCAGAGCGCTCAGCACGGCTGGTAGCACGTTGTTGGGAAGTGAAATTGCAGTCGCTGATAATCGCGATCCGCGCCTCCGCACCGTGAGCACGCTCAGTGGGGACACGAAAGCGTACGCAGGCTCTCACGACAGTCGTCCTCACACACCAAAGAAGGCAAAGGGGCCCAAGGATTTGGGTGTCGTTAGCGCAGGGCAGGTGTACGAAACGGCATTGAACTCGACCGTGGACGTGCACCCGTCGCCGCGGAAGACGGTACAATTTGAAGGCGGCGCGAGACCTAACGTGACAGGACGCAGCCTCAGCACCTCGCTCTTCACTCGAAATGGTCCAAATGCCGAGGTCAAGCTCACACCCTCTGCGAACGGGAGGATTGCGCGTCCACCATCCGGCGCTACTGAGCCTGTCCCTCCCGAAGAGGTCCTCTCGAGACCAGGCTCTTTTGAAAATCGCAGGTCGACGCCTGTGCATAGCGGAAGCACGACTCCGACCGAAGCAATGACAACACCACGCTCCGAATTGAAGCGCGACAGGATGCTGGTCAAGATCGGTTGGACGCCCTCTGCGGATTTGCCGGCAGATCTTGACGAGAATTCTGCGAGAAAGTATGCTGTCTATAGCGATCCGTGGCGAGAGTACATGGTTGTACTGCGTCATGCCAGACTTGAAATTTGGGACGACCCTGTGAGTGTTGGCGTGTGGACATTGAAATGTGATCAGCGCTGATCACGTTCCCGTGCTGCTCAGACTTTCATGTCGAAAGCGACTGGTCATGCGAGCCGCCTCGACTTGCATCAGATCGTGCCCCTACGGCGTGGCTCTACCTGCATGTCCCTCTTCTCGCCCGTGGACCGAATCTTTGCCATTCACTATCAACACGACGTCAATGGGCACCGTGGTAAGCTCCATCTGCGCCGCTCACCCACTCACGTCCTCCTCTTTGATACTCGCGCGCGGAGCGTTGCGACGGACTGGATGTGGGAAATCTGGCGCGAACTTGGCGGACTGATCCCCGAGAGCCTAGACGTCCACATACCTGCTTTGGATGGCAAAGTGCGCATCCCTGTCCCGGATGAGGTTCCATGTCATTCGGCTAGCAGCGTTCAGGCCCTTGAGCTGCCAGGCAACGGGCAGCTGGTCATGCATAGCTCTGGCTCGGTGCGAAGTGCTGGAGAAGGGTTCAAGCTCATCAGCCGCAACAACCTGGTTAGAACCACTCTCAGTCTTGTACTCAAGCAGTCGGACTGGAAAGACCTCGTCGAAGTTGTCTTCAGTATGGGTCTACAATTCGAGCTTGCCTGGCGTCATGGCACAACTCTTGATTGGATCACAGAATCCACAACTGTGCAAGGAGATGCGCGCGATTGGGCAGTCTTGTCAGGCTCAGTGCTGAGACAGGTAAGCTAGACTAAGCGTCACGACTTGCTCCGAGGACTGGCTTACCTGACACACCTTTCCGTATTCACTCCCCCCAGGCGTGCCAGATCCCTGCCCTGGAGCTGCGTGCAGGGATGCACTACCCAACTAACACTACCACGGCAGATGGACGCGAGATCGAAGAGCCGCCTGCAGTCGAAGGCTACCTCTGGCGCGTCAAGCCGGTGTCTGGCGCTTTGACGCGGATCTACGTCACCACCCATGACGGACACATCTTCGTCTGCCGCCCCTCACGCGCCTTCCCTCCTGATCGCCACCTCGCCACTGGACCGCAGAAGGTGCTGGAGGCGACTGCGTTCCAGCGGCGGCCGTTGCCGCGACGGAGTCAAGATCCCAGAGGAGTACAGCAGCGCACAAGGAAACGAGACAAGCCTCGACGGGCTCTCGACAAGGTGCTAGGTCGAGACAAACGCCTCACCAGGGATGAAAGCATGGACGAACTTCGAGAACAAGTGATGAGCACTGCTGCTATTGCTGCAGCTGGCGAGGATGCTGTCACTGCGCAGCGTTTGGCGTACCAAGCCTTCGAACGCCGTCGCCAATTCGAACAGATCAGCAAAGCCGATGGCTACGTCGACCTCCGAGATATACGCGTCATCAGATGCGTCGGCACGGGTCACCAGCGCCGGCCAAGTACCGATATGTGCGCAGATCCGCACGAGCTGCCAAAAGAAGGAGCCGAGGCTGTCAAGCTCGCAGCCCGCGAGCAAGATACAACACTCATCGAGCGTCATGATGCAGATGGGGACGAGGAAGAAGCTCCTGCACTTTCGCCAGTACAGATCGATATTGGCGGCGAGGAAGGTCTAGCGGCTGCTGCGGATCGCAACGCATTGCGCCGGTCCCGACAGTTCGAGGTCATCATGGCCAACGGTCGTACCACGCGCTTCGAAGCATACAGCGCATCCATCGCCAAAGAATGGGTCGAGCGGCTGGCCTGTCTGGCACAGTACTGGAAACGTCGTGAAAAAGCGGATGCCATCGAGCTGATGCATGTTAGCGGATACAATCCCTCGATGATGAGGAAAAGGCGCGGTCGGCATCACGATGAAGACGCTGCGGCTGGTGAGGCCGTGCTCGGGCAGGAAGCGGACTCTGATCACGTCTCGCCGTTGTTGGGAACCACTTGGAATTGGTGCATGCTAGAAGGGTGTCGCGGCATCATTAGAGCCGGACGCTTGTTTCACAAACGCAAAGCGTACACGTCGTTTAGCAGCAGATACTACATCCTCATTGCTGGCAGACTGTTGAGCTACAAGATCGTCACTTCGCATCGTACAGCAAGAGACCGACAGAACGCAGGCATCTTCCACAAGCGACAAGAGACCGTTGTCCATTTGCGCGATGCGTACATCTATAGTGGAAAGTTGACGGAAGAAATGCTGACGAATGGTCGCACCGAGGGAGCTGGAGCGGTAAGCGGTGGCAATGCCGCGAATGTCGGCGAACGGCATCGCCTGCCTCGCGTGTATCGCGATGGATTGTTGACTGTCGACGAGGACGAGGATTGCACAATGGTTGTGCGATACAGGCCTCAGCGCTTGCAGCACGCCGTTGATCCTCACAGCCACGTCCAGCCCCGAGATGGGACCGCAGTCACTACTGCTGCAATGGGAACCAGCATGACGACCAATTCGGCCACTGTGGACCACGCAACGCAGCCAGCAGTCGCCACCGCGGTGCCAATGCTGAGTGATGCGTCTCACAATCACCTGGTCCTCCGAGCCAGGTGCAAGCTCGAGCGCGATTTGTGGGTGCACGCCATTTCTTGTGAGATTGAGCGCCTCGTGCGCCAGGACAAGGAACGAGAGGATCGCCTGCGCATGGCTGGTAAGACGCCATACAAGCCTAACCGGTAGAACGCGACTTAGCTACACGCTCCATTTGTCCTGCCTGCACTGCTGCCCACCCCCACCTCAACAAAGCACATCACTTACTCACGACTACCATACAAATGATCAACTCATCACATTTTACTTGCATGTATACCCGCTGCCCAAATCTTGATGTCACTCTTGCCGTATTTGAAAGCCGAAGCTACGCGTCAAATCAGGTCTCCTTTCTATGCGTCTGTCGCTCTTGCGTGATCATCGCATCTACTTTCCTCTCGGCATACAAAGAGAGCGTGGGCGCTCAACATAACTTTCTGTGCCGTGCGGTCGGCCCGAATGGAGCGAGAAAGGACTGGCTTTCTTTCATGCGAGACGAGCTTTAGCGCAGGTCGATCAAACGCCACCTTGTTCGGCCCCGAATGACGGGGGGCGGGCACCATGTGGGCGATAAGGGGGGGTCCCCTTCGCGACTGCGAGTCACGAACGAGTCATTCAAGATTGCTCCTGAAGCTGTCCACGTGCAGGAGTGGAGCAGCTTTTTTTTTAGCTATTCTTAGATCGAAGCGGATCCAAAAAGTGAGGCTACCAGTTGGCGAGTCGAGCGTCTTCGATGCAGTCAGGGAGTCGAGCACATCCTTCGGGCTTTTGAGCGGGTGTTTTGAGCTCACATGCGCGCGACTTTCCAGACTATTTGGACGCTAGCGGTGCCGTAGCGTAGCGTTGCTGCACGCATCTTGCGGGACGAAGCGATGCTGACACTCGACCGCATCGCGGGTCTAAGTACTTTGACTGTGTAGCCGAGCTGGAATCACAATCGTTCCTTACCTTTCCTGCTTGGCGTTCACATTGCTTGATTGCTCTTTGGAGCGATAGGCAACTTCAATGCTTTCACGAGGGGGGCTCATCCGCTCATTCCGACATGCTGTGTGTGTGGCATGTGCTCGATTTACGGAGCGAGGATCAAGAGTGGGAGTCTCGCCTACTCTGCACAGCGCACGTGTCCGCCAGTGGCCTAGCTAGCTCCTGAGCCTGGGACCCGCCCGCCCGCCTGCCTGCGTGCCTGCGAGCGAGCGAGCGAAAGGGCAAGCTCATCTCCATCACGATCCGCGCGCCTACCGTCGGTCGCGGCGGCGGTCAGGATCAATATAGCGGCGGAGCGTCGCTCGACTTCAATCAAATCCAAAGGACGCCCGCCTCAGGCTGGCCGATCAAATCGGACGAAGCCACTTGATCGGGAGGCCGAGCGCAGAAATGGAGCCTCTTTTCCCTCGGCGTTAGCGGCGTATAGTTAGCACTCCGCTCGCAGACGGATCTGCTTCCGGATCTTCCTCTGGGCGACTGATTGGACGAGGGAGTGAGTGCGTTCTCTACAGCTGATGAGAGGACTCGCAATAGGTCTGCTTGAGAGTTGGAACCCTTGCGGACCCAATCTTTGAATGCCTCTTCTATTCGTGACTCGTGATTCTGTATCTGAGCATTTCACATCGCACCGCACAACAGACAATCCCATTCACTTCCTTAGACGCCTCGAGATTGAGGCGCACAATGCCTTGAGTCACAAGTGTGGATCAAAAGAGTCTATAGCGCGCCTCTGCTTCTACCGGTGGGTACAGTCTGAGTGGTGAGTCACGAGTATAATCAGCAGAGCCCGTCATCATTCACAGATCAGGCACGCGCGGAGTCTTGAAGCTCTCCACCGCGCAGACCCTTGGCAGCCCCAATAAAACCGCTTGCGGGCCATGCTATCATAGCTGTGACCCATTTCGCGCAGCTGATCCGCTGCTGATGCGAGACGAGAAGGAACGTGCATGCATGCATGCAGCACCACCAAACCATACAGTCGTGAGTAGCACAACCCTGCATGACAGGCGCGTTCCTCGCCGGAAGCAAAAAAAGAAGGCTAAGCGTGACCTTGCAATTCAAAGAAAGCATTCAAAATTATCCATCGCGCGGTCGTTGGCAAAGGGCCACCGGAACCGTCAAGGGTCGCGAGTGCGAGGTGCGAGTGTGTTGCAACACACTAGGCAATGCTGAGCTGCTAGCTGCATGATCCTGCTTCCTGCTTCCTGCTTCCTGCTTCCTGTTCACCTACCGTGATTACAATGACATGCTTAAATTGACCTTATAAGCGCGCGATCCGCTCCAAAAGGCATGCCCAGCGCGCAATCTCGAGCTCTCGGTGTCCTGAAAAGATTGCGACGCCGACGGATTTTTGATTTGAATTAATGGCGAGGGCTAGAGAGCGATGGCTTCCTTATTCACGATTGTAATTGCACCTGCTGCGTTCGTGACTTGTCGTTTCTGCTGTGATGCAATTAGGTACGTAGTTGGCATACTGGCTGGGTACAAAGTCAAATCCTTGGTTGTCTCAGCGGGGCTTTCTGATGCCTCTGATTTGAACACGGCACGGGTTCCTGCTGCTTCCACATCTACCTCCTCACCTCCGTCGGCATCGTCTCAGTAGTCGGCGAAGGCAAGGGCGATCCCAATACTGAAGCTGGAGCGCGTGGCAAGGCTGTGAATAGAGAAGGGAGCCATCCAGAATGTCCAGAATGTCTATTATGATGATGACAGTCATCCATGATCAGATTCTAGCAGTCACGGGTTTATTGCGAATGTGAGGCAATGGTGACCCTTGCCAGCATGACGGACGTGATTGATGGAGTCAAAGTGTGGAGGCGGGAGACCCTTTTCTTTTTAATTGTGTCGCGCACGAATTCGGTCAGACCATTTATCCGAACAGCGGGCCGGCTCGGTCGCGTCTACCTGTAGGTACATACACACGGCAAAACTGCAACCGACTTTACGGTCTTGTTCGCGGTTGGGGGGCCAGGCTTGCGATGCAAGCATTCAAGATTCTGCCTGGGTCAAGCCTTCAGTGCATGCGAACGGCGTCGCGAGTCGCTTGCTTGGGACGAATACATGACCTGCTATACAAAGCGTGGCAATCGAACAAAGTCGTGGAGTGCAGGTGTATGGATGCTCGATCCCTAAACAGCGAGTCACGACCGCGGCGGGTGGAGCGAATCAGATTCATCAATGCATGCTCAGACTAGAAACGAGGAGGTGTACCGTAATCAATTCAATTCAGGATTGTGTATGTGCCGTGCCGTCTGTAACAAGCGGCTGGGAGGCAGCAAGTGTCAGCCGTGTGAGTCATGAGTCTGAGTGCATGCGGCCTCGGGGTTATGGCAGCATTAATTAGTAGTTGATCAGGTATACCGTCAGTTTTGAGTGGTCAGTCACGCAGTGGTCTGATTTCGGGCAAGTCTCACTATGCATAGCAGCGTCAGCAAGCAAGGCCGCACTCTCTGTAGTCTGCATGGGCACGGTAGCTGCTCTGACCGTGTCGCACCAAAATATGCGACGCAGGCGAAGTCAGTCAGACTGGCGTACATAATGTGCCCGTCGCGCTTCTCGTGCATGCAGAGATGCTGTTCACACTCCTTTCGTGCCAAGGCTGCACCTCTTGCACTCCGCTGCCGAGCCTGGCTCCCCGCTGTCGAGCGCACAAATCACAGCAGTCACACACTCATCAGTCACAGTCATCGTCTGCCCGTCCCCCAAAGAGCGCCACGCCATCCTCGACCACCGATGATATCAGCGACACAGCGAACCATCGAGAGCGACGCCCGCTCACACTAGAGCGCGTTCGTGTTCTTGCTACGCATCTACGTGTGACCACCATCCACAACGGTCATCGGGCTCGACCATCTCTTCAGCTCCCCAGACCAACCTCAGCAAGTCGGACCAGCTTACCTGCAGGGATCCGAGTTGATCAGCGGAATTGCGGAGGGGAAAGCGCGCGTCTGCTGCTTGCCAAGAAAAGGTCTGCTGGCAAGCCACTTCTCCTCGGCCCTTTTTGACACGAACGATCTCGTCATCCCGCTGTCCCACCGGAATATCCTGCCAAAGACCTCTGGTCGTTGTCTATTCCGCTCGAGCACTCGGATCGAATTCTCGTCGATTTTGCTCGTCACGCAGTCATCGTACACCACAACGACGGCCAGCTTCTCTGAGACCACACTTCACAGCAGTTACCGACGCGCGGCTGGGATACTCCCCCCTTCCTCCGGATCCTCTGTCGACCAGTCCGGGTGCAAAGCATCCGTCGCCCTTTCCAGCGAGCTATTTCCTCGCAATGGCCACCAACGGCAGCTTGGAGTTCAGCACTGAGGTGGCTCGGCAGTCTTCTCCTCTGAAATGGTCATCAGACGAGCGAGCCAGCTCACATCGAGACTGCCCTCACCATAGCTGCCCTGGAAGCTCTAGCAGTGCGCATACACTCGATGCCTCGGTGCGACACGAGTCGAGCTTGCAGCTTCGCGTTCCAAGGAAACGCAGTAGACCGTCGTCATCATCGCAGTGGGCGCTCCGGGCGCCTCGTCGCTGCGCGTCGGCAGCTACTGCGGCAGTAGTCATGATGACGCTGTCAATCCTTTCGACATTTCGAGGAGCAGAAGCTGCACCCGACGATGGTACACTGCTGCAACCTCGATTTGTGCCTGGCGCTGGCGAGCTTCCGCTCGGCGTCGAGCGATTACGCCCCGACGCGCTGTCCCAGCTCAATCCGTACCGACCAGCACCGCATTTGCGGTCCGCATACGAGCGTCAGCCTGCGCTCAGGTCAAGCGATGAACGAGATTGGGTACGAGGATGGACTGAAGCTGATGCGGCGCAGGGTCGAGGGCTTGCGGAGAGAGACGCGTCAGACGTGACGCCGTCTGGCTCTGCGGACAATCTCGTCGACGTCGGCATCACGCAGCCTCAGTCTTGCGCGCCTTTGAACATCACTTTTGATCCTTCCAAAGGCAAGCCTCCATACACGGTGCACATTGCCTTTTCCGAGTGGTACCCGTACATTTTCTCGGGTGAGTGCACAGCACAGGTAATGACCCTGCAGAGCCAAGCCGCGTGCGTTGACCACAGTGACGTCCGCTCGCCCGCAGTGCCAGCTTCTTACTCAGACCCCACGCTCGGTCTCTGGCTGGTACAATTCATGGTGCCGATGTTTCAGCAGGCTGGTGTGCAGGGCCCCACCAATCCCAACATGATCGTCAGTGTCTCTGATTCGACGGGAGCAATGACCAACTCCAGCGTCATCGCGCAAGTAAACTCCCCATCGGCCGGCGTGACTTGTGCAGGGATTTCGGGAAGTTTGGACTTCATCTTCTGGAGTGATCCGTCCCAGACGCAGGTGAGCGTTGAGATTCATGTTTGCGTACGCCGAGGTCTCAGATGCAGTCGAAGTCACGCCGTTGCTGACCTTGGCCTTGCTTCACAGTGTCTGCCCTTTTCAATCACATGGGCGCGTGAGGGTACACAAAAGGGGTGGACTCCTCCACTGGGACTCTTCTTCTTGCCGGAGCAGACTCCGCCCTTGTATCTGCCTATCGCCAACGCAACTGCAGGAGGGCTGAATTGGACCATGATCATTCCAGCGGGCAAACGCTTCCTCATGACAATGTCGGACGCTGGACCGCTGGGAGGCGGAGTCTCCGGACTCAATACCGTGGGAGGATCGGAGTATGCAAATCAGAACTGTATAGACAATGCGACGGAGCAGCACAGCTTGCCTAGACCCACGACGACTGTCACGGGTAGCATGCCAGACTTTACTGCCTCTGTCGCCTCTCTCACGACGGAGAATGGCATCGTCGTCACACAGACGGTGGTGCAGACGGTGCGAAATGGCAAGGCTTTGAAGGGCGACGATCCGACTTCGGCCGTGATCGGTGCGTCTGTGGGCGCAGGTCTTGCTGTGGGTATCGCTGCAGCGTTCATCGCATGGTTTTGCTGGAGGAGAAGGCAAAAGAAACGCACAAACTTGTCTTGGGACCTTCCGGATAATGTCGCAGGTCAACTGAATCAGACCAACGCTCCGATGGACAAGAAGCTGCTGCAACGCAAAGGAGCAGGCGCGACCATCTTTGCTTCGGCCGGACGCCTCAACAATCTGTATCCGACGGGCAACGCGCCTGACCGCAGCAGCCATGCGAATAGCATCCATGGGAGCTTTAGGTCGCTTGGCAGTAGTGCCTATGATCAGAGGTACGAGAGCGGTGATGCCGCCTCTTCACAAACTTCGGAAGCGCCTGCATATCACACTGCCTACGCCTCGTCTCCACCGAGTGGTCCTCAGCGGCCATACTCTGACTTTTCACCTACGCACTCTGACGGCAACTGGCCCTTGAGCCGACCTGCAGCTGCGGTGACTGGTGCCGCGGATGGACAGGAGGTGATGATCGGAGAAGATTCGCCGCCCTCGGCGACACCCTCCTCGAGGGGCTTCCAAGGCTCGAGAAGGGAAAGCGCTTCTTCCGGGTCCGTACGACAATCGGGCACTGCGTATCGCTCGCCCTTTTCGCCCACTGCCACCTATCCCCACAACGGGGCTTCGCATGGTGCTGGCTACGAGGAGGTTCCCATGAGCGAGCCCATGTATCACAGCTCCAGCATGTCGTATCATGGCCACTCTAGCGGTTCTTCGTACGCCATGACGCGCCAGGCAAGCGCTGGATCTTCAGGCAACTCGCCCATCACATCTATGGCGACGCCTAGCCAGACGCGGCCCGCAGCTGCAGGAAGCAGCACGTTGCCGCCCGTCCCACAAGGCTTCGTTCAGCATTCGGACGCTGGTCTATTGTTGGACGATACGATGGACGAGGAGGAAAATCAGAGGAGAGGAAACGGAATGATTGAGCTTCCACCTCAGTACGATGCCGTGCCGCCTCGTGCGCCGCAGCACGGGCGATCCAGCACTTCTGGCTCGAACCCGCCATCTGGGCCCTCTTCGGGTTCAGGCACGTACCAGAGCACCTCTTCGAGAGGCGGTGCAAGAGGAAGCGGCAGCGGCACCAGTGGCTCGCAGCAGCAGATGCTTGGACGATCGCCGCTCAGCCAGCGTTTACCCGAAGGAGATATTTCTACAGCGAACCAGCCCTTTGCGGCGGACTTGCTCGATGAAGGCGTCGACGAGGATGAATTTTGGAGAGCGTCATGAGCGCTTGTTAGAATTTCCGTTGCCTTGATACCCCCTTCCTTTCTAGGATCGTCGGTTCCTCTTTGTTTTACAGCTCTTCGAACGTTGTGAGCCTCTCTTCAACATTCGACACTACCACCCGGCACCTCGCCTATTCCTCGCAGCCAAAGCATACGCTCATTACCCCGTGCCTTTTGATTTCCCGTTCTGTATTCTCGCACAATTCTTCTGTCCTCGTGTCTTGGTCTTGACCCGCCCGACTTTCTTTTTGCTGGTTTCGTCAATGCACGTCCTTGCTATTTTGTGCTCCTATCCGCATGGATCTGCTCGTGCTGCGACTGGCTGCGTTGAAAACGTGAGAATAGGGTAGACGGACGTTGGAATGGCTGCTGGGTACGCTCAAGGTCCTGACGGCCACCATGCGCTTTTGCAAGGCAAGGTGATCTTGTGGGTGCACCACGCAGCCTCTCCCAATTCGATTGAGTGAATCACATGTCTGTCGAGCGAGCTTTGCTGCGCTGTCTGTCTGTCGCACGAAGCGTGTCTTCGCTTGCCTCTTGCACTTTCGCGGGCAACAAGTCGGGGATCGAGCGAAGATGTGGGGGTTTGCGAAGACTTTGTGCCAGCAGCTGTATATACCTACGGCCATACATACAGCACCTCGCTTTTCCAACCTACTTGGGCTCGATCGCGAGCGACGGCCGACGGCCGACCGGCGCGCGTCGTGTGCGTTCAACTCGCAAGATGTCGCGCTGCACGATGATCCGGCGACGTGCTGTGAGCCAATCTTGAATTGAATGTGAATCACGTGTGGATCGCAAAGACTCATCACCATGCACTTGCATGCGGCTCGCTGCGGCCGATGCTTTCCACCAGACCAACGTCGGCTTGCACTTTGGGCTGCGAGCCTCCATCCACGCATCTTTGCTCTGACAATTCAACAATTTAGGCGAAGATCATATTCATTGAAATACTTTTGTATTTGGCGACAGTCATTGTGGAAAGCGAAGAGCCGCGGTTGAGCGCAAGGAAGAAGGATGGGAAAAGGTCGAAGAAACTTGAATGTCGGTGCAGTCAAGATTTTACGAGGGACCGGATGCAGAGCTCTTGATTGGAGACGATCAACACTTTGTGCCGCCTCGATCCACTCTGGCAATCATAATGGTACACGTATTCAGGGCCAAGAATGTTGCTTCTGCAGGAGTATCCGACCTGGACGCGCACTCCTTCGATCGAACTTGGGTTCACAAACGTGATTCTCGCTGCGGTCAAGGCCAGCCCAGAGATTTCGTCGTATATGACGTGTCCTTTGCAAAGACGCACCCATGGTGGCAGTGTCGAGGCGCGAACTTCTCAAGACTCTTCTGTCAAGTGCATGACGGGTTTTGAAATCGAAGCTTGGGACCACGTAGCAGGGCGCTGCTCTCTTTCGAATAGTCCGCAAGACCAACGTTGTCGATGAGCCTATTGCTGCGCCCGTGTGCAGTGCCGCCCCGCTATTGCAAGCTCAACGTGACTGCGTCCGTGACTGCGTCCCTCCCAGCGGCTGCTCTTGCTGTGCTCCAGAGGCGGCAGCAGCAGTAGACAAAAGTTGTCTGCAATTGCCAAGCCATGCTGAATGCCGGGTTGGCAAGCATGAAGAGTAATGTCTTTGGGGGCCAGCAAGAATCCTCCAAAGGTCTGTTGTTTTGAGAGGGCAGGCTGTCTACTAGAGACTGGGTGCTTTGGGCTGCTTTGGGCGGATTTGGGGAGCGTCTGTGGCAAACAGTTGGAAGATCTGGGCTCCAGGCCGCCACCGCCGCCACCGCCGCTCTTGCACCTCCAAGCAATCAGCGTAATGTCTTCTTCCAACGCATGATTTCCTTTGGGCCTGGGGGTCGGGAGGAAAATGAGCAGAGGTCACAGCACACATCGATGCATACAAGAGAGCTGCATGAAGATCGCTGTCTTGACCAATTCTTAGCTGACGAACAGCATTGTTTGCGGCGTCGATGTTTCAAGTCCAAGGGTACCATGCATTTGGTAACATCCCAAACCATAATCAGGATTGTTTGGCGCGTCAACTGACCATCGTGCATCACCAGGTGTGAGTCTACGCTCACGACCGTCCGAACACGTGCTCGTCGTTCCAACGAGAAAGGATCAGTGTGAGTCATGATCAAGTGCAGTGCACAACGAGATGGCGTGCCGTTACCGTGCGGTCGACGAAACTACGAGTTATTGCACGTTCCGACCGTGAGGCCCATGGTCATGACTTGCTCGCGCCGACTTGATTTCCCACTCACTCTTGACTCGCTCATGAAGCAGCTAATAAAAAAAGGATCCATCAGGAGTGACGTGAGCGTGATCTCAAACGGAGGAAACAATCCTCTTGGATGCGGTAGATCATGTGATTATGATTATGGAACTGCTTAGAGGGTTGCTCCATTGCGCAGTCAAAATCAAGAATTTGAATGTAAGCAAATGAGAACTTTCGCGGCGTAGACAGGCTCATGATCAAGAAATAGAGTCGTGACGAGCCTCATTCAAACCAATAAGTTCGAAGCAAGGTTTGAGCGCATCTCACAACGTTCAGAAGGCTGCGTACGTATATATATGAGAAACCGTTAAGGCAATCACGGTTGAGTCAGAGGTCGGCTGATTTCGAGTGCATTTGAGTCAAGTGTCTTGCGCGACGGTATATATATATGTAGCTTCAGCTAGGCTGCTCATGAGCGCCCATTACTCGTGACTCAGACTCGATGGATCAGCCAGCGTGTGACTGACTGACTGACAGCAACAGTCAAGTCGGCATTCAGATTGGATGCGAGCGTGCGTCATCAATCAAGAATTGCAGCAGTCTCCAAATTGGGATGAAATCAAGTGTCAATCCTGTCTTCCCTTACGAGCCGCAGGAATCCTGTAGTCTAGGTCAAGGGAAAGGTACCTTGTCCTATTATGTGCTTCAACAGGTCGTATTCAATCAATCCGCAACGTGCTCCATGCACCGAAGTCGGAGGTTGCCCGCCTTGCTCAAAGCCTAACAAGACGTCGCTGATCATGAGGGCGCGAGCGGAATGTGCTTCACCCCAGTCTCTCACCCAAGACCGTCACGCAAGACTCGTGAGTGCATTCTCTTAACTGTGGCAACGTCGACTGTTGCTCCATTCACGTACAGCGAGTCACATCCCTGATTACCGTGGCTTTGCAGCATTGGGCTAGGTTCCTTACCTCGCACCTCACCTTCGAAGCCCCTTTTGGAGCATCAGTCGAGTAGCTATGCGTTCTAGCCTACCGGAAGCAGCGCAAAGAAGCAGCAACGCATCGCGCAGGCTGGCCCTCCACTCGGATTGTCCCGTGTCTTTCCCTCCCATCCAATCTCCGTCTGGATCGTCGCAGAGTCAGACGAGGGGCGAGAAGGCACCAGGGAGGGCTTCAAGCTGCAGGGAAGAGCTCGAACCTGTCTCGGGCACCCTTCACCTGGGCTTCCAGCTATGCTTGGCGAGGCTTTCAGTCGTGGTGCTGTCCAGCGCCCGCAAAGGGTCAGCAGTCGCATTTGCGGATCAAGTAGTATTCGACGAAGACCTGAGCCATTACAGGTGAGATCTGAGCACTTGTCCGTCTTTACTGCGTTCGGATGCTTGCTAAGAACCTTTGCCATGCTCAAAGAACGAAAGACGGATGCTACGTCTGGAGACCTTCGGAATATCAAGCGGAACATCCCGGTCCGACAACAGCGGCGGCACAAGGAGTGACGAGCGTGACACCGGTCGCCATGATCGTCGACGCTCTAGACAATCTACTGGATCGCGTGGCAAAGAAAGTCTCTATGGACCAGATACAGTCCATTGGTGTCTGTGCGGAGGTGAGGCGATGCGGGCCAGCGAGCGTTGCCTTTCCGTAGTCATCTACTGATGTCTGACCTTTTGGAGGTACGTCCCCAGAGCGACTGGCCAGTCTTTCTGAGTCGAAGAGCGGAGAAGATGCTCCACGATCTGCGTCCAACAGTCGGTCTGCATGCTCAATTGACCGTGCCAGAATTCTTCAGCGTGCCATTCATATCCAACATGAATGATTCGTCGACGCTGGACGAGATGCGAATGATAGAGACGGCTTTGGAGGCGAGGATGAAGGGGGTCATGATGAACGGCTCAACCCTTATCAGTGCTCCATCGGCCATGCCCTCTTCCGAGTTCGGTGTCCACAGCAACTTGTTTGGCACAGAGGTGGCAAAGGCCATGAATCGCAAGAGGTTCCAAGCAATTCGTCAAGCAGCCGCACAGAAGAATGGAGCAGCACCAAGCTTTTCAGGATGGGCTTGTCAGCTTGCCAAGTTGAGGAACGGAAAGGGAGTCGGAATGGAAGGTAGATCCGCTGCCATTTTGGACATCAAGAAAGTCTGGCATAATGCCGGACGCATCATCACTGCAGGCTCACTGATCTGTGCTGTTTTGACCAGCAAGATGCCTAGGTGAGCGCGACTATTCCCTCAAACTGTGCGCAGCTGTCACATACCGCCATCAAATCCAGCTTCAACCACACCGAGGCGGCTATGACGGGGCTCTATGACCCAGAAGCTCGCGAGTGGGATCAGCAGATGCTGGACATTTGCAGCAGCGGTGAAGGACAAGTGTTGAGACAGAAGTTGGGAGACATTGCAGACCTCGACACATGCGCCACGTCGGCGGGTAGTTGGCTGTGCCAAAAGCACGGCGTTCAGCAGTGTGAGCATCTTCTCGCGTACAGTTCTGAAAGTGCGCTGGTCTGACTTTGCAATCTGCTTCGTCTCAGCTTGCGTCATTGGTCCTTCGCTGCCATCCTCGGTGGTGGCATACATGGGAATGCTTCCGGGTCCGAGGTTGGTTGCTGTGAAGTGCTTGATGTCCCATCAAACAGCGCCACACTCATTATCATCCACTTGGATTCATTCGCTTTCATCCAACAGCGACGGAGGTATTTCTCTTTCTGTCCACGACACCATGATCATCCCTTTGCGCTCCAAAGTCAAGGCTCCTGGTCACTCTCTGCTTCCGAATCCTCTTCACGAGCTTTCGAGCCAGTCGACAGGTGTTGTCGACGACACTCGTGTTCAGCCATGGCTGGCCTTAGCCCGATGGCAAGACGCTGGGCTGGCCCGCAAGATTGTCAAAGATGTATACTGCTCCGGTTTATGGTCAGCCTTTGGCAAGCTTGTCAACGCTGTTGGTGTGGGTGGCTCGCACGCCCTCGACAACAAGGTGAGACCTGATGATACGCCTTGGAGCCAACGCGATTCGTCGATCTGACAAGTACGCATAATCTGGTTGTCCGGCTCAGCTCTTCACGGTTAGTGGCGGTCAACGAAGCGCGCTCAACCTTAGCTTACAGCTTACAGCGCCGAAAAATCGTATGCTAGATTGTGTTGCTGGAAGGCGAGACGCGAGGTGAGTACCACACGGCTACGTCATGGCCTATTTTCGGAGGATCCTCACGTCCAACGATCCGGCGGTGCAGGCATCCGACGGTACGAGCACGGCATGCGCGTTATGGAGTTTGGCAACGACTTGAGAGGTGCGCCAAGCCGCATGCCTATCTGCAGACGGTGCCTCATCTTCACTCCTCTTCTTCGTAGCGAACGCGCGATGTATGATCGAAGGTCAAGCATTGGCCATGAGGAGTGCTGCATCGCGTATCGTTTTTGCCGATCTCGAACAAATTCAAGACGTTGACAAGTCGGTGCATGAGAGTCGGCAAGCGCGCCTTCGCGACCGGGCTACAAGTCAAAACTTCAAAGGTGTTGGAGGTGTTTTGGGTTACAATCCTTTTCATGGTGAGCCGTTGCCATCGAAATGGCTGGCTTGGGGCAAGCCGTCCGGCAACGCTTGCTTTGCTGGTGTCTTTACGTCAGTCCTAGGTGCGCCGTTGGTCACTCACACCGACGACGTTCACGATGCTTCAGTAGAAGAAAGGGCTGCCACTCCTTCCCCTAGTAGCCCGCCAGCCGTTCAAAGTCATTTGCCCAAAGCGGGTAGCGCTCCGGCGCGGATGACAAGAGCTTGTGTTGGGGCTGCTTATCTGGGCAAGGTCATGCTGACACGTCAGTCGCAAAAAAGCTCTGGCCTCGATCCTGAAAGTTTCGAAACTATCGTCCGCAAATCTCTCTCTGGGCCGTCCGTCTCTGCAGATGAGGCGTTGCATCCGACCCCTATCGAGCAAGTCAACAGCACTGGCTTCACAGCCGCAACGATGCCAATCATCGTGCTACAGCCGCCGCCTCCGGGTCCTCACATCCGCGATAGACCGAAGACGCGTCGACGCTCCGCAACGGCCAGCGGTGCCGAGATCAAGACATTTGCCTCTCTCGATCCTCCACTCCCAACCCTCCACAGTCTGCATGAAGCAGGACCACTCGACCAGCAAGAAAGCCTCGAATGCGTCGAAGAGGCCCTAGCAGCGTTGGAAGAAGGAGCCAAACTTTTGACGGGTGACTGCGACTCGAGCCGAATTCTCCAACGTCCGAGATCTGGCACGATAGCTGGCCTTGTCGAGCCATCGAGTAGAAGGTTTAGTACACAAGCGGAGGACTTCCCTTCTAGCCCCCGCACCTATTCCGATCCTCTGAACTCCTCTCAACACTCCCGAGCTGAAAGCTTCTCGAGCGACCTGAGCGTGCCGAGCTCGATGAGCTCTGCGACCACACTTCCGCGGCTCGCGGCTGAGGAGGACCAATCGGAACACATGTTGATCGATGCCCCCGACGGCGGACAGCTGACTCCTACTGCTGCCGGCTACTTTACGAAGGAGCAAGAAGAGAAGATTGACGAGCTAAAAGAGCTGGCTGACGAGCAGACTCGCGGCTTGGTCCGTCTGGCAGCTGTCGACGAAGATCTTTTTTACGTGAGTATTGCAGGCGTCCGTATGATAAAGTGTTCTGACTGACCACGATAACGCTTCGAGATCAGGTGTATGCTGCACTTCTCGAGGTGAGTCAATTCAATCTGACGATGCACCCCTCCAATCGCCGCTGTGCTCACCACCATCTTGGCCTCACTCACCACAGGAACGTGATCGGCTCGCTTCGTATCTCCTTTGACGCATATCAACGCGGACACGGGCACCGCCATATCCAGACCTCTTCTTAGGTCTGCATGACCTCTCCCTGTTCTCCGTGGTGCCAATTCACGTTTGACCCGTGCTGTTCTCGCTCTGCCATGCACTGTAGCTCGTTGCAGAGCTTCCGGCCATTACACACGAAAGATTGCGTCATGATGTCAGAAAGATGCCATTGCTGTAGTTTGGGTTACTGGTAAGGCCTTCTTCACTCTGATTTCTCTTGTGAGCCATTGCCGTGGAAAGGATGAGCGACGACATTGAACCAAGGAATTGTGCCTTTTCAATGATTGAAAGGGGAGGGTCGAATGTGATCAGCACCGCGGCACTTCCCAGCCATGCGCACTGCCTCTTAGACCATGCTCATCCGATGCGCGACTTACTGAATTTGAGTTGACTGAATGCGCTGTTCCTGTGAGCTACGCTCTGCAAGTGAGAGTCCAGACTGCTCTTGCTGGGGTCTGTACCGTATGGCTTCTCGTCTGACTTTGCTCTCTCCAGCTCCAGACTGTTCTCTGCCCAGCCCCATAGACGAACTGAAAAAAGGCGTCGTGCAAAGGCAGATACGTTAGTGCTGCTGTTCGTGAGAGTTCGCGCTGGCCAAGGCGCCTGCCTGCCGTGTCACCTAGGGTGCCACCCGTACGACGAACAGCGACAGCTGGATATCACAAGCCGAGCGTGGTTTTTTTTGTCCTCATTTGTAGCTCCTACTGAACCCCCCTTCCAAGGAAAGAAACTCACAGCTGCTCCTCTGATAGGCAAACAAAAAACCACCGCAGGCACCCAAGAAGGTGGCCAATCTGAGGGCCGATCCGATGCCTCTAGGGCTCCTGGTACTGTCTACCTGTTCCATGAAGTAGAGACCAAAAGGCATCGCAGCTGTCGCGCCTCCCCACCAAGCGTAATCGGATGGCCTCATGTACTGCACCACTCTGGCAAAGTGTGGATCCGCATCGATCAGAGGATGGGGCGTGGACAATTCTCGGATGGCTAAGAGTACGAGGAGGCACTTCGATGTCAGCTGGGCTTGCTCGTCCAAATGTCTGCGATGCTGCACTGGACATCATGCGTAAATGTGAACCTAGACACGAGTACTCACGCATCGTAGCTCAAGAGTCCACCTTTGGGTGGTGAGAGGGGCAAGCGCCAATCTAGTTTCGGGCCGGAGGCTCAGTGGAGGTCGTCTGTTGGAGTAGCTAGTGCACAGTGCCTAGTCCTTGAATGGTGGATGTGGGAGAGGATGACAGAATGCTGGGTGCGGCAGGATAGCGAGTCGTGCGTGGTATGCTTTACTCAGACTATGCGTGCCTCGACACTTGATCCGGGTCGATCGTCTCGAGGCCGTGCGTTTGGAATCTCCAAGTCGAGATTGGGTGCGACAACCGGTCACCTGGGTGGCAGCATCGCGGCATGGCGACTGGACCACGTGGTCAGGCGTGCAGACGAATAAGCACACAACATCATGCATCAGCTATATGCTATAGGCGTGTCGGGTCGTCTGCCCGCCCTCCTCGGCTCGGCAAACCCGCACCCGCTTCCAACCAAGCGTGCAGCGAAGCGCGCTATATAATCACGAATCGGCGCTGCATGGTGGGGCGGTCAGCCTCAGGGAAAGTTGCGGTGAAAGTCACGAGTCGAAAGTTGTGAGCGTGATGAGTGCTTTCGAGATTTTGGACGGTTCAAGGTTTCCAATTCCTGGTGGCCGTAGGCATGCATCGCATCAAATCGTGAGTCACTGTTCCCCCTCGACTCTTTGGTGGGTCCGCCTCCCTATTTTCACACACCATTCTACCCTTCAGCTACGCCCTCACCAACGATCGCATATGCTAAGCTGAACCATTGGGTCGGCCGGATCCCAAGGCCGCGCATCGAATAGCAGCTTTTGAGCCAGGTGCATGTAGCAAGAGCATTACACTGCCATCGAGCTTCGTCCGCTTACAGGCAGAGCAGTGCCACGACTACACCTCCCGGTAACACATTCCCCTCTCTTCACCGCCAAGAGCTTGTGACCATCCATCCCTCGACTTGAGACTCGGCTACTCTGGCGGCTTGGTCGAGCAGCTCCCCCGTACGCTCAAAGGGTCGAGATGGATCAAATGCGAGCACTAGCGGCTCAGGCCGAATCCATAGCGCAGAGAATACCAGGAAGCGCAATCGTAGCGCGCTACGTCCGGTCATCTTATCAAGATGATCCCTTCCGATCATTACTAGAGTTGATCCTTCTCGCATTCGCTCTTCGCACGCTGCTTCAAAGCCGAACACGCGGGAATCAAAGCGGAAGCAACTTTGTCAAGCTTTCAGAACGGGAGATTGACGAATTGGTCAGCGAATTCAATCCTGAACCTCTGGTTGCACCGCTGACTGCCCTAGAAAAGGAAGAGCTGGACTCGGTGCCTACAATCAGCGGTGGACTTTCTTCCAAGCCCAAAGTGCTGCTACCTGCGCGTATCGGTGGCAGCGCAAAGGGAGCCAAAGAGATGCTCAATCTGGCCAGCTACAACTTTGCTGGATTGGCTGGCAGCGACGTCATTCGAGACGCAGCTGTAGATACGCTCAGAGAGTACGGTGTTGGAAGCTGCAGTCCGCCTGGGTTCTACGGCACCATTGATGTTCACATGACGCTGGAACAGGATCTAGCGAGGTTTTTGGGAGTGGAGAGCGCAATCATATACTCTCAAGGCTTCAGCACCATCAGCTCCGTCATTCCTTGCTACCTGAAGAGAGGAGACGTGATAGTCGCAGACAAGGGCGTCAACTTTGCTATCCAGAAGGGCATTCAGGTACGTATCGCTGCAGCAGTGGTGACCGTAAGGACCCTGAGCAGGCGCAAACTCATGACGTGGCACCTGTTCCCCTGCTCGCACCTCAAAGGCTTCACGATCTTTTGTCCGATGGTACGAACACAATTCTCTTTCCTCGCTCGAGAGCGTCTTGGCAGACGTCACAAAGCACGACAAGCGGAGGCGAGGAAGACTCACGAGACGCTTTATCATCACGGAAGGCATCTTTGAAGGTGACGGCGCGGCTGTGGACTTGAAGGCGATTTGCGATCTCAAAAAGAAGTATAAGTTTAGATTGATTCTGGATGAAGGTATCAGTTTCGGGACCGCGGGAAAGTCGGGCAAAGGAATGACCGAGCTTTGTGGCGTCAATGTGAGTCCAAGGCGCTGGGAGTAGCCAAGCTGCGGAGAGACTGACCATGAGCTGGCTTGTCAATCTTGCCAGCCGAACGAGGTGGACATTCTGTGCGGTAGCATGTCAAATACGCTTGGTGCGGCTGGCGGGTTCTGTGCAGGTGCGGCCACCATGACGGAGCATCAACGGATCAATGCTGCTTCATTCGTCTACTCCGCCGCCATGCCAGCCATGCTGGCAGTTGCGGGGTCAACGTGCATGCAGTATCTGCAGGCGCACCCAGATGTGCTCGAACAACTGAGGAGCAACATTGCAACGATCAGGAGCACGCTTGTTCCCATCGAAAGCATCGTCATTGTCTCGGATGCCGCCAGTCCGCTGATTCACGTCCAAGTTCGGAGTCAAGCCGATCCTCATCCTGCTTCTCCAAAAGGCAACGCATCTTTGAGCGTACCTCAGGAGTTGGTATTGGGTCACGACCTGACAGGACTGGAACAGGCAAGACTACTTCAATTGATCGTGGACGAAAGCTTGAGGAATGGAGTGCTGTTGACAAGACACAAGACGCTACCGAGCATCAATGCTAAAGCGCTGGAGTCGGGTGCGCATGCTAGACCTTGCATCCGGATTGCAGTCACGGCTGGACTGACGCAGAAGGAGATTGAAAAATCGGCGGGCGTGATCAAGAATGCTGTGGTCAAGGTGCTTGGAAAGCGGAGATAGGTACTAAGGGATGGCCAGGTGTAGCATTATGTGTTGCAAGCCGCGCATCGACAGTCGCAATGATATCAAGAACGCGCTCCCTCATGGTCCAAGGGGTCTTCTTATTCCAACTCGGCGGCGGTCTTGCTGAGTGCACACGATGTGACTCGCGAATGGGTCATGTGATGTTGACCACCCTACAGCATGAGTTTGAGTGTTGAGCTGCTGCACTGATGACTTTGCTGTACTCGCTCGCCTTAGCACGATTCGTGGGGCCTGTACATTCAACTCGGTGATGACGACAATTTAAGAAAGTCACGAGTTTTGACTACTCACGACCATCCAAAGTCAATCAAGTCATCATTATCATAGCGTGAGCGCGCGGATGGATGTGCGCGCACGGTTCAGCTAGTTCCCAATTGGTACCGTACACGCACATCAGCTGCGCGTGTGCCATGGGCGCTGCTCATTCGTGATTCTCGATCGAGTTGGCCCGCAATCAGAATGGTACGCGGGCAGCAGCAGCACGCAACCCTGAGCACGCTTTGTGACTCGTGGACTGATGATGACTGAGCTGCTTCGGAGCCAAGTGAATTGACTGATTTAAGATTTCCGACTTGGCGCGCCCAATCGGGCTGAGCTTCACACGCATGCTCGACCATCATTCCCCACTCAAACCGGTTCTGCAGGTCAAGGACAGCCAGAGCTTGGACCTCAGAGCTTTGTTGTTGAGCATTCACGATTGAGCAGAATTGAGACCTGCTCCTGGGCTCGCTACGAAGCTTGATCTGTACCATCCACGATCGGAGCTTGGCTCGTGGCTGAGCGCATGAGCACCCGATCACCTGCTGATTGCCACGCCGTGCAAATTCAGCAGGAGGGAAAGCAAGACGAGACCAGAAAGCGAATTGGCGGCACTCTGACTCGGCTTCGGAGCAGTCCGCTTCGTCTTCTGCGTCGTCATGAAGATCTGGCGAGCTCACGATGGCCACGGATTCGAGGTGGGAAAGCGCATGGCCGCATTTCAATCGTGAGTCACTCACCCACTTACCATCTGCTCGTTCGCTCTAGGTCTGATCGATGTATATTGCACCCTGTAGCTTCGATGACCTTCAGGATGCCCTCTCCCTCGCCACGGGCATTGCTACCGATGCTATGATCTGCATGACTGCGGATGGGGACCACTTGACGCAGGATGTGATGCGCCACATCTCTACGAGCGAAGGGGTAAGCGAGGCGGACGATGTCGTGAGTTATGTTCTTTGTGCTGTGTGGTGCAACATGACTCGTGCTGGGCTGTTCAAGTGCTGATCGTCACAGTCAAACATCGCACTTTGACAAAAGGAGTTTTTCGTGTACAATCGCGACTTTCTCTTTGCGGATCTCGATGCCCTGCAGCAAGAGCTGGCATTGCCAATCACTCTCCACGCTCCTGTGGCTGGTGAGTATGGCGTATATGTCGGACCCTGCCGAGGACACTTATTCACGAGGCCATCCCCCACACTTCCTCAGACTTTGAGCTGGCGAGCCCACCCACGCCAAAGTCCTTGGCCTCGCTGCTGGGCTGGTCCACGCAGTTGTTGGCCTGCCTCAACGAGCACACGTCTTCAGCAAGGCTTTTCCACTCGCATCTAGCAGCCATACAGCGAAGCACTCTGGTCGCATTGTCGAACCTCAATACGCATTCAGAAACGGTGCGCGGACATTTTACAAAGGTACAAGAAAGCGCAGAGAAGGAGCTGGAGCGCATGCGAGGATTGCTCGAAGGCAATCAGACGGATCTAAAAGCGCTAAGTCTGGTGCCCATCAACCCTCGACTTTTGCCAGGCGAGTCTAGCAAGTCGACGACGGGTGGGAGCATGAGCAAAGGTGGAATCAAAGAGAGGACGCTGGCGCATTATGTCCACGCGTCCAAGATGGGCGCAGTGTTCAACTCGTGCTCAGAGGTGCATACGGAGCTTCAGCAAAGGCTAGAAGAGGTCCGCGGATATGCGGCCCAGCTCGGCGGGGACACGGACGGGCTGCGAGAAGAGGTAGAAGTAACGAACATCCAACCGTCGCAGGAGACACTCGAGGGCGCAGAGCAAGCTTTGCTGCGCGCTGAGGAAGTCAACAGCTATCTGCTCGAGACGTGCTCCCCGGACGAGCACGGCTGGCCCGTTGCGGAGGCTCTGTCTGCGGACGTCAATGCTCTGTCACAGGTCGAAGGCAGCGTGGGGGAGCTCATACTGCTGGACGAAGTGGGGAGAGAAAGCGTAAGACGCCTGACGGCGGACAACAATGAGCTGGTGCATCGATCGCTAGAGATCCTCGGAGATATCAGCAGTTTGCAGTCCGATTACGCTGATCTAGCAGCTTCCCTCACGGCCTTGGAGCAAGACCTGCGAAGCAACAAGACGGATGGATTTCGACATTTGGCCCGGCTCAAGAACATGGTGTTTGCGTACGGAGCTACCCTGGTGGAGGTGGTGCGCCGACGAGAGTTTGCAGCGCACTTCATGGCAAAAGCTCATGCTGTCGCTGAGCTCATGGCCCGGCTCTCCGCCAACGAGCGCAAGCGTCGAGAGGAATATCGTAGCGAGGTCATGGGCCTGCTGCCGTGGGAAGTCAAAGGTCTGGAAGAAGCCCCCTTAAGTTTGGAGATCTCGACATCCAAAGGCGACAGCGCCTTGGCGGATCTCAGTCGAGATGACGTGCGTCTTTTCTTGACGACCCTGGACGATGTCGAGATTGCAATTCAGGCCGAGTCTGCATCTCGCGAGCAGGCCGCCGCCCTCAGCAGGCCCATGCAGATGGTCAAGGAAGCTCTCAATCAGCTCTTGACGCGGCTCGACGAGACTGAAGACGATTTCAGCGCACTGGTCGAAGCTGGGCTTTTGGGTCGAGGTAAGAGCAGTGAAGATGGCGACTCTGAGTACTCCGACCCGCAGGCCAATGGGGCGCCCCAAACTCGAAATTGGAATCGAGCAGCCGACTCCAAGGCGAAAGCGGCGCTAGAAGAAGCCCAACAAAGAGCTGGCCGATTAGAGCACGAATTGATTGAAGCGCGAAATTTGGCGCAAGAGCGAGAGCGCATTGATGCTGAAGCGCACGATGCTGAAGTGGCAAAGCTGCGCGTGGAAATGGGACAATTGCGCGCCGAGCTGAGGACGAAGAACAGCGAGCTGGGCAAAGAACGAGGTGAACGCCAGGCCAATGCAAGGGCAGTCGAAAATCTGAAAGCAGCTGCAGAGACGGAAGCGGCAAGACGTCTGAACATGGCAGACGAGCTTGGTCGCCTTCGACGAGACGCAGAGGACGCGAGACGAGCCGAAGCGGATGCTCGCGCAGAGGCTACTGAAGAGAGTGAGCGTGCTACAGAGCTCGAGGCGCATACTGTAGACCTGCAATCAGAACTTGAAGATGCAAAAGCTGCGAGGCTGGATGCGAGCAACCGTATTGAAGCTCTCCTGGGCCAGGGCACCACGACTGAGCGCGAGCTGAGCGCGGCGCAAGAGCACATCGATGGCTTGGTATCTCAACTAGCAACGACGCGCGCTGAAATGCGCGAGGCTCGAGACGCCTTGACAGAAGCGGAGCAGGCGCGGGACAAGGCGCTCCGCTCGTATCGAGCCGAAGTCGATGGCGACCGAGCTATTCTGGAGGAGACTCTCAAACGAACACAGACTGAGCTCGAGCGCACCAAGAAAGCTTTGGAACAAATAGAAGGCGAGATTTTCGTCCACAAAGAGGCTGCTGAGACTTTGAGAGGCCAGCTTCGCGCTGCAGACGAGACGCACGAGGACACTGTGCGCCAGGCTATGGATGCGGAAGTTGCGCGTCGACATGCCGAGCGGCAGCTTCACAATTTGTTGGCTGGCAGTCGTCCTTTGGTCGCCAAGACTATACAATTGAGAAAGTTCATCCGCTCGATGCCAGCCTTATCCTCTTCCAAATCGAAGACCTCGGACGGAATCGCCGTTGACATCGTCAACGAGGAAATCGACGAATCAACAGAGGATCAACGCCAAGTCGCCATCGACGCATTCGAGGCTGCAGCAGCAGATGCCAATGTTGAAACTGTGTGCGCAGCCTTGCGCGCTCTGCACTTTGGCAGCACTCAAGGCAACGCCCCCGATGAGGCCAGAGCGAAGCTCGACAGTCTTACCACGCTTGTTCGCAAGTGGCAGAAAGCGTATCGTAACTCCTCCGAAAAGGTTGCGCGTGCCAGCAATGCCGCAAGAGAAAGGATCGCATTCCGCAACTTTGCGGCGGGCGATCTCGCTCTCTTCTTGCCCACTCGGAATGCCGCTTCTAGTGTACGACCGTGGGCTGCCTTCAACATCTCTTTCCCGCACTACTTTCTGAATGCTAAAGGTGTGCTCGCCTCTCAGCTGCAGACCAAGGAGTGGATTGTGGCCCGCATCACGAATATTGACGAGCGCATCGCATCGAACGCGGTGCGCCAAGGTGATGACGGAAGCGTCAACAACCCGATGCAGCTGGCCGAAGGGTCTCGTTTCTACATGCTAGATGTGGACGGATGGAGCAACACCAGTTCCAGCTCCGCTGCTGCATCAGCGAATGCAGCTGATGTGGCGCCCGCTTTGCGCACTCGTCGTAGCACTTCCAATGTTCCCACTGCGCCTCCATCGAAAGCAGGCGAGTTGGGAGGAAGCGCTGAGCCGCACACGCGACTTCAACGCGCTCTCACAGATGCGACCGCGGGGTTAAAAGAGACGCGTGCTGACGCCACTCTCGGCGCAATGCAAAGGGGCGAGTTGGGGGTGGCGGGTTGGGATGTCCCCAACTCCGCAGCAGACGACATTGGTCTTCCTCCTGAGAGCCCCGACGTGTCTCTTCGAGACGACCGAGCCCCTGCTTTGACCTCTGTGGAGAACAAGGTCGACAACAGCGGCGTTGCCGAAACGAGCGCAGCTTCGCAATCGCGCGCGCCATCTCCGTCTGGCATCACCCGTGCATTTCGATCGAGCTCCAGAGCATCATCGCCCGAGACTGGAAGATACAGTGCGATCTTGGGGGCGAGTGCTCGAACGCAATGGCCTAGACCTGCTTCGCTGGGCCAAGACCGTGCACTAGGGCCCATAGACAGGTCGCTTCCGGATACCACGGCCCCAGCATTCGGCAAACTGAAACCGCGCAACAGACTCGCAGCTCCTGCTATCCGCTCCACTCCGCACAGTCTGGTAGCATCGCCCACGTCTGTCGTCGGTGCTGCATCAAGTCAGAATAGTGCGCCTCTGCAGACAAGCGGTGCTGCCCTCATCTCGGGCCTGACGAAGAGTGCAGCCAAGGCGCCCACACCAAACCCCTTTTCGCAGAGCCCGGCTGGACCAGGCGTGTGGAATCAGCCAGAGACGGCGGATTACTTTGCGAGGCAGCGCAAGCACTCTTTGCTTGGTCAGGAAGTCCGGACGGGAAGCCTGAAGGCGTCCGGAGATGAAGATGCGAGCGCTATCAATTCGGCTTCCAAAGACCCAGTCAGTGGCGAAACCGCAGCGCGTCTTCCTCGTTCAACGTCTGCGCGCTCGAACCGAGTCAGCGTAAGCGGCAATTCGCTGATGTTGGCCCATCTTGGAAGCTCGACTGTCTCGGTTGGAGTCTCGCAAGGTGCAAGTCCGTCTGCGGCAATCACGACTATGGACTCTGCTCTTGGCCAGACAGCTAGCAAGTCTCCTATCAAGCGAGCCACTAGCGTCGCTTCTTCATCAGCTGGTGGGTCGGGCTACAGCAAGACCGATTCCCAGTTCAGCCTTGTCGGGGAAACGCACAGCTCCACAGTTGGCAGATCTGCTGGTCGCCCGTCCAAGCCCTCTTCTCCAAGCTTTGCACGTTTGGCGATGACGTGGGGTAGAAGCAGGGGTGCACCCCGGACACCAGGACTCAACGACGACGGCGCATCTGCGAGTGGAATGTCTTCACGATCGGTCCGAGATGCGACCAACATGGAAGCCACCATCACTGGGGCTCAAACTGTCAGCGACGGAGGTGGACAGCGCTCCGAGGCTTCCGAGGCACTTCGAAGATTTGCTGCCGCTCGCAGAGACACGTCTTAGCTTTCTGAAGGCTGTCTCGGAGCCCGCGGTTGTCGGTCAGGCCCTTGTTACCGTTTACCATTAACCTTGCATGTCATTGCGATGTATCAACATAGAGTCCTCCGCTCAGGCTCGCTGCAGCTGTTTGAGGGTGCCATCAGCACGCCACTGCTCCACGTAGAATTTGACATCTGCTACGAGGCCTTCCTCATCGAGATGCTTGGTAGGTTTCCAGCTCACTTCTCTTTCGGCACGACTGGCGATGCAGTCGACATTGGTACGAGTAGGCCAGATTGGTGTGCGCTTGTCTTGCTCTTCATCTGCTGCGGATCTAGCAGCGTCTTCGATGCGCACGCCCTTCTCGTTTGGATTGTGAGCTGGGCAGGGAAGGGATGTAGGTTGGGAGGAGGAGATGAGACCTTGAGCGTGAAGCGTCTTGCCAATGACGGAAGCGAGGTCCTTGAACAGGTGCAGCTTGGGCGTCGAGGCAAAGTAAAAAGACTCGAACAGCTGTTCGCCACCTGCCACTTTCTGCTTCGACGCCTTGCCAGAGGAGGTTGGGGAGAGCAGAGAAGCGGAGAGGAGCAGGATGAGAGAGGACACGTCGCTTACGTGGACCGAGGTCCAGCTGTTGGTACCTGCACCGACGTGCACCGCATGGCCATTGTACAGAGCCTTCTTTACCAGATCTGGAATTTGCGTCGATACGCGCAGATCCGGCCCTTGTCCTTGACCCCAGACCAGCGTAGGGCAAACGATGGCGCCAGGCAGCTCTCCGCGCGCAATGACGTGCCCAATCCTGTGGCAAGGGACGCTCCGAGTCAGCGCAAGTGAACGCGTCGACCTCAAAGTGACACATGGACACTGGTGAGCGTGACTCACTCTAGATCGATGTGCCGGTGCGCCGCTTCGTCCGAAATGTTAACAATGGCATCCCTATCAGAATCATCGTACTGCCTAGCTTTCGGCTCCGCATTGCCGCCGGCCAAGGTCTCTATAAGTTGAGTGCCGCTCAAATGAATCAGTGCGCCCCTCTTTCCGCTCTTCTGAGCACTGATCAGACCCTTGTTGATAGCTTTTGTCAGCTTCAAATCGTCCGACGTGGCAGCTTGAAGGACGAGGTCTGCATCCGAACTAATCTTTTCCGAAGCTTCGTACCACGCATTCCCATCCTTCCCTCCTCCTCGTTGCGCCACAATTACGCTCAAAGAACGTCCTTGCAATTTGGATCCCAATTTGGACGCCCAGCTGTCGATCTGTCGATGCTTGGACTCTGAAGAGGTGATGACAACAATTTCGGCTTCACCTAGCGAGAAATCGCCAGTCAGCAAAGTGTACAGCACTTGACCTCCGACGAAGCCCGTGCCGCCGAACAGAACGATTTTGGGAATGCTGCTGGACATCTTTGCAAAGGCAAACGTAAAAACAAAAGAGAAGGATGAGAGATGGTTTGGCGGGGGAAAAACGTGAGGGGAATAGGCTGAAGAATGCAAGGCTTAGGTGATTCTGCTCGTCTCAGGCTCCGAAGGGAAAGGCTTTATACGATTTTGCCCAGCCTAGGCTCGACTGATCACGTCAACGAGTGCACAGAAGGCGAGGGTCATTTCGCGGCGTTCAAAGGCGAGTCGCGCGAGACGTGCTCCATGTGGAGGCGAATGAGTGAGTAGTGCACGATGAGTGCATGGCATGCGCGGATCAAGCTTTTTCCACGGCACCCGTCGGGCTCTGCGCGATGCGGTCAGGATTGCGTGCGCAGCCAGCATACACCCGTGCGGATGATGACCTAGCTGGGACGATTCGGCGACTTGCCGGCAACCAGCAAGGCTGACAGGCAAGGTAGCTCATTCAAACGCATCTCGGTACAACACAGCCTGCCAGACTATATATTCACGATTATACATCACACTTTGCTGTTCTTCTACTGATCACGAATCTCTGCACGAGCATCGGGCAAGCACGCGAGATAGCTGGCACGGGTCTTGAATCATCACGCCGATTCAACACCACCGGTACGTTTCCCATGGGGTCTGATTACAGTCACGCCACCAGAGCCGTTTTGTATATGACCACAATGCAATGCTTCCAAGGAGTGCGAGTATGCGGCGTCTCCTGATGACACGACCGCACGTCAGAGATCCTTGTGAGCCTTGCCGCCCTCGGGGATGGACACAAAGAGGGGAAGCGTGACGGCATTCAGCCTTCGGAAGATCTGCAAGCAAGACCAGGAACGGGTGATTCTCGGTGCATGTCAGCATCGTCCACGTCTCAGCAAGCGTTTGTGGAACAAATGTAAAGCACTCACGTATGTCAGAGGGTTCGAGCCGATCTCATTGTGGCCCCATCTGTCCTGAAAGTGCACAATCTTTCCATCCTTGTCCAATTTCATCACCACGGTGCTCTGCGGTCCAATCACCGGGCTTGAAATTGAGCCATCGAGTAAATTTGGTTCTTGACGCTCTACATCTGCACACTCACATCCATTATTTTCTCAAAGCTGCCGATCTTGTACCTGTGGACGAGATCGAAGGCGTCGGCACAGCGTATCGTTCGCAGCAGCAGATGGTAACAGCGATCGGACTCTACACTCACCACTGCTTTTGCGCATATCTAATCTCGTCCGGCTTCACGCTCTCGATCTACGAGGAGAAAGAATGATCCGCTCAGCACTGCACCCATTCTCTCGCGAGAAAGCCCACGAAACCTGTTGCATCACCAGACACGAAGAAGAGTTGCCCCATGGCGGTGCGTGTGGGCCTCCTCTCCAGATCCCTCGCGACTCACGTGCCAAGCTCGCAGCTCGCTACCAGCAAAGGCCTTGGCCATGCCGTACCATTGCGCCTTGTACTGCCTCGCACCCACAGCGTAGCAGATAGGATCCTCAAAAATGGCATCTGGCGACCATTTCAAAAAGTGCGCGGGCGTAGGTTTGCAGCTGAACAGCTGTGTAGAGCACGTGCATTTGATTGGGGAGGGGCAATGTCAATGTCAGTGGAGTGGAGCGCATCCCGAAAGGGCGCGACAGCACGCAGCGTATCCAGGCTCACATCTTGCACCGACTTGATCAGCTCTTCAGACTTCCCATCCACCTGTTGTCCCTCGGCCATATTGACCTTGCTAGAAGTGGAGAAGTGTTTTTGAGGAGGCAAAGAGCCGAAGGTGCACGTCGTGATGATTGAGGCGACGGTTGGTTTTGCGCCAGCGACCAGGAAAGGGGTGGCGAGAGAGAGCAGAGAGAGGGAGAGAAGAGGGCGCGACTTGCAAGAGACGCGCATATAGACGCTGAAATCGTTTGCGATTGGCGGCAGCAATAGCTTCGGCGTGCTGATGAAGAAGTTGATGTGACGAGTACAGCAAGCAGAGTCGCCGAGTGGAGAGATGGAGAGCGTGACAGCAGAGAGGTGAGTTGCTCGATCCGTGCTGATAACATGCGCCCTCCAGCTTCATTTGCGGTTCAAATCAGGTGCGAGGCGTTTGCTTAGGTACTCACCTCTCTTGTGTGAGCACGTGCTAGCCGACGACGAACTTCCCCTTGCGCATGCAAATCTCTGCAATTGAATGCAACTTGAGTTCTTGATTCCCGATTCAATTCACGATACAATCCCCTGATTCACTCACTGACCGACTCTTGCTTCATCGATGCGTTTACGTGTGCGAGAGGTTGCTTCGGGGTAAGCTGCAAAGTATATACCGGTAACGGCACCGCGGAGCTGCAGCCAGCATCATAGGTCCACGAACCGCGTGATCAATAAATTTCAATCACGAATCACGAATGGGGCTGTGCGCGCGCGTCAACAAGTCGTGGGTACGTCATATATATTCGTGGGTTAGATCCTCGATCACCGCGCATACGAGGTGCGCGCGACGTGCCGCGGCCAAAACGTTCAATTCAATTCGATGCAATTCAATTCAATTCAATTCAACAACGCGGCGCGAGCAGAAATCGCGCGACTGCTCATCTCCTATGTATACATATAAACACAGGTGCTAGACTCGCTCAAGATTCTGCTTAGGCGAGAGAGGACCTTGATCATCACGATGCGGTCACATGAGTGAGTGACTCGATGCGGTATGATTCTTTCACATTCACGTGATTGGTCATCGGGGCTGCGTGGATGGCAAGCAAGTTCGTGCATCGGGTAATCTGGAAGACAACCATCTCAAGCCCAGAGCGAGCATGGAGAAGCCTTGCATCTGGAAGAAAGACAATTTGAAGCCGCGAGCACACGGGCTAAGAGAAGGAAGTCGTGGTCGGGTGCGGAAGATGGGATGGAATGTGTGAAGAATGTCAAGAAGCGTTGCGAAGGAGAGAACAGAGCGGCTGCTGCTTTTGAAGCCAAGGACAAGGACGATGTGTCTAGCCGCATTCACAATGCGGAAGAAGGAAGGCGCTCAAACCAAAAGGAATAGGGCATGGCAACAGATGGCCTTTTCTCTCTCCTCGTGACATGGTTGCAGGCTTGTGGAGAATCAGCAACTGGCGAAACGCTCCAACCTCAGCTGGCTATCGGTGCCGGCAAGTGCTGCAGGGCTTTTACAAGTCCGCTCGTTGCGCTCCATCCGACCATTTCACTCCACAGTAGCGTCAAACGAGCAGCCGCAGGCAGGCGGCCAGCAGCAGCAGCAGCAGCGGCCCAACGCGTCTTTCGAGTTCTCGTCTTTTTTTATTCTTCCTTCGCTTGCCCGAAGCTTGCTTATCTTGGCAACTCGATGGAGACGGCCACGATGTTTGAAATCATCAGCACCCCGTCGGTGTCAGCTGCTCTTGTGTGAGATCTCGCCGTAAACTCACCTCGGACTTTCTTTCACAGCACACCTCCGGGTCCGGCTGTTGCCCTCAATTGTGCAAGCTCGCGAAAGTGTGCATCACACAGTACGCCCCGTGTCCTCCCTGACGAGTTTCTACACCATCTGCGACACCTCTCCCAATCCTTCGCCGTGCCCCACGAGCTTCCCTTCTTTCTATCATTGCCTTTGATTGAGATGAAAGTGTGCATCGTCGGCTCTGGCTTTTCTGGCCTGAGCACCGCTTCGGTGCTCAAGTACTTTGGACATGACGTAACGATATATGAAGCGGCCACTTCAGCTGGCGGAGTCTGGAGCGACTCTCGAAGATATCCAGGCTTGACGACCCAGAACACCAAGGATACATACGCGCTTTCCAGCTTGCCGATGCCGAAGCATTACCCCGAATGGCCGACGGGCGAACAGGTGTGCGAATACCTTCATGCGTATGCGGATCAGCACGATCTCAAGAGCAGAATGAGACTAGGAACAAGAGTGGTGGAGACGAGAAGGTTAAAGAGAAGCACGGCGGAGCTGGTGGATCATCAAGTAGAAGGTGGACTGGCACCGGTCAAATGGCAAGTCGTCGATCAGCACGGACAAGCGGAAGATTTCGATCACATTGTCATTTGCACTGGTACCTTTGATCAACCGCACCTTCCCAACTTGAAGGGTAAGGAGGAATTCGAGGCAAACGGTGGACAAGTGCTGCACTCCAGCCAAGTCCATGATAGCAAGACATTGAAAGGCAAAAAGGTTGTGTAAGTGCGAGATGAGACGGCCTGCTGAACCAAGTGCTGCAGTTGCTCATGAGCATTGCGCTGCTTCACAGCGTACTGGGCTACGGCAAATCATCGCACGATCTTGCTTACGCGGCTTCGCTGGCTCCAGCAGCCTCAGTCACGCTGGTAGCCAAACGCCTACTGCACAAGCTCCCACGCAAGCTCGGAGGGGTTTTACCATACAAGTACTTGCTTCTCACGCGATTAGGCGAAGCCTTGTTCCCCTACATTCGTATCACGAATCCCTTCGAAAAGGCTTTGCATCACGGTCCGCTGAGGTGGTTGAGGGAGGCTATGCTAGGCAGCATTTCTTCCCTGGTCCGCTTTCAGCTCGGACTGGGCAGCTTGGGACTAGTGCCGCCCACTCCATTCGAAGAGATTGCGTGCGCCAAGATCAGTCTTGCCACTCCTCACTTCTTCAGCAGTGTCAAGCGAGGCGACATAGACGTCAAGGCGCCTTATCGTATCCAGAGGCTGGCAAAGGGGACGATCACTATCTACCCAATCAGCTCCGAGAGGAGCTCAAAAGCCGACGACAGCAATCCCACGCGTCCCGTCGCGGACGGCGTCGAGTCCAAAGCGTCCGCTGGAGCCAGCGAGACGACACTCGACGCCGATGTGATCATTTGCGGTACAGGTTGGGAACAGAATGCGCCCACTTTTCTGCCGCAAGACGTGCAAGAGAGTCTTTTGGACGACTCCGGAAATTGGGTCCTCTATCGTAGAGTCTTGCCATGTTCTCCGCTGGCGTCAGGCATCACTTTCAACGGTTTCAGCTCCTCTCTGTTCTGTCCAACATCCTCAGAAGCAGTGGCGCTTTGGATCGCAGCGTACTTATCTCAAGGAAGGAGAATGTTGCCTTCTTCCAACCTGTCTCGCGAAGCCCAACTGGACATCTTGCGCACCAAAGCCGAATTGGATCTCGAGTGGCTCGGGGAGAGATCGGGCGGTCATCATGCACGAGGCACAAACGTTGTCCCCTTCTCCCTCCACACCATCGACGAGCTATTGGCTGACGCGGGCGTCGGACTCAGCCTGTGGAACAGGTTGAAAGAATGGCTCTTACCCATTAACCCAAGCGCATACAAAGACCTTGCTCCAAGACTGAGACAACGCCTCGAAAGTCTCCAAGCGCCTGAACAGGGCAAAAAGACTATTTAAAGCACCTCTGTGTCGCTCTGCCAAAACAGGGTGCAATCGCTTATACCATGCATCCAGCGCGGCTCAGATATTTCCCTCTGCTTTGGGAACGTGCAGCAATATCGCAGCGCTGCGCAGCGCAACAAGCTATGCTAGCATCCACGATTCAGCTATACGTTGCGAGATTGTACAAATATGCATTTTTGGCACAAACGGAATAGAATGAAAGAGAGCCCTTCGCAATAGGCGTATGAATGGGGTCACCGAGGCATAGACCCGCTAGCCATCTCTTCCAAATTCCGAATCAAGCCATCAAATTCCTCCTGCATTTCTTCGTCTTCGATCATCGATCCGAACATGCGTGTATTGTGAAGGCGTTCCAAAAAGAGCTGCACAAGGCGCACAATCCGAATCAGCTTTGCATCATCTTTTCAATTACCGCACTGAGGGCTCACCTCTTTCCAATCCTCTCCATACTTGCCAGACGGCGGACCAACGGATGCTGTAGCGACCAGGGGCGGCGGCGGCGGCAAGAGTAGCACCGCAGCATCCGCAGCGGCCGTCTTCCCCCCTTTTGGCGCGGCGACCTCGCCGCCAGCATTCGTGTTCTTCTTGGAAGGTCTGCCACGTTTCTTTTTGGGGGGCATGGGATTCTCAGGAGGAGGAGGCGTTCCCAGACCGTCGTACATAGTGATTTCTTTTTCCGGTCCGCTAGAAGCTTTTGGTTTGTTTTTGCTGCCCTTCGGTCTGCCCTTTTTGCGAGATGCAGCTACCTCTGGTTCAGGTTCCGGAGGAGGTGCCGGAGCTGCTGCCGCCGCGCCCTTGCCAGACCGAGCCTTTTTCCTGCCATTTTGCTTTGCAGCTGCGGCAGGTGCGGGCTTTGGAGCAGACGGCACCGGAGCTGGAGCGGGCTCCACCTCCGCAGCTGCCTTTCGCTTCCTCTTAGGTACGCCTTTGGCAGGTGCTGCTGCGGTAAGAGGTGCGGGAGGCTGGACAGGTGTGGCCACTACCTCGGGCATACGGACGGGCGCAGGCTTTCGTGGCTTAGGCGCTCTCTTCGACTTGATCGGTGCGACGTCGGCAACGGGGCTAGGGGCACCGATAGATTCTGCAGCGTAGGTTGGAGAAGCGACGTGAGGATGGGATCCCAACATTGGCCCTCCTAACGACATCATATGACTGGCTGAATCGCCGCTATTTGTCTGCCTGTGGACGTCGTGCGGAGATATGAACGGTTGCTGCTGCTGTTGGTGCTGCGAAGCGTCATTCCGAGATTGACTGCGTGATGAAGGGTTGGCGTTGGCGTTGGCGTTGGATACGTTCTGCGACCATTGAGCTTGGCCTGCGGAATTAGTGTACAGACCTGCAGATAGGCTCGATTGCCCGTACATCTGGTGCGGCTGCTGCTGTTGCTGATAACCGTGTTGCTGCTGCTGCGCGCTTGAGGAGGTACGACCGGACTGGGTGAGAGGCGAGAGGATCTCACTGTCAGCTCCAGCATCGTAGAGCGCAGCTCGTGCAGAGCATTCGCCAGCGGAAATGAGCCATTAATCAGCGCCACATCCCGCTACCACGACGCCAAGCGCTGAGTAAGCTGGAATTGGCGTTCGATGATTTGCGCGATCCGGTCGAGACCGCCCCAGCGATGCAATGCTCGCTTGGCAGAGCCGACGACTCCTTACTCTTTCCCTCACATCGCACCGCATCGCGCGCATCGCGTTCTTTCTTTCTCTCTCTCCCACACATACATAGATATACCCTTCCCCCCTCTCTCTTAGAGCAACCACCTACTTCCTCTTGCACTCACACTTGCCACGCTATTCGAAAACGCGGCGGATCCCGGAAGTTGCAGGTTGCGAATCAAGTGATTGACTTCCGCAGAGCTAGGAGCATGGTGATCCGATGCTTGGTGCATCGCATTCTTAGATCTTCCATCTTGCCAAGCCGCGTTGGAGTAAGCTTGCGATGCATTCGCGTGATGAGAGGAAGGCTGCTGTTGATACTGATGAGACCATGAATTGTTCGCGCTGTTGGTGTTGCTTTGTTGAGCATGGTGGGTACCGTGATGGCTTTGATTGGCGGATGAGCCGGAAGGGTAGGATGAGCTGTTGTGAGCGCGCGACCAATCCCCTCCTGCTGCTGCTGCTGCTCCTCCTCCTCCTGCTCCCCCGCCGTACGAGTTGGAATTGTAGTAGCTCATCTCGCGCAACAATGCGGTACGGTGCAACGCCGCTTACGAGCATCTGTCCCGATGGGTGATGTAGGGATCACAACGTTTGGTGGCACCTGTGTGAGCGCAAACGCTTCCTCGAGAGTGTATCACAGCTGGCAAATCACTCGGCGATCGCAGAAACGGTGTGTAGAGGCATGTATGCTCTGCCCTCGCAGCGACGTCCGGTATCGTAGGCGCCTGGCTCGAACAAGTCCCTTTGCTGCAAATTCTTGACAAGCGTATAGAATCGCCGCACTAATGGCAAGACAGGCGCAACTCGACTGCTTGGCCGATGCCCTCGCGCGTGAAGGACCTGCAGTCTCGAGTGATCGCCAAAGCTGCTCCACGTTCGGATCTCGAGTTGCGATGGTCGAGATTTTGTCTGCTGATGATGATGATCATGGACTTGGGATGGCTAACAGCGCGCAGCGAAGACGCGTACGTTGATGTGAACTTGGCGCGCGTCGTGCGCCGGCGTGCTCACGCTTTCCTCGATCGTCTCCACACATGCACAGTATACTCATACGCGCCGGCCCGACTCGCATGAGCGATGCCACATTCGTGTCTCAGGATAGAACGTTGCACTGCTTCAAGTGAATCGTACCCGTCGTGTCTAGAACTGAGCATCAGACAGTGAAGAAGCGAGCCATGAAAAGATTGCCAGAGTGGGATGCTTCGTGGCGAACAAAGAACAAAGTAAAAGTCCTTTGTGCAGGCCGGGGTCACCTAGATACAAGCGATGCGGAGGTGGTGACACAGGTGGCGGAGCTTCCAAAATTGCCGTCGTCGGTCGTGGCAGCGTTCATGAAGTCCCGCGCAGCTGCGCAGTGTAGGTACACGTCGGTCGGGCTGCTTCGTGCCCCGCCCTCACACAACACGGCCACAGCTGTCCCATCTCAATCGACATCCATCGTATTCTCCTTCTTCTTGCGTCGAGACTTTGCTTTTGTGCTCGCAGCTTGACCTGGCGCAGGCGGAGCGCCACTTGTTGAGCGAGTGAGGGAGAATGTCAGATTGGCAAACGCGCGTCTGCTGCCAGGCAAGCAATGAGCCTTGCATACACTCACCTTGTGATGGTGGCAACAGTGGCTTTGCCTTTGCCCTTTTTCTGCGAAGCAGTATCCTCTGCTTGCAAGCGTTGCGCGAGAGACAATGGAGCAATCCTACTACCAAGACCTGTCGATGCGGCTCCTCCTTTACCCTTGCGGGGTCCCAGGCCTTGAGTCGCTTGGATGATCGCAGTCTTGCCTTTGCCCGCCACGCCAGTCCTTGCTCCAGTTTTGGCAATCAACGCTGCCCTCTTGTCCAATGCTTGCTTTTTCTGCAACGCTCTCAGCTCGCCAGCATTCATCAATCTTTGAGACAAGGACCCGGTTGCCTGAACCTTTGCCCCCCTTCCTCCTTGATCCTGCACTTGCACCTTGCCGGGATTGCGAGGTCCCGTGGGCGGGCGCGCTGCGCTTGCATTGTTTCCACTCTGGTTGCGCGAGGTACCGCTTCTGGCACTACCCTCTATCGATCGGCTTCTGTCTTGCTGCTGATGTTGAGGCATTCGTGGCGCAGGCTCGGCAGCTCTTCCCACACCTGCATTGGCAAGCATGCGACTTGCCGAGCTTATTGGAGGTCCGCAAAGTCCAACTGTCAAAATTCTACCATCCGCTAACGCTTTGTCCAAAGTCTTGACCGCTTCTCTGGCCTCTGCATTGTCGTTGAAAGCGACGTAGTACGCGACGCTCGGGTGGTTCGGTCCCGGTGGTTCCCTTTTTTGAACAGTCAGCACCTTGCCATACTGACGAAAGGTCGAATCGACATCGGCTGCTGAAGTGCCCAAAAGCAGATTAGAGACGAGAACCCATGTTGGGCCAGAGTAGCCTCTGATCGAAAGCTGTGTAGGCGGAAAGGTTCCTTTGCTAGCTGTGAACGATGGAGCATGCAAAGCGGCACCACAAAGCTCATCAGTGATTGTCGATTGCCTAAGATGCGACGGTAGTTTGAGTTTATCACGCACCCTCATCCCCTTGGTACCGGTCGTGTTCCCAGTTCGCATCACTCTCTCTGGCACCACCGCGATTCTGATTTTGCGAGCTACTTCTCCTTTCCGCGTCAGGGCGCTGCAAGTAGGATGAGGGCATAGGACACAAGTGATGAGTGTGAAGCTCGCACGACAAGTGCGCGTGCATTCGGCTGGGACTACAAGCGTGCCACTCACTGCGTAAGGTGCGCTCCTGGCTCCAGCAGAGATGCGCCTGTTGCTCTGTGGTCCGCTCGTTCGGCGCGACATGATGACGCACGCACCTTGTTCGCCCCAGAGCGTATGACCAGGTGCAGTGAGGACCGGTGAATCAAGCCGCGGCGCTATGCCGATACCGAGCGGAGATGATAAGGAGCGAAGCTAAGCTGAGGCTCAAGCCTTGCTTCCGTCAAACAGTCGATGAAGGAATCGTGACTGACTGGGCGGTGATGGAGGTGTCCGTCACCACGAGAGCTCGTCGATACGTGGCCGTGCACGAGACGCGGCTCTTCTCAGCACCCTCTTCGTCTCTCACGCACCCCGAGGAAACTTCACGTGCGGGCGCGCATCGGAACGCCTGTGCCCACGCGCAAGCGCGCAACGCGGAGCAAGCTGCTGCTGTGCACGCATTCAAGACTCAAAACTGATGAGCTTGCCTGCATCCTCGCTCGACGTCGCGTCGCAAAAGGGAGCTCATCACTTGCACATCGTAAGAGTCATCCACCGAGAAGGCAAATCCAGCGATCATGGCTGTGTACGCACACCAACCGCTATCATTGATGCTGCCTTCGAACACAGACCAGGATTCCCGCAGGGCTATCGTCTACCGAATGCAACACTGGTGAAAATTTTGAACGGCAGCTCAGCTGCACCCAAGCGTAGATCGCGCACAAAGGCTGATCAAGTGGTCAAACGCACGTACGAGCGCATTGAAAATTCTCTCGAGCATTCACTGTTCGCAGGAGAAGCGATGTGCACGCAGAAGCATCCAAAGAATTAGGGGCGAGAGACATGATGGGTCTGAAACAGAGAGGCATAATGATCACCTCGGCGCATGTCCATTCCACTGCTGTCCATATCCAGCACCATGATGTCCTGGATGCGGCGTTTGACCAACACTCACGTGATGTCCCTTCGGAAACAGACCTCCAGCCTGATGAGGACTGTATCCCTGCGAATCCCGTTGCAACGTCGAGTGTCCATTTTGATGCGGAGCGTGAGGCCAATACCCTTGCTGAGCGGCAGCAGCACCCGGTTGCTGATTCGCCTGGAAGTACGCGCCCGACGAGCTTTGCTGCGCTCCTGCCTGATACACATTTTGTTGCGTCTGTTGCGGCACGCCCTGCCATGATGCATGTTGTTGAGAAGCGTGCAGTTGTGCCTGGCCGTACGTGGTCTGGTTCGCTGGATGAGGAGTGCCGTAGTATTGCTGCTGCTGCTGCTGCTGCTGCCAGGCGCCATACCCTTGCGCGCTCCAATGAGGATTCGAGTTCGGCGCTGGACCGGCAGGCCCCGATTGCCCTGGGATGCTCCATTGACCGTAGAACAGAGGATTTACGGCAGCCCCAGGTGGCGGGCCAGGGTTAGCGTGGTGGCGCGGCTGCGGCTGCTGCCGCTGCTGTTGGAGCAGCGCCTCGTGGTGAGCTAGGCCTTGCAAGGCGCCCCCTTGTGGTGCACTTATGCCAGCGCTTGGTCCTGATACGCCGGTAAAGGCTGGCTGGCCAAATTTGCTGGGTCCTGTAGCCTGCGGCGCGGCATCGTCGTAAGGTAATGGCATAGCCCGCGGATCCGGCCCGTTTGAGCCACCTCCAAATCTCAAGGGAGGCAAAGTGCTCGGGACTGCATCGAAATCGGGTCTTGAGGGCAGCGCGGCTGGTCCAATGGATTGGTGGACCAGGGATCCATTCCCTCTAGCATTATCTCCTCTGCCCTTCCGTTTCTTGTTTTTCTTTCCCGCCGACATATTGGAGCCGTTCAAAGCATTGATGCCCGCAAGCCGTTGTGCCTTTTCTTGTTTCTTGTTCTTCCTGAACTCAGCTTCCGCCTCATCATCCGAGAATTCTCTCTCTTCATCTCCGACTTCTTCGTCAAAAAAGTTGCTAGCATCCGAGCCTTTTTCGCGTCGAAGCAGTTGGGTGAGCGCATATGTACTGTGCTGAGGAACGTAGCTGACCTGTGTGCCCGGGACGGTACCGGTCGGCAGTGCTGAAGCTGTAGAGAATCTGACGGCGTAGAGCGGCGCCAGGATGGAGCCAAAAGTCTCGTACACCTGCCGTGCGAGGGACATCAGCTCTATGTGACGTGCAGGGCGTGCCTCTGAGCGACCAAATCCCATCACTCACCCTTCCAAGCACCCGTCGGTCTTCGAATGCGATGGTGCTTCCCGAGTCGAGCACGCTGTACTCTCCGTCCGCCTCGCCCTCTGTCCCAGCCATGTCGCGCGGACGATAAGGTTCTGGTCTCATCCACTTGGGCACAGCATGATGCTCTTGCTGAGCTGGCGTCCCTCTAGCCGCATTCTGTTTCGCAACATCATGCGCCACGATGACCACACCGTCGACGATGCTGTGGATCGACCCTAGTGGTCGCATTTCCAGATCATCAGGCACACTCTCAAAAGCTGCCTGTTCCGACTCGTATGGCTCCGACTCGTGAGCGGTCGTGGGTCCCGTAAGCGAACCAGCTTCCTTGCGCGGTCCGTCATCAGAGTCGTCAGAGTCGTACTGAGCGACCGCTTGTTTCCTCACCTGCCTGAGCGCCCCAGTCGTGGTGGAGGATGAAGATGAGGATGACGATGAAGCCGAGGATGACGAAGAAGAGGAGGAAGAGGAGGAGGAAGAACTCGAGCTTGATGCATCACTGTCGCCTTCGCTTTCATTCAGAGCAATATTAGCGCTCGGCTCTCCACGCCTTCTGCGCTTGCGCTTCCTACTCGGGGGCAAAGCTGCTGGTAAACCGACAGGCTCGCCCATTGCCGTCAGAGCTCTATTCAGCATCGCCGTCGCTGCTGCATCTTCGTCATCGTCGACTGGGTCACCCAGCCTACTTGACTGTTCATTCGAGCGGGGATCAGTCTGCGCCTCTGATGAGACCGCTTTCCCTGCGGCCGTGTCCACCGGCTCTGATTGGTCCTTCTCCCCATCAGAAGTATCCATTGTTTGTGGTACCTCGTAATCCAGTCCCGGAGGCAGCTGCGCTCGTGTGCCGCGTGCTGCGAGCACAGCGGCTCTCAAACGTTCCAGCTCGTCGTCGTTTGCGCCATCCGCGCTGGCGGACGCTTGTCGCGCCGCCTGAGTAGAGCCAGCAGCGCCGCTATCAATTATTTGCCGGACGTCATCGGGAAGCAGATCTGAGCTTTGGGTGGGATCGATGGAGGCAGCTTGGAACTGCGATGATGAAGATTGGGGGGGAAATTGTGGGCTTGTAGCTACGGGTATCGCTTGAGCAGCAAGATGACCTTCTTCGTCTGCCCGCGTCGAGGCGGCACTGGTGGTGGCTCCACCTCCAAGGGCGGCAGCTGCATTGCTGCCTTCCACCCCTGGAAGCACCTTTGGTGCGTCCGCAGGGCTGCCGCTTGCCTCGTGTATCACAGCGGCCTTTCCATCCATCTTGGTGCCGTATTTCGAGCAATGAGTGCGATTCGCAACGGCGGAGGATGCAAATGATCGCCTGGAAGGTTGGACTCGCAAGACTGCTCATGCAATCACGAATCGCGAAACACCCGCGGTGGAACCGAACCGCGCATCAAATTTCCAAAAAAATTGTCAAAATCGTTCGCGCCGAGAATCGTTGCGCGTCCCACTCAAAGCATCGACGGCTCACAGCAGTTGCAAAAGCTCTTGACTTGGCACAAAGGCTAGCATACCGCGCTTTCCTCAAAAAACGCAAAATTTGGTTCACTCGGCGAGTCAGCAAAACGGTCAAAAGTCGAGCAAGAATCGCGCGAATTGTTGAATAAACAACCAAATCTGCCGCTCCTTCAAAGACTCGCAGTTGCGAATGTCTAGCACGATCCAGCGGCACTGCAGCCACTTGACAAGCCCCACTCCGGTTCTTCGCCCTCCAATCCAGTCACGAGTGCGAAGAGTGTCGCATGCGCAAGTGGGTAGCATGCATCGCTTTCATATCGGTTGTCCACGGTGTGGTCAAATCATTAGGTGAGAGCAGCAACAAATGGAGGATAAAAGGTATGGGCGTGGCCGGGATGAGGCCGGCGGAGCTGAAACAAGGGGCGAAGTGACAAGCACTCGATCGCTAGAAAGAGTGCGTGCGAGTGCAATGTGGGAATTGTCGTGCGTGCGGGTGTGCTGGTGCCGCTGTCGTGTGTGACCAGCATGGCGAAGGATGGTCAAAGGCCCAATGAGCGCGAATGCGCCGCCTTTGCCAAAGCAAGAAGGGTCGACATGGCCTGCCAGGACTCAGATGAGACTGAGCTCCAACGTCCACACTCGTCGCGCCCAGACTCTGATCTTGGTGCCCTTGCCGGACTTGAGCAGCTCAGCTTCTTGCGCCGTCATACCACCTCCTGTGCTCTGCTCCGCCTTCAACAACGTATCGTCGACTGTCGACGTGGGCCCGCTTTCAGTCGTCGATGCTTGCGCCGAATCGACTAGGGGCACAACAACGTCCACACCGTCCCACCAGCATTTGCGCTGTAAGGGTCAAGCGAAGCAAAGAGGATGGCACTAACGTCAGCATCACTCTTCGTGACATCTTTGTGACAGCTGCGACTCACGGCAGGTTTTCGCCAGAAGAGCAGCAACTTTTGCGCCGTTGCGAGCTGGTTCTGGTCGATCTGTATCTCTCCTCCGGCGCCATTAGAAGCCGCCGCGTCCTCCGTGGTAGTGATACCCGTCTTGAGCAGTACGAGTGCGATTGAGGTAATGCAACACCTAGAAGGCTCCACCGCTCTGAATCCCCACGCATCATCACGATTGAAGCCGCTGACGAAGCATGCAAAGGTGTCAAACACAAAAATTGGTGCATTCATCGCTTGCAAACACTCACCTCATGCAGAGCATGTCTATCAGATGCTGTTCGGCCATGTTGTTTTCCTTGCTGACGTTACGTTGTAGCGCAGTAAAGATGCTTTGTCTTCCAATGAGCGCCTCTCCACAGTCCGTCTTGAGTTTGTTCAGTTCGGTCTGAGACAAGGGCTGAGGCTTTGCAGGTCCCTTTTCTTGAGCAGCACCGACTGGTGGCTTGGGCGGGATGGCGAAATATTCCAGCTCCTCTCTCAAAACAATGATAGCTTGCTTGGTCAGTAGTGGGTTTCCTCCTCCTGCGCCCAATTGACCCGCCCCTCCTGGTCCGTATGCGTCCAGTTCGGCACCTGCTTGCAACGCTGAGGGATGCTGCGCTCCCAGAATAGATCGCTTGGAAGGCGCACTCGGCGTGCCGTAGAAGATGTCCTGTGCTGACTTGAAGAATTGCAAGACGTACGACAAGCAGGTCGGATCGAACTTTAGTTGGACGCGAAGGAAAGGGTCAGCGAATGCAGCCTCTTCAGGACAGATGAAGACGCACTGCGACCGCAGCTGCTAGCGATGGCGATGCGATACAGCTTCGAGATTGTCGGTCAACACATGTGCCTGACAAGCAATGAAGCAAGCACGTGGGCAGCTAATGTCGGGCCTGGTGCGGCTCGAGCTCACGAGCGAGAGCACATCCACTGGCAATCCCTCGCACGGGCTGTCTTTCGCCGTGGCCTCGCGCGTGAGCGCGAAGCGACCCCAGAACTCCATCGGACTCATTCTCACGTACGAGCTAGCCGGACTCACATCGACCAAGTAAACCTCCTCTTCGTCATCATCAGCCTCGCTGTCGTCTTCATAGTGGTTTCCTGCTCCTTGCCTGCTGAGTACAAGTCCATTGGGGAACAAGCATAGCAGAACGCTTTCTGGCAAGTTCATCAACGTCTCTCTCTCAATGCTGAACCGCGTGCCTCGAAGGTCTAGCGTTAGCTTGGTCTGCAGAGAAGAAGTTGAGATGTCCCCATCGCCTGAACCCGAAGCTGTCGCTAGCTCGTCCATTTTGGACTGCTTCGACAATAGCCGAGAGTGCTGAGGTTGATTGAGCTCGCACTCGCTTCTCGAAGAGCCGGCTTGCGAGAGATGCTAGCCGCAATCGAAGGCGGCTTGAGCTGATGTCGCCTGGTTCGAGGAGCAATGCGTCGCGTAAGGTAGAAATTGACGGTATAATGACTCGGCTTCAAGGCTTGTGATGCGGCCGAAGAAGTGGGCGCGAGTTGAGCTGTTGAGATACGTGGGTGCGTATGTTTGGAGGTGAAAAGGAGTGGTCGCTGGAGCGCGTGTATACGGCGGCGTAGGGAGCTTCAACGACCTCGACTTCCACCTTCAACTCCAAGTATTCCGTTGCGGGCTTATACCTGTGACTGCTCGAGATGGTGTGCAGCAGCCTATACCGCTACCTACAGTACACGCAGGCGTGGGTCGAGTGTCCGCGATGACCGTGGAGGTGTGACTGGCACTGGACAAGACAACGCGCCTGTAATTGTCCGGAGATCCTGCATAGTGCAGTCACGATCGAGTGCCTGAGCACAGCAGCTCCGCGCTAACACGATGGGGCACATGAGCGCAGCGCGCTCGCAATTGAATTCAACGATTTCAACAAAGTCTATATACAAATTCTTTCTTGGATGCACTTTGACTTGTGACTCCCCACGTGGGAGAAGCACAGAATCATGCCAACAGCCCTTTTCGCGTCCCACTGCGCAGAAATGAAGATTCATGGCGATATCTATATATGAAGGCCGAGGGTACAGTCTTGAGTCAAAGTATGGCATCGGACCGGAAATGCTAATTTGCCCGCATGTTCACATTCTCCCACATGCGTCTGGTAGCGGCGGCAGCGAAATACCGTGTACCGCGCCGGAGAGAAGCTTCGACGCTGCTGCTGATGATGTGTGCACGGCCGTATAGCGGACACTGCATGCGAGTGACAGTCTGAGTCACAAATTGATGACGACCAAACGAGTCTTGTCACGATCAATGCTGTCACTCCGCAACATCACTCATCCTGACTCAGCGTTCGTAACATCTCACTTGCGCCAGAAAAGGTCCGGAATGTCGAACAGTGTCTCTGCGGATGGAGGCGCTGGAGCCAAGGCTCGTCCAGGCCATGCTCGAGGAAGCTCACTCTCGGATGGTATCAACACCATCACTTCTCCATCTGGGCCCAGAGGCCCGGAAGATCCAGCAGTGGCGGGTATTGCCGATGCTTTGGGTGCCAGTGGCAATCCCTCACAAGATGTAGCAGTGACGCCTGCCGCGAAGGGAAAGGCAAAGAGCAAGTCGAAGAAGAAGGGAAAGATGGTCATCGACGATGGAGTGGACCGGAGCAGTAAGGGTGAGTCCGCAGCGGTCAGATGAGGACATGCATGCGGATTGACAAGTATGGCTTCAATTGGACGCTCGCAGGTTTGCTCAGAGATCTGATCACGTTCAGGTGGATGACAGTGCCAGGTGAGTCTTGGCTTTCTAGATCTGAGCTCGAAGCAGCGCTCTCATACCTTGTGTCTCCATCCCGTATCTTTGCACAGCATCATCCTTCAAGATTGCATTCACACTGGCCGCCGTCTACCTCACCCTGGAGTTTGTGCCCGGGTTTTCCGGCACCAACAACCCCTTGGCCCCACTCGTCCGCATCTCTCACCGGGTTCCTCTCACATCGGTCCTAGCAGCCGAGCCATCGCTGATCGGCGAGGCTTTGACCGCTCCAATTCACTCGGGCGTCTCGCCTACTGAAACACCTTCGGCAATCCGATACCAAAAAGGTTACCAGGACCTGGCGTTTGTCGCTTACTACATCGTTGTGTTCAGCTTCATCAGGCAAGCTTCTACTCAGTACCTCTTTCGACCCTTTGCGCTATGGTGGGGCATCAGGAACGAGAGGAAATTGGAGCGCTTCGTGGAACAGGGATATGCTATGCTTTACTGGGGAACTGCCGGCGCATTGGGACTTGTGAGTCACACATGAGAAGAGGTGCTGATGCTCGAGCGAGAAGCAGGCCGGGCCTGCGCTCTGTTGTACCCCTTCGAGCCGTGCTGAACGGCCTCCATTGGCGCTTGCAGTACGTCATGTCCTTCCAAGAGTCTTGGTGGTATAGTAAGTAGTCATATTCAGCCCTCGTCCCTCGCTTTCAGCTGATCTTGAGCTGCATCCAATCTCGAAAGACCTCGAGCACCTTTGGCTGAGTAAGTGGTCACGCAGTTGGAGTCGTAGCTTGACCTAGGATAGACCTCATGTCTGATTGACATGCTGCATTTGCACCGCAAAGAGTATCCTCATTGGCAAATGAGGCCTGAGCTTAAAGCGTACTACCTATTGCAATTGAGCTACTGGTTGCAGCAAGCTCTCGTCATGATTCTTCGCCTCGAAGCCCCACGCAAAGACTACTACGAGCTCATCGTGCACGTAAGTGGATGTGCCTGTCGGCACAGCGAGGCCGTCGCTGACTCTCGAACGCATGTTACGCTCTTGCAGCACCTGGTCACGCTTTGGTTGATCTTTTGGAGCTACTTGATAAACCTTACTATGATCGGGACCGTGAGTGCAGCCTTCGGGCCGTGGAGGAGCAGTGCGATCAGCGCAAGACATGTTGACGCTCTGCAAGACTTTACATCTTTTCAACCTAGACTGTCTTCGTTGTGAGTTTTCTTAAGACAGTAGCGGCAGAGCCCCTGATCGCGGACTGCATCTCTCACCACGCACCATTTCGCTGTCACAGGCCATGGACGTCCCAGACACCTTCCTGGCATTGTCCAAAGCGCTCAGTTACATGGGCATTGAAGCAATCACTATGCCCGTATTTGCCATCTTCATGGGTGAGCCCTTGCTCTTGCATTGTGGAGCGACCGTTCGTCCTGCGCAATGTGGCTACTGACGATATCGCGCTGCTTATGCGCCAACACCTACGCACAGTGGTCTGGACGTGAGTATGACACACAGAGAAGTGGCCTATTTTATGCCCATCCCCGCATCCTCACTCCGCATCCTCACTCGACGACTGTGACGCTTCCTACTCCTCCAGCTATTTCCGTATCTATGAGTCGGCGCGTACGCTCTGGAGCGTTTGGTTCCAATTCGACCTCATACCAGAACACACAAAGGAGTGGAACCCGCCTCAAGGATGGTGGATGGTTTGTGAGTTCTTCAGGCTGGGGCTCTGCGACAACACCGCTCCACAGCCTCTCCGAGACCTTGGCTAACAGCGTCAGACTTCGCCTCGTCAACTATCAGGGTGGATGAAGTACCAGGTGAGCAGGGTTTAAGGAGTACTTCGTGGTCACGTCTTCGCTGATGATGGTCATTCTGTGCTTGCTGCTTTGCGCTCTGATAGGTCTTTGCACCCCTCTTCATTCTCCTTTGTCTAAACCTCTTCTGGTATTTCCTGATGTGGAGGATCATGATCCGGTACGTCTCTTTCTCGATCCGCTCGTGTCAGAGACTGACTTGCTTGTACTCACACGGCCATCTGTCCCTGCAGCGCGCTTGCTGGCGGACCTGCGGAGGATGAGCGAGAGGAGGGAGAGTACGAAGAGGAGGAAGCAGAGAAGGAGAAGGCAAAATCCAAGTAGGGAGACTAGAGTGACCGCTCAGCGTCTTGATTCGGACGAGAATCATGGGTCTGGAATCAGAAACAGCGCATTGTCGAATGCGTCTCGTATTCCGCCAGTCGGCTTCTGCTCTACAGCTGGGCTGTGAACGCGCACACTCTTGCAGCATCTGCTCGTTGTACGTCTGGTCCTATTCCCACTACGAATTGAATTTGGACTTGCACGCACATTACATTTCTTGCCAGAGTTGCCTCCATTGCGGAGTTGAGGGGCGCACACGCCAAGAAGGATAAGAATTTCCGAGCGATGTACGCGATCCAGTACAGTCACGAGTACGATTCAGATGCGGGCTCCCTCCACCTTGCTGTAGGCGCAGCCTCTGTTCACTGTTCCTTTCTGTGTGAGCTGACAGGGATTTGCTTCGCTTGTACAATCACGTCGGCTTGCTCACCTAGCCGCGATGTTGTTGAGCAGTGGTCAGGGCTAAAAGTCCGGAAGTCCGATGTTCGACAACCAGGGAAATTCATTCAGATTCAGATTATGCCAGATGGGACAGGGCGCGCGTGTGGAGTTGTGACTGTGCGCCAAATGCTCCGCACGCGCACGTTCCTAGCGCGTACCTTCCAGCCGGCATCTCTTGGGTTGCCGAGGTTCCGGGCAATTAGCCACCTCTATACAGTTGCGCTGCTACTCTATTTGCGTTGCGTGTAGAGTACTCACAGGACATGCAGTTTCCTGAGTGCTGATCCGTAGGAGCATCTGGCCAACACCATCATCCATTGTGATTCGCCTTTGCCAAGAGTGCCTGCTACTTTATGATAGGCATTTCGCTCCACTCACACGAACACACTCCGCAAGATGCCAGGCTATTACCAGTCCCTCGAGGACCGATTCGAGTCTCGTTTTTACGTGACGCCGCGCGACACGCCACCTTCTCGACCTAATGCAGAGCCCACCTCGCGAAGGTATCGATACTTCTACGGCTTTCCACCCCAAGCAGCACCAGGCCGACCACATTTGCTCTTCTGTCACGGTTTCCCTGATGCTCAATCCTTCCTTCGCATCCTCACACCCTTTGTCCTTGCGGGATTTCATTGCGTGGCACCGGACATGCTCGGATATGGATTGACTAGCAGACCGTCCATAGAGAGGATTGCAGAGTATGGAGCGGGCGCGCAGGTCAAGGATCTAGTGGGACTTATGGAATCACTCATTGGCACCAAGGACAAGTTTGTCGTCATTGGTCACGACTGGGGCGCATACATTTCCTGGTTTTTTGGAGTACATGCGCCAAGCAAGATCGCAGGCATTGCGGGGTGAGTTTGAGGCAAGCATTCGCTTTGGGGTCGTCCTTGAATGCGGCGGTCCATATTTGCTGGGCTGACCGCTGCTATGATCCACACAGCCTGTCGGTGCCATTCACGCCCACATTGCTGACCAGCGAGCTGCCAGACTTCGATGAGTTGTTGAAACGTGTGCCATCCTTCGGCTACCAAGCCTTCTTTGCGGATCCCAAGAGCACCAAAATTGTCGAGAACAAGGTGAAGAACTGTCTGACGCTGTTGCAAGATCAAACAGGAGAGGGCGATAGACTGATACCAGTCATATCTCTCCTTCGCACAGATCGAGACCTTTACGGCGATTGCATTTATCCAGCCTAGAAAGCTTGCAGGCACTCGATGGGGCAAATCGCTCAACCTCATGCCGAAAGGCCGCTTTGAGCAATTTCTCACCACGCCTCAAGATCCGGCGCTGGAACGGACTGTCAAGGAGTCCAGCTTGATCCCGCCTGGATCGGAAGAATGGGAGCGCGCTCTGCGGTACTTTGACCCTCGACGAGGCGGCACGATTGGTGAGTGAAGAGATGGCTTTGGGGTGTTGGTTCGAGTAGAAGGGCGAGCGAACATTGACTTGAAGGGGTGAGGTAGAGCTGACAGACTGTGCCATGCCTCGATAGATGGAGGACTCAATTACTATAGATGTCGCCAAGTCAATTGGGAAGAGGGCAAAGGTGAGCACAACGTATGCTCACGGCCCTGCAGTCGCTATAAGTCTTTCTGACACCCGCGCACCCTTCGCAGCTCTGAGATCTCAAAAGCTGCCCAAAGGCCCAGCATATCTGCTCATCATGTCCACGCACGACGCAGCTCTGCCCGCCTCGCTTGGGTCTAAAATGTCCAAGCATCTGGAGGATCCTTCCGCCTTGACGACGCACATTGTCAAAGGTGCTGGACATTGGATCCATCTGGAACAGCCTGCGCTGACTGTGCAGCTCATTCGCAAATGGTTGGAGACTCAAGTGGGATGGGGTCGAGCAGGTCATCTGTAACACGAAAAAACTCTCTACTTGGTTGCGATTGAGACAGCATGTCCGAGACTTGCCTGCTTCCTGCACTATATATGGTGTTCAGCCTCCCCGCGCTGCAAGTGACGAGATCCCAGCCTGACCTATCATATCCGCTGTCACCGGGAATTGTGAGTGTCTCGCGACCCATATGCAGTTACAAACACGAGCAATGTCAGTGATGTACGAGCGGATCGGAATTGAGCTCCAGGAGGGGCGCGACACATTTGACTCAGACTGACGAAGCTGAGCCACAAAATCAAGAATTGACCGGAGATGAATCATGTGGACTTGAACGAACAAATCACACACTGGAGTCCATCCGTTCACTTCGTGCAGTAGTTGTCTTTCTTGAGTCAAAGCACATACCGCCATCGTATATATATGCTCCGACCGGAAAAGTCGATCGCGCGGTCGTGAGTGTGAGTGCGAAAGCCACACGCGACAAGATTGACCCTCGGCACACCCGCGGGTACAGTACTTGAGCGAGAACTAAGACTGTGTCGCTTATCGCTGCCTGACTCACCACCAGCAATCGTCAATACCCGTCACTAGTTCACTCGTGGCGGTTTGACTAGTCGCTCGTCGGCTTCATCGTCCACTCCATACCGACACTGCATCCTGGACCAAACAAGCTCAAGCCAGCGTCGCTACTCACGACTGCGTATCGGATGGCTGCCGCTGTATGATGGAGGGACCTCGAAGAGGTATGCTCAGACTGTATATGGAAGAAGTGTCAAGTTTAGCCGCGGCAGATGACACGTTAGTCAAAAAGTCTTGATATTAATTGACCCCATATATCCCTATCCACGCGTCAGCACCGCCAAATGGCCGCGGTTTTACTCGAAGCTGAACATCACGAATTGCATGGTCAAGCGCTCATCAACATCAGCGGAAAGGGAGGCTCCGTGCCAGCAGCAGCCTCTCACATTCCTCAGCTAGCCATCAGACCGCATCCTCACTTTTGTGATCCAAACGCCATGCTATCGCGCGCGGATCGCTATCCGAAGCTGCGAGGGTACGGGTACAGAGAGCAGCAGATGTGCACGCGCCATCAGGAGGATGACCATATCAGCGTTATCTTGGCGCGGAGTTTTCTCTGATGGCATGCAGCAGCCTCTCACCTCACCGGCTGCTGCACCCCAGCCCGACCGTCGCGAGCAGCTGCTATGCAGCAGAAGCAGCGGCATATATCATCATCCCCCCTCGTAGTCGTGAGTGAGAGTCACAGTCCTGCAGCTGCAGTCACAAGTCAAACCAGCAAACCAACGACAGCCCCGGGCACCTGAGCTGTGTCGGTGCTTGCTCAAGTCTCACGTCAATGCGAGGTCCCCGCCGCCGCGCGTGGATTCTTGCTGCTTTTGGGCCTTGCGACCCTGGGCTGCATGCTACTTCATGATTCACGATTGCCACCTCAAATACCAGGCACGTTTGAGCAATTTAAGCCCTTTTGCCTCTTGCACGCCCAGCATCTCACAGAGCCAGTCACGAGTGGTACACTCTCCTCCTCCAGCGCGTGCACTCGCCTTCCTATATAGATCTTCCTTGCCACCTTCGAGAGACACCGGCAGTCACTGTCTTGATATCTCTACACCCACATCACCTTCGCACAGCGACAATGGCGCCCGCAAAGGTCATCGAGCCCGTGGGCAAAGCGCACCCGCTCGATCCCCCCAGCAAGTCAGAGGTGAGTTCACATCTAAGCGAGGACTGGTCTCGCAAGGGAGCTGGCCTTTGGATGTGGCAGCTGACAAGCTGGTCGATGGACTGGCATTGCGCTTTCGCTAGATCATTCTCGCCACGGAGACTCTGCGTCCATGGCTGCTCAAGAGCGGTGTCAAGGCCTTCAAATTCGTCAACGTCTTCCTCGCCGAGCCTGCCAAAGCCGATGTGATCGCAGCAGGTTTCTTCCCTCGTGGTAGTGATGCCTCATCCAGCGAGACCAGTGGCACTGCGCACATCGAACGGCTGATCAATGTCCACGTCATCGATCTCGTCAAGAGCGACGCTTTTGCTGCTGTTCTCAAACTGGACTCGAATGCTGGCACGGCAGAGATAAAGGGTGTGGACAAGCTCGATGCGGGAATTCAGCCTGCGCTCACCATCGAAGAGCTATGCATGGCCGAAGAATGCATTCGCAAGGATCCCCGCGTGATCAAGCTGGCTGAGGAAGTCGGCGTCAAGGCTGACCAGCTGTATGCCGAGTGAGTGCATTCTCAGGCTACTGACTCATCAAAATTTGAGCTGATAATAATACCATCAACGCTCACTGCAGCGGTTGGTCGATTGGCTGGGACAAGCGCTTCCCCAACAAGCGTATCCAGCAGTGCTTGACCTTTGCGCGTTTTGGCAAGGATGAGGTGAGTCTCACCCCTCTGTGATGCTGTTGCTTCACTCCAGCAGAAGAGCTTACGAGCTCATCGGAACAAAATGAACTGCAGAACCTTTACGGCCATCCAATGGACTTCTTTCCCATCCTCGACAACAACACCGGGGAGGTACTTGCTATCGACTTTCCCCAGCACCGCAAGGGCGGCAAGCTGCCCGGCGGCACCGAACCCCCAACCGAGGCGAGCTTCGGTCCGGCTCCACGTGAGCGTATCCCACCGCCTCTCGAGCGTCACGATTACCTTCCGGAGCTGGCAAATGCCGGACCTCACAATCCCGAGAAGCCACTCAGCATGCGCCAGGATCTCAAGCCCCTCAGTGTCGTGCAACCCGAAGGAGTCAGCTTCAAGCGCAACGGCAACGTCATCGAGTGGCAGAAGTGGAAGATGCACGTCGGCTTCCACCCCCGCGAGGGCCTCGTTCTCTCGACCATTTCGTACGGAGATACGGAGGCTCCCGGCGCGAGTGCCAGTAGTCCCAAGGAACGACCGCTGTTCTACAGACTGAGTCTGGCAGAGATGGTTGTACCGTATGCAGAGCCTGCGCACCCTCACTACCGCAAATTTGCCTTCGACGTTGGAGAGTATGGTCTGGGTTACCTCGCCAACTCTCTCTCGCTGGGCTGCGACTGCCTCGGTAGCATCGAGTACATGGACGGAGTGGTGGCAAAGCACGACGGCACTGTAGAGGTCATCGAGAACGCCATTTGCATGCACGAGGAAGATACTGGCTTGCTCTGGAAGCACACCGACTACAGAGTTGGTGGTCGCGCCCACAATGTCCGTGGACGCAAGTTTGTCATCTCGATGGTGTGCACCGTAGCCAACTACGAGTACCAGATCAATTGGTCGTTCCACCTCGACGGCACCATCGGTCTCGAAATCAAGCTTAGCGGTATTCTCAACCTCTACCAGCTTGAACAAGGCGAAAAGCCTGAGGGATACGGTACCGAAGTCGCACCGCGCATCAATGCGCACTACCATCAGCATCTGTTCAGCCTGCGTGTCGACAGCCACATTGATGGTCCTCTCAACAGCATCATGGAGTCGCACATTGAGGAGTCCCCCTTCCCTGCAGGTAGCCCGGAGAATTTTGCTGGCAATGCGTTCACTGCTCCTTACCGCATCTTCGACACGGCCGGAGAGGCCGTCAGAGACGCCGACTTCAACACGGAGCGCTCTTGGACTTTTGTCAACGAAGCCGAAAAGCACTACTCGTCTGGCAAGCCCGTGGGATACAAGGTGGTCTGCAAGGACATGCCGAGGCTGTACGCCAAGCACGATGGCTTCACCGGTGTGCGCGCGCCCTTCGCCAAGCACCATTTGTGGACCGTGCCATATCAAGATGCCCACAGGTATCCTGCAGGTCTTTACGTCCCGCAGACATTCGAAGCGCCGGTGGACAGCATCGAGAATTGGGTGGGAGATGGGAAAGCGAGCATCCGAAACAAGGACATTGTCTCCTACGTGACTATCGGCACGACGCACGTACCTCGACCGGAAGATTTCCCCGTCATGCCTGCGCAATCTGTGCACGTCAAGCTGGAACCGATCGGCTTCTTTGCCAGGAACCCCGCGTTGGATGTCCCTGCTACCAACGATGCCAAGTCCACACCTGCTAGCGCTGCGAACGGCACGACTAACGGCGCTCCTGCTTGCTGCCGTTCTTGAGCTCTGTCCAGATCCTTCTCTAGTGCCTCGTGCAGCGCGGGAATGTGTGCTTTTGAGGTTGCTCAGCTCCCATATCACGAATTGTAACGCTTTTTGACTTGTAGCGAGTCGAGTATGAAGTGTGAATGAGTCTGAGGCATGAGTCGTGCGTGTTGGCTTTGGCCTCCGATTCTTGATTATCTTAGAGTTCGACGCATCACGTGGCCAGCTTTGCTGGATTTTTTATTATTCTTGATTGATTGACGCGACGCTCTTGGCTGCACTTATACCACTTGACCCACGCTTGCTGCGTGCTGTCGAACAGCCTCTTTCAAAAGCGCGGCCATCTGCACGCTGCGCTGCAACTATACGCACAGCTAGCAGCAGCAGCAAGATCAAGAGCAACAGCTGCTGCTGCCTCTCCTTCGCGTCTTCCTGGCCTGCGATGCAGCGACCCCGCAAAACTTATTCACAAGACTCACTACTAGCGGAGCTTGAATACATCGCGACGTACATTAGAGCTCTGCCTCGGCTCTGGACTTGTCATCTTCGACTCTTCCCTGCAGCTGGAAAAAGCGGGGAAAGAGCAGTGTGAGTGCAGGCTTCCACGTCGTCGGTCGTAAATAAGGGCTCCTACCATCACCACTTACATTGCTCGCGCCTCTGACAGCTTTTCCTTCTTCCCTCCATGCGCTCCTCCCTGATACGCCTCAGTCATCTTCGGGTCATACACGGCACCGAGTCGCAAGCTGCTTCCCTACATCGTTCGCGCACCCTACAGCTGGCCTGATTTCAACATCTCACGCTCCTTACTCTACGCGGCTGTGCCCAGTCGGCTGGGGCAAGCATCACCGCGCTGCAAGAGCTTTCGGTCTGGTTGATCTGCGCGCGCGCGCGATCCTGCTAGCGCAATGAAGCTCACCCAACGTCGAGTCATCTTCCTCGGATGCGGCATCGCTCTGCGCTTGGGACTGCTGGCGTGGGGAGCATACCAAGACGCATATGGCGAAGTGCCATACACGGACATTGATCACTCCGTCTTTGTGCGGGGAGCGAAAAGCCTGTTCGAATCGTGTCCTCTAGAGAGCATCATTGCGGTAGAGCCTCAGGAGAATTACGAGGATTTGGCCGATCCGCCACAAGCGATCGGGAGGTGCGCCCAAGGATGGTTGCCAGCTGTCGCTCGATTCATCTTGCAAGCTCAAGCGGAATTCTTGGATCCCGAAATGAGCCCTTTTCCAGTCGACACGCTGCCGTATCGGATGCTGCAGCTATCCTTGTCGCTCTTCAGCTTCCCCTTCAGAAGCCTTGCCGGTCTTGGCAATCCTTACCAAGACAAGACATTCAGGTACACCCCGCTGCTGGCAGTGCTCCTTGCACCCACTCAAGTACTCCCAACGGCGCTGGCAGAGTATGGACCGAGGTTGTTGTTCGTCGTTGCGGATCTCTTGTGCGCAGTGCTCATGTGGACAGTGCTGGATCTGTCGGCCAAGAGAAGGCACGCGTTGGAGAAGTTCAGAACGACCATCACCTCGACTCCGCCTCCGGCTAGCAAGGAAGGCACCACTGGCTGGGTACCCGCTTTATGGCTGCTCAATCCATTTCCGGCACAAATAGCGACTCGAGGCAGTGCAGAATCTCTCATCGGCCTCGTCGTCCTTGGGTTCCTCAGCTCGACTTTGTACGCCACGCCAGCTCCTACACTTCCATTGCCGACGCCTCAGAAAGGAGCACTGCCCCTTACACCCATCAGCGAAGCACCGTCAGAGACGGAGGCGGAAGCCGAAGCGGAGATGGAGGTGGTCAAGAGGAGGCACGAAGTGTCGAAAGAATTCGCAGAAAAGGCCGCAGAAGCGCTAGCAGCTCGCACCACCGTCGCAGCGGTAGACGCGGGTGCTCCTCTGGAGCTGTCCAGCTCTTCAATCGGCTCAGCTGCATTCAGGGGGGTCGAAGAGCCATCTCATACGCTATGGGGGACACCATTGCTGTCACCAGTCCTGCTCGCGATGGCTGTGCATCTCAAGCTCTACCCTGCGATTTATGCGGTACCGACATTGGCACACCTCCTGGCCACCGGCAAACCACACCGGTGGGCGGCTGCTTTGCGGTACGCAGTTGTCGCGGGATACACCTTCGCTGTGACGGGTCTCATGTGCTGGCTTCTGTGAGTAAATGCATCGTTTCACTCTCGCTGATGCAGGTTCTAGCGAAATGAGCTCACTGAACGGCGCGTTCCTGATGCGCTTCTCGTGCTTCAGATGGGGACCTCCTTACCTCGAAGCTTCATTCTTCTATCACTTGACCAGGCTGGACGTTCGGCACAACTTCTCGCCCACATTTCTGCCGGCCTATCTCGGTACTACCAGCGGCATCCTTTCCACAACCCAAAGTGCCTCTGTCGATACGCTGCTGGGTGCGTTGGCTGGATTTGGACCTCAGCTCGTGCTCGTGATTGCAATCGGCTGGACACTGGGTTCGCGAGACCTTGCGGCGGCATGTGCGGCTCAAACCCTCGCGTTTGTGGCTTTCAACAAGGTCTCTACCAGCCAGGTGAGTGGAGGCGGCAAGACGGCTCGGGCAGCACGTACCTCTGACGCTGATGCGGTCTACGACGACAGTACTACATGTGGTTCTTGTGGTTCATTCCCATCGTCGCACCTACGCTCAAATTTGCGTCTTCAAGAGAGCCGTGGATTTTGCTAGGCGCATGGGTGGGAGCGCAGGTGAGCAACTTTGGCGAGCGAGATTTATCCGGCATGGGTGCGTGCTGACTTGGACACGTGCGTCGCAGGCAATCTGGCTCTCTCAAGCTTATCTGCTAGAGTTCAGAGCATTGGATACTTTTGTAAGGACGTGGACAGCTAGCCTGCTCCTCCTCGTCACGCACGCCATCATCCTTGCGCGCTACCTAGCCGCGTGGGGCTCTCATAGAGAACAGCTGGTCCGAGACGTTTCGCCGATGGATGCGAAAAAGAAGGCAGACTAGAGGATGCACTCTGGGCATGCGCGCTGCAGGGTGAGCTGTTGCCCCTCGCGGGCCTGTCGATTTTGAATGCGACGTTTAGGGAATAAGATGAACATACCCCCGCTTCAGCTGCTTTTGCAACGTCAATGGTGAAGGATCAATGGACATGGCGAGTGCCTGATTGCAAGCTTTGCACTGAGCAGCGAGCGTGCGACATGTCTGTGCCCTTCTCGCGCCATCAGTGAGGGATCACAGTCACGAGAGAGGCGGTCAATCCCCTCCGCTGTAAGTATCTGAGCCAGCTATGATTAATAGAGCGACGAAGTGGAGTTATGCCGCGGCAGATGCATTCATTGTCCTGCTGCGCGTGTGATATGCTGGCAGCATTCGTGATTTTAATCGAGCGGGGCCGGGAGTGCGCAGCATCCGCGGGTCCGTTTCCGAACGGGGGGTCAAGACCGCGCACGCGCGCACTCTAGCCCCTTGCACAAGCGAATGCTAGCTGGTCCATATCGATAAGCCGCTTTTCTTTAGGCACCAGGCCCCTGCACCGCCCCAACTCTTAATTCGAGACCCCCTCCTCCTTGCCCCACCTCGCAAATTCCAGATGTCATTGTTTGACCACAATGACTCCTGAATCACAATTTGAATGTGATTGGTGACTCCTACTGTGGTGTCCATGCGGGTGGCTGACGACCTGACGCGGGTGCGATGTCATACACAGTCGCGATGACCAGCAGCACCACGCTCGGCTGGGAGAGCAATTGACAAGCGGCTTGGACTTCTCGAGCTAGAAGCGACGAGTCTCAACCTCTTTGAAGTGGAGCGCTAAGGTCCTACTTCTCGACGATACACACCTCCTCGACCTCACACAAGTGTGTGGCATTTAGCGCAGAGGAGCACTTTGGCTTGGAATGTCCTTGTCGAGATCAGCTTCGAGATGGGCCCACTCGTTCACACTCAGCTTAGCGTCGAGAGAGGCATCGGCATCGGCATATCTCGCCCAAGTCCCTCCCCACCATCGCTCGGCACGCACTTCAATTCGTCGTTTCTACGCAACGAGGATGGGTGCTAAATGTGCAAGAAGCGATGATGGCGCACGGAAGAGACTGTTGATGAGCATAGCTGGCGGTGCCATACTCGTTGCTGGCACGATGCTATGGACGACACCGCTCGCAGGTCCAGACCGACCAATGATCTCCCAGCCCACCTCGACGCTCATACGCTCCTACGTCGTCTGGTCGCTCGTATCGCTACCTTACGCCACGGACATTGCTCCGCACCTCATCCAGTGGTCCCGCAGCACCAGTCTGCCAGGCGTACCCTCTTTCGCTACGTGGCTTGTTCGCAAGACTTTTTTTGGACAGGTGAGCGCCTGCGCTTGGGTGTATGCAAAGCAAAGCGGGGCTATATTAAGATTGCCATTCGCCCTCACTCGACGCAGTTTGTTGGAGGCGAGACGGTGGAGGAATGTGTTCCGCTTATTCGCTCCTTGGCAATTGCCAACGTAGGCACGATGCTCAATCACTCTTGCGAGGTGAAGCATGCAGAGATGCGCCACTCTGAGCGTGGCAGCGACAATGCAAAGACGGCCACCTCGCCTGTTCACCTTCGTCTGATTGAGGCGGCAAAGCACTCGATCAAAGTCGCGTCGGATCTTGCTTCGGGCAACGTCAATGCGAGCGGTTGCTCTGGCAGCGACGGCACGGACGAGGTGCCGCGAGGTAGCATCATGGTAGCCATCAAGCTTTCTGGCTTGCTTGCGGACTCCTCTGTCCTCGAGAGAGCTTCAGCGTCGATTGTGCCGCGAGAGCACTTCAGTGATCCTCCAGCTCCAGCTCTACCGCACAACTCGACGAGCGGTGCGCCACTAGTCATCCCAATGAGTGCACGCGTCAAGCTGACCGAGGAGGACATTAGCACAATCACAGAGCTGTGGAGGCAGCTACGAGGCGTGGCTCTTTTGGCGAAAGAGAAGAAGGTCAGGCTGTTGATTGATGCGGAGTACTCTTGGTACCAGCCCGCTATCGACGCGATCTACGACACTCTCGCGCAGGAATTCAATGCGCTTTCCAGTGCTTCAGCAAAAGGCCACGAATCGCCTCTCGTATTCAACACGTACCAGGTGAGTAGCATAGCAAGACCTCGCGCCTGAGCAAGCTACGATAATTTCCGAGCGATGCCGAGTCTGACTAAGATCATCCAAACTTTCTAGGCATACCTCAGAAGAACTCCATCACATCTCGCCTCATCATTGCAGCGCGCAAAGAATGGCCAATATGGCCTGGGAGTCAAGCTCGTACGCGGTGAGCTTTTGCGAATTGCAAAGAGTCGAGCCCGTGCGAGAGCTCATCCATGTCTCTCGCCATGATCAGGGGCCTACGTCGAGATCGAGAACAATGCATGGCAAAAGCATCAAGTTGCCACGCCTCCAGTCGAGGCTGCGAGGGCCAAAGAGGGGCAATGGAACAGTCCGGTTTGGTCAAGCAAAGCGCTTACGGACGAATGCTATGATGCTTGTGCAGAGCGCTTGCTACAGGAGATTGCGGATGAAGTCGACAGGCCCCCTGGCAAACGTGGCGGACCAGCAAAATTGTCTGTCGTCTTTGCCTCGCACAACGTGTCGTCTGCTGTCAGGGCGCTGGACATGATGCAGCATAGCGGTCTGGTGCAAGCTGCCTCTACAGAGCAGAATATCTCCCTCTCCGACGATCAGCCGCCTCGCGAACTGGTCCCGATCGACTCGATCAATGGTCGGATCCTCTTCGCGCAGCTCCTGGGCATGGCGGACCCTCTGACAAGGATGTTGCAGCACGCCTTCAAGAACGCACGCTCGAAGGAGCAGACTCCGCTGGTGTCCAAGTACGTGCCTTGGGGCGCTTTGGACGACGTGATGCCATACTTGATGCGTCGGGCGCAGGAAAACAAGAGTCTATCTACTGAAGGAGCCAAGAACGAAAGACGAGCCATTCGTTCTGAGCTCAAAGTACGACTAGCACAAGGCCTCTTTGGGATGGCGCGGTCGGATGTATAGATTTGCACACGGATGCGAGATGGTCACCATTCTACCCCAAAACACATCCATACCATGTAATTCTATTCGAACTCCTATTCAATCTATGGCGTCCGCCACAATCTTGCGCCATCTTCGTTGCACGTCGATGGCCTCGTGGAAAATCTGCACGAGTGCGAAGATTTTTGGAAATTAGCGAGGGAGTGATTCGACTGCACGGCGCATGCAGCTCACTTTGTATTTGGCATCAAAGAGAGCTTTGAGCTTGTCGTCCGCACGAGGGTAGACGAAAGTGCCCGGCTTGGTCATGGTAGTCTAAAATGCGCAACAAGATGCCATGTCAGTACGAAGGAGCGGCGTCGCGTCGCCCACTAGCAGCAGGGCGCGAGACGTACCATGAGTTCCCATAGACGCTCTCTGTAGTCCACTGCTGCCTTATCAGCCTGCTCTTGAGTATCGATCAGGACACCCTTTTCTCTGAGTTCGGCAGCAAAGCGTCCCAGGATAGCGGAGCCAGCTACGACGCTGGCACTGGCGCTGTTGGGCAAGAGCACGGGTACCTGACAAACATCCGCCAGCAATTGCATAAACGCAGCATTCTTGACGTGTCCACCCGACATGTAGAGACTGGTGATGGAGTGACCTTTGCCGTTCAGCTCGGCCAAGATGTGCCTAGTCTGAAGAGCAATAGCTTCCAGCGTAGCGTAGTACTTTTTGGCCAGGTCAGACACCCCCCGATCCAGTGCTAGACCACTGATGAGTCCTCGCATGCCGCTGTCCGCTAAGGGACTTCGATTGCCGTGCAGATCGGGGTAGAGCACCAGGTCGCGAATGAGGTAAGAGGGATGTGACAAGTCTGCTTTTTGTTGCAGAGTATCCAAGATACCGTGCAGCTCGGTGAACAAGTTGGACTTGTTCGTCGTTGCTCTCTCCTTTAGCGTCGAAATCGCGGGGTGCGTATCGATGATAAAGTCGATCAGCTGACCAGTGGAGCTTTGACCCCCTTCATTCATCCACATGCCGGGGAAGACGGCGTTCTTGTACGGACCCCAAACGCCCTTGACGTCGATGCCCTGCGGACTCTGCACCACATGGCACGTACTCGTGCCGGCGATGGCTGCCAGCCTGTGTTGACTTTGTGCAAGCCCAGTGTCTTGCTCCTTTTCTGATGTTGTAGCATTGACAGCTTGAGCTGCGACTGTTCCAACCCAGCCAGCGTACGCGTCGATGAGTGCAGAGCCGACAGCCGTGCCCTCTTCCAAGCCCAAATCTTGCGCGGCTTGTTTCGTCAAACCCGATCCGAGCGGCTGTCCAGCTGTCAAGACCAAGCCGCCGTTGCCCGGGATACCACCCACTCGCTCGAAATCCTCATTAGCGATGGATGATAATCCGATCTTGTTGAAGAAATCGTGTTGCCAGCCTGTGCTGCTACCTCCCACGCCTGGGGGAACGTAAGAGCACTTGCACACCAGACTGCAATTTGACCGAGCTCGACTTCCGGTCGCGCGATAGGTGAGGTAGTCTGGCAGATCGTAGAAGTGCGCGGAGGCGAATGTCTGCTTGGGCATGCGGGTGGAAAGCCAGAGCATCTTTGGGACTTCCATTTCCAGCTGCGGGCGTTCCCAAGTTCTTGATCAGTGTGTATGCTGAGAGACTCAAAATTGCTTCCCTCAATAGGAATGCATACTCACCGACATGGTACCCCCAACGTAATTGAGCACCATGCTACCTGTACTGTTGATCTTCTTTGCCTCCTCCTCAGCCCGATGATCAGCCCAGAGTATGATGTTGCGCCTCTCTCCTTCTGCTCCTCCGACCTTCCAACTGCCTTCAGGTTCCGGTGTGACCTCGATCGGTTCGCCGTTCGCATTGATGACAGCCAAAGAGCAAGTAGCGTCGAACCCTATCCCTTTGACATCCTTGCCGCTCGTACCTTCTGGCAATATTTTGAGCACATCTCGAACGGCTTGACTGATGCGAGCCCAAATGTCGTCCGTGGACTGCTCAAAGATGCGCGCGTCTGCGTCGGATCGCCATGTGCGGGTGGCGTGAGTGGATTCGGAGAGGATGTTGCCATCGGCGTCCAGCAGAGCGGCTCGAGCCGAGCCTGTGCCGCTGAGAGAGGATGATGGCCAAGACCATGGACTCTCAGCTCGAAGTCTCAACCTCGCAACACGGCCATTCCTCGATGCGCGTGCAACTTACACGTCGACTCCGATGTAGAATGGTCCTTTGGACATCGCTGTTGGGAATGCTTCTCGATGATCGTCTACACGGAGCAGCGATTGGGCAACAGCGTGGCTGGCCACTATTGATTACGACTTGATACACTATATGATGGACTCGAGCGTCGTGAGATCGTCAGCTTCTTGATGGACTCGTGACTCGTGAGTGCTGTAAGCCAGGATGTATGAGCAGGGGCACTAGCTCTGACTCTGATTGATCGGTGTTCACGCTTCTCACGCCCGTGCACCGCGCATACGTGCAGCAACTTAAGCCCCACAACATCAGCAGGCACATCAGGCACATCAAAATTTTGAAGGGGTTCAAAAAGACGCCGAAGTGACAAGATCACGTGTCTTTGACGACCCAACCAACGTGCACGCGATAGCTTGATTTCATGCCAGAAGAAAGCTGGAAATTGATGATTCTTCGAGATCCGAGCAACCCCGCACGGACCCAACAGCACGTTGCCTGCTATACATGGTCACAGTCACCAAACATACCAGAGCAAGCAAAGCAAAAGCAAAGCATCAGGCGGCAGGATAACCACCATCAATCGTGATTCGAGTGCGAGATGATTGCAGCAGCAGCATGGAAGTAATCGCAAGCATCCTCCACAATCACGACTGGGCGTCTGTCTGTGGCTGGCACGAGTTGCACATAATCAACGACCCCAACCCCATCAGTACACCTTCGGCCATGAGAGGTGTGGAGAGAAAGCTATGCTGAAGAGACTGGTCAGTCGATCAAGAAGACAGCCAAGCCGATGAGCTAGGCCGAGCCCAGCCCAGTCCAGCCCAGCCCAGCGGTCGCTCTCGATCTACAGCTATGCAGTTTGTGGTTGAATACCCATTGGAGCGCCGCTATACATTGTGATTATACACGACGGACGCAGCGCGGTGCCCGTGATAAGACTGTGACCCGCTTTTCCTGCCGAGACAGGGTGGAACGCGCTGCGAGTATCGTATCTCTTGAGAACTATTTGTGATTGGTAGAGTACCGGGGCAGCGGCGTAGTGTCTTGTGGAAAGCCGTCTGTGACGATCTAGCTGTGAATGACATCTCATTCATTCAACCATTCGATCGTGATGTTTGATGATAGCGAGAGGCTTGCCCACATCCGTGCAGCAATGTGAGTGGTGGCTGCGCTGGATACGCTGTCAATCGAGATTCACGCGATCGCAGAGCACTCACAATTGTTGGCGACAATCCTGTTGTGAATGAATTGTACCCGCGATCACACACATTGCGGGGGCCGGTATAGCAGTCATCTCTCCAGTCTGTCCTCCCCAGAAAATGTCGAAACGTGCGTGCCGAATCACTGGTCTTTCATCAGAATTGCAGGGCTACATGTAGTCCTCGCAGCTATATATAGATGCGCTTCTGGGAGCGGTTCGTGAGAGAGACTTGCGACTATACAGAGGCAACCAACCTGCACAGAGCTTTACTGCGCTCCTGGTTCTTGACTGCTGCTGCTGCTTAATTGGTCAAGCATGCCAAGGTGACCCGGCGCCCTGCCATGCCTGCCCTGCCCTGCCCACTTGACTGAAGCTTATTGACTCGTGTACAAGACTTTCCGACAATTCATTAGGAAACAATCAAATGTGAGATTACTGACTTCGTGAGAGGTGAAGTGTGAGGTGCATGCGAAAAGCCGATCGAAGATGCAGCACGTCGCGGTCTGCTCTGTGGAGACGTGGCTTGACCGCGGCCCCGCTGTACTGTAGGTATACTGCGGATGCTGCAGCAACTGCATGCTGATGCTGCTGCTGTGCCGGCCGGACCCACGCGCCCATGGCGCAGACGCGCGCGGCGCCTATATTATATTCACATTCAGATTGGACCCTTACGGCAAGTCCCAAGCCTCCACCTCGTGCTTCTGCTGCAGCGGTCGGCAAAGCACCGTAGACGCGCGGGACCCCACCCCGGGCTCAGCTGATCATCATGCAGCAATGAAGGTGTTTCTATTTGAACTTCGGCAGGAGGTCTATACATCCTCCAATCGTGAATGTGCCGTAGATCTTTTGCAACACGACCTCACCTATATACTTGACTACAACGTTCTTGACAACGATCAGCTTCTAGTGACAAAGTTCAGCTGTAGGAGACATACCAGCACGCGACACACCATACTCACGTACCATGGCGCCGACAGCGACGACACCTACGCCTACGCCTGCGCAGCCAGCCACGGCTACTGCCAAACCTTTAGTGAGCAAAGCTGCTCAACCTGCTGGAGCTGCATCAGTTGGCTCCGCGCTGGAAGCGCCCCTCATTGAGCTTTACAGTGCTCAGCAGGCCAACTCTCCCGAGGCTTCTCAACAAAGATTGAGACAAGCCATCATCGATGGGCTCAAAGGAGGCGACAACTTCATCATTCCTGGTGATGTCAACAGCTCGACGGATCGTCAGTGGGCGTATCGTCGGTGAGTAGAGCGGTGGGCTAGTGCTTGCTATGCACAAGCTCAGCCTTTGCCTGCTGCGCGCGCTTCGCCTTGTGTGCAAAAGCACGCTGCCCACAGAGATCGTCTACAGCGAGAAAGGCTTGCAGCTCTACGATCAACTGGTCGAAGAGCCAGAGTATTACCTGTGAGCTGCGATTCGGCGCACAGGCGTCGCGCTTCTGGTGGGCGTCGTGCTTGCTAACCACGAAAGACCTCTTTCATACACGCCTCTCGTAGCTGGTCAGCCGAGCTCGAGATTCTGCAGAAGCACGCGCCAGAAATCGCGCTTCGTCTCTTTGGTCATCCCACTCGACCGTCCAAGAAGCAAGGCGATCAAGATGGCCAAGATCAAGGCGGCGATGGCGGTGAGAGCAAAGACGAGACTGACGGCGGATACCCAGTTCTGGATCAGCACAAGGAGAAGTGGGGCGATGCTCAAGTTGGCAAGCACAATGGAGGTGTGAATGCCGAGGAGGGCTTGGACGGGGATAGCGCTGTGGGACCGGCTAGTCTTATCGAGCTGGGCGCTGGCAGTCTGCGCAAAGTGAGTAACGGCATGACGAGCCAGCTTGTCTGCGCCAGCACTCGATCGTGACAAGATATTGACACATGCTACGATGTGTGCACAGACCATCCATCTCATTCGCGCCTTGCAGGGTCTCCCAGACGCTGCCAAGGTGACGAATGAGAACAAGGCGGGCACGAAGCAGTCATCTGCCTCGCCCGCCATCAATTACTATGCACTCGATCTCGATCGTTCTGAGCTAGTTCGCACGCTCGGCGAGCTCCACGATCAAGAGAGGGGCGCTAGTGACACGAAGGATAAACACAACTTCACCATCTACGATGGTGCCGTTGCACTGAACGGCATTTGGGCCACCTACGACCAAGGTGAGCTGTCAGGAGCAAACGTCAAGGGGCGAGTGACTCTGGCTAATGCGCGCATTGTCCCAATTTGGACTCGCAAACAGGTCTCGAGTATGTTGGTCAAGGCGGCTTAGCTCCGAAACAGGGGCAAAAGGAAGGCCAGAGATGTTTTCTTTGGCTCGGCTCTAGTTGCGGCAACCTTGATCGCCGAGAGCTCGCCGACTTCCTGCACGCGTCTAGCGAGAAAGCCCTGAGGCCAGGAGATTCGCTGCTGATCTCCATCGATCGTCGTAACAAGCCTGAAGATGTCGCAGCCGCGTATCATGATGCCAACGGCACCACGGAGAAATTCATCCTCGAAGGCTTGGTCCACGCAAATCGCGTTCTTGGCAAAGACGTCTTCCAGAACGGCGCGTGGCGCTACCACGATCGATACAACGAGTTGGAGGGCCGCCATGAAAGTTACTACCAGAGCACAAAGGCTCAAACCCTCAATGTGCCTGGCGAAGCTGACGCAATCCACATCGAAGAGGGCGAGCTGATCCTCGTCGAGGTGTCTTACAAGCACAGTGAGCTCGAGATCCATGACGTCCTCGACCAGGCTGGTCTTCGAGTCGTGCAACGATGGAGTACCGATGGAGACAAGAAGTACGACATGTGGCTCGTCGAGAGGCCCGCTTTCCACTTCCCAAGCTCCCATCTCAATACTGGCAGTCGGGTTGACCAACTGGCCGGACTGACGGCGCAGCAAGCCTTTGGTGCGCGCGGCAGCTGGGAATTTGACAGCACAGGTGGAGCCGGTGCGAATGCGCTCAAAGCGCCGCATCGCCACGCGCGGACCGGCTTGCCAAGCATTGACGAGTGGCAGACGATGTGGAAAGCATGGGACACGGTCACACTGACCATGATCCCACCAAAGATGCTCTTCGAGAAGCCCATCGATCTGCGCCACATTTGCCTCTTCTACATAGGTCACATTCCGGCCTTTGTCGATATCATGGTGTGCAAGGTCACAGGTGAGGAGCACATCGACTCGCACTTTTCTTGCATCTTTGAGCGAGGCATCGACCCGCACATGGACGACGAGACGAAGTGCAATCCGCATAGCGAGGTTCCTCAAAAAGATGAAGATTGGCCCGCTCTCGACGCGATCCTTGCTTATCGCGAAAAGGTGATGGAGCGCATATACGGCATTTACGGCGATGTCGCGACCGGGGCTCGATCACTTGACCGCGCCCTAGCTCGGACGATCTGGATGGTGTATGAACATATCGCTCTGCACATGGAGACTCTACTCTACATGCTCCTACAGAGTCCCAACACTCTGCCACCTGCTGGCTTTACAGCGCCCGACTGGCCGTCCCTTGCTCGTCAATGGGACGCGGCAGATGCGGCTGTGGGCGGCGAGGCTGCTCGAACGGCTCTCCTTCATTTCAAGTCAGCCCCAGTCATCATCGGTCACGATGACGACGATCGGCAGGACACGAAGTTTGCCATTAGCAAGCCGTCCAAGAATGTCGAAGACCTCAATGCTCAGCTGCATGCGTCTTTCGGCTGGGACAACGAGTCTCCGGCGCGCGTTACGCAGACTGGAGCCTTCGCGGCTGAAGCGGCTCCCATTTCGAATGGCCAGTACTTGAAGTACCTGCGAGATCACAAGCTTGTCGGAGATCCAGATGCCGTGCCAAGCTCTTGGATCGGTGCGGGCTCGTCAAGCGACCCCTTCCGCGTCCGGACCGTATACGGTCCTGTCGGCATGAGCGTCGCTCACCTTTGGCCACTCTGTGCATCTGGCAAACAGCTTGCAGACTATGCAGCTTCGAAGGGCGGCAGACTGCCAACGCACGCAGAGCTGAGGTGCTTTCTGGATGCTTCGAGCGGGCCTAACGTGACGGATCGTCCAGGAAGCAATGTGGGCTACACCAATTGGCACCCCGTTCCTCCTCAGCTGGCCAGGCACGAGAGCGGCATCGTTATTCCAGGCCACAATGGAGGCGTTTGGGAGTGGACCAGCTCTCCACATGTAGAGTACGAAGGATACAAACCATCGCTGTACTACACTGGCTACTCTTCCGACTTTCTGGATGGCAAGCACGACATTGTCCTCGGTGGCAGTTGGGCTACCACACCCAGCATTGCAGGGCGTCGCACCGGTGAGTGAAAGGTCTCGTTCAGAGCAGCATTTCGGATCACAAATTTGACTGGTAATCTCCCTTTACATACAATTTCTTCCTCACCTCTCAGTCATCAACTGGTGAGTAGCGCACCAACATGAGAGGCTTCAATAATTTGGATGGCCAGGAGCAGCTTGCTCATCGCTATTTCGCTCCTTTTCTCTCGTTCTCAGGTACCAGCAACCTTATCCCTTCATCTTCGGTGGTGCCAGGGTAGTGTACGACGACAAGACCGAGGTCAAGGCTTCGAGGTCCAGATCTCCCCCTCGCGCTTGATACGTTCTTGATGCCACGCGTTGTGTGACAATCCGGCTCCTTTTTATTCTTGGGTCCTGAACTTATACACCCTTTGACAGTATGATAGCTTTTCACGACAAAATCGCTGCTCAATTTCATGACATTTGTACATCATTTCGAACGGCAAGAGAACGGCATGGGTCGGGATGAAGGACGGGGAGAGGTGCGAGCGAGACTGCTAGACGCTGGGGATATGTTAGCGTGCACCGTGCTGCCAGATCCACTCGGCTAGCTCAGCGCTGCGGGAGAGGGGACTGGGCGATCTGAGCCGGGGGCTTCGCGGCGCAGTTGAACTCAGATGCGAGCTGGGCGAGCTTGGTGGCGAGTGTGGGGGCGATAGAGAGAGGTTGAGATTGAGGTTGCGATGCGTCCCTCGACGGTGGCCGCGCGCAAAGCCAGAAGATTGTCCCACTTCGAAGCGGGGGTGCTGAGCGAGCAAGGCTTCGCGTCGCTGAGCAGCTTGCCTGATGCGCTCGTACGCCAAGTCGAACTTTCGTTTCGCCTCCACTGCGGGAGGATGATACGTGGGCAGCAAGTAATGGCTCAGCGCTTGCTGGCTGCTGCTGCTGCTGCTGCCCATTGTGCCGCGCCCGATGTGCTGAGCGTCCAACAATTCGCGCTGTGCGGTAGCTTGTCTGATGTGCTCGTACGCTGCATCGAATTTGCGCTTGTTCCCGATGCTTGCCGATGCACCCATCTTGGCAGGCTGCGCATCAGCTACCGGATAGCTTGAGCGTACACTTTCCGGAGCGCTTCCGCCCGAAGCGCCCTTCAGGAGACGAAGTGGGTCCTTTCAGCTGAATCTGCCACAACGGCTTTTGACATTTGCTGCTGGGAACTTGGACCTTCTCTGTACTCACCGAGGGGGTCTGAGATGCGAGCGCCATCACACTTGCAAAGAAAGTCGTGCACATCAGCGCGATCCGCGCAGAGCCACGAAACGGCTGCATAGAAAAGACTTGATGGTTCGGAGTAGCTTCGATTATTCGGAGATGTACTTGTGACCAGCACAAGAGCTTCAAAGACTCGAGAAGATGATCTCCTTCTTGTGACCAGCACAAGAGCTTGACTCGCGGCCTTGAAGGTGAATGAGATGAAAGGAGTTTGATGGAGAGACTCCCAGATGCGAGTGCTGTCCCCTCTGCTTTAAGCGGCAAGATGCCGGTCATTGAGATGGATCGGCGAGCTAGCAATGCCCTGTTGGCACTCTGCACAAAAGCACCTCCGTATACCGTTTCTCTGTAATTTTTTTGCTTTGTCTTGCCACCGAGCTTGAGGCTGTGAACACACGGCGCCCATGAGAAGAGCGATCAGCAAGTATCGGCTCGCATTCAGCCATTTACACTCACAGACCTCGACACCTCAGTAAGGAGCGTAACAGCAAATTGGCGCGCATTTCGACCTGCTGTGCAAGTGACCTCAGCATCGTGAAGCGTCTCCGTGACGTCGACGTGCTTCCAGAATGCGCCATCTGCGCCGTCCACGCAGACATTGTTCGCTTCCTCGCGTTTCGAAGCAGCTTTCATCACTCGCGACGAATGCGGCAAATCTGTGAAGGCAACGCCCGATCCCCGTGGTCGCTCTCCATCGGGCCGGAGGGAATGGCTCGATACGCCACACCGCTCCTTACGGGCCTGTCAAGATGAAGATCAAGCAAGCAGCATTGGCCAATTCCCCACAAGCTGTGTAGCCCATGTCAGTCATCGGCCCGATCGCCGCTTGCGTGCGCCAAGACGTGCGACGGGCGGGGACGGGACCAAGGTGCGAAGTCTTTCAAATGGCTGATAATTTCGACTTGCAAGTGGACTGCTAAGCTGCCCAACTTGCGGTATCTCAGGTCGACAACAGATGCCAGCATCTCTTGAGGGACGACTGCGTCGACTCTAATACGCGAGAGAAAGCCTTTGCCGCCTGGTGACTTGACCGAGCTCGAACGACCCACCGTCCAAAACCAGCGCTCGAATTGGAAACCGATGCTCAGATCAGGACTCAGCGCTGGCGAAAGGGATGATGGTCGCCGCCAAAGCGTGCAAGGCTCGAATGCACAGCTTGTCTACTCAGAGCTGACGACCGTCACTGGCTCGAGACAACGTGCTCGCTCGTGCGTTCCGATGACTCAACCATGACTGTTTGAGCGCCTGCCATTGATCGATTCTGAAAGGTGTGTGCTATGGGGACGCCGCCTGAGGGTGGCAATCGCAACAGCATCGTCGGTAGCTCTCAGCCTGCCTCACTTAATGGCAGGCAATTCGAAAGACGGACCGCATGGCCAATTCATAGCGCGACCTTTAGTGAGCCCTGATTTCGTGGTTCGGCAAGTAAGCCTTTTGCGCCGCCATCCACAGCATTGAAACGGCGGTCGTCGTAAGGGCCTAATCCAGTTATGATTGTGACAGGGCCCCCCTTGGGACGCCGAAATGTGTTTGCGCTTTTGCTCTGCACCGGGGCAAAGCTCGTCTTGGTGGTCTGCAGCCAGGCTGACGTAGCGCTGAACAGCATCAGTATGCCTAGAGCCACCCAACACGCACCTCTGGTCTCGCTGACGTGTACCACAAAGTCAGCGAGCATATCAGTTTTGAGGTCAGCCGCTTGCAGCGCAAAGCGCTCATGGAAGGATTCGTTACCTGTGTCCGGCAGTCTGTTGCCATTGTTCCTCCTGCGTCTGCAGAAGGAGAAAAGGCAAAGGGCAAAGTACGTATTGAACAAGGTGCATCAGAGTAAGACATCAGTGGAGTCTTGCCATGTGCAGGAGCAACGCTGCCTTGAACATGGCAGACACATTTTGTGAGCTTTTTCGGAGTTGGCCGAGTCAGTAGCACGGCGTCAAATCACTTTGCGACTGGCGGTTCGTAGCCAAATTGCTGAACGAAAGTCTCCCTGGCCTGCGCGCCATAGTAAGCTGCGAATTGCGCCCACCAAGCATCGAATTCCGGTCCGCCCTGTTGTTGCTGAGCCGCACCTTGCTGGGATGCGGCGGTCCCTGCGCTCTGAGCTTGAGGCGCAGCCTGTCCTGGGTTTGAGGGGCTTTGCGCACCGCCTGCAGGAGTAGCAGAGGCGCCAGCCTGACCCTGCTGGGCTGCTTGCTGCGCATAGTACTCTGCCCACGCTGCAGAGTAGTCTGGCTGCCCATCTTGACCTGCTTGAGCTGGATACTGCTGTTGGTAATTGCCGTATCCACCTTGCTGACCACCCTGTCCTTGGTAGCTGCAGAAACAAGGAGCAGGCAAACGGAAGTTTCCGGCAAGGACTCAGATGCTGAATTGTTTGTAGTACTGCGATCTTGGTCATTCTTACTCACCCTTGACCGCCATACCCGCCCTGCTGGTAGCCCATGCCCATACCGCGACCCATTGGACGCCCGCCGTAGCCTGGCCCTCCCGGTCCCCCCATCCGTCCCCCAACACCCGGCGGGTTCCACATCTCGGGATCACGCCAAGGTGGGATCTTTTTGCCATTTGCGTCGTATTTTTGTCCCGGCATACCTCCAGCTTGCGGGCCTCCAAGCGGACCACCGTGTTGGCCGCCATCTGGGCCACCGGGGCCAGGACCGCCGGGTCTGCCACCGCCAGCGCCACCTTCCCCAAGCTCGGCCATAAGACTGGCGTACTCCGAATCCATCTGACCGCCTTGCCCGTTTGGCCCACCTGGGCCACCAGGGCCTGGTGGACCTCCGCCAAACCCGCGTGGTCCAGGCATTTGAGTACAGTCTCGCGCCAAGTGACCTTGCCCTCCGCATCGATGACAGATGATGTGGGCCGTGACGTTGCGCTCCTCCGGGCAAGCATATCGACGATGACCCTTCTGGCCGCAATTCTGACAAATTTGTCCTTCGTCGTCCCGGAGCGTACCATTGAGTGCAGCAAGCTCTCGCAGTTGATTGCGCTTGTGATCATTCTGAGCTTCTGGGGTGGACGCTGCAACCTCGATAACCCTCTGAATGGCTTTGATGCACACTTTGATCTTTTCCAAATCGTCTGCTTGCACGATGCAGTGCATCTCCTCATCTTCCTCCTCGCCCGGTCTGCCCTTGCCTTCTTTCACGCTGCCCCGACCTCTGATGCTGATCTTTGCGCCGCTTTCCCGCTCCATGCCCTTCAGAGTGTTTCCTCTTGGGCCAACGAGCAGGCCGAAGAAATTAATCTCTGGAAACTCCTTGATGGGGAGCCAGACCTTTTCCTGTGGGCGCATATTCCGCTTGGCAACATGGTAATCTGCAGGAGGCTTGTAGTTGGGATCAAGCTTGACAGCCCGATCGATCAGGTCGACTCGTTCTTGATCGAGCTTCTTGCGGTAACGGACTTCGCGGGTGTTAGTACGTCTACCAGCACCATCGTACGTGGGTGGTGGTGATGGCGAGCGTTCCCTCTCTGGCGGAACAACGTTACCAGTGACCAGCTTCTGTTGGATCTCTGCAATTCGGACATTTATAGCGTAGCGATCCAATTCGGCAGCCGACAAGTTGGCACCAAGCGCAGTAGCTACACCTGCAGGCGCATCAGCAGGCGCAGCCCCCCATCTCGATCGTCTCTTTCTCGGAGCATCCCCGGAGGCAGGGGCGGCTTCGGCTGGCGCATCAGAGTCTCGTTCTCGCTTGAACCCCATACTGCCAGATCCATTGTAGCTGTGTGCCGCGAAAGATTCTCCATACGCTGGCTGCGACATCCCGCTTCCATTGCCAAAAGAGGGCACGCCAGCATCTGAGCTGCCACCACCACCTCCTGCGCCGCCCCATCGGCGCGGGTTGGCAATGGGCGCCGCATTCTCGCCGGTCTTTTGAGCATTGCTGCGCCAAGACATTGTGGGCGTGGAAGGATGAAGAGGTGCAAGAGAAGCTTGGTCAGATGGATGCTTTTAAAACTTGCTGCGACGAATGGTTGGCCTGGAGGCAGAACAACGGCCAGCGCAATCGCAATGCAATGCTATGCTATGAAGTCGGGTGTCGGCCGACAAGATTGGCCCAATGGGATGCAGGCCGAGCAGCTGTGGTGTCGCCAGGGTGCGATAGCCAAGGTGTACGTCCCGGGAATCTGGCTTCGAAGACAAGGCGGACCAAGCAGAAGAGGTGACTGACAGGAATGGATGGGCGAGAATCCAAAAGGCGTCACCGGGCTGGGGTGCGGGTGAGCCGCGAGGAAAGGTGAAATCGGCGAGATGAACCTGCACCAATAATTAAGGGACCGCTATACGGGCCAAGCCACGTGGCCATGACAACTGTGCAGGGCGCGCAACGGGCGCCATGTTGCGCTCAAGCCATGTACGTAACTCCAAGTCACATCACAGCTAGCATTGACGTCTGCTCCGACCTCGTCCCTCACACCCAACGTCAGCCTTTACTCGCTCGAGTAGACTGCTAGTCCTCGAGATCTCGCTCACTCGCCATCATGTCTGCCCCCATTGTGCATCATCTTTCTTTCGGTCCCTTGACCGCTCACGCCTTCAATGCAGACCGTTCGCAAGTGGCTGTATGCCCCAACTCCAACGAGGTGCAGATCTACTCGTTGACGGGCAGCAATTGGACCCTGACCAGCACCTTGACGGAGCACGACAAGATAGTCACTAGCATCGATTGGGCTCCGCTATCGAACCGTCTTGTGACTTGCTCTCAGGACAGGAACGCATATGTTTGGAGTCTGGGTAATGATGAGAATGGAAAGCAGGTCTGGAAACCCACGCTGGTGTTGCTCAGACTCAATAGAGCGGCAACATTTGTGAGGTGGAGCCCAAAGGAAGACAAATTCGCCGTAGCAAGTGGTGCTAGGTGAGTCAAGGCTTGCACGATGCCACTGCGATGAAAGCGTTCAGGCTGACTGGGATCTCGATGTGACGCAGAATCATTTCTATCTGCTCATTCGAAGCTGACAACGACTGGTGGGTAGCTAAGCACATCCGCAAGCCGCTGCGATCTACTGTACTGTCTCTGGATTGGCATCCCAACAACGTACTGCTTGCGGCTGGCAGTGCTGACGCTCGCGCGAGAGTCTTCAGCGCCTTCATCAAGGGCGTGGACGACAAACCTGCAGCTTCTGTGTGGGGAGAGAGGCTGCCCTTCGGCACGGTCTGCGCAGAATTTGCGGCGCCTGCTGGCGGGTGGGTTCACGATGTCAGCTTCTCGCCAGATGGAGATTCGCTCGCTTTCGTGGGTGAGTCATCTGCGCTCAAATGCTCTCCATTTGTTCGACACGACTGATGCTGACCATACAGCACTCGTGCTTCTCCTCGCGCAGCTCACGACTCCTCCGTGACCATCGCTCATCCTTCGGCACCTGGAGCACCTCCCCATGCAGTCCACGTGATCAGAAGTCCAACTCTGCCCTACGTGTCTTTGCGCTTCGTCTCGCTCACGTCCTTTGTCGCTGCCGGTCACGATTGCCAGCCTGTTCTGTTCACTGGCGACGTCACTTCTGGATGGCGTCTTGCCAAGTCTCTTGACAGTGCAGCAGTTGCCGGGGGCAAAGCGCCTCCCCCACCGCCTCCCAAGCCATCTGGCGTCGGTGGACCTGGTCGACTGAACAACGAGGCATTCAATCGCTTCAAGTCTGCCGATGCTCGTGGTGTCAGTACAGCAACATCTGTTACTGGCGGGGGCAATGGAAGCGGTGTCGCGGGGCAATTGGGCGCCATCGTGGGAAGTGGTGTCGGAGCTGATGGAGAGCTGCATACGACCCACCAGAACACCATCACCAGCGTGCGAGTTTACTCTGGCTCAGCGGACAATGCCAGCGCGATCAGTACAAGCGGTGTGGATGGACGTTTGTGCATCTTTACCGTTCCTGCACCCTCGTCCGTTGGAGCGCTCACGAAGGGCGTAGCTTCCATTCGAGTTGCCTAACCTTGCTTGCATATTGTACACTCCACACGAATTGTAGACGCAGCATACGCCTCCGCTTTGCGAACATGACCTACGCGATTCACGCTGAATGAAGCGGAGTGAGGTGATGACATGTGCGTGTGAGCTTGTCAGTAAACGACTGGCCGCACGTGAGCCTCGATCGTCACAATGAACCACGACATGGATGAGATTCGAGATCCTTCCAGAGGCGGGACTCGAACATTCGTCACGAATTCGTTCGCGTAGCTCGGCGATGAGCATGAAGATGATGCGTACATCATCATATTGAGCATGCAAACATCTCGGCGCTGCGCAAGCGTCCTCACCGCACAACAGAACGTGAAATACGAATCGTGTACGGTGATGCTTCGTTGCACGTCGGTCATGATTCGCAAGCATGCGTTTTAAGCTCTGTGGCTGGTCGCAGCGCATCTAGGGTGTGAAACAGGCTTGTGGATTCGATCCCCGCCGTCCTCAACCTCGCGATAGGAGACTCGCCGGTATAGGTGGGTAGGGGTGTGGCTGTGACCCAGCTCTTCTCACGTTCATCGCAGACAGTCACAACAATTTGACTCGATCATGGTCCGCAGCCACCTAGCTGGCACTCGGCCGCTTCGCCGTGCTTCGGCTTTTTGATGATCGGGTCTCGCCTTCCATAGATGGCCCGCGGCGAAGGAATAAGCCGGACTTCTAGAACAACTGATATTCACGATTGTGAATGATGCACGCATGCTCGATGTGATCTGAGCTCAGCACCCATTCCATCATCATTTCACGAGTTCAGATTCGTTGTGTTGGTGATTGTCTAGCTACGAGATGGGTCGTATTCGACTCGGATCGCTCACATCACACACACGACGCTATTCAGTGTGTGAGTCACCAGTCGAGTGATTATTGATGATCGATCAGAGCGGTAAATCGTGAATGAGCGAGGAAAATGCTGAGTGGCCGCGGCTGCTGAGCTGCTTGCAGATGCATGGCTGCTGCTGTGTGTGCTGGCTGTATGTGCGTACGCGTACGTGTGGCCCAGGCTACGCAGGCGCGCTCAGCAAACTTCTCATTCTGCATGACGTCATAAGGCGGACGGAGCGTGATGGGGGTCCAGAATCATCATCAGGCTCAGCCGTGCATGCACGAGCCACAATCCGCTTGTGGGCACGCTGCTGATGATGCAGCCCACTCACACTCACGACTCAGACGTGACTGTGATCCATGCCATGCTTGTGCAGCTGGACCCCCGTCTTAGCAGCCATGCAGGGGCACACTCACACACTCACACACGCATCAGCAGCTCGTCACTCACGACTCGTGAATGCTGCTCCCAAATTCCATCCGCAGATACGCTGCCGCTGTTTGCTGTTCTCCTGATTGAGCAAGCTGTAGCTATGTAGCAGATGCTCTGGGGCTGTGCGTAATGGCACGTTACGATGACGTGCCCGAGGGCAGCTAGCGTAAAGCAAGCAAACGTGTGCTTTGATCCTCTCTTTCCACGTACCGAGACGAGAAAACTATATATACCTGAGGCATCACTCGCTCGCCAGGGCTTTGTTTGTCTCCAACCACATCTACGAGAGAAAAACAGAATTGCTAGCTACTTAAGCCACTAACACATCAAACAACTTCTCATCATGTCGGACACCAACCAGCCAAGCCAACTCTCCGGAGGTATCAAGCAGGTGCAAGGTGCGTCTTTCGAGTAGCTTCGCACTCCGGCCGCGGGAAACGAGGAGCCCGGCACTGATTGAGCGTTGTGTATTCTTGCATTCCTCGCAGGCACTGTCACTGAACAGATAGGAAACCTCACCGGCTCCAACGACTGGAAGGCATCCGGTGCCCAGACCCGCACTGAGGGCGAGGCTGAGCAAAAGGCAGCTCAAGCCAAGGAGTACGCCGAGGGTGAGTCTTTCCCTGTCGAAGGCGCGGAGCGATTAGAAGGGCGATAAACTTGTCCGGCAACACCAAGCTCCACCCTCCAGTGGAGTCAGGAAGCTTGCGTGGATGTTCACACATGGGTGCCTGCTCATCACTGCTGAGTGGCAATATCAGAATGCTCACCTTTGGTGCCCTTTTGCGATCCCTCAGGCGCCACTGACTCCGTCGGCGGATACATCCAAAGCGTCAAGGGCGCCGTCACTGGCGACAAGACCGAGCAGATTGCTGGCAACGCCCGCAAGGAGGCAGGTGACGCTCAGCGCGCTGCCAATAAGCCCACTTAAATCATGTGGTGTCTTCCTGTATTCTGATACGATGATTCACGTCACCGACACACGAATGTGATTCAATCTCTTTCGCGATGCACGCTGCGCTTGACATGATGAAAACTCACTATAGGTGCGTGGAATGTCTGTATTTAGCCTATGGCACAGTCCATACATGCTGCTCTGTGGCTGGCAAAGTTCGTCGCCATGGTCAAGAATCGCCAGATTCTCCTTTCGATCAGTAGACCTGAGGCTGCGCGGGTGGGTTCAACCTCTGCATTAACATTGCTGACTTGCCTTAATTCCGTCTGGAGCTAGTGGCTTACTATACATTTGCGGAGAACGTCAAAAGGGAAGTAGGGGTGGGATGTGGCATTGATCTACGCTGTTCGACCTTCGCGGCATTCGAAGCGAGGAATCAGCAGTCTCACGAGGCGCGCATCAGCCGTTGCGGTTCCGCACCGAAAAGAATCGTGACATGCCGCTCTTGACGATGTTCTGAGGGGGGGATTGCGTAGATTGCGCTGCGTCGAAAGATGGCGTCGAGTATGAGGCTGATGTCGTCATCGGGGTCACTGCGGTTGTCGAAGCAACAGATGAGACACCTCTCGTATTGACCAGCCTGTCGACATCAGACCCGTTCGCGTTGCCGTGGGATGAGACCGGTGCAGGGGCAGGACGTAAAGGCGGTGGACGGGTATAGCTGTCCTGCGATGGTCTCAATCTGGATGATACGTTCGGTGCAAAATTTGCGGCATATCCGGAGCGGTCGTCGATAGACGGCGAGCTGTATGGCTGTGAAGTCATTGAAGAAGGCTGGCGGCCATTGCTCCCGCTTTCTTTGCGCCTCTCTTTGGGCTTCGCCGCCTTGGGATTGGCGCCAAAAATGGCAGGGAGATAGGATGCATCCATCGCTGGCTGCAAGCGGGCAGCGGTGGCTTCTGCCGCCTTCTCGCCGCGCTTCCTCTCTGCGATGGGATCAAGGCCGGCAGTCATACCTAGCAGGCTCCGGGACGGAGGCCTATTGCTACCAGTGGAGCGTCTAGATCCCAAAATCGCCGCAGGTGCCGATGTTGTGGAATAGATGCTGCTTGGAGCGTCTGACATGAGAGACGAGGCCGAACTAGTTGTGTCCACAGAAGCTGTGGAAGGATTCCGATCCCGCCACGAGGATGGCTCGGACTTTCTCGCATCTTCGACAAAGGGGACGTGACCGCCTCTCTGCGATGTTGATGCAACATTACTACCGCGCTCTGCGTTGATGCGATCTCTTCGGGCGGCCGCGGAATCCCACTGCGCTCCACTGCCAAAGTCATCGTCTTTGGCCAGATGACGCTCCGACTCAGCTGGACTGTCGGACTGGTCAGTCATGCGGGTACTTGTGCTCAGCGTAGAGAAAGGACGAGCGCGATCGTTCCAGCTGAAGTTGGTGTACGCTGTGCTGGCGCGACTGCCCACGCTCGAGTACACGCTGGCCGCGTCTAATCCAGGTGAGTCCACCACTTTGTCCAAGAACATGGGCGGATTTGGACGAGCCGCCAAATCTGTCAAGGACGGTGGCAAATGCTGAGCAGCACGACTTGCAAGTGTGCTGCGAGCAGCAGCTGAGGGTCGCCCCGCTCCCATGTGCTGTGGAGCACTAGATGCGTCCTCTGTCTGTGATTTTTTGACGTTGCGACTCATCTCGCGCGCCAGAGTCTGCGAGGCAGCAGCAAGCTCAGCCAGCAGCGCATCGCGAGGATGTGGCTCGCCTTGCGCGGGTCCGCTTGCCAGATTCTCGGCAGATTGAGATCTCTTGAGATGTTGCTGCTTTTCCAACTTCGCGGCCGTGCGGCCCTTGCGTGCTCCCCTTTTCCTTCTTTTCGGATTACTTGCAGTCACGGGCCTCAACGACTCTACGTTACTGTCATGTGCTCCTTCGCCGTGTGCGGCCTGTGCGGCATCCGTCTTCTCTGAATGAAGCTCATCACTCTGAACTTCTTTGCTGACCGCAGACTTGCTATCTTCGGGCGACTCGGGCGACCCGACCTGCAGCTCGAGTTGAGTAGGGCTCTGGGGGCCGGAATTTGCGGTCTCTGCAGATTTCAGTGGTATTGCTGCTGGCGACCTAGGCCGAGCGGCATCCGCTGCGCTGGCCGCTTCGCGTGCAAGTGGACTGCCTTCAGAAACAGATGGAAGGCGCAGAGTCCGTCTTGGCGGCGAGAAAGTGGGCGATGGCAGTGACTCTGGGGTCCCTATCACAGATGGTGTTCGGACAGACTGAGGGCGTTGATCGCGAAAGCTGCTCGAATCTTGGTTGCTTGGATATTCAGGGAAGAGGGACGGATAGAAACCATAACCGTTGGCATCCAGACTCTCGTGAATCGAAAGCGAAGGGCCTCCAGATGGGGTAGCCCATGGCGAGCCGAAAAGGGAAGCAGCTCCAGAATTGAGGGGACTCCGCGAGTGTTCCAAAGGGGAGGTCAAATCTGTCCGCGCTCCAGGTGAACGTCCATGCTCGCGCTTGTCCGCCGACAGCATCTCTGGCAGCTTCAGTGCCCATATGCCAAGCTCTCGGGGCGTCACGCGCCGGCGCGGTGATCCGTCTCGTTTGGGATTGGTGACGTCGCAAAGCACGTTGTCCGACACGTACTCCGCGACCTGAACAGTCAGGCCTTCGAAAGCCTGCGTCAGAAACGCGACTGGATCGTAACAGAAGGAGGCAAAGGCAGGATCACCCTGCGGAGACGGTTCACCAAAAGGGCTGCGATGGAAGAGGAGATTAAGCAGCACAATTCCAAGTGACCAAGTGTCTGCTTGCATTGGGTCGTACCAATCGGCGACGTTGTTGTGACATTCGTAAGCCATGTACGGCTTGCTCCCGCAATCAAAGTCGACGCATCTCTCCTGCGCAACAGCTAGGCCAAAGTCCGTCAATTTGACGATGATACGTGCATCGGCATCGGCTCTCGAACCTATGGAGCTGCGCAAACTCGTCGTGCTCCGTGAGCGGGACAAGCTTCGCCGCCCATCAAAGCCCCCATCTTTGCTCTGAGTCTCATCCTGAGACGCTGACTCTCTCCTGTCCTCAACGATAAAGTTTTCTGGCTTGAGATCGCGATGGCTGATGCCTCTGTCATGACAGAATTGGACTGCATCGCACATCTGACCAAACATTCTGCTGACCAGGCGCAAACGCCGACGTGACAACAGCTGCTGGCCAGCTGTCGATGCTAGTAATGAAGGAGAAGGCGGAGTCCCATCCAGGTGTCCGAAGCTTGACTCCTCCGAAGATTCTCCCAATCTGTCAGTAAGGACTCTCAGGTCGTAAGTTCCGTCGGCGGAACGCTCGGACGACGGACCCTCGTGGTTGTAGGTGTCCTGATCGTGAGCTTGCTCCAGCCAGTAGAATAGATCTTGACCGGGACAGTATTCCAAGACGAGAAACAGCCAGTCGTCCGTCTCGTAAGTGCGGTACAAAGTCACAATGTGCGGATGAGGAGGAATGGATTGGTGAATTGTGGCCTGCATGTCAAGGGAAGGAATCCAACGTGAGTGGACCGTGAAATTTACGAGCTCTGCCATCCACGATTCCTTACCTCTAGCCGCTGAATTTCCAGACTCTCCTCGTTGAGATCGCGCTTGCATAGGCATTTGAGGGCGAATTGCCGCCCCAGCACAGGATGCTCAAGAGGATCTGCGTGTTCTCGCGGACGCAGTCTGCCTTCCGCAACAAGGTCGCTGGCACGCAGCGTCCGGCTGTAAGTGTCGTCTTCGGGATCCTGAGGCTGCGCAGGAGCGCTCGTTTTGATGGGAATGCTTCTCGAAAGTCCCGAATACTCCTTGTCATTGCTGAAGTCAGCAGCGTCCTCGTTTTCCACCTCGCGTAAAGGAAGCGGAGCAACCTCCTCCACGAGGTACACAGTAGCATATGAGCCTTCCCCGAGCTTGCGTACAACCTCGAGCTGGCTTCCCGTAACGTCGCGAGATTGAGCCCGGAAACCATCACTCGTTTCTGCTATCCTAATGCGCTGACCGTCATGGAGCATGCCGGGTCCCAAGCGATCGCCAATTTCAAAGATGTCGACCGGTGGAAGGGCGTGAGAAGAGCTGGGATCGCGCGAGAAGCAGTATCTGTCCGTGATACTTCGCTCGCTCATGGCCATCATATCTTCAGCATTCAAGCTGACGTCATCGGCTTCCTCGTCCTCATGCTCGCTGTTCGGTGCAGCGGGACCGACAATGGTCAAATCCGCAGGATGCGAGGGGGCTATCTCTGAGTCTTCGAAGCCTGTCTGGGCCAGTCGGGTGGCGAGAATGTCTCCTAGGGTGAGCGAATCCGAGGGTCTCTGATCACTATTTGTGTCCGCACCTGTGAGTCGAGAGAAGCTGCCTATGCTGCCCATCCGACGACGACTGACAACGTCGAGACCACCCATGGACTCCGATAGGTTGCTGATTGGACTGAGCGGTATGGTGCTGGGGGGACGACTACCAGATCTGCTCGACGCCAAGCCCGGCTCTGGCGAGCGCGATTGTCCCCTTAGGCTTGGAGTGCGGACGCGGTCATAGTGAGCGACCGTCGGACGAAGACTATGAGCCGAGCTGCGATTGCGCAAATGTGGAGGCCGGTACAAGCGTCGGGGCTGAGCATCGTTACTGTGCGAAGACGTGGAATACGTTGTGCCCGCTGGCGAGTACGTGCCATCTGGCATGGCGCCAGAAGAATGACGAGAATGAAGCACCGAGTTTGGGCTTGGTCTTCCATTCAGAGCCGAGGTGGGCGAGTTGTTGGAAGTAGTGGAGCCGCGCCGGGCCGCTCCGAGGGGTGGAGTCGCAATCTGCGGAGCTCGAGGGGATAGCAATGATAGCTGTGCTGAGGGGGCAACGGAGCTTGAGGGATGCACAAAGGAGAAGTTGGATGCAGATTCGTTAGCAAGCGAGAGGAGTGATCCCTTGGGTGACTGCGTAGAAGAACCTTGACGCGGTAAGTAGGAGTATCCAAAGGCAGAAACAGCGTTTGGGTCTTTTCCACCCAGTGCTGAAGACGCTGCCTCTGTGCGCTGCTGCAATTGCGCGCGAGCAGCCTCCAAGTTTCTCGAAGGAGGGCGCGCGTCGGGAGTCGGTCCATTGGACAGCATGACGTTCGGCCTGCCATCGCCACCTTTGACTGAAGAGCTCGTGCTATCAGGACCCTTGAGCGACTCTACGCTATTCTCTAAGCTACGAGTTCGCGGACTGCCTGGCAGGCTCGGCAAAGAGCTGCTAGGTGTCAGAGCCCAATTCTCGCCCCCCAAGCGAGGCGTCAAAGAAGGATGGGCAAGAGGTCTGACCCTAGCTTCAGATGCGCTCCCTGATTGTGGTCCGGAGGTCTCGCCGCGTATCAAAAGCGGATTCAGGGGTGTGGCAGGTGCAGCTGACCCTACAGGAGGACCAAGGCGTGGTTGCCTTGCCTTAGGTGGAGAGCCAACACCGACGCCTGCCGAATCACCCAAGGAATTAGCTGATTCCGACGCCAAGCCTAGCCGGGATGGGGAGGGATGTGCCCGCCAATTGTCACTGTCCTTATGCCCGCCCCTGTCTTTGAACCTCCAGCCCGCCTTCGTTGGGCTGTGAGAGGCGGGCATGCCATGAGGCACCTCTCCAGTCACGCTAGTATGTGACTCAGAAGGCCTACTGCGAGATGCGCTAGCTCCATTTATCGTTTGAGGAGCAGCCACTGAGGTGGTCTGCTCTGGTCTGGAGTTCAAGGAGGTCGATGGTGGCGGTCTAGGTTGCCTCCAGCTGGGCGCATCAGCTCCCGACCAGCTCATGGCCGCACAGGGCGCGGAAGCTAGCCTGCAGCACCCTCAAGCGCAAGTAGATGGAGTCCTCACTACTGAATGAGTGACGGCAGCGGCCTTGACAGGCAAGAGCTACCGCAGAAGGATCTGCTGTGCAATGAGACGAGGCAGAGGTGTGCGAAGTGGTCGATTGGTAGGTTGGTGTGGGCGATGAGGCTTGATTGTGCATATCCAAGAGCTCGTGCCGACATGCCTCTCCATAGGTAAAGGGCTTCAACAGTGCAGCGGGACGTTCTGATAATATGAGGAGCGCCTACACAGTCGTCGTTGTAGTATAAAATGTGATTTGCCTGCCGTCCGAAGGGACTGGAGTTGATGAGAGCGCTGTGACGCAAGCGGACAAAGCAGACCTGTCGAGCCCTGCGCTTCTCTTTCTAGTCACCCTTGTCAGGTCGAGTGAAAAGAGGTAGCGCTGTGCGTGGTACAGGTGCCAGCAGATGCACCTCAGCCTCTGGTCCTTGGTGGATTGCTTGTCGCCTGCTCCAGAGCACCCAAGCGGTAGGGCGGGTTGTTGGACTGCGGAAGCGTGCAGGTGCGACTGGCGCGGTGATGCCGAGGTAGATGCAAAAAGTCAAAGGGCGGCGTCCATCGCGCTTTGTCGAGAGGTGATCGAAGCCACCCTCACAACGATGTTGGGATCTCGATGACAATTGGAGGGATGCGCTAGGAACTGTGCGGTGCGGTGCCCACGACTTTGTCTGTACCGGTACCTATTCACCATTGACATATATGCACGCTCCACGCTGTCGGGTTAGTGGTTCGTGTATAGGAACTGCCGTGGGTATACAGCCATCATGCAGCAGGCAGGCACTGATGCTTGCGAAGCTCCACCCAGCATGCACCCAGTATTTATGCGCAGCACGGGCGACGCTCCTTTGAAAGCGCTTCGGCGCCTAGACATACAGCATAGCCAGCCACGCTTCCGGATTCAACATTCGTGATTCTCGATTCGCGATCTGAATCGCAACTCTTGATTAGTCCTTCTCCTTAGCTGAGAGAGCGCTCGCTTCATGCCTGTTGCTGCTCAAATCAGAGCAATATTGGGGTGTAAAGATGTCTCGTCTCGAAAACCCTTTCACTCTTGACTGCTCATTTAGACGACGAAAATTATTATTGAGTTTGTCCTGAAGTCCCCTTTCTAACCCCGAGTTTGGATGGCGTGCATGAACGCGCAGGCTGCTTAAATTGCGCCTCATTCAGCCTGCAGCGGCAGCAATCCGAGGTGGTTGCGCAATCCAAATTTCACACCAATCGATCGATACGGAAGCAGACTCTGACTGAAAGCTCCTATATGCGAGACTTCAAAGGATTCGGATGTGGTGCGCAACCTTCGCGACCGAAGGATGCGCGGTCCTTTCGAGCACTTCAGTGTGAGTGCTTACAAAGTCATATCAGCGTGAGCCCGCCAGTGAGCACGACTCGTTCGCCTCATTCTTGATTCAAGATTGTGAGTGCGGGTCTTACGCGTCGACCTTCATAGCGCGATTCGAGATTTCTAGCCCGACCAGACGCACGCGGAAAGAGTTGGGGCCCTTTAGCCGCGTTCTCCGTGCCTGCTTTTGCCCCGAGGTTCAGGCAAGTTCTCGCCAAGTGAGGCTTTGGTGTCCATTCAGCAGACCGCGAATCAGACGAGCCGAACGACTCGACCGTTCTTTCAGCATTCTCTTGGGTATGCATTTCCATATACCCAGACAGCTGGGTACCTACCCACGACGGCAGGTCGGGAAACGTGGCGATTTGAGTCTTGGTTGCTTTGCTGGCACAATGAAAGACTCGTGGCTGTCCATCTCATGCACCAAGGCAACCGATCACATGGTCGCTTTTCCCTACTCCGCCGAGAGCACGCAGCTACGCACAGCCAGCAGCCCCGCCTTCTGGACGCGGCCAAGCGTCGCGCGTTTGCTGGGGGGGATGCTGCTGCTGTGCGCGCGAGCCTTATTCTGTCAATGCTTGCTCGCGCGGCGGTCCTGCGCGCGTGCTGCACGTCCGATGCGGACCTCGTGGTCTCGGATCCGACTTGCATGGCGATGCAGGCCCACGGCCGGAAGAGTCGTGAGTCGATGAACGATATCGCTGTGCTGTCGTGAATGCGCGTGGTCAGGAATCGACCTGGTGCTGGTGCGCGTCCGAGATCAGGCGTGCGCTGTGAACGCCACGGCTTTTACAAACATTCTCGACACTCTGACTCTCTCGACTATCGCGAAAGCTTTCAGTTCGGTAGTAGCTCTAATAGATAGCAGCGCTCCCGTCAAGACGCCAGACAAGCGACCACACTGCCACAGCAAGCTGAGTCCATACTTGCTGTTCTCGTCGCTCTTGAGCAGCAGGTCCACCGACGGGATCCTGGATGTCAGCACATGTCCACCAGGCAAAGTCAAAAGGCAGGCAGTGCGCCGCGCTGACAGAGTAGCCCCAAGCTCGATACAGATGTTCCATTGTTTCGCTTGATTGCAACCAGGTGCCACCCACTCATCACATTATTTGCTACAACAAGAAGCAAGAAACAAAGGGCTGAAGAAACGTAGAGGTGTGAAAGTAGTTTAAAGTAGAGCTTCCCAGAGATTTCTTACAGGCGAGGAAAATGGTGTGCACGGCGCGCACAGCGCGTACAAAGCATCACCATGAATGTTAATTTGCAGCTAGAATCTGTTCCACGAGAGCTTCGAGCGAGCGCCAGGAAGCCTGCCAGTCCCTCAACGAGCTTCCGACTGCAAGATTGGGCGCTGGAGCAGGATTGCCTTCTAACAAGCCAGAAGTGTGTTGCCAGCCAGAGAGTTGCGAGCCTGCTGCACTATCGCTACCTTGCTGCCACTGCTCTGGTTGAATAGTCGCGTCGGTGGGCTGCTCAGCACTCGCAGCTGAGACGCCAGCCTCGGGATCCCATGGTGCAACGTGGGGAGCCCGAGGCGAGCTTTCCACCTGACTTGCCAAGAGTTCAAGCCCAGTAGCCTGCTGTTGCTGTTGCTGATGTCCCGACTGCTGATGATTAGAGGAGGCTTCGCGACCGCCGCCATTCGTGGGGAAAGTGTAAGATGACGAAGATTGATTCACTCCTGGCTGAGCAGTATGACTGGTCTCAAATGACTGCCACCATTGGTCATCGAATAAGGCAGCTTCAAGAGCCGCCTGACTGGCTTGCGCGGCTTCGGCACTACCTTCTGGATACGAGTTTGCGGATGCTAGAGGGTCGACCGAATGAGCTTGCGACGGATTGGATAGTGGCGCGTAGCCAGTCGCACTAGTGCTCGGCTCGGGATAGCCTTGGCCCGTGCTATTGCCCTCAACCACAATGCCCGGTGACGATAATGCACCCATGGCCGCCCGCTTTGACGCACCGTTGGCTAGCGGTGCTTCAAGCTTGGCTCCTGGCTCTGCTGACGCGATAGCGGCTTGATGCTGAAGTTGAAGCGCATCCATCTCGCGCAGAGTCGAAGCGTAGCGGGCTGCCTGCTCCGCGACGTTGCGTAATCCGGGACGGGACGATAGGGAGTCGAAAGCCTCCACAGCCCGGTCGATGATCGGCCGGGTCAAATTGCGGAAGGCTGCGGCGTCGGGGTCCGAGTCAGCGCAGAGAGCGCTCTGTACGCTGAGGACAACAGCAGCTTGGAACAGCGGATGGGAGGCCGCGTGGTAGAAGACAAAGGGCGGCGTTGGGTCTCCCAAGAAGAACGTCCACACAAGATATACGATGCGTTGACTGCGGGGGAAAAGGCTGGTAAGTGAAAGTCTTGCTGAATCGCGTGCGCTACCACTCACGCAGCATCGAGGCATTGGGACAGAGCATTTTGTGCATCGCCCGGTGTGGTCCAAGATCCGGCTGCGTCAAATTGAGGTCGATGAATTGCCATCGTTGTCTGCAATCGGGTGAGCCGGAGCATCACGCGCTGAAAGTAAGCAGTGTGCTTTCTCTCGACGAGACCTGCCGCGCTGACGTAATCGGTCTCGCCTCCATCCTGCTCGGCGGCATCGAGCTCTTCCGCGCTACCCGCTCCGGCAAGCGGCCCACCGTCATCTTGGTGCAAGAATTGCTCTACTGTAGGTGGCAAGCGAGTTCTCCACTCTTGAAGTACTCCGGCGATCTTTGATGCTGTAGTATCCGAGCTTTCAGCACGCGAAGGGTGAGCGCCGTGTATCACCAAGAGACGCACAAGGTCGTATCGAGCCGAATGAAAGTCAAAGTTGGTACGAGAAGGCCTGACTAGGCTTGCACTATTTGCACCAGCACCGTTGGAATGCTGAGCGGCAGATGCTTGCAGCTTCTCAGCGCGAGCGTACAGGTTCCATAATCCTCCGTGATCAAGGGGTAGCTCGGTGTCAAAGCTGTCGGCTGTGATCGTGCATGGCATGTTGAGACGATGACTACTTAGTACTTCCAGCATGACGCATGAGTACCACATGTTTCTCCTCGCCTGCGACTCTTCTTTACCCATCGTTTTCCAATGTCTGGCGTCTCTATGAAGACCAGCGGCATGAGCGAATCGGACGGTCGTGGCGAAGCAAGAAGAGGCGAATTGAAGATGGAGCTCGGCCAAATGATATAGCCCGCGAAGCATGCTGGCCCTGACCAAATCCAAGGGCGCAGAGAACGCGCTAGACCAGTTGCTGGGACAGCCAATCTGAAGCGCATCGATACATTTGCCCGCGACTTCCAAGAGTTTGGCTTCACTGTCGCAATCTTCGAGCCCTTCGTCGAAAGAGCCCGCTGCGCCGGTGGTTCGGCGAGCCTGGGAAGCTAGTGCCAGCAGCACCAAAACCAAAGGCACCAAGGGTGGGTCGGCAGGTAGACTGTCAGGGTCCGAGTGCCACCATCTAAGGAACGCCACAATTCGAGGTCGGTTCAGGTCGACGATGACTGCGTTGCACAGAGGCTCAACGTTGGCCCGGTATGCATCTAGGAAAGGCCCAGCGGCTTCTGGTCGAGGCAGGCGAAGAGCAGAAGTAGTGAGACCGCTCGGCGCTGCATTTGGCAGACACGAGAACAACACCCCTGCCACCGCTGCTGAACGCGAAGCTCTGACGCGGACATCGAAGTCGAGTGATTTCCGCCTTCCCAGAGCAGAGGTCCGAGCAATCAGCGCTTGGCGACTATTGGAGGCCGTTGTTGCGTTAGGAAGAGATGAGAGCGCTGTCTCCTCCTCGTCCAAATGCCCAGATTTTCTGCTGTTCCTTGGCCGTCTGGAGATCGGGAAGTCGAAGTTAGGACGGAGTGCACAAGAATGTAGGCCTCGCTACTCACTTCGAATTCTGCCTCTTCTGCATCTCGGCTTCCTCTTCGCGCCTTCTGATCTCTTCGACTCGTAGTTTTGAAGCGGGGCTAGCTGCTGTTGCAGCCGCCTCGCCCTGGGAATCGCCTACATAGGTGCATGACGTCCCCTCCGGACAGCCACCACAACGAGGCCGCTGACGATCGCATTTTTGCTTCCGGGCTCGACATTCCAAACAGGAGGTGATCGGTCTATGCCGAGTGATTTTGCCAGAGGGTCGAGCCCGCTTCGCCTTGCGTGGAGAGGGTTTGGCGTCTTCACTTGGTCCTGCGCCACCAACTGAGGAGTCTTGAAGGGACCTTTCCATAGCAGCCATCGCAGCGGCGGCAGCGGCAGCAGCAGTGGCAGCCGCATCAGCTTCCTGATCGGTGTGAGAAGGAACATGCTCTACAGCAGCTCCGGCTTCAGCGGCATCGTCCATCGACTGATCCTCGCCATGCACGAAGGAGAAATCAGCAGTCTCATGAGCCTCTGGATGCTCCACACCGTTTTCGGTATCCACGCCACCGATGTGCTCTTCAGGGGGTCGCTCTGTTGTACCGTCGTTGTAGTACGCTGTCTCGTCCTGTGGGCCTGCTTCCAGGCCGTCTGGATCGTAGGACGCGCCGTTCACCTCCATTTGCTCGGCGTTCGCATCGTGAGCAATGTCTGCCTGCTCGTGCTCGGCATCTTGCTGGACTTCGAGATGTCCTTGGTCAGAGTCAGCCACTATGCCGTTCTCCTCGGCGCCCGGTGGTGCGAATAAGTTGCCCGCATGGGCCTGAGCGCTCGACAGCGGAGCGGACATTCCAGCTGCGGGGGAGCGAAGTGAGAGTGCTCGCGCGGTGGGTCGCCGCAATAACGATGGTAAGAGCAGTGAGGGACTACGGCACAGCACGCGGATGCTAAGCCTTCCATTCCTCGAGACCTGAGGTGTGTAGAAGAGGGTGGGATGGTCCCTCGTATTGACTACCTCGTTGTCGAGTATGGCCGAGGATGAGGGCTCGATCGCTTCCTCACTCTACCGCACATGCATCCATGCAGGATCCCGAGGGCGCGTCGCGCGTTCGGCATACAATGCGAACTACGCTGATACGGAAAATTCTCGCACGGGTGAAGTGCCGCCGTGCATGCATGAGCACACCTTTGACTATGGTTGGCCGCAACCCAACATGCTCGCGATCACGAATCGTGAATATGGAATCACACGTATGTGACGATAGACTCAACTCAAAACTTCAAGACTATAGTTGAGTGACATGTGACTGCTGCCGCTCTCTTGCCACGCGCGACTATTGGACTTGAAGGCGGTCCGGTAACGTGTCGGTGAATATTCGAGGTTAACGCCAGTCTTCAATCACATTGAATCTTGAATTGAATTCAATTCTCGTTTGTGAATCAAAATTGTGATTAAAGATTCACCTTCATCAAGTCTGAGTCCCCACGAGAATCGAAAGTCAAGAATCTTAGTAGTACATTCAAGATTGTCATGAATGCTGGGATATGCCCCATCTTCTACACCATCACAGACTCACCTCGGCTTGATCAAATCTGCTTCTATACTGTTCGTCTTCGCTTCCTGATTGCTCTCTTCAGCTTGACGATGGCGGCAGTGAATGAAGATGGCGCGTGCCTTGCCGCTTCCAAGCCGCAAGGGAGTGACAAGGCTCGTCTCAGCGAGGTAGCTGCTCACGGCCACACCTCGGATTGGTTTGCTGCTGACTCTCACTTCCTGGCGAGCATCGAAAATATGATGGCCAGCAGTGTCAACGACCACGCCTCGGTCAATGTAGCACGCTCTCCTGCCGTTCACCGCAGAGGGGTAGCGGGCGAGAAAAGCATACAATCACCAAACATCGACCTCGGTCTGGTTATAAGCGGGCAAATGAGTCCCAAAAGATCCTACAGTCAAACCTTTGGCCCCAGCAAATCCACATCGTCGAATAGAGGTCCCGCCGAGCACAGCGACACGTCGACGACGCAGTAAGCTGGCCAAAAAAAAAAAAGATAACATGAGCCTGCCCATTCGAAGCGTGGATGCTAACCCTGCTGACGTCAACGCTTCGACAGTGTCATGAGCATTTGGAAACGACAACAGGCGGCTGCCTGCGGGTCCGCTAAGCCTTGCGAGGTAGTGTGATCAGAAATTTCCGCGCATGCCGTCAGCGTGCTCACCGTTTTGCTTTGGCGATCTCACAGACTCGTGCATCAAACAGATCGGAGCTCACTTTCTCCCATGCCAGCGCAACAGATGACCTGCGCAATGATTCGAAGCGAGCAAAAAATTGTGCAGCCTCTCGCGACACTGGAGTATGCGATGCCCAGTCCAATGTGGAGCATGTGCGCACGCCACCTGCTCCGGTCACTCGAAAACAGCATAATAGCCAGACTGCGGTCAACAGCACAGCATCACGCCTTCAGCGAGCGTCGCACTCGGCTCAAGAGGAGGCTGTGCCTGCTGCACGAAACCAGGCTTCGCGAGGTCGAGCTTGTCGTCCTGAGGACGATAATGTCCACACTTCGGCTGCGACACCTTTGAAGGTGCCATCACAGTCTCAGGTGCTTCTAGCAAGACCTGTGCCAGAAGCCGGCACCACGATGCCCCAGAGAGTAGCTCATCCGAAGTCCCTCGCCGTGGATGCTGTCGAACGTGTTGAAACAGAAAAAGCGGCTCTGGAAGCAGACTGCATCGAGCTCGTGCGTGTTGAGAGGGGTCGTGCAACAGCTGGTTTTTGCTCACCTGCCTTTTGAGCCAATTTACGGTAGAAATGTCTACTACAAACGTCGCAGCAAGAGCTCGCAGCAGCAAAAGCACTTCTTACAGACGAAAATTCTGGGCTTAGGACCATGCTGGCGAGAGCCTCGCGGCTATCTAAAGAGTGCGTTGACAAGATACTCACAGCATACATGCTAGCGCTCTGATCTCTGCTCCTGTCCAGAGCCGAGGCAGCAATGCATGATGCAGGAAAATTGCGTGCGGAGCAGTCAGACCTCATGCGAGACCTAAGGGCGAGCTTGTACACTATGAAACCGACTTAACCTGATGGCCACGGCTGACACCGCCGTCTTCCTTCGGGTGTAGCGCCTTGTCGAAGGGGCAAAGTGCAATTCAGAGGCCCGGTCCGAACAAGCAGGTGGGCAGCAGCGGCGTTGCGTTGTATGTCTTGATTTAGGCAAAATTGAAGCTTATGACAAGGACCAAAGCTGCCTTGGAAGGTCTGTGGGCAGCGTTCCAAAAGCTCAAGAGAGGATTGGAGGCTTGCAAGGATGCTCCAGCCCAAATGAACCTATGTGAGAGCGATGTACGATCTGAATTTGGTAGCAACCAGCTAGCTAATGCACCGTTGCCTCCTGCGCTACAGTGGAGAAGATGCTCGCTCAAGAACAAGAGAAGGCCAAGAACGCTTTGTACGATAAGGCTGACCTCGTGGATCAGCTCAAGGCGGTTCGAGAAGACCTCGACAACCAGCACAAATCCCTGGCCGAGCAAGTCAGATCGAAAGAGAGCGTTTTGGACGAACTACATCAAGAGCAACAGCGTTTGGCGGTCATGACGACGCGCATGGAAGGGATACAGGCCCAATGTGGCACTTGGGAGATGCAATGCGAGGAAAAAGATCAACAGTGAGGTGTTCAATCCACAGTTGTCGAAATGTTTCGTTGACCATCATGCTCCATGCAGTCTCAAAGCCCTTGTCGCTGATCAGAGCAAACTCTCAGACGAAATTGCGGGCGTCCTCAAAGACATGCGAGCATGCGAGCAGTATCTGAGCGTTTCTCGAGATGAGGCCAAGGCCGTCGAGGAGCGGTGCGTACCGCAAAAAGCCAGTTGCTAAGCCGAACGCGGACTACTCATCACGATGACCTTGTATAGCCTCAACGCTGTTCTTGTAGAGCTCGCATCATCTCAGGAGAAGCTGAAGACGTCGGGATCGGAGTGTGCGCTGCTTAACGCAGCACTGTCAGACGCCCAGCAAAGAGTCGAGGCTCTGACGAGGCAAGAGAGCACCTTGCGTGAGAAGCTTGAAGCAAGCGACAACGGCCTCAAGGTCTCGCAGAGCAGGTGAGTTGAAATTGATTCCAACCTTGCAAGCATCAATTTCACACCACCATGGTCCCGCAGTCTAGCGGCCGCGCAGCGAGAATTAGGCGAACAGGCCGTTCAAATTGCAGTGCGTACTCTTTGGCTCAACGCCGTGGATCTGCGCTAACGATACATAAGGATTCAGAATCTTCAAGGGGAGTTGAACATTCAGGAACAAGTCTTGGTAGCCCGCAGCTCCGAGAGCATGCATCAAGTCGTGAGTGAGGCTTGTCTCCCTGTTCTTCAATTCCACTTGTCGACATCTTGGTGACGACTCCATGGTCGGCAGGCGTCGCTGGAGAATGAGCGCCAAATTTCGTCTCGTTTTCGAGAAGACTGCAATGCAGCCATCCAGGCCATGGACGAAGCAAAGAACGAAGCCGCGGAAAGCCAGAAAGAGGTCATCTTGCAGCAACAAGCTCAAGCCCAGCTCCATGCGAACCTCGAATCGCTGCGCTCTGAACTCCAGGAGTCAGCGCTCAAAGCTACTGAAATGGAAGCTCAGCTTGCCTGCGCCAAGACAGCAGAGGATGAGAGGCGACAATTAGCGGACGTGCAGAACCAGCGCGTCGCAGAGGCATCAGAGCGCACAAAAATGATGGAGGACAAACTGGAGCAAGCGCAGTCCCAGCTCACTGCAGTCCGCGAAGAACTCAAAGAGTGCCAGGGGCGAGCGGCACAGCTCGATGCAGACCGCACACGTCTAGCAAATCAAATGGCCGCCACCATGGAGGCGCTTTCGGGATCGGGCCAACCACAGGCTCCTGCAGCTGGCGGCTTTGAGACGACCTTGGATCAAGATGTTGATCTTTGCACTCATTCTGGTGCCTTGATCCTTCGTCAATCCCATGCAGCAGTGGAGTCCATGACTCAAGAAAGCTTTCCTGACCGATATTACGCTGGTCGTATCGTCAGTATATCTTCTGTCAACTCGATCGGGACTTTGTACGGAACTCAAACCCGCTCTCCCCTGTCTCTCATCGCAGACGGCATATGAGGCGGACTTCATGATACAAATCACGAAGAATTTGGATGAACAACACGCGAAAGAAACGGCGAAGAAAGACAACGAGCTTAAAAGGGTAAGTAGCTACAAGCGCCCGCTGTGTCCTTGACACTGACGTAGGTCTTTGCTTCAGGTCCAAAATGAGAATAAGACCCTGATCAAGAAGCTGAGCGAGGTACGTGCGGGCTTGTTTGATGTTTGTGGATCGCTTTGATGCCATCGGTGATGTTTCTGTGTCGTCGCTCGTCCAGAACCAGCGCAGAATGGGAGCTTCTGCCGCTGGCGCCTCCACTGCCTCAGGCCAATGGCACGATCCAGAAATGCAACGCCGCCAGATCGATCTACCACCATCCGATGATGCGGAGGCCGCTGGCCAGAGAGTACGTATCTTGCATCGTGTTTCGCTCTCCAGGTATTCGGACGCTGAAGTTCAGTCTAGCCTGCCCATTCTCAGACGGCGGCTCACAGCCTGGTGACTCCAACTGTGAGGTCCAGAAACTCATTTCGCGCTCGGTATGAGAAAGCAGTCTCACGCCCATACTACGCTGATCTCTTCACGCAGCGAGCTGAGCGCGCCGCAGATATTTCGAGCACTGCGACTCAACAAACAGCCGTCGCCCCAGCGCCTCTAAGTGCTCCATCTGCTGGAAACTTCCAACGGTCAAAGACAGCGATCCTTACTTCGGGAAACACTCAGCACGCTGTCATTAGCGGCACCAAAATGCCACCTTCTAGTCCCTTGTCGTCCCCTCATTCTTCTCAGGCGTCCGTGACTAGCGATAATGCTACCAACGATGACACTTACATGACGGACACTGTCGGACCGGATGAGAGCATGAACGTTCGCACCACGTCTAGTCAAGCCTCGACGCTTAGGAGAACACAATCACAGTACCCCTTGCGCTCAAGCATTAGGCGCCGTCCATGAAAGACTGCAGCACTCAAGACCAGCGCAGCCAGCCAATAGATCGGACTCGAAGAACGATGGCTAAAACATGCATCAGCACAGAAGATCAGAGCAACCTTACGATTCCAACAAATTGCGATGAGCAAGCCAGCGACGAGCGAAGCCCATCAAGACGAGCACTCCATTTGTTGGCTCACTCCCTGTACCTTCGCAAAATACTTCCAAGACACACTCAAACGGGGCTGGAGGGTCAGCTTACAAGTATGAAGGTCGATGTACGATCGACGAGTTTCAAGACAGTGAGAATAAATCAGACGTTCAGTTGAGAATAGTCTGATGTCCAGGAATGTGCGCCGACGCCTCTTGAGTTGCGGGACTGGCGCGTGGGCACGCCTGGTGTGGTGCAACCTGGCGGTCAGCGTGTGGTACGGCCGAAGCATGTCATCGCGAGATGGACTTTTGTTCCGGATCTCGCTCCCGTTCGAATGAGATTTTGCCGAGACGCGTGTTCTGAGCGTGAGCTTGTCCACATAGTACCAAGCTTTGATGCTGCGTGGGCCGTCTGTCACTGCCAGCGTCCTGCATTCTTAAAGGCAAGACGTGCGCGCGGGTGCTATATAGCTGGTGACATTCCATCATTGAAACAGTCAGGGGTGAATGAGTTGGCATGCGTGCACGTGAGGAGGGCAGCCGGCTAATCAAGCGACTCGTGACTGCTGTGCACAGTCATGAGGATTGTAGCCCCACGCTTTCTCCGGCGCCTCCGCACGGATTCCTTTGCTCTTAACTCCGGTCATCATAGTTGCGAGCCGCACTTGCTCCAAGCTGCATCTTCCGGGCTTGCATTTCGGGGTGGAGGTCGACCGGTCCATAGCTTGACTCGCTAGGTGGGGCTAGCTGCTGCTCTATAGCTGTTTGCGGGGTGGTTTTATAAAGCAGCAGCTTGTCTTGCCCTTGTCTCGAATGTCATCACACATCGACCGTCACACAGATACGCACACCTAGTTCTGGACGAGGGGCCCCATCAGATCGAGCAACGCAAACCAGCATGTCCGTCCCAAGGACATTCAAGAGCGCTATTGTCGAGGCTCCTAGAGCCAAGACGGTGATCAAAGATGTGCCAACACCCGAGCCAAAGCCTGATGAAGTGCTGATCAAGATCACGGCTGCAGCCATCAACCCAGTGGATTGGAAGATGAGGGACGAGCCGGACACGTATCCCTACCTGAAGGAATATCCCACTCCACTCGGCTCCGACGCTGCAGGCATTGTAGCAGCTGTAGGTAGCAGTGTGGACTCCTCTCATCTCAAGGTGGGCGATCCAGTCTTCTTCCAGGGTATTATAGGAAATCCTAGAAACTCCACTCTGCAGCAGTATGCCGTCATGCCTGCCGAGCTGGCTGCCCTCAGACCCAGCAACATCACGGAGGAAGAGGCGGCGGGCATCTCTCTCGCTAGCGCGTGCGCTCTCGTGGGCATGTACCACGACACTTCAAGCACCCCTACCAAGCCCGGCCCATGGGAACCAAAGGGCGACGCTGCTGGCAAGGGCAAAGCGCTCGTCGTTCTTGGAGGCTCCTCATCCGTTGGGCAGTACGTCATCCAGCTCGCCAGACTATCGGGCTACACACAAATTGTGAGTCCGAAGGCCAGCTGCAATGCGATGGATTGGGGCGCACTTAAGCCAAAATGTAATCCTTGCGCTGCCAGATTACCGGATCTTCGCCCAGCCATCATGAGCACCTCAAGCAGCTGGGTGCTACAGCTGTGCTTGACCGAAACGTGGCGGATGCTACGCACTACGTCTCGGCGCTGCGCGGTCTTGCAGTGGACTACGTGTACGATGCCATCAGCGAAGAGTCCACGAACAAACTAGCCATAGAAATCCTGCAACGCTCTTCAGGCAACAAGACGGGCAAGCTGAACATGATAAGCGTCATACCGCCTAGCCAGGCTGTCAAAGCAGAAGCCAAACAAGCTGGCGTCGATATCAGCTTTATCCTGGGTATGGGCAGTCTGCCGCATGTCAGACCCATCTCGGTGCCCTTCTTCAAGGCCCTTACTGGATGGCTCAAGGAGGGCAAGTTCGTACCCAACAGGACCCGCCTCATCAACGGTGGATTGCCCGCCATCGAGCAAGCACTCGAAGCCAACAAGACGGCGAGCGGCGTCAAGATCATCATTCGTCCGCATGACGCTTGACACTGCATAGTCAGGTCAGACCGGTTTTTGCAAGCAACAGCAAAGTAGCCATCAATACTCGTAATGCATGGACGCGCAGGTCTGCCTGCTCGTGACAATATTTCATTGACCGTAGTGGTAAGCCTCGACGAGCTGCGAGTGTTTGCACTTGACTCTTCGACGCGGCAGACACGATGTCGAAGTGAACGGTGTTGAGTGATGTAGAAGGTCAAGTAGTGCGTATTTGGACGGGAAAAAGGCAACGGTGAAACACGCGGGAGGGACAAGCAAAGCGACAGAAGTCTTGTGCGGACATGTCGTAGGTGTATGGCAATCGTGAATGGAAATGTGAGTGACTGACTTATCAAGTCACGAGTCTGGGTCACGCTTGGAAAGCGTATACTAGAATTTTGAATTTGAATGCAACCCACTTTCAGATCACGTGATGCTCGAGCGCAGCGGTGGCTGCTGCGCCCGCGTGAATCCGTGATAATCTTGAATTTGAATGCGAACGCACGCTTTTAGGTCGATGGATTGATGCATGCGCGCATACCCGTCACAGCTCAACTGGAAGCCGGCACTCATGACTAGAGAAGAGCTCACCTTCAGGCCGTATCGTCCATCTCTTTTGGCTTTCCTTCCATCCATCCTGCCTGCGCATATAGACAAAGACTCTCCTTCGCTTCGGTTCGATTGATACAGCTCACGCTCATCTCTTGGTCCACTGTACCTACCGAGCTTTGGCGCAACCCTTTACTGTCGCGCTTGCAAGACCTCGCCACTCCTTGCTCACCATGAAGGACTCGACCAAGAAGCTAGTGGTGGACTTGGTTCTACTAGGTCTTACCAATCTAGCCGCTTACTATGCCATCCGAGCCATCCTACAGGGCAATGATCCTCAGAGACAAAAGAGGCTGGATGCGAAAAAGACGAGCGGGGACAAGCTTGCTCGGCTGGGAAAGAATGTGCAGCTGAATGAGTACGAGGGTGAGTTGGGCGTGACCCTTACGCCGAAGGTGGTGCATGTACGCTACATGAATTCGAGTGCGACTTGGTCCTACCTATGTATGCGCATAGCTGTGAACTCGGTACAGGCGTTGTCAGACTCACGATCGTTCCGTGGCCCGTATCCATCGCAGAGCAAATTGCAACAGAGCTCATTTTACCACATCAAATCCAAGAGACGTTCGATTCAATTGGTGGGCTGGAGAGCATCATCTCATCGCTGCAAGAGAGCGTCATTGCGCCCTTGTGCTATCCGGAGCTCTTTGCGGGAGCGGCGGGAAAGAATGGTCTGCTTGGAGCTCCCAAGGGTGTTTTGCTCTTTGGTCCTCCCGGAACAGGTGAGTAGCGCTCGAGGTGGCTGGCAGTATTTTTGCCAGGACATCGCTGATGATCGCATACTTTTGGGTTGTAGGAAAGACGATGCTGGCCAAGGCTCTTGCAAAGGAGAGCGGCGCGACCTTCATCAACATGCACGTCTCTACTTTGACCAACAAGGTGAGCCGCCTTCCGCGCATTGCAGCGCGAGCGACGTGCTGAGTCTCACACCGTTTCCCCATTCAACAGTGGTTTGGCGAGTCGAACAAGCTGGTAGCAGGTCTGTTCTCATTGGCGCAGAAGTTGCAACCTGCCATCATCTTCATTGACGAGATCGATTCCTTCATGAGAGAAAGGAGTGGTGCTGATCATGAAGTCACGGGGATGATGAAGGCCGAATTCATGACGTGAGTTGGCCCAATCTGCTCGACGTCTTGCTCACATTTACTTGCTCAACATGATCCTCTGCTCTGGGCGTCTCATTAGATTGTGGGATGGTCTGACATCTTCTTCAGACCGTATCGTCGTTCTGGGCGCTACGAACAGACCGACAGCCATCGATGCTGCCATTCTTCGACGTATGCCCAAGCGGTATCCCGTCAAACTGCCAGATGCTGTGCAAAGGGGCAAAATTCTGACAATCATGCTCGCAGGCGTGAACCTCGATCCCAAATTCGACATGTCGGCCGTCATCAAGCGGACCGAGGGCTTCAGTGGAAGTGAGATCAAAGAGACCTGCAGGAACGCAGCTATGCAACCGGTCAGGGAATACTTGAGAAGCGGAAAAGGCAGGCAAAGCGTAGAGGTCCTAAGGGGCGCTGGAACGGCCGAAGAGAAGGCGGAATTGGCTGGGAAACAGTCTAGACCTCAGAGCAGACCTTTGAGAAACAGCGACTTTTTCGTCGTGGGTGAGTCACTTTTGGAAGATGACGTTTGCTGACGGCATGGAGGCTCACGTTCAGACGAGCGCCATTTCTCGCCTTGCTTGACAGACGGCTTGAATACCAACTATGCCGCTCCCGGCACGATCGAGCAGGATCCCATAGATAATTAGTCGAGCAGAGGGCGAGAATGTAATGTAATTTTCTCTAGTGCTGCGGTCCCAGCGACTTCAGTCGTGATCCCGCGCATCAAAGGCACACGTGCTAGCACATCGAATTTCGCGGATGTGGGGTAGCTCCACCTTAAACGTGCGAGTATCGGAATGAAAGCGGGCATTGCGCTCCAGAAAAGAGAGTGTGATGGTGCGTGTGGAAGGACGCAAAGGCAACGAGACGTGTCAAAGGGTGTAGGGATGAAAGGAGCGGAAGGCGCAAAAGGGCCGAGCGCTTCGTTTGGCGATGTAACGACCATCTAGTCTCTGCTTCGGTGGAAGAATCTAGATCGACGTTTAGGCGTGCCCGTGTTGGTACTAGCTGCGATGCTTTGCGTCTCAGCATTCATTATGGCTCCTTGAGCATTTGGGTGGTCGTACGGCACGCCAGCGATGGGCGCAGGAGTGACACCATCCGGCAGAGCTGGCACCGCAGGGATCTCTTCGCCGTCTTCGGCAATGACGCCATTTGATTGACTGGGAGTTCGTCGCCCTCGTCCAGTGACAAGGCCAAAGGCGCCTTTACCAATGCTGCAAAGCAAAGGGCCAGGCGGATGATTAGATGTCAAAGCTTCGGTCAAAGGGCACCGGTCAGCATTTCGTTGCCACTTACGTGCCCACACCCTTGCCCACACCGCCAACACCCGCCACGCCAAGCTTGCCCACGCCACTGACTCCGGCGTATCCAAGACGTCCAACGCCTCCAGCAACTCCACCGACAGCAGTGAAGGTCCTAATAGCAATACAAATGACATAATGTCGTTAGACGACTAGCCCATCTCGTGGAACTGATCACTCTCTAAGACTCACCTGCCAAGATTGAGCGAGGTACCCTTGCGGCCGCGCGTCGCGATGAACTCTGGACGGAAGACCAGCCGAACGGTGAGGAAACCGCCCTCTCCAGCACCCTTCCCTGTCACCGGCAACACCTTTTCGGTAGCCTGTGGACCAGTGACGAGCCGACGGTCAGCTCTCTTGTCGTACGCCGAATCTGCGATGGACATACCTGGAAGGGCTCAAGATCGGAGAGATCTAAACGAGCTTCGCCAAGCTTGTCATCAATGCCAACCTGGTCCCAATCGAATATTTCGAAGAGGGCTTCCGCCTTGACGCGAGATGGCACCTCACACTCCCCAAGTGACTCATTGAATCTGCAAAGAGATCTAATAGGTCAGCAAGAGGTCCGTGTGAAGCGACGCAGACGACTCACTCAGGATTGACTGTCTTCTTGACGATCTTTGACTTGAAAGTCTCTTTGCCGTTCAAATTGAATTTGACGTAGGGGTCAGACTTGCCGCCGCGGTCTGCGGCCCGCAGGTTCTTGGCGCTGACCACGTCAACACGCATAAAGCCGGTGTCTGTCGGAAAAGTAGGCGGTCAGCGTTAGCATTCGCATCACCTTGACGCCACAAAGCATGGCCGACTAACTGTTGACGCTCTCTACGGGCTCGAGGTGTACATCGCAAGGAATGTACTTGCACGTGAGCGACACAGTGGAGGTTCCTCCCCCAGCGTCCGAAGCCAAGGTGAGTTCGCCAACCTTGTCCAGCGTCCTTTCAAGTACATCTTTGGTGTTCCCTTGAAACTCAGCGAAGATGTCATTGTCGTTCGAGCCAGTGCGAAGCTTGAGCCACATGCGGCTCCAGTCGAGCTCTTTGATGACCGCTTCGCCAACCTCGTCCCACGTGCACTTTTCCGTCCTAGAAGCTTCAGTGGTATACACTGGCCAGTACCCATCGTCAAAGGAGACCTCAAGTCGAGCATTCTTTCTCGCCAGCTGGCCACCAAGAAGATTGAACACAAGGATGCCCGATTCTGGCGCGCGAGTGTACGCAACACTTCAGTCAGCTTATTTGGGCCTCGTTGGTTGGCTTTGTGAGATGGTTGCCACTCACGAGAATTCAGAAGCTGCTCGCGCGACATTTCGACCCCCTCCACAGCTTTTTTGGAAACGTCTGTTTGGGCGGTAGCGGCGGTCTTGACTGAAGCAAGTGTGGCCACCGACTCCTTCTTCTTGTGGGTTTTCTGGGAGGCTTGGTGCGCCAACGACGTTTGCGTGGCAGCCGCATCGTCCTCCTTCAGGCCCGAAGAGACAGTTGCTTTGGTCATGGCTTTGGCGTCCTCTCCAAGAGCAGCATCCTCTTCAGCTTCGGCGCCCTCCTTGGCATCGGGATCGTCACCATCCTCGTCCTCGCCGTCACCTGCCTTCTTAGCAGCTTCGTTGCCAGCGCCCTCAAATTCAACGCCATGAAGTGCAGTAGCGCCAAGGAACTCGACGTCGTACTCGATTTCACCCTTGTAGGCGCCGCGACCGAGGTGGATCTTATCTTTTCGTCTGCTCTTACCGGTGCCGGTGAAGGGCACTTCGCGGGTGCCTCTGCCTTCGTTGGCCAGCTCAGCGACATTGACTTCCGTGGTTCCGAGTGAACGGTCTTTGCTACTGTTTTGGTAGTCCATGACTTCGATCGTGACCTTTTCCTTGAGCGAGTGGACCGGAGCGTACAGGATCTCGTCCCATTCTGGACTCAAGTTGTTGTTGACGATCACCGAACCATCCACTTGCTGACCACGCAGCTTGAGTGTGACGTATGGGTCCGACTTTCCTCCCATTGCAGCTTCGACATTCTTGACCTCCTTTGCTCTGTGCATGTGGAACTTAAGAACTCCAATGGATGGCACATAGCCCGATCCTCCATTCATACTGCCGCTCATGAGGACAGGCTTCCACTGAGCAGACATCCGCACGCGGCCTTCCTTAGAGCGGGTCAATGGGAACCAGTCCTGCTGACGCTCTTTAGCGGCGAGCAGATCGTCCAACTTGACGCTCAGGTACCCTGCAGGCGAGGCGTGATCGACGACTTGGATACCAATAACGGCTTTGCGTCGCTCAGTAACCAAGAATTCGAAGTGTTCTTCGCCACATCAAAGTAGAGTTTTAGTGAGCGACAAGCATCACTGGCCTAGCTTCGTCTGCTGTAAGACTCACCTTCGAAAATGGGATCCAAAGTCTTCTTAATCACACGCGTCTCTTTAATCTTTTTGCCGTTCAGCAAAAGACGCGCCTTCGGGTTGGCGTCACGAATGATACCAGCTGGTTTGTCAAGGCCCTTCACTTGATGAATTGTGAGTCGGACGACGCCAGATACGGTCTCAGGCAGGGGCTCAGGTTTCCCATCTGGACCGACTTCAGGTTTGATGACAGGATAGTAGGACAGTGAGTACTGCAACGAGCCACGTTCCCTGGCTTCGTGCACAACCGGCGTGCTCAAATTCTCGTGCTCAGGTTCGGCCTCAAGCTCTGCGAGGTCGAACGCAGCTTGGCCAATGTGTGAGTCGGATCGATGCTCGTTGAAGTCCATGACCGAAAAGGTGAGCATTCCGTTGAGGCTGTTGAGAAGGACGAAATGGCTGGACTTGTACTGTGGGTTAGAAGTAGAGTGCTTGTACTTTGTCTTTGCAAGAGTATCCTTCGCGTCGATGGACACGGCAATGTACGGGTCCGGTGTGCCGCCTCCCAGCTTGACCGCTTTGAGGTTGCGGGCGTTCCAGATGGTAACCTGGAGCACTCCACACGCAGTGTCGAGCGGAGTGCCCGAAAGCAGCTCTTCGAGATTGATCGTGAATTGGTTGGGATTGTCTGCCAGTGGGGTAGGAAGGTAAACGGAAGACTAAAGGTGAGCACGACGTACGCAGATTTTCTTCCTGTGCTGCCAAACTCACACATCATGGGACCAACATTGGCATCGACTTGGCCCTTGATGAAGCCTTCCAGACCGGGAACGACGCTCATAATGTCGAAGCCAAACGTGTTGCCTCCGACTGGCTTCAGCACGAAGTCAAATGTGGGAGGTGACATCAAGGAGAGGTCCACCCTATTAGGCAGTTGAAAGGGTGTCAGCCCTTGCCAGCTCTCCAATTGGCCGGTATCAAATCGTACTTACGTTTGCACGTGCGGGAAGGTTGAAATCAGCTTCATCTTGATTCGCGCATGAGCAGTGAAGGAAATGCTGCACGACGTGTTCATCAGCAGAATATGATGTGAGCGTCAGATTTTCCGCGATGTAGCTCGTTGACTTACTCTTCAACCAAAATGGGGATACCAGCTCCGACAACGCCTTTGCCCAGACGGATGGTCAGGCACACTTTAGGGTTGATTTTGCGGGCTACTTGTCGCACGGTGAGGTCCTGTGAGAGCAATTGGAGGCTCAGCAAGAGGTCGCTTCGATGATACAGACAGCATGCTCACCTGTGTGTCATTCGGAGTGAAGGAGATCTTCCAGTCCATGCAAACAACGTCATCCTCTGTCGCAGGAAATGTTCTGACAAAGTCGATGAGGGGTGCTTTGGTGCCAAGCGTGAATGTCCTGTGCACGAAAAGGGCAATGAGATCCACGAGTCAGCGGTCGACAATCATCAGATGTACGCGAGTAAGCAGCTGCTGTTCCGCAACCGCGCTCAAGCGCTCGCACTTAGGGGTCACTCACGTCAGCCTGATTGAGTCGAGAAAGCTCGGACATTGCTGCACAAGAATAGCATCGACGGTCTGGATGACCGTCGCGCTGAGCACAGGCTCATAAATGAGCCAAAAGCGTCTCATGAATTCGTTGATCCACCCTGCGGTCTCATTTTCGGTCATCATGTGTTTCTTGGCAAGCTCTCGGGCAATGTCGTCTCTTGCTCTTTGACGCGTCCTGCGCATAGATGCATTGTAGTACGTCGAGCATACACCTCCGATGACGAACATTGCCATGATGCCTCCTCCAAAACGAGTAGCGAAGTATGTTGTAAGGACAGCAAATATCACTGAGGCGCGTATCAACGCATGCACATGAGCTTTCTGGTCGATTAAGCCAGCGTGTATGCCCAGTCAACTCACTGATTGCTGGAATCCAATTTGCGTAGTGTTTGGCAATGGTCAGTGCAATCTCAGCACCTAGCACCGCTTCGCGCAGCGCGACGCCGCTCCTGCATACCAGGACTCACCAGCATCCCAGTAGAATCGCCCATACCACTGATCAGAAAGGTATTTGCTGATAAGCTGCGTCTCAGGATGAGCTCGCGTCTCCTCCTCGTTGGGCTTGAGATGCGGTTGGCCTTCGAGCATGTGGGAGGCCATCCCCGTATGACCGGCAATGGCGTCCTTTGGTAGTTGCACAGTAGGCGCACCCGCCTTGCCTGATCCATCACCAAGCTGACCCTCCAGCTTCGAGACCCTGTCAATGTCTGCGGCAGTCATGGTCGCGGGCACTCGCTTCCCGCCAATGTCCGACGCCATACCTATCGCCGTTGCAAGGCACGAGAGAGTCAGCACGAAGAGTCGTGGTTCTGCCCTTGCCCAGAAGGACCTGAGAGCGTGTCCGATGGAGATTCCGTCACGATGCTAGCCTGACCAGCACGAGACTGCTGGTCAATCATGATCTTACTCACCCATTCCGCCGCCCTCCTTTTCTTTCGGAGGTTTGATCTCGTTCATTCGACGTTTAGCCTCGGCAGCCTTCTGTTCTGGCGTAGCGTGCTCATCCAGTTCCACAATGTTCGCCCCATTGGCCGCATCCGCTTGGAGCTTGTTGTGAAGGGCTGCGGTCTCTTGGGCGTCCTTTTTGGACAGCGATGCAAGCCCATCAGGCTCTGGCCCAGAGGCGGCGTGATCTTTAGAGATGATCTCCGCCATGCTGGATTTGCCAGGTGGCTGGCGCAATGGAAATGGCGAAGATTGATGGGGGCGGTCGTGGATGCCTTCTGGAATGATCGAGGTGTTCGTGATCGAAGCGGTTCGGTTCAGCCTGGGATCCTCATGGGCGCATGTGGGAGTCGACAAAACACCAAGTGACAGCCGCTGCCGTTGGACATCAGCGAGTCGCTTCCTTCCTGGGAATAGTCGCTTCCTTCCTGAATTCCCATCAGCAGCGGAGGTACATTACGTGCCAGAAAGGGAGTCACGAGTGTCGAAGATACGCCAGAGGCAGCAACAAGCGCACAGCAGGGATCGATGCATGGCTGCACGGATTGCGTCCGTGCATGCATGCCGCTCACGATGATCGAATATGGAATCTGCGCGCGACTGCAGCCCGCGTACGTGCTGTCCGTCACACAACAGACGCGTGACTCGTGACTCGTGGAGTCGTGACCCTGGATGGCGCAGCGCGTCGGGGTTGGAATCAAATCATGGAACCAAGAATCGAATCAAAATTAAAATCGTGAATTAAAATGTTGACTGACTTCGAGCGAGTCCGTGCGTCATGCACGTTGGATGGGGCGGCTTGACTTTTTGACCTGCTTCACAATAACAGCTGCGTGACCCGCACCTGATGTTCCAGGATTCGAGCTTGTGGATCATCTTTCGCACTCACCACTCGTGCCTGTTTCAACATTCACCATTGCATTCAAGACTTCTTGTGCCAGCCCTTCACTTCTCCGTAACATCAAACATTCTTGTTTCAGGATCGTGTGATGGACTCGCAGTGGTTACCGGGTTTGAATTCGCATGCCCCAGGCTGGCAACGGGCGAGGGAGCTCAAGGCGACATTGATGGCCCCGCAGCTCCTCATCAGGCTTATGCGCACTCGACCAGGCGACGGCGAAGCAGCGTACGGGTTCGAGGCATCTGAGTCTAGTACTAGCAGCGTCCCAGTATAACAGAATGTCACCCTGCAAGATCTTCAGGGCGAGGGATGATGATCCAGGCACTGATATTCAATCGTTGCCGTGTGAAGCGTAATGCTGATGAGTCTGCGTGGCTCAGACGTAAGCGTACTGCACCTTATGAGAATGATCATATCAGCTTCAGTCTCTTCTATCTATGCGAAGCTGTAGATACTTGTGAGCTGCACGAAGACAGAATCACAATCGTGAATGCCACGCATAAGAAGAGGTTCGAGACAAGAGGCTGTGTCGCCTCGTATCGACGTCACGTGATGTAGCTTTCTATTTAGCGCCAGCGTCGTACCGGCTTCTTGTCCAAATTGCCGTGCCGTGCCGGTCCGTGGAACGCGCAGCACGCCGAGCTTCGTCTAGATTTCACAGTTCGTGCAAAAGACGATCAACACGATCCTGATCAGTCGGAGTCCGTGAAATGCTTCAGAATCAATCAAGCCAGGATGAGTTACCTACTCACACTGTAAGTGCGCGGCACGTCGTGCGTTGTGGCTGCGGGTCGCGATTCTGATGAGTCATCAGATTCAAGGATCGTGACGCGGTGACAGCGACGCAGGCCCACACAAAAGCCTTGGCTTGTTTCAAAGCGAGCATCAGCAGACGCGGAACCCCCTGTCCCACATTAGCGCCCAGTCCGTGGGAAGCGGACCCAGACTATCGGAGTTCTCACCATCATGTAGCGGTTCGCATACACATCCGTACAGGCATGTGCGGTCTACAGTAATAATAGTACGTCCGAGAGCTAGCTTCATCAGCTGTACTCATCACGACTCGGAGTCTTGAAGCGCCAACCACGTCGATGCTGGTTCCGAAACCGCTAAACTTTGTATGTCAACAGGTACTACTACTACTACTACTACTGCCATCCCACTAATTCATGATTATTGCTATGCGCGTCAGTCATGAACTCCGCTCTGTGTAGCCTCTGATGGCCGCAGAGAACAAGCTGAGACTCGTGGCTTGGCTTGTTCGGTTGCTGTCGGCGAGGCTGGAGTCGCCTAGCTTTAGCACCGAGCGAGTGAGACACTCTCCATGCGACTCTGCGTGCGTAGCTGCATATAGACCGCTGTGCCATTCGTGATTCGGCATGCGGGAATCGTGAACGTCACAGCCCATGCAGACAGACACGGACTGGTGCCCAAAGACGTCGCTGATTCGATTGAGGAGAATCGACCAAATTTCGTGAGTCGACTTACCGCGGGATACTGTACCGCACTCACGAGACACGATGAATCAGTTACGTAGACGACAGTATCAGCTTGCGCAATCTTGCTTGGAGGCTTCGGAGCCGTCTCGGAGTAACTCGTGAGGAGGCCTCAGCCTTGCTTTTTGGCACATCACATCGTGGTGAAGTGCTTCTAAATACGTAGCATGGCTAGATGATCATCCGGCTTAGCGGCAATCTCGGTTGCGAACCTCTGACTCTCGCACGGCTGCTATGCCGTCAGTCATACTACTGACAAAACGTTTTTTGTTAGCTTGGAGAGATGGCAGAGGTTCTGCCTTCAGGGGCCGTCTTGGGGTTCCGATCAAGAGGCGGGGTGAAGTCGGCGGACTTGAAACGTCTCAGAGCGCGATTCCAAAACGAGCTCGTCATTGTCTTGCAACATGCGGACGGCAAGACATATGGTTGGCTCGTGACCGTGAGGTGTCCGCGTGGCGAGCGGTCCTAGTGTCAAGTCAAGAGCGTCACTCGACAGCATCCAGGTGGGGGCCGACCAGATTCTACGCGCTGACCTCGAAGACACCAAAGTAGCCCCTAGGATAGAGACCGTAGGGTCCATCGCATGACTCGTGAACTTGTAAACCTTTACTCAAGGCTGACCTCCAGATGGGATGCAAGTGTAGAGTCTAGAACCACAAGTCCGGATGGGCGCTAAGCGGTGACGAGGGAAAACAAAGCCGTGATTGTTGCACGCTGATAGGTCGCCATCAGACGTTTAAGACTCCGATCGACCTTCTCACGCCTAGACTTCCGCATCACAAGCATTCACCAGTCGTGAGTCTGGGTGCGGGTGCTGCATGCATGCGCGCTCCTCGCTGTAGTTTCAGTACGAGTCCTGAAAGGCAGATTACATCTGGTGGAAGTGCTGCAAGCACCTGCACCCGGGCATGGCATGAGGAAGAGGGCAAGCCAGCGCGGATTGCTCGTGTCCCCACGCTGGAGCACACATGAGCTTTGACCTCATTAATACGTCACAATCACAATCACAACAATCTTGAATATGGACTCACGCGTCAAAGTTCGCTAAAGGGCGCTTTCGAAGTGGACGTGAGCTTTCGGCAGGTCAGGCTTGGCAGGGCAACCTGCTACAAAAGCTTCAAAAAGCTACCGAAGGGCAGGACCGCAGGTGCACTCAGAACACTCACGACTCTTGACTCTTGATTGCGGTCTGAGTACCAGGAAGTGGACGGGCTAACCTTGCCTGCGATCCGAGCATTGCGACTGGGACGAGGCCTGCTGCTTGCCTGCCTCACCTCAGGAGATCGCTTCGTCCACCTGGATGCTGCCGCTGCCGCTGCCTCTGCCTGCATACCGTGTGCGTAAAGGAGTCGCGTGTCGCGCCGCATGTGGTCGTTGTGGCTCTGATGGCTGTCGCTGTGTGCGTGATGTTCGGGGGCTGCAACAGCAGCAGCAGCCACAGCCAGACAGAGAGGTGCTGGCTGCAGCTTGAGTGACGCACACAACTGCGCTTCTCGCGGGTATTTCCCACCAGGCTCGCTCGCTCACAACTGTGACTGTGTGACTGTTGTGACTCTGACTGTGACTACTGTGTAATGCGCTTCTGCATCCGTCATTCACCATTCGATTCATGTGAGAGAGGACCCCATCGCCACCTCTCACAAACCGCTTCCACCCTCATTTCGACGCTGTCTTCCATATACCACTCCTTCACCATCCGACCGCCCAACATTACCTTCAGTCAGCACGCTCTCACGATAGGTTCTTTCCTTGCACCTCGCTGACCCTTTCAACGCCAGCTCGCAAGCTTCATCCGGCTGTTCGCCAATCTACGCATCGCTCTATCGCGCAGAGGGCTCCACATAGCGCGAGTCGATCGTCTCGATCGCACTCGCTTCCATCTTTCCCTCCAACTGCCATTCGCGCTGTATCCGCGTCCCATCCGCGTCATCCATTTCGGGCCGAGCTCGGACTGGCATTCCCCTCGCCGCTTTCCTCTCTTCAGGCTGCAGCGACGCAAACAGCTCTTTGCGGTGACAAGCGCGCGACGAGCGCTGACTATCCAATCACCTGGCAAAAGTCGCCCGCCCATTACGAGACTTGCTGCACAAGCTTCTTCGCGTGCCACGAGTGACTCCTCAGCCTTCTCGCCACGTCCCTACTGCTCGGGCGCCACGCAAATCACCCTTCGGCAACCTTTGAAACGAGCTTCACCTCTGTAGTCACTGCATCGTAACTCGGGTGAGTCGTCGGTCCGCTTTTCCCCCCTTCTCTGTCTCGCTTCATCGCATCCTCAGGTACCAGCGTCGCACGTAGCCGGGTAGCGGCGGTATCACCGCTTCTGGAGGTTCCTGACGATCGTACTGCTCAGCCTTCTGATGAGATGTTGCGTTCGGGCAAGGACTTCGACCGCTTTGGCGCGTTCGTTGACGATTGCCATGTCGGCAGTATCAGGTGCGATCACGTTGCGGCTCGGTGCGAGGAAAGCGCGTAGCGGTAGTCCTGTGATTACGACCAGCTTAGATGGCATGAATCGCGGGCGGCATAGCAACATTTGGTTGAACTGCAACGTGAACATCGTACGCGTCGTCATGGAATGGCCTCGTAGGACGAGACGAGAGAGGGGAAAGGAGGCCTCAGGGAGCAGTGGCACTCAGTTCACTCAGTTCGCATTCTGATTGTGTCTGCTGTCGCGCGATCCAGACCTCGTTCGTGGACGTTGCTTGCGCATTCAGTCTCTTGGGTGGAGGGCGGCACGAGCGCCAGCATACATGCTGCGAGGATTGTAGGCACTCACGACTTCGCCTGGCGCCGATAGCCGCGTAGACATCCTCAGCAGCAGCATGAATTGTGGTCGCGTGTATCAGCATTGTCCTGCAGCACTCCCGCGGCAGAGTAGCTCTCAAACCTAGCTTTGACTCCGGTGAATCGTGCAGGTTCGGCGGTCTCACGTTAGCTGTCAGAGTCGTCTATCAATTGCGGTGGACACTCGTCCGGCTGCTGATGACATGTCCACCCGCGCGCGCTCGCCAAATATAGTCGCGTGGGATATTGGTGCCGACGCTGTGTGCGGGCGCATGTCGAGCGGGGCTCGTGCGGTGCATCGCGCCAGCCGCGCCTCCCGCCTACGCACACGTCTCTATATATATCTATATAATATGCCCCTGCTGCTATACAGCAGCGATCAAGTCAAGCTTTTCCGTGGCTCGCTCACCGCTGGACACGCAGCGCGCGCGTAGCATGGCCGAAGACTCGTTTCGATTGGGCAATTCACAACGCACTCGCACTTGACCTCGAGCAATCACCTCGTCGCGGAGACGCACACGAGCATCTGGCGTCTTGCCCGCTTGCTTTGCTCCAGGTCTTCTCGCTCGCTTCTCGCGTCCTGCCATCCCGCATGCCATCGCACACAGGAGTACACAGGAGTAACGTTCTGACTTCTCGCACCCTCCCTTGCCCGCGATCAGCACGGACACTCAAGATTCGTGACTCAGCGATCTCGTCTCGCACTTCGACATCTGCTTGGACATTTTCATCGCGTCATCAAAGTTCACATTCCGCTTGCTCCTGTTCTGCATCTTCGGCACTTGAAAGTCAAGCTTGGCCTGCAAGATTACCGGCGACTGCCTTATTGGTAACCGCAAAACACACGCACACACATAAGGTTGCCCAGTATGAGTGCTGCGAGCGGCAAGATGATGATCTACAAACTGGTGGTGCTGGGAGATGGAGGAGTGGGAAAGACTGCCTTGACCATACAAGTGAGTTGAGATCGCTTCCACACTGTAGCATAGGAACATGCGGGTGGCATCGCTAGCCTGTCGATATGGCGGCCTCGCGCCCTTCTCCAGCGCATGCCGCTGGCCAGCCCAGTCCTGTGATGCGCAAGGTTTGCCTGACCTTGCCACGACCTCAAAATTGACTTCCACGACTTCCACACTCTCCCCGTATCCGCTCAGCTATGCCTCAACCACTTTGTTGAGGTGCGTGCCGCTCGCATGAGCCATCTTGTGCCCGGCGGACACTGACTGGGCCAGCGCCACCTCCTGTGTTGTGCAACGGTTTCACAGACATACGATCCAACAATTGAGGACTCATATCGCAAGCAGACAGTGATTGATGACCAGCCTTGTATGCTGGAGGTGCTGGATACTGCTGGCCAAGGTACGTGACCTTGAAAGCATTCATCAGCATCGATAAGTGTCGTCTTGCTGATGCGATGATGTAATGCCATTTCTGACGCAGAGGAGTACACTGCTTTGAGGGATCAATGGATCAGAGAAGGCGAAGGCTTTCTGTTGGTGTATTCGATCGCAGCACGGGCAACTTTCGAGCGTGTAGAGCGGTTCAGGAATCAAATCTCAAGGGTCAAGGATCAGGAGCCTCACGCAGTGCCGATCATGCTGGTGGGCAACAAGTGCGATAAGGTCACAGAAAGAGAGGTGAGGTCCGCTTGTCTGTAGCGCTGGTATCGAGACATGGCTCAGTCGTGTCTGCGATGCATCTTATGGCAGGTGTCACGCGATGAGGGGCAAGCCCTCGCAAACAGGCTGGGCTGCAAATTTGTGGAATCAAGCGCAAAGACATCCGTGAATGTCGAACGGGCGTACTACACAGTCGTTCGCCAGTGAGTAGGTCAAAGGTGCGCCTACAAGAGAATCGTCTCACGCTCGTTGTCCTCCTTCTCTAGCATTCGGGAACAACGCGAGGGCATCTCTGCGGGCTCCAAGCCCAAGCCTAAGCGTCGGTGCAATATTCTATGAGGGCTGGAAGGCGTTGGGAGACTTCTTGGAGGGACCGAAAAGAAAAGGAAGCTGGCAGACCACAGTAGCGGATGCATCACTGGACGCCTGCGCAGAAGCTGGTGCGAGAGCGAGCAGATCAAAAGCAACAAAGGAGCCAAGGGTCACAAAAGGCGCTGCCAGCCACACGGCCAGCACATCGTCCTCTGCTGTGAACCCTGAGCGAGGGGCGTGGGCCACTTTGCTTGTCTCGGAGGATTACATATGGCCAATGAGAGCGCAATCATTGGTGCAGGCACTGGCGGCATCAAGTGCTAGAGGTCTGAGCACGGACAGCAGCGAGACGCCGCACTATTCACGACGATCTATGCGCGTTTGCCGCAAGGACCGCGGGCGACGAGACGTCCAATCGGCAGCTCTTTTGCAAATCTGGAAGCTCAACGTAGCCGCGCGGGAGGAGTCACACAAGTGCAACGACATTCTGCAGGCTGCAAGGCCACCCCGTTCGTATTTACGGAGAGGTCACATGCGTCTTGGGATGGAGTGAGATGCGCTCCAAGCGACTTGTTGCGTTCCGGTATTCTTGCACGCCGACACCGCAAAAGTATCTGCGATGTTCCACATCAGCGCGTCTGCGCCTGTTGCATCAAACTGCCGTGAGGCTTTTGCCAGTCGACTCTCCCTTTCCGCCTGTTTTCACTCGACCCATCTGCATTCTTACTCTTTGCCCCCTCCCTCTCCCTGATTGACATTACCAATGCTCCTTACACCAGCCATCCATCTCTTGAACTGCTGTCTTTTTTGCCGTCCTCGATCCGCCACCCATTTCACACGCGCCGATTTTCGTCCCTGTCCCCGCACAAATGATACCAATCTGTGTTCTCGTCTGCTGCTTGGCTCGCCTTGATTTCTGCTAAGACGACAAGCGTGCAGAAAAGAGCCCGCCCGCCGGGCATAGGCGCAACGATGCGTAGACACTTGCGCGGCTGGCTGCGCTCAGAGTGATCAATGCGAAGGAAGGAGAAGGATGCGTCAGTCGCTTACCGTACATTGCGAACGTCAACGACCTCGAGAAATCAAGAAGCGGACCTTGAATCGCTCGCTTCTCGTCCATGCATCATTTCGGTCTAGCTTTGTGTTTCTCTTCTGCTGCTGCTGCTGCTCATACCGCGCACGGACTTGTAGCGCTTGCCAGCTATAGCTGCACTTTTGACTCGTGACTCAGACACGCGACTCACTTTTTGCGAATTCGTGATTCGTGATTGCATGGGCCTAGACTCGGACTCTGGAATCTGCCTGCAGCTTGACGTTGTTGCGACGATTGCGGGGAGGAGTACAGTCAAGAGTAACGTGTTGGAGAGTTTTGAGTTCATCGGAGAGGAGAGGAGAGGTGAAAGTGCATGGTCAGGCGTGAGTCAGAGTGGTGAGTTAGGAGTCACAGTCACAGTGCGCAGGGATGCGGACGTCGCAGGTGTGTCGTAGCTTGGAGCGCGCACCGGGCTCGTCATCGCCGTGCAACACGTCAGCACTGAATCACAATGTGGGTCCAGACAGCCTGCGAGAGCTGAGGGGCACACGCCTTCACCGCGCATTTCTCCCGTCGTTTGGTGTAGGGAGGCATTTCCAAGCTAGCTGCCCTGCCCTCGTCTTCATCTCGAGGTCTCTATGTTCTTCCCTTGCGACGTCTCGAGCGGGCAGGCATTCGTGATTTGGAATGAAGAATGTGCACTCACTCCATTCCTAAGCAGCAGCAGCAGCAGCAGCAGCAGCAGCAGCAGCAGCAGCAGCAGCAGCATCGATCGCATCCTTGCTGTGTGGAGGGAGGCTCAAACAAGATCACCTCGGCTGCTTTCCGTAATCGATTGGTTCGCACGCACGCATGCATACACGCATGCAAGACCCGCGCTCGCTCGCATCGCTGCTGCACATCTTCGTGAACACTCACGACTCCCGCTGCCCCGATTATGCGACACGGTTCTTACTCGCAATCAATCATAACACGGTGAATGTTGACAGTCGGTGTCTTGTCTCATACTTTTCGAACGACTACATGTTTCCAGCTCTCTACGACGATCCACATCCGCGGACAAATACAGCCCACTCGATCTCAGTGGAATTCTCTTTGCGACCCGAAACGTAGCTTGTTTCAGCCCCATTCTCGGCACACCGATCGCGTGCCTGGCTCGAAGAGTGCGGATCGCATCAGGTGCGACCATCTCTTGGGCTGATCCACCGCACTGCTACGTCCAGACAGCACAATGATCATCGAGCTTGGCAGCAGATAGCACTAGCAAACCACAGGTCTTGGGAAGGAATTGCGAGTCGCTTGCGCAGCCGCCATGAAGGGCGATCGAAGCGAAGCGGCTTCCCGTCGTAGCAGCGTCACGTCTGATCGTCTACATCGCCGCGGATCTCATCCGGACTCTTCCTCTTCTTCAGCTCGACGAAATGGTAAGCCTAGGAAGACGGGAGATATCGAAGGCCAACAGGAAGCTGATGGGGAAAGCGACGAAAGCAATGAAGATCGCCTGGTGCGGAGACTTCATCCAGTCAGCAGAAGCGAGGAGGACGAGGAAGAAGCTGAAGCTAGCGCCGAGGATGCGCAAGAGAGCTTCGAAGAAAGCGTAGACGAAGATGCGATGCCAGTGCAAGGCCAGCCATCCTCTAACGAACACTCTGCCGCTCCGCTCAACCCTGAGGAGTCGGCGCATGCAACCCACGTGTCCGGACAGTCGATTCGGAAGAGGCGAGGTCACGTTCCAGCTCCTGTCGTTGTCAAGGACTTTGCGAAGCCCACTCTGGCTCTCGCATCCCCTTCTTCTAGCGGCAAGCCTTCAAGCGGTGTGCCCATGGCGCGCGCCGTCAGCTTCAGACCCGACGAGCCCAAAGCTCAGCGATTGGCTAGACAGGAACAAAGCACTGCCATTTGGCCCGATCAGGCATCAGGCTCGACGCGGCAGACAGAAGATGGTGATGAATGGGACGCGAGCTCCATAATGACTGCAACAACCGCAACCGATGCCGACACGGAGGGAACGTCGGGTGCGGGTCGAGACTATCGTGGGCGCTTCGCTCCCTTGCGCGTGCTCCGACGGCATCGCGCCAAAGAGGAGGCGGAAGCAGAAGCGGAGCTGTCTTCGGATGAAGAGATGGAGAAGGAAGCTCGTCAAGTTCGAATCTATCGTAGAACACCAGTGGTCAGCGGAACCATTGCGCCTTTCAGCATCATGCTCGAGATTCCAGGCATCACTTCTCGATGGTATGTTCGCACCGGTCCGGACAACAGACCCATCGCCTATCGCAACAATCCAATCATTCTGGACGTGGGACTCGCCATCTCTCTTGCCTGCGCCGTGGTAGCCAACTTTTGCATCATTGCGCGCTTCACCGAGAGGCTGTCTCCTCGAACATCAACCCTCATCGCTATTCTAGGCTTTTGTTTGCACGATATTGTCAATTGTGTGGCGCTCATCATCTTTGGCGTGGTGCATGCCGTCGACGATGGTTTTACGTACTCGGAGTCCTACTGGATGACTGCTGCCGCTACTGCGGTCTCTATGCTCTGCACAGTCAGCCTCATTTGGGACTTTGCATCCACCAAGAGGTTTCAACATGCAGGAAGCGGCCTCACGCCCAAACAAACCAAGCTCGTCCTCGTCATCATGTCCTTTTTGGTATATCTTTCCCTCTCCGCACTGATCTTTGCACTCTTGCACTCGCCAAGCCTCAACTTCCTGGACAGCGTCTACTTTACCGTCGTCACTGTCAGTCTGCCCCACAGGATTCGTAGCTTGACCTTTTGCTGACACGTGCCGTCTGCCGCAACAGTTCCTCTCCATTGGTTTTGGCGACATTGCACCCAATGACGTCGCTATGAGAATCCTGTTCCTCTTTTTGATGCCTCCTGGAATAGTCCTGCTAGGTCTCGTGATTGCAACAGCACGCGAGTCGATCTTAGAGGAGTTTGAGCTGAGGTGGGTGCCGTCAACTTGCGTCTTTGTATGCTGTCAACAGCTTCGCTCACTTTTGGGCACCCAAAATAGCTACAAGAAACGACGAGCCCTGTTCAGACAGCGGCTCAAGGAGCGATCTGAAGCTCGCAGACATAATCGAAGACTCACTCGAGCCGTTCGCAAGAGCTTCGGAAGGGGCGGAGCCGCCGTGGCAGGCAGCGCCAGCAAAGCAAACAACGGCGCCGACGCCCTGCCTCCGGAGGACGCGAGTCTGAAGCACCTTCGCAACGGAGTGGCAGAACTCGCTACTGCACAAAGCTTGGGCCCGACTGGCACGCACGAATACTTGGATTGCTCCCCGGGCGCAGAAGACCCAGAGCGATCGCCCACCCAGATTGCCCGAATTCGGGACGTGTCAGAATGGTTGCGTGGCGGTGGCGGAAGCCCACACCGTAGTTTCTCCATCGGCGCAAAGCATGGCCGAATTGGAAGCAACTTGGAAGCAGCCAAGCACGACGCAGTCCGAGCTTCTCCGCCATCTAGTGTCACGCCGTTGCAGGGTATCGAGACAAGGGAAGAGAGCTCGCCGACGGTCCCGGTTGCGTGTGGAGCCTCGACAGATGTGAGACGAGTGGACGGAGACGATGGTGGAGTAGTGATGGCCGAGCCGTCGCCTGCGCCTGCGCCTGCGCCTGCGCCAGCGCCGGCACTCAGCAGCTTGGCACAAGAGATGGCCCAAATGGAAGCTGCGCTGACCACGCAGAGGCAAGTGCTGGACGAAACTTGGAAATCTTTTCGTCAGCAACTCGACGCATCGGAGCAGCGCCAATTTTGGCTGAAGCTCGCTGGCAGTTTTCTGCTCTTTCTGGCTTTCTGGCTTGTTGGAGCCGCAGTCTTCTCCGCCACGGAAGGCTTCACTTTTTTCCAAGCGCTGTACTTTGCCCTCGTCGCTGCTTCGACCGTGGGCTACGGAGATTTCTCTGTCAGCACGCCGGCAGGCAAAGCGTTCTTCATCTGCTGGAGTTTGCTCGGAGTCGGAGTGCTGTCCATCTTGTTTGCCGTCATGTCCGATGCCTGGGCTAGCATGGCTGCTAAAAATAGCGGCAAGCGGAAGACTCGTCGTGCTGGAGCGCGAATCTCGGCAGCCATTCGCAGCTCGCTTCATCTTCGCGGAAGCAAGCCCGCAGATGCGAATCAGGCGTGTGCAGAGGGCGGAACAGCGACGCGTGGTGTCGGGGACGTGAAGACGGCTGTACCCGACAGCCCTTTGGCGGCCGCTGCGGAGAAAGATGCTCAAGCCCTCACGCTCGAGAAGAAGATGAGCATCGACGAGTCTGCTTACAAAAACCCCGCAGACAACGCAACTACCACAGAAAGTGTTGGAATGGAGGCCTTGACGCCAGTCGCAACACGAACGACCCTCAATTCTGACTTGGTCCAGGCTTCTCCGAGTAGGTACAGAGGCGGAGGCTTCTTGAGGCGCGCTTTGACTCGAGATTCGACATGGCGCATGGAGTCACCGAGACGTTCCATGTCCATGATACCTACCCAAAGCGCGGCGTTTCTGGGCTCTGCAGAGGCATTCGACTCCGGTGATGGAGACGCTGCGCCAAAGGAAATGATTGGAGACTCCAGCCCTTCGGCACCACTCGAGCCAAAGGCGATGGCTGCCTCTCTTGCACCTCACGAGCTTCCTGTGCACTTTGCGCGTCACGCCTTGTCCTTTCACAAACACGGCTTTGCCATGATGCACACACAGCGAGCGCAAATTGCACACGCTATCCGTCATCTTCCAGCTATGGCTCGCGTAGAACATCGCTTGAGACGCCAGCGGACGCTCGATCCGCGACATACTACAAAGATAAGCAAGGCGGACGAGCAGGAAATCCTGCAGGCTGCTCAGGAAAGCTCGGAGCCTGGATTGGAAATCGCCGTCCGACAGTGGATCGAAATGATGTCGATCGAAGGTGAGAGCGGAGCAGACGCTCGGCGATGTTGCATGGCATGCGCTGACGTGGTTCAAATCCGCACATCCCTCCCAGACCTCTTGCATCAGATCTTTGCGGTGTCGTCCACCATGTCGGAATCGCTCGCGGAAATCGATTCGCTTCGCGCCGAAGTCGCGCAGTTGAAGGCTGCCAAGGGCGATGATCTCGAAGGAAGGAAAGGGATGCCGGAAAGCGCACGAGAGAGCACTCTACCGCAGCAGCTCGCCTCGAGTGATGCACCGCCCGCCTCGTTGCCTGACCCTTCCTCCATCACGTATGCCGGTCACAGAAGCGATTCGCCGGAGCACTACGATATGCGCCGCAGCGACAGCCCCGTCTCCATGTAACTTACTTGCACAATGTATTTTTCAGCTGACCGAATATTGTCCCTTTATGATGTGGGAGACGAGCCGTTGTCCTGCAAGGGGCATCGCAGACAGCTGAGCGCAGCAAGCTGCACAAGACCATGCGCCCAAGGATGTGCAGCTCACCACACCCTCACTTTCACTTGGCTGGCTGTGCACTTGAACGTGTGAAGTTGGCAAAGGCAGATGAGTTGATAGAAAATACATGGGTATATATATCTGTGACACACCTCTCCAAATATCTACGGCCATACCACGGGAAAAGCACAGGATCCCGTCCGATCTCCTAAGTCGAGTGCAGCGAGCAAAGCGAGCTGCACGGGATGATGGGAGTGAGAACCCTATATATATCTGTGACATGAAAGTCTTAGTATCTACGGCCACACCACAGGAAAAGTGCCTGGTCCCGTCTGATCCCAGAAGCGGAAACCCTGTAGGGTCTAGTCAGTTTTGCGGTGGGGGACCACGCGAGAATCCTAGATGCCGTAGGTTTTTTGCATATTTTGTGCCTCGTGGGGCTCGAATCGCCTCGACGCACGCGAGCGCCGCCCGCGGCGCGCACGTGTATTTAGGAGATCGGACGGGATGGAACGTCTCGCACTCGCGTAACTCAAAATAAAGGTTGATTGATGACTGACGATACGAATGCGAGTCGTGAATGACCCTTTGTGCGCGAAGCGAAGCGATACATCCTGATGAACTGATGATGAGCATTGCATTGGGGATGTGACGCAGCAACTTTCGTGTGACTCTCGTGGGTCAAAGTCATGAAGGAAGACCCTCAGATCAAGAGAAAACCGCAATGAACCCAAATGTGCTGAGTCGACCCGACGGCATCGCCTGCTTGCTAGGTACAAAGTGTCGCAAAAGGTTGTCATCCTCTGTGACGAACCGTTTGGTGGAGCTGAACGACAATCCAGAGCCTCGCAGCACTCATTATCAACAAAGATACATCGGATCTCGTCGAGTTGCACAAGCTCGCACAGCCATCGCGCTCAATCATAGTGTCACATTTCGACGTCTCGCATGTGCGATAAAGTTTGACTGCCGCCTTGTGTGTGGGGCTGGTGTTATCGGCAGCATATTGCGCGAGTTGTATATACTTCAGCCTGAAGCTGGTGGCTGATCGGGGTCTTGTGAGTACAGGGCCTGTGTCGAAAGCTCGTTGGCCAATCTAGAGATGTATGCCTCAAACGCGACCGGATCATCTGATGGAAGAGGACACAGTAGGGGATGCTGCGATGAAGTTTGTGGGGGCAGGCCGGGAAGAAGACCCATCATGTGCGTGCGTACTACTTCTGAAGTGATGTGCGAGGAGAAAGAGGGCGGCAGAGCTGCTTGTGGCTCCACAGGGCTCCGAGTGTCGGGCCCATGAGGCGGTGGTGCAGGCCATGCGAAAGGGTAGAGAGGTTGCCAGACAAGATGCGGCGAGGGTAGATGCTGGACACCTAGCCCGTGCTCGCCCAAGGGCGGACCCGCTGGGGAAAAGAACGGTGGAGCGCTCAACACGCCTTGAGCAATTCCCAGGCCCATGTGAGTGATGCTCGGGTTCTCGGTACTGCGCGCCGGCATTGGTGGATATTCGCGAGTAGGCCCCCAGGCTCTCGAAGTCAAAGGTTCAGCAAGATTACTGGGAGAAGGCGTGGCTGGTCCACGGATATGGGCATCTTGCGACGACGTGGCTGGCGACTGGCTATCGAGCGTCTCTAGCTTCCGGACAAGACGATCTATCATAGCCCTGATTTCGTCGGGAAACTCGCGTGCAGCTGCTCTTCCCCGTTGCACAAGGCTGAGCTTTTGGTCCGGCAAGAGAGGAAGACATACTACAACTTGTGCAAGTAACCTTGCGAAAGAGGTGTGCAAGCTCGTATTTTCAGCCCGAGTGCCTGACACGGCGGAAATGATGTCTCGCAGACAATTGTCGACTGTCAGGAATCGCATCGAGTTGCGTTAGCCTCGTCACAGAGCTGTACGAGTAAAGCTGTGACTCACCCAAGGAAACCAAGTACGGAGACGTACTTTGAGGGAGAAGCCTCAGAATTGAAGTGACGTAATCTACCACCTTGACGGGTCCTTTCAGCTGTGGTGACCCATTGGTCAGCAAGCTACGAAGTTGTAACATTTCCCATTCAGAGAAATGGACGGGGCCTTCGCCAGTCTGCGGTAGAAGTCCGCTTGCGTAGGTTGCGTAAGAGGGCAAGATCTCGTTGCGCAGCGCTTGAGGAGTTGACATGATGAGACTGACTGGTCTTCCACGCAGTCTGGTGTTGTTGCGTTTTCGAATGAGTTTCATGGCCGCTGCACGATCGCGACATTCGATGAAGCAGGAGCTTGACGTCTTGCCTGTAGGAAGCTCGATAGGAACGTGCACGGGCTGAGGAACAACGTCGAAGTCGGCAAGAACGCCATCAATGTCGGCAATCCATTCGACAATTTCACTTTGAGCCACCGTCCACGGAATATTATCGATGCGGACGACGGCCCCAATAGCTGGTGCCTGTGTAATAGAAGTGCCGCGGAGCTGCTGCCAGTGAGGAGAGGTCGTCTCCGGAGAAGGAGTTGAATAGGCAGCTGCGTTGCCCGGCTCCTGATTGCGAGATATGGTCCTGACTCTAGCTTCGTCAGTCGGCGAGTCTACCTTGACATTCCTGTGTTGTTCAGATCGAGCAATTTTGCTGCTGTCCGCAAGCGCAGAGGTGTCACTCGGTACCTTCGGAGCGGCGCCGGATGTGCCTATCAACAGTGGACGGGAAAAGATCAGGGTTTCCATCAATTCGTATATAAAGCACCGCCACAAGGAGGACCCACCATGTGCTATGCTAGATGCGAGACTGATACCCTGTACGGGTACGAGACAATTTGCGCAGGTATGAGGACGAGGCGGCGAAGCAGAGACCTGATTGATGCCGTTCGAGGTGCACGTCGCGCAAGCTTGATGACCGCAAGGGTTCAGGGTTGTGAGATATCTGCAGTAGCAGCCGCAGAGCTGACACTCCGTGAGGTCGCTTGGCACCGTGTCAGTCTCATCTACATGCTCTAGAGGCGAGGTGCATCTGTAGATGCCGGCGCCAATCGCAGCTGCGATCGCTTCCTCTTCAGCAGGCGTCGTATGCACGGCGGTGTAAAATGAACCCCCTCGACCTTTGGCGAGACTTTTATCAGGACGTATGCCGGGAGAAAATTTGCCGACAAAAGATGGGTGCGATGTGAGGACCGACTCGCAGGCGCTGCGACTTGTCGCCGAATTTTCTTCTACAGCTCTTTGGTGAGACGATGTAGTCGTTTCATGAGACGTCGTCGAGCGCACTCTTGGGACCTGACGAGCTTGGCCGGCAGCAAGACGATGGGTGGCGTCTGTCGTCGGGAACGAAGTGGTAAACGGGTGATGTGGCGCCTCCACTCCCTTGAGCGGCACTGCTACGTTGACGACGTAATATTCAGCGCCGCTGACGGTGTGCGACTTGGGACGCATGCGAGCGGCAGCACCGAGAACAGGTCGATCCACCATCGCTTTAGGATCGGTAGCAATTGCATAGTCATTGTTCAGCTGCGACGTTGCAGTGTTCAAAGAATCGCCAGGAAGAGCTTTGGCGGCTGCCCCAGAACGGATTTGCGAAGCAAGCTTGCTCTCAAGAATGGCTTGACCGATCGCGACTTCGTGCGGGGGCCTCGACGATCCACTTGCCTCGCTTTGAGCGTCTAGGAAGGCCTGAATTGACCAGTGCGCGGATGTAATGCTTTCGAGAGAAGTATCAGGCGTGTTGCGCGAACAGGAGCGATCCAAGCTCATGTCTGCTAGGTCTTGAGATGTATTCGCAGTGTTTGCCGTGCTCTTCGAGCGAGTGCTCGTTCCAGAGATCTTTCGAGCAGTGGCGGATGCATTCGAAGCCTTGTGAGGCTTGATGATACTTTCGGCTGCGACGTCACTGCGGACAGCGTTGGACGCTGACGAGCCAAGAGCAACGTGTCCGCTACTTGGCATGCAGAAAGGTGTTGGATGATGCTGCGAGTCTGAGGAGACCTGACGGAGCGTTGTGAGCGAAGGCAGATGAAGAAATGGTGCAGGCACCGCAATCATGTCGCTGCCTCCTGCGACGGCGTCATGCCACTGCACTGTTCTTGGACCTGCTTCTCCACCTTTCTCCTGAAACAGGCTACCAGAACGTAGACGAGAGTTCGGGAAACGCGGGTGTGCTGGAGCAGAAGTCGGGCTCGGAACGTGACTGTTGCTTCTGCCGCGAGAGGGACTAGACGGTATCGATGACGGTGCCTCGACAATGACAGGCTCGGAGAAGTCGACGCCCTCACTGCTCTCGACCATGTCCAGCATGTCCAGTTGTTGAGATTGTATGCGGCTGCGACGAGCTACGGAAGGCGACTCTGTGAAGTGAAAGCATTGCGGTAGGGGTGAACGATCACGACGAACACGGACAGGAGCGCATACGCTGAGCCTCACCATCATCAGATGTGCTGCAATCCACTTGAGAGCCCATGGACATCGAGAGCTCTTCGTTGGAGGCACTCGCAGCATTCACGGTACCATCGTTGACGTCCTCCGCAATTGTCGACGTGCCGGCACGGTACGCGTGCAGCTCGCTTCTTCTTGCTCGCCTTGCCAACAGCACGGCGTCAGAGCCTGCACTGAGAACGGCGGTGCCTAGTTGTAGCTTCTCTGAAGGCTCTAGATGTCGCGGGCGGTTGACAGGCGTGTAACCGCGGAAGTGTTCCTGGCCAGAAGGATTTGAGGTGCCTCGGTCCGCTGCTGAGCTTTGAGAGGACTGCCGCGGTCTGCCTTGGCTCTGACTCATACTGTATAGGATGGGTTGAATGAGGACCACTGCAACCCCAGTAGCTACCTTCTTCAGCCCAACAAGCGGGAATGATGTCCGTTGTCAGAACAACTTGAAGAATCGTGTTGGTCGGTGGTGGTGTGCTTGTGGCCGAGTGCAGCCAAGGCTGAGGATGCGGAGGTGAGAGCTCACAGGCGCGGTCGTCTTTCTACGATGTGCAAGGGTGCGCTGCTCTTCTGGAATAGACTCGTGTGGCGCCAGGTTGCCACGGGGAGCGCTGCTAGATCTACGCCCCCTATCTCACAGACAGAGGGGTGAGGGATTCACATTCAGATTGAGAGCGTTCTCTTTTCTACTTTTGGTGTACACAAGTCGATGCCGTGCACCATCCAGCTGCGCAGCAAGATGATCAGGCTGTCGACCGCCTGACGCTGGCTGCCCCGGGTCCGCAGCTAGACATGGGACACAGTACACAGCAGCAGCTGGTAGGCTGTATTCAAATGTCAGATGCTGCGGCATCCTATCATGAGTGTGAGATGGACCAGTCCCCTTGCCCCCACGTGCACGGCTAAACGGGCCCACAGAGGCGGGGCTCTGAAACCCAGCCGGCACCGCTGACTTGCCTGTTCTGGCTCACACCGGGCGAGGCCTGGCTGCAAGTATTGCGCACGTCATGCTCAGCTATGGGCTACAGCAGAGCCTATAGCTCGTGAGATAGGCTAAGGGCTCAAGGGCCCAGCAGCAAGAGTGCGCTCGATTGCTCAGCTTTGTGAGCGGCCATGCACGCAAGTTCCGGCCGATGTCCGGTCAAATCAAAGCAAGCGTCGACGACCCGGCGTCGCAACCTGCCGCCGCTCGGGGCCTCCTTGCATCCATGCAGGTACGAGTCGAGCTATAGGACGGTGTGCGCCCTCTGACTCCTCCGCCCCTGGTAAGTTCAGAATGCCAAGCAGCAGTGGCTAGCCTCAAGACAGGGTCCTCTCCGAAGCCCGTTCGCTGATCGGCAGTTTCTGGTGAGACTCCGAGCGGCGTCTTTGAGTAGGGAGTCCCAGGAGCAGTCGATGACGACTACCGGTGCGGAAAGAGCATTGGCGAGTCCGCGGTTACAGCCCTTCCGCCAGGCACTGCCGGCCTTGCCGTTCTCGAAGACACTACCTACTGCCCTCGCGATATGTGTGTGTTCGAGCTTGCTTGCTTGCTGAGCGATGAGCTCTATGCAACGAGTCGTAAGTCATAGCGGTGGGCGGGAGGAGGGCACCTCACGTGCGCGCGCGCGCGTGTGCGAGCTGATATTTTGAGATTGCAGCGCGCTGAGTGTGTGGAAGAGGCTGCGCTGCGCTCGGAGCCGGGCAATGCGAGCAGCATCATCGCCTCATCTTACATCCTGATTTTCACGGTTTCAGGCGTTCTTGAGTGATCGTCGCCGCCAAGCACGAATGCCGTCGCAGGTAGTCCGAGGATGCTATGTCTTTCTCATATGGGCCGCATGGTATGCAGCGTATATAGCGTGCGCGGCAGCGCGATGATGCACCATTCGAAATATCAGGTGAGGTCTCAGTAGCGCCTGAGTTCATCCACGACATTTTCGAGAGTGCCTATGTAGGAGGTGGTCCGCGAGTCATGAGTGTTGCTGACGCCTCTAGCGTCCGGCATCGACGACTCTGGGGAGAATGCGGAAGCCCTGCAATCAACGTTGACATGTGAATGAGCTTCTCTCCAAGATGTGGCTGAAGTCCAGCGAAATGAAGGAAAGCCGGATGCATGCGTTCCTTTCGGTAGTTAGTAAACGCCGTACGCAGAACACTCTTGGAGTTGAAAACCAGGCAGCCTACTCCTGACTTCGAGGCACACCACTTCTGCACATCGACCGCGCCCGGGTCGAACCACCACGAGTGCACATGCTTTAGTCTCGAGTCTGAGTCGTACATCGTGATCAGTCAATCGCGTGGCCCATCAATGCTGTTTGACCTATCCTGTCCTGATCGCGAGACCTCGCTCGGTCGACTCCGCCCACCGCTATATTCGTGACCATGCATCTAGCTTGAGCAGATGACCGAACGCTCCACGATCGAAGGCGGGCGCACAGCCGAAACATGGCCAGTCGTGCTCTGTTTCACCTGTGTACCTGCATTGTGATCGTTGTGATCATTGCGAGCATGTGATACGTGAATCGCGGCTGCTGTAGCGTTGACTCGCGTCTGCGCACCCGTCGTACCTCACGCGAAGCCCTCTCATCTTTCGATCGCTCTTAAACCGCATATCCAGGAGACTCACGACTCGCTATCACAACTTTGTAGGCTCCAAATCCGATGAAGAATGGCTACTCAGCACTGTGCTACCAGCGCTTTCCAAGCAATTCTCGCCTTGGTCAGGCACGATGGTCCGCTCGGCCTATCTGCATCCGATCTTGGTTTTCAAGGGATGGCATACGCTTCAAGACTACTGTGTACTCTTCCGCTGACTGCTGCTGCGTAAGAGACTGCAGTTGCCGCCAAACCAAGCCTACGTGACTTCTTCAGGCAGTGTCGAATCAGTAAGGATGAAACGTGTGTGATAGTCGTGAGCTGCATGTCGGCCCGACATTTTCGAAGGGCGCAGCCAAACGAGACCACCGATGCGAAACACGCGCCAAAAAATTCCAAACTGAATCAAGAATAAATGCTGCTGTGAATGCTGGCGCGGCTGCGCTAGCTGTGCAGCGCAATTATAAGCCACACATCGCCACATCAGAGCAACCCGCCTCGATCATTATCAGCTAGCCGAGGGGCGGACTTTCAAAGTTGCTTCCGCGTTGCGGCAGCGCCTACATGCATCAGCTAGCTGCTCAACCGGATTGCTGAATTGACAACGCGCCGCAACGCCGCTGCGCGTGCTATACTCACGACTCTTGATTCACAGAGATAGCTGCTGTGTGTCATGGCAAAATCACGAATTCACTCACACTCCACACCGGTGTAATCCCAACGAAAATGACGTCTTTGTTATAGAGAGATCGCGAGTCGCAAAAGTGGTTGCAAAGATCGAGATCCTGCAGCGTTGTGACACCCGTCTCTAGGATGAGCTGCCCCTGCCTGCGACTTGTGAGGCACCTTACTCTTAGTGTCAAATCACGAATCGTGAATTAACACGGGAAGCAAGTCTCCGCCTGTCTGCACCACGGGAAGAGTCTGGCTTACGAGCCCCTGCATGCATGCTGATACTGTCCCGGTGGCGTGTGAAGACTCGGCGACTACCAGAGAGACGCCTGCATGCTGGAGGACTGTACCGGTACAGACAGCTCAAGTCGTTTCGTTCTTCACTGGGTTCACTATCACGCACTCACGCAGCGCCGTCGGCGCGGAGCACGAATCTTATTGTGATTGTGTCGTGAATACGAATCACAAAATCTGGATGTCTCGGCCTGTTCGAGGCGGTCATGCATGCACCTTGCTCTTAGCACGCCAGGTACCGATCCCTTCGAAGCAGCAGCACAAGAATGGAGTAATCGATTTTGAATGCAAAACTGTCAACATCAGTCACTGGTATAGCATCCATCATGTCGTGAGCCTCAGATTTTCTCACGCGTGTCTCGCAGCATAATGCGAACGGGGAGATGGGCATCGAATGCAAGCTAGGGTGTCCGTCGTGGCGGGGCAGCAGAGAGGACCCTGCCACCGCCCAAAGTCGATTCTTGACAATAATAGCCTTGCACGGTCGCTCCAGCAAGGCTGTCGACGGATGCAAGTGAAGGTGACCTCGCAGCTCTGCCTGTGGCTTGATATCGGACGAGCGCGCACAAAGCTTTAGATCACTCGGACCGCTCGCATGGCGACGAGATTCGAACCAGCGATCCCGAGATGTGTGCACACAATGGCAGACTTCCTTTTTCATCTGGCTTTTGCGCTGACCGTGGCGTCGCAACCGAACCTCTAGATGGTCTAGACATACTCAAAGAGTACTCGCGACTGGCCCCTGCACGCTTTGGAATACCTAGTCAAGGCGCAGTTCGAAACAGCCAGCCACCCATGCCATCCCGACCCTCGCGAGCTCGCGAGCTCGACGGTCCAAAAAGCGCGAACTCCAGGCTGCGCTGACCATGTACATCTCACAAGAGGCTTTGAGAGGGTATAAAGCTATAAAAGCGAAGACCAGACTCGACAAGAACTCACAAATAGCCATCTTCATTGATCATCCCTAGCATCCGCCCTTTCTCGGCTGCAACAAGGGTAGTCGCCCACCTCTCGGTACTCAACTCTCCACGCAGAGTCACTCTTATACAACATGTCAGACGGCGACGAGGTCTACGTCAGCGACGCTGCTGTCGCCCTTCCGCCTGCCACGGCGCTGAAAGACGCCGCTGACGAGAAGAAGTTGTTCAAAATCGACTCCGCCTACCGCCCCATTGGCTACCGCGACAGTCCTCTGAAAAATCTCTGGAACGACGCCTTGCTTGTGAAACCAGGTGTCGTCTGGAGGCTCAGGTCTATTCATTGAAACACAAGTGGATGTCAATCCGCAGGTGCTTGCCGAGCTGCCATGGCTGCCATTTGTGCTCTTGCCTGCGCGGTCACTGCTTCTAGACATGACGTGGCGTGGTATCTTGTATCAAATTGTCGCGACGACAGTCAGCATTATTGTGCTCCCTTTCATTCTGCTGTCCTTCCTGTACGGACTGCCATGGCCAGTCATCACCACTGCTACCCTCTTGGCTACTTTCAAGCTCTGCGACATCGTTCAAGGTAGCAAGAACATCATTAAGCCCACCAAACATCAGCTCGAGAAAGCTGATGGCAAGTACGGTGGTGAACGATGGTTCTTTGTCAATGGTGTGGCGACTTCGCCTACTGGAAATCGCAAGGTGTGCGACAAGCTCTACAAGATCTTCAAACGCCCTGTCTATGGCATTTCTAATCGCAGCAACGGAGTGCTCTTTGACTGTGAGTGTTGTGCCCCCGGAAGATCCGAGCCGAATCTCAGCTGATGCACGCCATGCCATCAGTGATTGAGTGTCTGCTCCAGAGAGACCTGCGGTATGTCGTCTTTCAACCTGCTTCGCCGCTTGAACCCATGTCATCTCTTACGCGGACACCATTCTTGTCTTTCCAGTTGGCCCACGCGTGACGAGCGTGTGGGATACAATGCTCTTGCGACCTGGCTGGGCAACGAGAACATCAAACGCATAGTTCTGATCGGACATTCGCAAGGAGGTATTCTCTGTTCTAATTGGGCAGTGAGTGAAGGAGAGCACGTAGCGTCGTGGCGAAACTTGTGCTGACCTAGCCGTCTCGCATAAGGATCAACTCCTTTCCGACTTTGATCGCGACACGCTCTCAAAGCTCGAAATCTACACGTTTGCAGCGTGAGTAATTCGATGACCCTTTCGCGCACGTCGACAATGTTCTTGACGACCGGTGAAAATACCTATGCGTCTCTAGAGCTGCGAATCACTTCCCAAATCCACTTCAAGGTGACACTGGTGCGTTTGGACACCTGGAACACTTTGCGAACGAAGGTGAGCTCGAGTCCTGGCGATGACATGGTGCATCCGCTGTAGGCCCTCTCGACTGACACGTGTCCTTCTGTGCAGGAGACATGGTGGCAAGAATTGGTGTGCTTGCCTTCCGTAGCGAACAGGCGGACCGTTTGCCTCGGGACGGCAAAGCCCGCTATTCACTGTCCAGCGCCTTCCGAGCTCTCTTCGCCACGCGGGTCGCCGCAAGCCGGATCAAAGGGAACAAGCACAAAGGCGAGCCCGAGAAGAAGGTGAGTTGTGCACCATTCCGTAATGTCGCGTCTGGGCCGTCTGACCAGGCGGCATGCTGTAGATTGCGACGAGATTTGCTGGAAAGTTGTTCGTGCGCAAGAATCGTACGGGTCATCTGATGGCTGCCCACTAGTGAGTGCAGCGCGACTCGGTTTCTTTGGTGAATTTCCATTTCAGACCATTTGACCAAGTCTCATTTCAATGCACAGCCTATTTGATGGCGACTCTATCCTGGATTTGGACACGGTCCAACAGCAAAGCCAGCTCGCCAAGTACAAAGGAGGGAAGCTAGCTTTGCGTCTAGTGGAAGACCAGACCTCGTCGAGTGCAGCACTGAAGTGAGAGCATGTCAGTCACTCAACAACTCGTTTTAAAGATCGATAAAGATCGACCATTGCCGTCCCGCTGTCCGCAATCCTCTTCCGAGATATGCCCAGAAATTGTGTCGTCGTCGACCATCCCCCCTCTGCAAGTCAGGATGCCGTTGTCTCCCGTACATTCTAAAATGACCACTTGGTTCGCTCTGTCCGCCTTTCGCGACTCATCAGGTGCAGGGCTAAGTAGAGCGATAGCCGTCATGCTTATGGAGCTTGGAGCGCAGTGCACAATCAAGTGGCACGCTGACGGCACTGCCAGCTAGCGCCTACGGTATGATGGGACAAAGCCGGCACATGGTTCACCGCAGAATGCTCACGTACAAGTATGTGGTGCATGGCGCAGTCGCAGCGGTGCTTGTTTTGTGATCTGTCTTGTCTCGTACGGCACATTAATTGATCACGTGCAAGGTCCTGCCACGCGGAGCAGCCGACCAGTCAGGGCAAAGCGACGCAGAAGATGAGGTGCGCCTGCCTGCGCCTGGGCTTCTGCGAAAGGCGCAAAAGTTTGCTGCTGCTGCATCACACGCATTCGCGCTTGGGCGCCTGCCTGGCTGCCTGCACCCGATACGCCTGCACGCAAAACTTCTCGTTCGCGAAAAAGATGTGAAGAGCGTGCGTGCGCGCGCGGGTGCGTGCAGCGTGCCGTTCCGTGCCCTGCTGGTGGTGCTGAAAGGCTGAAGGAAGAGCTGTCTGGGTGAACGGAAGTCAGTCAGCTGGACAAATCGATTCACCACCATCCTCACCGTCCTCTGGACTTGTCATTATCATCTTACGGCACATTCCGAGGTCACAACTTGTCTCGCATTCCGTCACCTTCTCATAGTCCTCGACTCGCCTCTAGCACATCATGTCTGGAGAGGTTCCCGCTGTCAACGATGACGTCTACCAGGGCGCCATCGGTATCGACCTTGGCACGACGTACTCCTGCGTCGGCTGGTGGGTCAACGAGCGTGTTGAGATCATCGCAAACGACCGTGAGTACGACTGATCGTCAAGGAGGCTCGACACGGACTTGGGATTGTGAAGCGTCATTGCTGATTCTCGATCTTTCCATCATGCCTTGTGCTTTCACAGAGGGTAATCGCACAACACCTTCTTACGTCGCCTTCACCGACAGCGAGCGATTGATCGGTGATGCTGCCAAGAACCAAGCTGCCATGAACCCTAGACACACTGGTGAGTTTGGACGACAGCGAGGGACGACGGATCGGCTGCTAGCGGATCCTGCAGATGATTGCAAAGCTGCAAGCTGGCGGCCTCGGGCGTGGCACATGGCCGACTGACAAATTCACCTATCTGATCATTGTCACCAGTCTTCGATGCCAAGCGTCTCATTGGACGTCGTTTCGATGACCCCGATGTCAAGAAGGACATGGTTCACTGGCCTTTCACAGTCGTCGACAAGGACGGCTCTCCCTTCATCGAGGTGCGCTTGTGCAGCAAGGATGTTGGTACGATGCCAGGCGAATACTGACTGACACGAGGTCTGCGTGTGCTCAGGTCGAGTACCAAAACGAGAAGAAGCAATTCTCTCCTCAGGAAATTTCTTCCATGGTCCTCTCCAAGATGAGAGAGATTGCGGAGGCCAAGATCGGCAAGGAGGTCAAGAAGGCTGTCGTCACCGTGCCCGCCTACTTCAACGACTCCCAACGTCTGGCCACCAAGGATGCCGGTGAGTTGGGCTGAGCTTTGCAACGCGATTGCCAAAGATGCGGATTTTTGAGAGAAAAGAAGCGGCGAGACTCGGTGCGAGATCTTTGTCGATCGAGGGTCGGAATGCACGGCGCGGCATGGATGGGTGGCAGTGCAGGGATTCAACAAACATTCCATGCTAATCCTGAAGCAGTCCGCTGCTGTGTAGAGCAAAGAAGCTCTCCGAGCATCAATGAGCCCTGCCGCTCAGACAAAGATTGGCCGAGCTTCTTGAGGTGGTGGTGGATTCGAGATGTGCCCATTTCGCCAGCCAAAACTTGGACCTGGAGCTGAGTCATCTGATCTCTTGTTCGACAGGCACCATCGCTGGTCTCGAAGTTCTGCGTATCATCAACGAGCCCACCGCCGCAGCCATTGCCTACGGTCTCGACTCCAAGTCATCCACTGAGAAGAACGTTCTCATTTTCGACCTTGGAGGTGGCACATTTGATGTCTCTCTGCTGAACATCACTGGTGGTGTGTTTGCTGTCAAGGCGACCGCCGGTGACACTCATCTGGGTGGACAGGACTTTGACAACTCTTTGCTTGACCACTTCAAGAAGGAGTTCCAGCGCAAGCACAAGGAGGACATTTCTGGTGACGCTCGTGCTACCCGTCGTCTCAGGAGTGCATGTGAGCGTGCGAAGCGAACGCTCTCCTCTGTCACTCAGACCACTGTCGAGGTGGACTCTCTTTTCAACGTGAGTATCGGTTCTACCTGGCGAGACAGGGTACAACATTCATCGGCTGTCCTTCACAAGCGCATGCGTTGTGCGAGACAACGAGTGTTGGAGAGAGTGGAGCTGATTCGATGTTCCCTTGTCTGCATGCAGGGTATCGACTTCCAAGCGAACATTACCCGTGCCCGTTTCGAGGAGATCAATGCAGCTGCTTTCAAGGGCACAATTGACCCCGTCGCAAAGGTGCTGAAGGACGCCAAGATGCCTGCTGACAAGGTTGATGACATTGTGCTGGTCGGTGGTTCTACCCGTATCCCCAAGATCCAGTCCCTCGTTTCCGAGTTCTTCAACGGCCGCCAGCTCAACAAGTCGATCAACCCCGATGAAGCTGTTGCGTACGGTGCCGCTGTCCAAGCCGCCGTCCTCACCAACCAGACCAGCGATAAGACGGCCGACCTGCTTCTGCTCGACGTTGCGCCGCTCTCTCTCGGTGTCGCTATGCAAGGAGACGTTTTCGGTGTCGTTGTGCCCCGCAACACTCCCATCCCCTGCAACAAGACCCGTACTTTCTGCACTGTTGAGGACAACCAAACCACGGTCACCTTCCCCGTCTACGAGGGTGAACGAACTCAGTGCAAGGAGAACCGTCTCCTCGGAGAGTTCGAGCTCACTGGTGTCCCACCTATGCCCAAGGGTCAGGCAGAATTGCTCTGCACTTTCGAGGTCGATGCAAACGGTCTGTTGAAGGTCACTGCCGAGGAGAGGACTGCCGGCCGCAAGGCCAACATCACCATCACCAACTCCGTTGGTCGTCTCAGCTCCAACGAGATTGAGCAAATGATCAAGGACAGCGAGTCCTTCAAGGCTTCCGACAAGGAGTTCGCCGCCCGTCACGACGCCAAGAACGAGCTGGAGGCCTACGTGCACAGCGTCGAGGGAACCATCTCCAGCCCCGCCGCCACCTTCAAGCGTGCGCAAAAGGCTTCTGTGGAGCAGGAGCTCGCCAAGGCTCTCGAGCTCCTCGAGTTGGAGGATGCCAGCGCAGACGACTACCGCCGCTCTTCTTTGAGACTGCGCCGAAGCGTTCAGAAGGCTATGCAGACTGGTGGTCGTTAAGAGGCCCTGACGCCGCTCCAGCTTTCGCGCTTCGTTACCTGAGAATGCTCTCCACTGTGCACCATCGCAACGACCTTCACCTTACATCGTGACTTGTGCACAGCACGTCTTTGCTCTCACTTTAGCATGAGTGCGCTTACGCCTTTGCACATACCACACAAAATTGAATGCGAGCTTGCTCGCTTTTGGACTCAGAGAAGGGTGCGGGTGTGAGCTTACGCGCTGAACAGAAAACATGACTGGCTGCGCGGTGCGTATCAGAACGAGAGGAAATCTTTCAGAGGCTTCCAGCCCAAACGTAGCTAGATCAGAGGCCGTGAGAGTAGGCCGGCGTCAATAAGCAGCGAGCGTGTCATCTCTCTGAACGTACCGGCACTCACGTTGTAGAATCCCACGCCCAGCTGGGCATCAAGGAACGCGTGAATGGGAATCGTCAGCAAGAGCTCACGTTGACCGTTCAGGCTGCGACACCATCGCTGAGCCCTTGCTCACCATAATGACGCCAGTGACTGCTCTTGCCCCTCCTTCTGCGGCTCTGTACCTCTTCACCTCGTCCTGCGCGACGGCCTCCTTGCGATCGGTATCCAGCAGGGCCAGCTGGGAAGCGAGGACGCGAGAGAGAAAGAGAGTGGACCCGATGATGTGGACCCATTTGTAGGGCAGACCGTTGAGCTCGGAGATGGACAAGAAGATGAGCTTCGAAGCGAATGTGATGGGGTGATGCATCAGCGAGGCGATGGGACGAGCGCTTGTCGATCAAGGGCATCGTCGGTTGCATCAATGCAGTGGAACGCTGGCAGCGAGTGTGGGTTGGATACTGAAGCATGAGCCATGGGTGACTCACTGCGAACGGAGTCTGCGACCAGAAATCTCCTTGGGCCTTGAAAGCTCTCGCTAGACCTCTTGCAGCGACTTGCTTCTCCTTGTCCGTCTTGGCCGCCGCTGGCATGCTTACGCCTATCGTCAGCCCATCGCCGATGGCCACGCCGCTTAATCGTCGATAGGAACACACGTTGATGTTGAGATAGGCGTAGTACCCTGCAAAGAGGGCCGATTGGGCTAGAGAAGCGGGCGTGAGAAGATAGGCGAACGGCATCTTTAAATCGCCCTTTTCCTCGCGTCTTGAGCGCAAAGGTTCACGAGGCTGCAAAAGAGGAGCGAGAGCGAAAGGAAAGGTCGGCCAGCCAGGCGTCGAGAGAATGTTTGACTAGTGATCGATACGATGCATGAGTGTTCTCTCGGGGTCCATCACACCATCTCGCGTGGACGGTTGTCCCGGTGACCTACGTTCCGTCCAATGTGAACGCGTACGCCGGAGAAGGCAAAGGCATGCACGCACGACCACACACCCACAGCACTTCGTACTTGATACGCTCGCGCCGCATACCGCAACCCACCAGAAATGTCAGATGGAGCACTGGTCTGAGGAAGAGAGAAGCTCGACTCATGACTGAGCCAGCAAGCAGTCACGAGTGGTGAGCATGCAGTATGCAGCGAGCGCTGCTGCACGGCGTACCCACACTCACGATTCGGCAGCAGGGTTCACAGCAGAGAGAATCAATGATCACACACCTCGGCTCTGCTTGCATAACTCGCGCGCACAGCACAGACCACACAGTCCGTCCGTCTGACTACCGTACGTGTGCTGCGCAGCTTGCCCTGCACTTTCCAATCTCACCCTCGCACTTGCTTTACTTGGACGAACCAAAAGCTCAGTGAACATCACAGCCACGAACATCTGCCTCGTACTTGGGATTCTCAGACCACGTCCCCAGCCATCAGAGCGCGAGCACTACCATCTCCGCCCCTCCCCCCGAACGCTCACCGGTGCCCTGATTCCGCACCGAAGAGCTCACGCTATCATAGGTGGACATTGAAGCAACGAGCTTCGAAATTCCATTGCATGGCCCGTCCCACATTGTCGCAACTCTATCACCCATTCATCATGTCGGCGCCCATCAGAAATGCGGACGGGACTGCTAACATGCAAGGATTGCAAAACGAAGTGACCAAGCTCAAAGGGTGCGTTTGTTGCCTTTCGGATGACCAAGATCGTCTCGAGTCACTCCTCCCTCTCTCTCTCTCTCTTTCTCCCTTGAGATGAGATACATCTGGCTGATCATGCTTGTCTGCCTCATCCCACCTACTTCGCAGCAAGTATGCTCAAGTGAGTTTGAAGCTAGCATGATTATAAAGGTCCCGCAGTCCACTTGGCTACCTAGCGACTCGGCTCATGGACAGCTGACGCACTTCTTCGCTGCGCTCTCACAGAACGCAAAGAACTTCGAAGCCAACACTGGCAAGCCGATGAACATCTTTGGGACCAGCGAGGAGAAGCCTCAAGCGCACAATGAGGGGCAGCCCATCAAGATCCTGAGCCACGACGAGCGCAAGGCTGCAGCGGCAGGAGAGTCTGGAGGTGACCAGACGACCGGCTCAAAGTGAAGCTTTTGATGTCTTGCACTTCATAAAGCTCGGCGGTTCCGCTGGCACAATCTTGTCGCAATCCTGGCTCGTCAGCATTCTCAACGTGTCCCATCGAGTGACATCAGCACAGGCAGCCGCACTTGCCACGCATGCATGCCACCTTTTACGTTGCGACACTGTACAATATCATGAAACACCAATGGGGAACTATCTTACAGAGGAGAGCAACGTCCATGATCGGCGTCGCGATGCGAATCGGGAAGGCTTCGTACCAGTGATTGGAGAGAGACTTGTGAAGATGTTGAGGAAGTCAAGGGATAGGCGAAGGAAGGCAAATGTGCTCCATTCTCAGAATTTGCAAAGGAGGAATAGAAGATGCCAGAGCCAAAGGTAGTGTGGGCATGAGAAGGTTTCGTGGTGATGAAGGCATGCCTGTGCTCACAGTACAACCCAGTCAGGTTCACCGTCCGCCACTCGAAGAGCTGGCCGTGCGTGCTCGTTTGCTTTGTGGCTGTGCATCCTCGTGCGCAGCCACGGCAGCAGCAGCAGCAGCGACCGCCAAGGACAAGGGATCTTGCGCCGGTGTGGGTGCCGGCGCGGCCATAGCACCTGCAGAGGAGGCGGCCGAGATCAGAAGCATGTGCGCCTGGTCGTAAGTGATGCCGCTCATGGCGGCCAGACTTTCAGCCGCAGAAGCGGATGGTGACGTCAATGCGGAGACATTCGCCATCGACGTCGTCCCGTTGGCTGGCGCAGAGAAAGAGTGCGGGTGATGCCCTACAAGCGAAGGGGATGCGCCATTCATCACGTGCCCCGGGGCAGACGTGCCAAGGCTGTAATCTATCGAAGGGTTGCCAGAGGTTGCACCAGGATTGCTAGCTGCGACCGCTGCGGAAGCCAGCGCAGCAGCTTCGCTCAGACCCCCAAGGCCTCCTGGAAGCGGTGGCACCATATGATTGGCGGAAGACAAACCGGCCAGACCAGATAGGCTCATAGCGGCAGCTTGCTCAGGTGCTAGCGTCATGCTCGCATCCCCGTAATGACCAGGGTTCATGAAAGGCGAGTTGCCAAAATGGCCACCTACCGCCATACCAGCCAAGACCTTGGCCGGTGACTCCATCTCCGACTGACTTTGGGTGCGGCCATGGCCAAAAGCTGACGAGGACATTGGGGTCGCCATGCCGTCGCCGAAACCTGCATTCGGCGGTTGCTGTTGAGCAAAGAGAGCGGCAGATGCAAGCGTCATGGCAGCCTCAGCATCCGATCGGCTTCGATTTCTCGTAGCCGTGTCCTCCTCCTCCTGATTACTCTTCCGCGCCTTGCTCTGGACTTTCGCTGAGGGAGCCGCTCGTTTCGTAGACTTGCGCTTCGGCTTTGCAGCAGATACAGCGGCAGATTGCTCCTCCGCTGCAGTAGGGGGAGCAGCTGCAGCTGCGGGGTCTTGCTTAAGTTGGATCTTCGAGGTCGATTGGTCTGCTCCGGCTTCCTCGTCCGTCCATTGCTTCGAAGAGTCGCCCTCTCCATCTTCGGCGTCAGAGCCGTCCGACTCCTCATCAGACTCGCTCGCACCGTCCTCTCGCTTCTTTCCACTACGAACGGATGGAGGGATTGTGGTTAGCAGACGCGGACCCACGCTGCCTCGAAGCATGATTCGAACTCACGATTTGCTTTGAGGCTTGACGTAGCCTGGCTGGTGACATCTCGCATGGCGGTTGAGCGTTGTTCGGCGTGTAAACTGCTTTCCACATTTCGGATGCTGGCACACGTACGGTCGCCGGCCTGAATGAGTGCGTCGATGCCGCGCAAGCGACGAAGAGTCGGAGAAGCTCTTGCCGCAACCTGGAAACTCGCATCTGTGAGGCCGCTCTCCCGAGTGCACCCGGGAATGCACAGTGAGAGCCGAGCGCTGAAAGGAGAGGGCATCGTACCGTGCGTGAGTTGTCCGGAATGCGGGTAGAGCAATCAGGCGCAATGCACTCACTTGGATGAAACTCTTGCCGCAACCTGGAAATTCGCACGGGTAGGGTCTTTCACCCGTATGTATGCGCTTGTGCCTGGCAAGGTCTGAACGCCTACTGAAGGTTTTCTCGCAATTCTCGCACCGATGCAGTTTCGGACCTCCCGCATCGCTTTCAGCAGTGGGATGAGCTGCAGCGGCGGCTTGAGCTGCTTTAGAGTTGCCAGAGGGCCTAGGTCTCCGAGGAGGCTTGACGTCTTCCTCCTCTTTGATCGCAGTTTGCGAACTGGAAGCTATGGCCGACGCATCTGGCAGGGGCAAGGTGCCGGTATCCACCAGTTGCGCAGGTGCCGAGTAACCTCCTAGGCTCATGTACTGAGAAGACGTTAGAGGTCCGAAGGTGGTGAGTTGTGCGCTGGAAGGTTCCACAGAACCATTTCCGTTGGCACCAGATGCTTCTGCGAAGACGCCGGTAAGATTTGACGATGTCGTGCTGACGACATTGTGGTTGGATTGCAGAAAATGCAGCATAGGCTCGGACGAAACATTGACGTCCAATGCCTGAGATGTCTCTGGACCCGTGCTCTCGGGCGCGCTTGCTAAAGCGCTCCATGGGCTCGCGCCGCTGTCGCGTGTGAGATCTGCACCAGGCGGTCCAAAGCGGGTGTTGTTGCGAGAGACATCGTCGCCAGGGGGACCGAACCTGCTTTCTGAGGGGGCTTGAGGGGAGGGCAAGTGTACGTCTCCTGCTTCTGTCTTGAAGGGCTCGCGCGAAAGTTGCGATGGCGAGAACGGGAGTTCGCCGCCCCTCCGATACGGAGAGCTCGTCAAAGCGCCGGCATGACCTTGACCAGACTTGCTATCAGTAGGTTGGCCTCCCGAGAAGCTGTATGCTGCTGGATTGCTCGGTAGAATGCCTGGAGACGCATACCGTTCGGGTGGCGGAAGCAATCTTGTGCTACGACTAGGGCTATCTCTTCCCTCTTCCGTCTTTCCACCTGCAATGCTCGCGAATGGGAACAGACTGCCTGAACCGCCGATGCTTTGATCGAAGCTGTCTCCGTGGGAGTCTTTGCTTGCGGCGGATGCAAAAGGTGATGCGCGCCTCCCTTCCGGGAACCAAGGCGATGCCTCTCTTTGACCACTTCCATACGTCGATCGGAAGCTTGGCGAAGCGCGGTACAGGCGATCCGGCCGCGGGCTTGATGAATATACATCAGAAAGACGGGGAGAGCCTGACCTCCTAGCGTCATCGCGGATGGCAAGGGTCGGAAATAGGGCTATAGGCGGTCACAAAGGCATTTGAACTTGTGAGCTCGAGTGGCGCGTGCGAGCTTTGCGGCGAGCTCGGAATCGGTGTCACGAGCTCAGGCAGAGGAGCAGGGTAATTGGACCATAATCCACGCCCTGCAACACTCACATTTCGAAGCAGAATCCATCCCGTCATGATCCTTAGACCGCGAAGCCCATTCATCGTTGGAAGTGCCACCGCCGCCGCCGACAGAATCCTCTGTATCACCTTCTCGCGCCCGTTTTCTGCTCCTCTCATCACCCGAAGCATCATCGTCCCTCGCAGATGAAGTAACGGCGCGCATGTTGGACGTCGAAGATCCAGCATGATCGCCAGCCTTGTCGTCTCGCTCAATCATGGGCGAAGAAGGTCTCGAATTGCTCGTGGGATAGTGCAAAGCAGAAGCGGCATCTCGAGCCAAGCTGCTGGTCCTAGGACTACCGATGGATGCTGATCCGAAACGATTGGAAGAGTCGCTCCTGAATGGGGACAGATGGCCGGGTATGTTGCTATGCGATAAGGAAGTTCGTGGACTGTTCAGAGGTGAGGACAAGCCACCTGATCCGCCCGACGCGCCAAAGGCCGCAGAGGAAGGCAGCTTTGGCGACGGTTGTCCTCCTGCCTGGGTGCCCACGAGTATGGGAGGGAGCCGGCTCATGATCGAGCTTCTAAGGTGTCGGAATTATGTCTGTCGAGCGCGAGCACCTGAGGACAACGAGATGGGCCCCGATGGCGCTGGTGTAGACGCCTCTTGTCAGCCGATGCGTTGTCAAGGTCCGCGATCAGATCAGGATGGGTGACAGTAACGCGTCGACACGACTGGCACGCCTGAGCGCCATTCAGTGCCCTCGGACCAGTCTTATCCCACGCTTCAGGTTCACAGTGGAGATCTTGCTAATATCAGAATGTCGCATATGAGGAGGGCAAGGAGGATCATGGAACACGGGCAGAGGTGGAAGGCAGAGAGCTCAGGGTGAAGCGCAGACGAGAAATGGTGCGGTGCCGACACAGCATGAGCATCGTGCAGCCAGCACCGAGCGCGTGCATGGAGCGTGCACGCTCCATCCGGATCAAATTTCAGAGGCCGGTGCACGCGGCACGCGCACGCGCGCGCGAGCGCTTTTGTGTTCGAGAGGCGCGGTGGCAGAATCAATAAATAACGCGTGATGCCTGAGCGCGCGGTCGTGCGCGTGCGCCTGCATGCTGCATGCCCGCGACCTTCATACCTGTCCTTATATAAGTGATGCTTCCTATTGCTGATGCGTGCATGGGCGGCGAGCGAACACGACATTCGACACGACTCAATGAGAAATCCTCATTCAAAATTCAAGATTCAATTGTTCTAATCATTCGTGATATTAGACGCGCAGCTTCGTGACCGCGCTTGGAGAGGCGGCAATTTGAATCGTAATTTAAATGAATTCAGGCGAGCGTTCGTCATGATGTGCATGCTGCTGATGCATGCAGGCAGCGCACACATATATATGCGGTCAAGACATGCATCGGAGGCGCGACAGCGGCTGTAAATGCGCAACACTTGCACGAGTCAGGAGTCATAACCCAATTGAATCAAAATGTGAAATCGCGGTGGGGCTTGATCATGGTTGCAGCTTGCATGGCGAGAGCGAGGATGGCCCCTGCTGCATGCGCACGTTTCAGCGGCCGCGCGGCGTCTCCACCGTTTTGCGCACCCGCAAGACGGCGATTTGACTCAACACTCACGTCTGATCGAGTCTGACACTCGATCGCAGGAGGCTTCGCGCAATCTACCGTGCTATAGCTCTGCTCACTGTCACCCCTTTTCTTCCAAGGATCTTTGGGTCACGATCAAGCATACACGTCGACGCCAAAGCCAAGGCCCGCGTTTCATTCTATTGGTTCGATCAACCCTAACACCGTCACTTGCGTGTTACTGAACATTACAGCGAAACCAATTTCGCCAGCTCAGGTCGATCCTATGCGCTCAAAATCAACAAGAGGCATTCGCAACTTTTTGCTGCGCTCCAGGTTTGAGGGCTGACCCTCGTCTCGGACCCCGCAATAATATGTCCATCGTGGTTGCTCGGTCGTCTACACCAGACGAGCTCAATCACTGAGAGGCGCGTTCAGAGAGGTGTACAAATTATGATATTGCGAGGCGTTACAGCGCGAGGGGCCCCCTTTCGCACACCCACGGAAGATCCCGTTCGGATCTTGGTACTGAGCCTGGACTGTGAGCGAGCATCCACTCATGCTACTCTACGCTCTCGAATTTGGTTGCTTGCGCGCTAGAACCTGTCTGCGAGGAGAAGTCAAGCCCTGATCGTCGAGCTCGTATGCAGTCTTGGAGGGGGACAAGTTTTTCGCTCCCACAACCGCCGCCTTGGCAGCTGTATGCGACAGTCGAGCACGTTTGGCGCTAGCGTTTTCGGAAGATTGCGCAGCAGCGTTTGCTGATGTTGTGCTTCTCTTCTCGCCGTTCGTCGTCTTCCTTGGTGAGGCGTGGTCCGCAAAAGGGTCGTCTTTGCAGGGCGAGCGAGAGGGTGCTCTGCTATGTATCGAAGCGGCCATCATTTGTTGTAGTTGCAACATGCCTCTCTTAGCATTCGGATCTTCCCAGCAGATCCGCGTAGCCTGCGTCTTGCTCTCGTCATAGCTGCCAGCCTCGTGCTGCGCAAAGCGTTGCACCAACTCTTCTGCTCGGCCTTCCGCAGTCTGGGACTTGGATGGCGAAACGCTTCCAGAGTCTACAGAATTGTCTCTGACTCCCTTTTCAGGACTCGTCGATCCATCTCTTCCTGTGCCAGATCCGATCGACGTGGCTCGCTTGCTGCCAGAGCGGGAAGGTGGCCCTTTGCGCGACTTGCTTCTAGAAAGAAGGTCCGCCGAGGTGGGTCGCTTCACCTTTTCCGTCGTGGTGCTTCTCGTCCCATTGAGCAGTCCAGCCAGCTCGTCTGCAGCAAGCTGTCCGACCATGGACTGATTTACCGATTCCCAAGCGATCTGAGTGGCGGTTACAGGGTGCGTCGCTGACACGCTCACATCTGCTTCCATCTGAGGTGCCCTCTTTTGCTCGACTTGTTTTGGCGGATTCATCTGGCCCATCGCCATCGATTGCGTCATCTGCGAGGCCTTGTTCGAGCACTCGCTGGTAGTTCTTCGCACCGTTGTCGCTAGCGAGTCGGGGAGTACTTGGCTGTTTTGCTGCCCGCCACCCGACGACAAAGATGCACCTAGTGGATCGACGATGCCTTCGTCGTACAGTCTACGAACGAATGCCGCGCCGACGATTGGGACACCCCATTCCCGCGCTGCTTTGACTTTCTCGCTGCGTGAGACCTCTGGTCCGCCCTCATCGCTTCCGCAGTACAAATGAGTGTACCTGCCTCTCCCAAAGCTAGAACTGGGAGTTACACCAAGGACTTGCAGTACACGCGAGCTCTGCGAGTCGTCGACGCTGTGTCCGGCTTGAGTGATGGAGATGCGCAAGCCCTTGAGAAGGGCTTGCGGTATGAACGGAGTGCTCGGTCTTGCGAAAGGCGTGGAATCGATCGGCTCCAGCTTGTTGAAGTGGATGCATCGCTCGATCCACCAAATTGTCACCTGCAGTGCATTGGGGGAGGATGATGTAGGGCACTCGGAACTGGAACGACACTCGACCACGCAGTACTGGGCGTGATGCGCCTGCTCGTCGGGTAGCATTCGGCCTCCGTATCGCACAATCTGCTCCGCCACACGCGTGCGGAACTTGGACTCGACTAGATCCAGCGTGAAGCCTAATCCTGCGAAGACTCCTTCACTGCTCGATGAGGCGGCCTCGCCCTGCTGTTGCGGCGAGTGTGCTTCCTGTGGCCCCTTCCGCTTGATCTCTGTCGGAAAGTGCTTCGTCCCCTGGGCTGCTCGAGGCCCCTCCTCCTCCTTGGATTGCTCGCCGTGATCTCCAAATGCATGTTCACGAGATCCTCCTAGAGGGGCTTTGGTCGGCTGAGCATGACCTTCGGGGCCATCGTCGCTAGCTTGGGCGATAATCTTGCGTAGGATGTTGGGATTGTTTGCCTGTTGTGGTGCCCGCTGGATGGACACGCGCTCGTCACCTTCCGTTGACACGTCTTGCGCAACAGATCGAGCTACAGCACTAGCATGGCGCGCCTTGAAGTCCTCAGCTACTCGTGTACGATTTCTGAGCGTGGCATCTATGAACGACCGACGATCGGCAGGTTGCAGTGAGAACTTGCTCAATTCATACCTCGTACTATCCAGGCATCCTGTTGCAGGAGGTCATGTGATTGGTCAGTCCACTATGCATCGAGCTCTCAACGATCTCGAGGCGGGAGCAGCTGACTCACCTCCAACTTCCAGCGAATCCTGCATCCACTCCAGCACGACGCAGTGCATCGCATTTGCGTTGAGCATCTGCGCAGCATCTGGTGCTCCAGTAGGGATCTTCTCGCTCCTGCGAATGTACCTTTCCGCACGGCCCTTGAACTTGAGGACGCTCTTTAGCGTGATGGATTCGGACTTGGCCGTGCTGCTGCAAAGCACGTGAGTGTGTCCGCCAGCTGCCAGATCCGTATCTCTTGGACACTCTGCTCCCGCTCCGATCATCCGTGTTCGGATATCTCTGCGCTCCTCCGCTGTAGATGGATCCGACACCAGAGTGAGCGGCTTGCTTCATTGCGAGCTCGAGCTCAGGAAGACGACTCACCATCGTGAAATCCTGCTAACACCACGTTGAGAGTCGCGAACGTGTCCAGCGCGTATTCGGTAGCCAACTGGAGGTGCAAAAGCAGTGGGCCACGCGAGTGACATGTGAGCACCGACGCATTGATGACATCGGCCATCGCGCCGTGCAGCCACTCCACTCACGCCATCAATATCGACGGGCTCATCATGACACCATCGGCGCTTGACCTCTTCCAGCCATCTGGGCTGCACTATGCGGATCCCAGCATCCACCGCCCTGGTGCACTTTTCGCTCAGCGGCTCGACCGCCAGCAAGAAGTGCGTATTTTCCGGCATATCCGATCGCGCTTCGGCACCGAGATCCCTCGCCATCTGTTGATAGTGGTTCTGCTCGATCGAGTCGGCAAGGTCGTCATGCTGCGTCAGCCAACATGACCGAAGTCGATGACGTGCGTGCGCAGCAGATCGTCATCCCTTCCGTCCCACTTGCTTCTTCTACTTCGCTTGATCATGTGCTCACCTTTTGGTCTCCAAGTCCTGAAAAAGCAATCACAGCTCCTAACAAGGGTTTCTCATTCCAATTCGAGTCTTCGTCCATCTGCTCTGCCCACTGATCAGCTGCCTGTCGCAGGGCTCTGAAATGAGCATCCGCCTCGGCATCATCAGCCTCGGATCTGGATGCCCGCGCACTCTTTGAGCTTCCACTCGCGCCGATATCTGGAGGCGCAGGTCTGAGAATGGCGTTGGGCACTTTGGTGCTCCTATGCGCTCGTGCGCTACGGTTCAATGAACTCATCCTGAGTGTGAGGTGCAGGGACCGCAGATGCCGACAGCAGGAAGGAAGAAGGGGGATGCCGGTGGAAAGTTGCTACTGGCCAAGGGGGTGATTCGTGTGGTGACGCTTGGATGGCCGAATGAAGACTCTCTCTCTCTCTCCAGCGTGTCAGCTCTGTTGCGACTGAAGATGGGGCCGAATAGAGGCTATCGTAGCGATGTCGGGTCCAACAGGTATTGATTGTGCTCGGTCGCGTGAGTCAGGACAGAAGTCATGAAAGATGGCCGCAATTGAGTGATGCAAAGACTCGATCGATCGTTGCTGTTGTCTCGTAAGTCGTAACACTCGTGACTATCGTGACTCTTGTCTTGGAGTTTGTTCCTGCCTCTGCTCATGGGAGCAGCAGCAGCTGCAGCACGCAGCTGCAGCATCATCCCAGCATCAATTAAGCTTTTAATCTGCTGTTGCTTTGATGATGATGGGCTTCACGTTCGATTCAAATTGTGAATTAGGCGCGTCGCGTCGCGCGCGAATCTGCGCGTCTGCTGCCGCCCAGAGAGACATGCGCGCAGAGCAACACGTGAACGTCATCGCGTTCGGCGAGTCACTCAAAAGCCTTAATTCTTGATTGCGAGATCGAAGAATCGGCGAGGAAGCGCTCGATCGATCACACGCGCACGACAGCTGCAGGCTGACAATCATGAATGTGAACGTGAATGATGTGATTGCGCTCGGCAAGCGATCAAGCCGCATTCAGCGCTTCGATCGACACGCTCCCGAAGAGCTTTAATCGCGAGCCAACTTCACCTTCCCCTCCAGAGCCTACATTGCGCTACTGGCTCAGCGACACTCGTGATTCTGATCACATTCGTGACTTTGAATCGTGAATCGTGAATTCGAATCGAATGCATGAGATGCGAGGATCGCTGGCGGTCGAGTGGCACGTGAATACACGTGAGCAAGACAGTAAATGCTCCCACCTCTTGAGCGCGTGGAGGAGATATCGTATGCGATCCATTCATGACAGAATGCGCGCTCAAGTACACATGGGGTAAGAGAGAGAGATGAGTCTCGCGCAGAGCGCCGTTGTGCAGGTGCAAAGCGCAACGAGCACCGGCTTTGCTGCAGTCGGACCTCAAGCAGGGACACCCGCAGGGCGGCTACGCTTCGCCTCGCTGCCTTCGCCGTCTTGGGAGCGTTTGCGAGTTCCGAGCACCGTAGGTGTGCTCTCTTTCGACCTGGATGCTGCTCCTACACCCTCGCCCCTGATCACGCCAAGCGCATTGGCAATCGTGTCTGCGCTCTCGCCGTTCGTGTCGTCCGACACGGCTCCTGCAGCAACGAGGTTCTGCAGCATGGAGATGTACCTGGAAGTGAGAGAACAGATGCTTAGCATCGAGACTAGCACGAGCCAGCACGCTCAAAGTCTCAGTCGACTCACTCTTCGTCCGAGAATCCCATGCCCGCAAGCGGATTATCTGTGCCCTCTTCATCATCACTGCCCTTTTCTTCGGGAGGTGTGTCGGCATTCTGGAAACGACTGACAGCATTAGGTCCATGACCCATGATGGCAGCCCACGGCGAAGGCATAGACGAGGAAGCGGAGTCGGCGGCTCCGCCAAAGTGAGCCGCACTAGCAGCGGTTGCAGAAAGCACCGAAGCGAGCGCATCATCGGGCATGCGAGGCAGACCGAGGGAGTGAGGTATTTCTTCCATCTTTTGCACAGTCTTGAGGTGAATGAGATGTTTCTAACGGAGCGCAGAATTGGTTTAAGCATGATCGTCTCCTCAAGGCGAGGCCTCTTTGATGTACGCCACTCACCTCCAGCATGCTGAGCAAATTTTGCTTGGAAAAGGGCTTCGCCAAGACGTCATCCATGCCACTCTTCATGTAGTCGAGCAAGTGCTCGGGAGCTACATTGCTCGTCATCGAGATAATCGGTGTTCGTGGGTCGAATTGACGGATAAGCGACGTCGCAGATACACCATCCAGATTTGGCATGACCACGTCCATGAGACTACGATGGAAGCAATGAAAGGCCAGAGCAAGCAGTGTGAGCACGCATGATTGGCTGGGCGAGCAAGAGATGCTCTACTCACACGAGGTCGTACTTCTCCAAATTCATCTTGTTGACCGCGTTCACCCCGTCCACAGCAACATCAATGGCGCAACCAAAGACTTGCAGGAACTTGGACGACATCTTTCGGCACACCTCATTGTCGTCCACAACGAGCACCTTTGGAGGTACCGACCAGCCAGGGATGTAGGTGGATCTTCGCACGCGCAGCATATTACTTCCGCCTTCCGAGGGTGTTTCGCCCCTGCTATCCACAGAGGCGCGTCCAGCCTCTGCATTATCTCCCGAGGTCGCACCTGCGCCAAGAGGAGTAGGGACAGTGGAAGCTCGACGATCGACGCGGGGCATGCTCAATGGTAGCTGCTCGAGTTCGGGCACGCTGATGCCGAAAGATGAAGTGCCCTCTGCTCCCGCAGATCCGCTTCGTCTCTCAGCCTGCGGCTCGCCCGGCGACGAGCGCTTCAGCCCCGACAAGAGCGCAGCACCAGGAGACCCGGAGCCATCGCTGGGGAAGGTGCCCGACTCAGCGCGCGGCTGCAAAGTACCGACTGTAAACACCCTGAGTCCTCCGCCGTCTGCTCCTACGTAGTTAGGAGGCTGTCCAACCGCCGCTGAGACTGCATTGAACAAGTCATTGGCGCTAGAGCCACCTGCCTCGTTAGCATCAAAGTGTGGAGGATGGAAAAAGACCGGGGGGCGTTTCTCGCTCGCTTGACCAGTCGCCTGAGGTGTTTTGCCCTTGTCGACAAAGTCAGTCGTGGCCGCTGGTGATCTTGCGACGCTACTCTTCGGTGACAGGGCGCCATTTCCTGACCCATTGTGAGTACTATTGTTGTCTCCGCTGATCAACGAGGCGAGAGTGGCGTGACTAAGCTGACGTCCTCCATTGGACTGGTCATCTGAATTTTGACGTTGCTGGGCATGAATGCGTGCAGACACTTGGTTCATGGCCGCAAATGAATCCCGCGCCAGAGTGGTGTAGGAGGAGATCAGATCCTGAGCCTCATGTGGAGCCATGAATGCGCTGCTTGTCGGTGCGCCTTCGAGCAAAGGCACACCCGGATTACCGTTGCTAGAGCTACTTGGTGTTGCGGACTGCTCCTCTATAGCAGCTCGGCGCGATGACTCTTGCATGAGATACTGAATCAGCTGCTGCATCAATTGATCTTGCTGGAGCATGTTGCGCTGGAAGGTCAGCATCTCTCCAATAACCCCCTGGTACTGCTTCGTCAAGTTGTTCATGTGCGAGGTCATTTGATCTTGCGTAGCTGTCAAGGCAGCAACCTGGTCTTTCAGTTGGCCATAATCTTCGGCTCCCTTGTCTGCGGCATCTGCAGCACCTGGCATAGAAGGGCTGTTGTCCCTGGCAGCCTTCTTACCAGAAGGCAATTTGCGCTTCACATTCTCCAGCAGGTCCTCGCGTCCTCGTTGGAAGTCAGGATGCTTGAAGCCCCACACTTGATCCACGCCCTGGCCATGCTCTCCTGGATTCTTTACTTTGTGAAAGTCGTACTTGTTCAGCTGCCTGACGAAGCTCGCAAAGTTCGAGTGGCGGAAGTGACGAGGTAGAACGTGCTTTGTGAAATCGCTCATGTTCTTGACCAAGAAGCTATCACCAGCAGGCGACCATGAGACGATTGTTGCGTAAGAATTGTCGGTAAGCATACGATAGAGCTTCTTGACAAAGTCTGACGCTCCTTTCTGCACCGCATTCTTTCCTTGCTCGTCATCTGCACCATCCCCATCATCGTCAAGGTCCCCATCCAAGGAATCGCCAAGAGCGCCAGACGAGCCGTATGCTGGCTGGGGAGGTGCTGGTACATGTGGTCGCAATACGGAGGGCAGCTGACCTCCTTGCCAAGCTGCATGAGGATGCGCCACCCCTGCAAAAGGCGCTTGCTGATGGTTGCCGGCAGGGTAGGGCTGCCCACCACTGTGTGGACGGGGAGCGATGTTGCCAGGCACGTGGTGCTGCTGTGGTGGTCCATGTGCAGCGTGAGGCGGGGCTGCGTCGTGCTGCGGAATGGGAGGCGGACCAGCGGCGGGAAAGTAGACATTATTCACCGCGTGCTGATAACTACCGCCCGGCGTCAAGGGCTGACCCTGAGGCGCCAAGGCCGCCCAGCCTTGAGCTTGAGCGGCATTCAAAGGCCCTTGCACATGAGGCTGGGGCCGCGGATGATGCTGCAGTGGTTGTGGCTGCTGTTGCTGAAATTGGCGAGCCGCATAGCTTCGTGGAGAAAGGTGACCTGACTGAGACTGGGGAGAGCCATTGTAGGCCGGAGGGCGATTGGGTGGCTGCGCGTATGAAGGTGCTAGATTCGGATGATGTTGGTGAGCAAAATTGGAACCAGCAGCGGGCGATGGCGTGTTGCTAGGTCCGCCACCCGCGCCGTCGCTCCACAAAGGACGCCCATTACGATGTTGCTGCCCTGGCGCGTGAGGAGCGCCTCCCCTGGCCCCGGACATCACTGCGGTGTGTTATTGAGATCTGATTGCGTCTGTGCGTGCCAAAGATTCGTTCCACGCGAGCAAGCCTCCGTCTACAACCAGTGCTGTCTGTGACAAGAAAAGCTTCGCGGTGTCCATCGGCTTTGCCCCTCGCGACCTGTCCGGTGACCCGCGCGTAGAGATAATCTGACTGGAATTCAGCTGCTGCTGCCTTGACGCGTCAAGAGACTGGTGGGACGATGTCGAAGGTTGGACTTGGATTGGGGCTTCTCTCAGCAGCCAGAGGTGATGATTGTGCTGCAATGTGATCAGCCAAGGGACGAGTTTGGGATGTGAGCGAATCGGTCGCGATTGTTCGGTGGTGGTTGCTTTCACTATCAAGAAATCTCGAAAGTCCAGCATACAGCAGCACGCGATTTGCGATTAGGTCAAATCGTGAATCCGCGACGTAAGTAGTTAGTCACGAGTAGTCACGAGTCACGAGTGTGTGATTGCGCAGCCGCGCACTCGTGCTGCTGCTACTCTGACTGTGACTACTGCTGCTGAATCCTCGTCACTCGCTTGCATTTCGCGGTGATCGCTTGCAGCAGACCGGCAGTAGGCAAGCATCACAGTCACGAGTTGCCGTGGCAAGTGGCCGAATCGAAGGGGTCAAAGTTTGGTGAGGGCGCGGACGGTAGCGTGCACTTGCTTTTTGGTCGTGCGCTGCAGAGAGAGAGAGAGTCACGAGTTGATCGGAGTCTCAAAGGCTTGCATCGACCTGCAGCTGTCAAAGCGACACAGCACAGACGCGCAGGACCCTGCTGCTGCATGCTGGCTGCTGCTGTGCCGACTCCTACTCGTGACTGGATGTGATGTACCGGCAGGTACACGCGGGTGAGTGAGTCTGTTGGCCGCGATCTCGGATGAGCGACGTGCGCATCGCACACCAAGACATCAGCTGCGAGGCGCCTCATTTCACCGAGCCGCAAACGCAGTCAGTCGCAGGATTCACGATTCGAGACGCGCCCAATTGCGCAGCCGTGAGTCTGAGTGGTGAGTCGTGAGCATCTGACCTCCAAACTTCGAGTGCCGTCCGTACCAAAGACCGACCCGCCGTGCACTGTGACTGCTTTCGCTGTTGTAGGCAAGCGATCTCGTGGACGCGATGGTGCTATATAGCCACGTCGCGAATCACGAACGAGTGGTGAACGCAGCCACAGCAGACGTATAGAGCAAACAGCTACGAGCGCAAGTCACGTGCTTAATGTGTACCGTAACTCACAGCAGCAAGTCAACAGTCATTTCAGTCTTCTGTAAGGCGAGCGACGTTGTGCGTAGGACGGCGAGCTTTCCCTGAACCGCTTTCCCTACCAAGCAGAATGGGTGCAGCACAGGAACACATGATGATTTGAACGATGTGCGTCTCCCGGACGCAACATATCACTCAACACTGGATTGGCCCACACGTCTCTGCGAAAGATGCTCTTCTCCGCTCACCCCTTGCTGTACCGTTCCTGAGCGGCGCTCCAAACTGCAGGCAAGTTTCGAGCTCCACCGCAGTCGGAGTCCGCCGCAGTCACCGAGCTCGGGGCTTCGACCGCTTTGCCCTGCCAGTGATCAAGTGATCATACTTTTTTTTGCGGGCAAGCCGATGGTAGGGAAGCGGTCTTTGCTGGACCACAAGTGGACCAACACGAGTCCGCGAAGGTCTTTCCCTGAGACATGCTCATCGACGAGGCTCGGCGCTTCCCTTTGCAGTCAGCTTTCCGCCCTCGTACGCACATTTGACGTCGATCACGAGAGACTAGGGCCCACTTCGACATGGCAAGGGAGCTCAATTTGGATTGATTGTTCACTGCGCGCACGTAAGCAGTGAAGCATGGCTCGGAATGCAGTCTTGCCTGTGTGCTCATGAACAAAGGCTGTCTTCTAGAAGGAGAGTCGAAGACGTTCAAATCGTTCTGAAGATCTCAAAGCGCAGGCTGCCACCCTGTCATGCCGCAGCGAAAGAAGAAGGGTATCAGTTCATACGACTGTATCAGATGAGCGCTCAGGAGACGAAATTGAGGCTCACCATGAAAGATGACGCCAAGATGCTCTGGGATCGTGGCTTGCTGGATCAAATCATTTACTGTGTATTCGACGCTGAGATTTGGCGACAACTTCGCCATGACTGAGCTGATAGCCCTTTCGGCCAGCAGCTCAGCTGTACCCCGCTCGCCTCTGCCAGGCTCCGAAGTACCGAGGCCCGAGTTGGTGGAGCTCAAGGCAGCTCCACGAACGCCTGAGGTGCCGACCCGAGGTGCGTTAGCGTAAAAGTCTTCTCCGCCTGCTTGCGCCTTCAAGACTTTGACTGGATTCGAGGACCTGGGAGAAGCAGTGACACAAGACTGGCTGGCTCAGCTGCACAGCAACAAATTCGGGGCGAGGGCAGTCGAGAAAACTCACCAAGCCCATAAAGGATCATACTTGAAGACTTCCAGCACCGTTTGAACTACGTTGGCACCCTCGCGCAGCACGCGAAGGGTCTCTTCGCAACATCGCCTGAAGACGCCTTCGGTACCCGAGAGGCCCATTCCGTCGATGACATCGCGCGTCAAGCGGAACGGAACAAGTTCGGGAATCGGCAGCAGACGACCCTACAAGCAAGCAAGCGGAGTAAGAAATGACTCACAGCAGCGTGAAGCTCAACCACATTCTACGCACCTGCTCGAATGCTACGCCAAAGTCAATGTGGATGACCTCGCCGCTGTGCGTATCGAGAAGAATGTTGGACACGTGTCGATCACCGATGCCAAGCATGTGCCCGACGATGGAAGAGACCGCAACACTGCGGGTGTAGTTCAGGCGAGTCTCAAGCCAAGTCAATGGAACATGATAACGATCAAAGAAGTAGAAGCGAAAAGCTGGCGGGAATCGCTCGCAGACCTGGAGGTACGTGTCGACGCGCTCGTCGTAAGTGCCGCCTTGCGCATTGTGCATTGCCACGCGGGCTTCCATTGGCGTTAGACTTCCAGGCGTAGCGTGCCTGACGCAAGGGGAAGTTGTCAGACCAGGCTCAGAGCAGGCGGCACTACTCTGACCGAAAATTCACCTATTGTGGGCGTCCATCAGCTGCGTCCCGATCGGCTCCGTGTCTGCTACGAACTCCAGAAGGCCACACTGCGGTCCGAGTGGTATGACAGCGTACGTTCGCACATGAAGCCTTCTCTTCCTAGCGGCTTTGTCACGCTGAAGAAGACCATTCACAAGCACAAAGACTTGCTGCATGACTGCGTCTTGTCTCAAGTCGTCCTCTGTCTTGAACTGCTCAAGATGTGCCCGACTGACGTAAGCGCCGCCCTCGAACTCTATGCCGATGACCATCCTGAGCTTTACGCACCAATTGCTTATAACGCTGGCCATCGGAGCCGAGACACTCCGTAATCTTGGGATTGTGGATTCCGCCTGCAGTTGAAAAACGTTCGCTAAATCGTGCGATGCTGACAAAGTGTTCGTACTTGCATGTCGGATCGAGTGCTAGCCTGCATGTCATGACTGGCACTGGTACGTCCCTAATGCGACGCAGCTTCAGCGGAGGCTCTGACGGCAGGATCCGTCCCCCCGGTTCCACGCGTCCTTTTGGGTAGAGGCTGGGGTAGGTATGTGGCAAACTTATCTCCGCCCACTCTACACAAGCATCGCAAACCTTCTGCCATGCTGTCAGACGGCCCTTGAGCTTTGGATTATTGCGAGCTTGATGGATGATGTCTTCCGCGGCTGCGCCGCGCAGTTGCTGCGGACTAGCTGCGAGCTGAGCCAGATTAAGTTCGCCTCGGCGAGCAGACGACTTCTCCAATTCCGCCCCCTTTCGAAGAGCATACAGAGCGTACAAGCAATGAAAGGGGTGCTCCAAAGCCATCTTTCGCGTGACCGCGAAGAGCGTTGAAGCAAAAGTCTCGCTCGTCGCAGAAGAAGCACTTAGGGGCGTGTTGCGGGCGCTGCTTCCAGTCTTGGAGAGCCGAGACGAGATTTGATGCATCAAAAGCACGAACTTCTGGGAAGGGATCGCTAGTATAGAGTCTCGCAAACGACCGTTGAACGCCTCGTCATCCGCGTGTTCGAACCACAGTGACGTGAGCTTAATGACGTCTCCATCGAAGCTATCGCTGTCAGTCAGCGAAACGGCAAACATGTTGGCTGCACGGTCGCGAAAGGCCTTGCGAGCGTTGACGTGTTGCACCAGTTGGGCCTCGTCGATTTTCAAAAGCTTCTTCGCCTCACCCCTCTGACGACCCATTTTTTTCTTGCGTCCGACATCGGCCTCCTCGCCCATGGCGGTCTCGATCGAGTCGATTTCTGCTCGCCGGTCCTTTACGAAGCGCTCCAGCTTGCATACCTCCTCATTGACAGACGTGCTATGGCACTGCTCATCTGCAAAGGTCGCATAGTCATGAGCAACCTGCGCTCTGTCAGCAGCAGTACCGCGGCCGTCTAAAACAAGCTCCCAAGCGACCTGAAAGTAGTCCGAGTCTATACGACGCGGCTGGTCAGAACGAGCTGTGGCACGCCAGCGGCCCTGGGAGATATGGTATACAATTGTTCAATCACGACGTCAGTCTCAGTTGACTTCATCACACAGCCTCGCTAGACCACCTACCAGTCTCGACCTCCTGAGTGCTGCCTCTACCATTTCCTTGTTGTTGTTGGATACATGTCGGGGCAGCACATGTTCCAGCGCTTGGATAGCCATTGTGTGCTCGCCTTGTGTCCACAGAACGCTTGCCAGTTCTTCGGTCAGGGCTCCTGCGCTCGTGAAATTTTTAGCGCGAACACTTGCGACAGGAGCGTCGACAGCAACGTCATTATGAAGCTCTTGTGCTGCAAGGACAGATCTCATGGCTGTTTGCGGCAGCACGTGATCGCGTGCCCCTTGGCTGAGGCGCATAAGGATTCCAATCTCCCTCGCAGAAAGGTCTACGTCAACACCGGTGCGAATGCCTTCGCCGATGTCATCTCGGCGGCTATAGGAGCGTTCGAGTCGGATCAAAGCAACCCGTATGCTCAGGAGACGCTCGAAGTCGTCAAACCTGGCAGGTACGAAACGCAGAGGGTGTCAGCCTCGTCGGGTAGATGGGACGTTGAAAAGCAACTCACTCCAAAAAGTCGCTGGAGTGTTCTGGATTTGCGTTGACAAAAGGCGTCGCAGTGGCATTGCCGGACAGGAGCCCTTGCCACTGCGCTACCTCTCCGAGACTCATAAGATTCCGGCCAATCCTTCGAGCTAGGGTGTTTGCTTCCGGTCCAATGGTATTGAAAGCGGACAGCTCGTCGCTCAGAGTGTTGAGCAGGGCTCTTTTGGAAGTGAAAGCACTGCGATTCTGATGGAGGCCTCGCAGCGCGGCGTACACGTTGCGATCGGAGCCAAGCAGACTTCGGTCTCCAAGTGGCAGGTCCCAGTTGCCAGCTCTCCAAGCTACGTCATAAGTGATGTCGCGAACATCTCCTTGCACTTTCGCGCTCGTACTTTGGAAGCTGCAGGGCTCATTTGAGCCTTCACCACCTGAGGTCAGGTTGGCGACATCACGGTCAAGAAGACTCGAGAGGCGGTTGAAGCCCATCTCGTGCAAGGTCAGGTTGAGATGTGCCGTGTCGCTTCCAAGACCCCGACGGAAGAGCGCATCAGAAGCACTTTCCAGGCTTGCGGCGTGCATTTCGAACGCGCGGCCCCATCGCTTCTCGTGATGCAGCCTTCCGACTAGAGCTCTGCGAAGATCATTATCTCGAATCGCGTAAAAGCTGTCTGGGTCTTCGATACTTTCGCAGATTTGATAGAGAAGCTCCAGTACTTTGGGATCGCTCGAGTTGAAGTCTTCTTCACCACCATCGGGCCTTGTGTACTCCTTCGCAAGTTCCACGAAAAGCATCGCGGAGGCAAAGCGGCGAACGTCGGAGGCGCAACGTGCCAACAGAAGAAAGTCGATCTGCAGCCATTGATCACCGATGGGCGAGTCACCGCGAACGTACTTGCGAAGATGGATGACCATTTCAATCACTGCTTTCCAAATTCGTCTGTCGCATTCGGGACGCTCTAATAAGGCTGTGAAGTGCTTCGAAATGGTGGCAGAGGACCCTTGGATCTCTGAGAGGTCTTGCGCGAGCTGCTCCGTCTCAAGTGTAGCATGCAGCAACGCAGGCAGCAGGGTGCCTGCCATCTGCCAGTTGTGCCGAAGAACAGGAGCGATCTGCCCGAAGAAAGAGACGGGCTGTAACAGGGAAAGCACGTCGCATAGCAGCAGCGCAAAGCGGGACGCCCATATTTCGTAGTCGTCCGATGAACAATCTATAGACCAGAGCTCAAGCTCCACGATCGAGCGGCGCCGAGGGACGTGCATTTCGGAAGCGAATGCGGAGAGCAAGTTGAACTCGTGCAATGATGCGCTATCGGTTCTGACATGAGCTTCGCGCAACGCGGGCTCGGAGCTGAGGATGGCGCAGAGAGGACGAAGTAGAGTGTCGACTGTGCTTACTGACTCAACTTTGTTCAAGGAATCCAGCAGCACCGCCAGGATCGCACTCTTCAGCGGTCCTAGGAGGTCTGCACATAAATCTTCGCTGAGGGCGTAGGCGGGCAAGGCAGCCGACAGCTCTGCGCCGTTGTGATTCGCCGACGGTGACCTCAGCTGATTTTGACACAAGTAAAGTATTCTTGCTAGTGCATGAGCCCGTTCACCACGCTTGACGATGTTGTCGTCGGCCGCACTGGGTGCCAAGAGCCGCCAAATGGCGCCAGCTTGAAATTCGTTCCTCGCATCCTCTGATGCTGCAGCCAGGGCAGGCTCGAGCCGACGAATGAAGTATGCATTCATGGCGTTGGCCGGCAGCTGGCAAGTCGCGCTGGCAAAATCTGTTATCGACATCTTGCCCTCCATTTGAGCTGCTAAAGGTGCTGGCAGCTCGGCAGGCCAAGCCAGAAGCACCAATGAGATTGTCGACTGAGCTTGGTGATCAGTGGACTCCTGCAGGACTCGGCCTAGCCACGAAAGTATTCTCGTACTAAGACTGCGCTTGTTCTCTTCGCCACTGACGTCGAGCGACTCGGCGGTGTGCAACAGTGCAGTCAGCAGAGGTGCAAGGCGAGGTGATGTAGGTGAGAGATGCAGTACGCGTCGAAGGCTCCAGTCGAGTAGGCTCAGGGTCTGGTCGCTTAAGTCTAAGGCTTGAAGAAGGCCCAAGGCTCCTTGGATGATGCAACATAGCACAACGTTGTCCTCAATGATTGATGGGGATGCTATAGCGATATATAGCTTCAATGCGAACAAATGTCTATGCTGATCATTGATCAAGCATCCGCTAGCTATGGCACCGAACAAACGCCGGACAACGTGGTACGCTGTAGCGGCGCTCACCAGCTCGTCTTCTCCGTCTGCCAGGATCTGCAGGCCGTGATAGACCGCTGCAGCGCTGTAAAAGGGCCTAGCAGGAAGATATGAGTCTAGGTCTGGAGCTTCGTGCGCGTCTATTGGTCGGAGGAGAGCGCGAAGCACCATGGCACTCTGAGGATTGCCCCCCTCGAGAGCGGTGAGAACGATACCCAAACCTCTGCCTACGCCTGGAATCGTGTCAAGGCTGGTTGCGTCGCTCCGCCGGTCTCGATCAGTGGAGTCGTACAAATTTTGGAGAAGAGCGACAACGACTAAATTTGCGGTCTCTGACAGCATGGCGCTGATCTCGTGGAAGCGCGCTGGAGGTAGATGCCATCGCGAGGCAAGACGAGCTTGCAGAGTCTTGCGCTGCTGCTTGTAATCCGGTCTGGTTTGCGAGAAAGCGCTCTCTTCTCCTAACGAGCCAGCCTCAATGGCGGCAAGAAAAGGCAAACATTCTTTCATAGCGGTGTCAGTGCTCTTCCTAGTGAAGCTCGTGAGGGTAGTGAAAGCTTCCAGATGGTGATCCTGCTCTGCAGCCAAAAGTATGGAAGCGACAGGTCGGAAGGTCCCTTCCACGCAGTGTTTGCGGGACGTATACCCAAGAACGTTGTAAGGCAGACGTAGAGGATCATAGCCGCCTTGTATAAGGAACCACGTCGAGCTAGGACAGAAGTGGAGCCACAAATCGCGAGCACTAGCGAAGCCTAAGCGCAACGCAACCGCCTCAAAGACCGTAGCGAGTATTTCGTGATATTGGGTGCTGACGAGCGAGAGCTCGAGGAGGTGGTAGATCGCAAGATAGCGCACGGGCCCGTTTGAGATCAACACGTTACCTAGAGTCAGAACTCGCGTCATCATCAGCTCAGCATCTGATACGTCGTCCGGCAGTAGACTCCTCAGCTCCTCGTAAAGGGCTTCGAGATTAAGAATTTTGCCAGATGCGCATATGTCGACAAGTCGGCCAACACGGGAGGCTGCGGCAAAACGGACACCTGCATCTTTATCCACGACAGATCTTAGGAGCGAGTGCAGAAGCGACTGCGCTTTGAGATCCGCCGGCCTTTCTGGGCGCCACTTGATGGGCGCGACCAGCGTTTTAGATACTATGCGATCGGCTCCCGACATGCACCTGAGCATGCGCTCAACGAAGACTCCTGATCGTAGTCGAACAAGGGCAGTAAGCATGTGCCGTTTTGAGAAACGTTTGGCAAAGTAGCCGGCAAGCTTCTCGGCGTTACGTTGAAGCTCGGACTGGGACGCGGAGGGGTGAGACCATGCCGAAAGGGTGCGGTCAAGAAGATTGATGGCTAGCAGCTGCGCCTGCTCGCTTTGTTCGTGCTCGTATAGCAAGAGCATGTCATCACCAAGTCGGACAATGATGGTGTTCAGCGTGCTGCGGGTGAAGTGTAGGCGATGCTGCTCAAACAATCGACAAGCGGTCCCAAGAGCTAATTGCAAAAAACTTATGGGTCCCTCAACAAGGAGCTGACTGATGGTGTCGTCTGATGTCGCTTGAGGTTGAGTATTACCAGGTCCGAAGCTGCTAGTGGCGACGTCTTCTTCACGTAGAACGCCTTCTCCGGAGCGCTGGCACGGCGTTTGTGGCAGCCTCAACATGGGGACATCACACAGAGTTCCGATGCAAAGCTCGATCGTGAGACGATTGGTGAGATCTTCAACAGCAGACGCATTTTCCGACCTCTGGCCATCGTCCGCAGAGCGAATATTGCTCCACACTCCGTCGTCCTCCGCCGCGACAGCCTGAGTACCGACGCTTCGCAACGATTCAGTGGGCTTTGCCACTCGGCCAAGCACACTCCGCAAAGTTTCGAGGATCACTTCTTGACAGCTTATTTGACGCCAAAGCCGAGCGTGAAATACGGCGGACGGGACGTCTGGAGGCTTGCTCAATGAGTCATTGGTAAGCTTCCGTTGCGCGCCAGAATGAGCTCCTGGCCGGACAAGTGCTGACCATTTGTCAAGCGTGCTATCTGATCGTACCACAGGTCGACAAGGCAGCAGCGGCTCGAGACCCTTGAGTATTGTAAGGCGTGCTGAAGGCGCCCATCGCTGGTCAGCTGCTGCGCCGATTGCAGAGGCCAATAAGCTACTAGCGGCGGATGAGAGCGTACGAGACGATTCCACGTGATTTGCTCGAAGGATCGCGTCGAACAAGAGCGCGGCGGTCGCGAAGTCCACCGTACGTCGCACTTGTTCTACTGTGCCATGCGCCTTCAGTCTGACCTTGCCAGTACTGTCGCTGGCATCCGACCACTCATCTAGAAAGATCTGCAGATTGCGGTCAACAAACGCGAGCAGCCGTTGACCGATCGGCTCTGGTTCTCGCGAAGGAACCCCTTCTTCGAACTCCACGTCGGCGAGCTGCGCGGAGTCGGAAGCGACCTCGGGGTCGCTCACGTCGCATTGCAAGAGGAACGCTCCGAGTGAGGCATTCTCGGCGTTATCAAGGTTCTGCGTTATGACGGCGCAGGATGGGAGCAATGGACGCACGCGTGCGAGAGTCGGCCAACGAGAAAGTCGGCAGATGTTTGCCATGAGGTTGGCAAGATCGACCGCGCCTTGCTCTTCCGCGCGAATGTTCGTTTTCGAGCGCCTAGAAACAGCTTCTGAAGGAGACCAGGTAGCCATTAGCCATGTAGCGCACTTTTGCTCCATTGTACGAGCATCTATGCCAGGCGTAGCTCGACAGCGACACAGGCACTCGCAGAGAAAGGCGCACACAGCGTCGGAGACTTGATTGGGACCTTGAAGGTCAATGCTCCCAAGGAGCGTTTCGATCTGAGGGTGAATGATACTCGGCTCCAGGAGCCCAGCTTGAAGTATGGCTAGTGCAGCGTGGGCACCAGCGCGAGCGGCGCCGGGCATGGTCATCCGCCGGCATGCCAGTGGCCATATACTTGACCAGATCGAAGCCTCAGCTACAGTGCGCGAGGATGCCGAGTTGCGAGCGGCTGCTGCGAATGCGACGAGAGACCAACACTGAACGTCTATATCGTCGCCAGAAGCGTGACCAAGGAGGTACTCGAGGACAGCTCGGCGTTCGTCGGGATCTAGCTGCTTCCAGTGCCTCGCGTTGACAAAGAGAATGATTTGCAGATACCAAATACGCTTAGCGGGCTCGAGCAAGCTTGCTGCTTTGCACAATCTGCCTATCAGGGTACCAACAGCGCTTTGTGGGGTCCATGTGGCCATCGCCGAATCTTCCAGACGGCGCCGTTTGGCATCGTGACGAATCGTGCCGCCTTTAGACAGAAGGACGCTTGTCGTTCTCGAGGTGAATGTGGGAGTACTGGCAGCATGCGAGCCCTGGCCATGAGGCGCCGATCTAAAGCGAGAGATTGCTGATACTTCTTGCGCGTCGCCTGATTCGATGTCATTTGCTGATTGGACGAGATCGCTTCGGGTCGAAGAGTAGCCCAGCGCCTGAATGCAAATTGCGGCATCGGCAGCAAGCTCGAGCATTGCCCAACTAAGGGCGTGAGGGGCGGTGAAACCTCTGCCAGGCCTGATTGTGCCAGCAAGTAGCACATGTTCCGCTTCAAGCCCTGCGCAAGGAGCTCCAGGTTGATGCGCGAGATCGACATTGGCCAGCGTGAGAGGTGGTATCGCCCAGCGATGGTCACACTCCGTTTGCACGAGCTCAAACACCTGAGCCAGGCACTTGGCGCGCTGCCCTTGCTCTGCCACGTCAGCGGCGCTTTGCGTTGACGAGGCGAGACCCGCTGCCCGAGGACCTGGACATGCAAGCGCACGGGCAACGATGGGCAGAAGGGTTCGCAGGCAAACGACCAACTGCTCCTTGAGAGGCCGATTTTTGGTGGGCCACATGGCTAAAAGGGAAGGCCAGCTCCAGAACGCAAAGCGAGCGACGGTTATTCGTTCGTTGTACTGCAATTTGTTCAGCAAGGCGTTGAGCCCTATCATTGCAGGCAGGTGGGCTGTGGAGTCTGTTCTAAAAGTTTGGAGAAACCTGGCATACTTGCTGAGAAGCCTCAGCCCAAGCTTCGCATCCGTGCAAAGAGGCGCAGTGGTCGATTCAATGAGCTTCTGAATGGCCTTCATCACTTCGACGTCCTCCGGACCGGCAACGTTCTTCTGGGAGCTCGCGTTCGCGGCGCTGGCAGACCTGGGCCTTTTGCGCCGGTCGGAAGTGGCCAGCCCTTGCGCCGATGGCGCCGCGTCGCCATCTTCTCCATCGGATGGGCTTGGCTGAGGGGCACCGTCAAGTCGAATGTCAGCCTCTTGATGTTGTTCCAACTTGGCGGAGAGCCTGTCTTTAAAGAGGATATTACACAGCAGACCCGCTGTGTCGGACCATCGAGCTTCATCAAAGTGATCGATATGAGGCGCGTAGCTCAAGGCCGCACCCATCGCCTGCAAACACTCCAACAACACAGGCTGGAAAGGTTGGCCTCGCTGCTCGAGCAGCCTGAAGGTCTGCTGCAGCACAGCAAACACGGCTGGGAGCCGAAATTCTGCGATAGCTTGCTCGATGAGCCAGCGAGCCGTCTGAGCGCTGTGCTTGACCCGATTAATGGCGACCTGAGGAGCATCCTGCCAGTCCCCACGCTTCATACACGCAGCTTTGTCCAAGGCAGCACACGCAAAGAGGGCCTCGATGACCCGAACCCAGCGCTGGCGATCTGGATCTTCCTCGTCGAAGCGTGCGCATACCGAGCGCTTGCCAAAGATGGCCCGTATCGCAGTCTGTCCCTCCTCTCTGCCCTTTATCTTGTCGCTCGTCAGCAACCGAAGCGCCTCCTGAAGTCCAGTCTGACTCATCCTGTGGGCAAGAAGACTTCAGCTTGGCAGCCTTGATGGCATAGAGATGGCAGGCAACACCATCTCACCTCGCAACGTGCACCTCTGACCCTATAGTAAGAGTGTGTCCTGACCTTCGAGCAGAACGTCTGCCCGCAGCATCGAGATGACTTCCTTGCAGACGTCCAACTCCCGGCGTTCTTCCACACCCCTTCCATGCGGATTAAGCCAGCGAGGTGCACAAGTCCGCATCAAGAGCAACAGTCGTCGCACTGATCCCAGCTCTATTGATATGGAATTAGCCTCGTCTAAATGTGGTATTGAGGATGAAGAGTGTGCGCACCGGATCGCGAATCGTCATTCTGGGAGTGAAGCGTTCGCTGAGCGCTGTGGCAGGTAGACCGGGTAGTCCATGGCTGCACCCGCGTGGTCGCACCGCTTCAGAATCAGGTGTCAAGAATAAAGCAAGTATTCTTGATTGGCTGCTTGGGCATTTTGAATCAGTCTTGAATTCTTGATTGCACAGCGCGTCTAGACACCTACAAAACTCACCGCCCACAGTCAAAAGATTAAACATATTTCTACCCAGAGATGAACATTCAAGATTAACACGAAGAAATTGAATCCAGTTCCTGATCACGAAATCCCAAAAGAGCCTGATTTGTAAGATCAGAATGAAAGCATGTGCCAAACCATACACTCAAGACTAAACCAGGTTGACCTTTGAATATGCATGCGTGCATGGCTGTCAAATCATCAATCGTGAATGTGCATCACAATCTTGAATTGAATCAGAGTCGCGAATCAAAAATCGCGCAATCGCGATCGTGAGGTCGACATCAGCCACGAGACGTCTTCCAGCCAGGGCGCGACAATCGAGTGAAATGGTCTGATTGCCCCACCCCGCCCGACCAGTCCGAGTCAGACACATGATCACATATCCCACGACTCAGTCTGCACAAAATTCGACAAGAACTGTCAGCTGTCGTCTACTTTCAAGATGGATGATGGGTTCCTAAGCAATGACGACCACCGGCAAGACTATGGATTTGAGCGTCGACGAGGAGAGGGGTCTCAAAGAGTCAGTCCGAAAGTGCTGCGCATCACGTAGCAGAAGCTTTGACAGGTCTCCAACTCGGGCAGCTTTGCTGATGTTGGACCTATGCTCCTTCCGAGAGTAGAGTCGGATTGCTTACGATGATCTAGATCGAGATCGAAGGCTACCTTACCAAGAAGAGGGCAGCTGGCACGAGGATTCGCGTCTTCGAGAGCCCGCAAGACATCATCATGAAGCCGAATCTTACGATCTGCATAGCCATAGGCAGTATCATCGTAGCGATTGGCACAGATCGGATCGATGGCAGCATGATCGATACTCTGATCGGACGGCCCATCCAGAGGATCGATGGCGAGGTGCGGATGATCGCTGGGATGCTGGAAACTATGATGGCTGGTCATCGACCCAAGATCACGCCGGCGATCGGCACACCTGGCGCTCAGATCCCCAAAGTCGCAGCTTAGCCGATCACTATTACCGCGACCAGGGGGCAAGATCTCTACAGTGGCATGATCGCAGACATGGACAAGAGGCTCAGTGGCATCCAAGTACTTACCACCCGGATCCTCGCCCTGCTGCCCCCGATGTTGCAGCGGCGAGTGACGCAGCTGGAAGCGGCGCGACGGGCCAGATGCGGTTGGTGGCGCTTTCCTCAAAGGTGCTACCCGAGGGACGCCGTGTGGCAGTGATCGACGCTAGGGAAGAAAGCGTCAGCATTGTGAGTAGTGCTGAAATTCTAGTCAACGCCAGTGTGAGGGTCTTTCAGCATGGCTGAGTGCCGTTGCCATGCCATCGTTAGGGGCGTGACAAGACCTTCACCTCCCGCATCCGTTTGCCAGCCATGGAGGTATCGAAGCATCATGCGAACGTATTCTACCTGGTGTCCAGCATGTCAGGCGCAGGAGCTTGGTTCATCACCGATGTTGGCTCGGTGCACGGCACGTATCATCTTGCTTGCAAATCGATCCCCGAAGGTGCCGCAGATGAGCTGGCTTCAGGCCTTCCGACAAGCCGCTTCACCCGCTTGTCCGAGGCACGGAAAGCCAGTAGTCCCATGAGACTCGACAATGAAGACTGGCTGCGGATTGGCGACACCACGTTCGAGGTTCATTTGCATGGCTCTTTGGCCTGTCAAAGATGTTCACTTCACAGTGATGGGACAAATGAGATCCAGCTTCGGCCCAGCGACAAGAAGGTAAAGTCATCAATCACAGACGCGGAGGGCGCTGGAGCAGGTCGAGCAGAACTCATAGCAGAGAGCCTTCAGCGTCAAGTAGGCAACAAGAGCACTACGTCGACCACGGAGCGTGTCCCAATGGATCGCAAGGTGGAGACGGAAGCGCTGCGACGTCAGCGCATGAAAGACATGAGGAAGCAGTATCTGGGAAGCCAAGACGACGAAGACGGACGTAGCGAGGAATCTGCATCAGGACAAGCGGCAGGTCCAGTGTACCTTGACAGAGCAGCTGCCCGGCGAGCCATGCACCCTGGAGAGTCGAAACAGAAGAGGGCTTGGGGTAGACGTCGCAGCGCTTCGCCAGGACGACCTGCTCAAGCACAATCGGCGGAGTCAGCTGCGATGCGTCATCAAGCCGCTGGTCCATCTCGGGGTGCTGGGACTGGGACTGTGGAGCGCTCCACTGCTGATCCAGCGCCTTTGAACGATTCCAATCGAGGCTTTCAAATGTTGGCCAAGATGCGCGGTGGAGAGGAGGGGCACACGCTTGGAGACGAGATTTTGGCGAGAGCGACGGAAGGCCGCGCTGGACTGGGCAGCACGAAGCTTCGCACTGCGCAAGAGATCAGCTCGGCCAGCTCAAGCTCACTAAAATATGGCGATCCAGAAAGCGTTCGAAGGCGTTTCGAGCAATCAATGGCAAGTGAAGGGAGGCGGTAGAAGTTATTCAGGCGAGCGCCACCGGGCTTTAGCATTATCCTGCTTCACGCAGTCGCTGTGGATCTTGTGTAAATCATCTGTAGCAATCTGCATTGTTCGCACTCTCGCAATTTGCATCTCCTTAGACCTGAAAGGTTGGCAAGTCACTAAGGCTTCTCTGTCTCTCGTGTAGTGCTGTGGTCTTTTCAAAGGGGTTGAGTTGTGACTTGGCGGTCAGACAAGGCGATAGCAGCATCTTCACTTGCGCGCGCGTCACCTTTGAGGAGCAAGCGAGCGACCTTTGCGCATCGACGAGCGTCGGCGGCCGAAGCCTCGTGGGTCACGGTCCTTGCCGGCGGTCCCCTTTCGATGCAGCGCGTGCGAGGAAGAGGGCGAGTCACGGTATAGGGACGTGGAAGTGATTTATCTCGGGCCCCGCTTCGTTCCGGCCAGCTGTGTCAAGATCACCCTTTCAGCACCTTGCCGGCTTATCTAGCCCTGATCTGGGTTTCTTCTGGAACATCAACAACAGAATTTAGGTTCGAGCATGCAAGCGCATCATGTAAGTGTGTACATGTGAAGCCTATTGGTTGCAGCTGGCACGGAGTCCTGCTGCAGGCCGTCTGTGACATCTCAAAATGCGCTGACTCATGCTTGTGCACATTCAGAACGACGGAATTAGCCATCGATCTTGCTGGCTTGACCGAGGACTGCAAACGAACGTTCAAAATGGATCCACACGATCGAATGGTGAAGCGTGAATATCGCGAATGACCATAAATTGACTCCTCGCTCGACCATGCTCCACTCTTGACTACTACAGTCGTGAGCCTCATCAGACTACTGTTTTGCCCCGCTGCATGGACATACCTCTTGCGTCGCAGCTTCCTCGCTCGTGCGGCACGAGCACCCTTGCCATGCGTCGTCTGCGGGGGACAGCTGCTTCTTGTTTGCTCCTTCATCGGAGTCGTGGGTGCGAGCCGCGACCGCTGGCTCACAAGGTGAGTCTGTTTTGGACCTCCGCTCTGTGGCTTGGCAAGCTCGACTGGCGGGTGATGGCCTGGTGCGGGCAGGAAGGCAGTGAGAGCCGTGTATTCATCGGTGCGAGGCGAGTGCAGCTCTCTTGCCGTTCGGCGGTTGGAAAGGAAAGCAACACAACAGATGTGCCTGCGTAGCACGAGGTGCTTGGGAAAGTCAGATCGATCTTCTGCTGCAGGATTCGCGATTGCTGCCAGCAGGTAGCCAGAAGGCGCATCCAGATTTTCGCAACTGCTAGCCGCTTCTTCAGCATCGCACGAGCGACTAACGCGCCGCAAGCCTCGATACAACAAACAACGTGTGACTGTTGTGACTGCTCATGACTTACGAATGTGAATGCTACAGCGAAGCGTCTGAGCCCCGAAGTACAAGGTTGTCACCTCCGGTCACTGCATACAGACAAAGAAACGAACGAAGCGAGGCCACATCTCCTCGCCGCGCGTCGATCGCAAAGCAAATTAGCCCTGCTGACCGATGAGATTCATGAAAAGATCTACAAACAAATTAACGCACCTCCACCACAGATTCCCGAGTCGAGCGATTGAGCACAGGCCAGCCAGCATGCAGCAATCGAGCGAATAGTCTGTCTCTCTGCTGGCCGCTCGGGCCTTGGCCACGCTTCCGGGGCCACGGCGCAAAGTGTCTGCTGTTGACCGTACCCAGCAGATTTGACCGCCTCTGTCTGCCGTGTGAAGAGGCGAGATGCTTAGCATGCTGTGGGTATGCTCGCGCAGTCGTGAATCTTCTCTTCGCTCCGAGTCCCTTGGTCGCTGCTGCTGCAGTCAGCAAGGGAGGGTGAACTTGTGGAATTTGGCGTGGAGTGAGCCTTTCCCCTCTCCACGCGCTCCTTTCCACTTTCCACGCTAGCACGACGACATGCGGGCACGCTGCATGTAGGTCTGCAGACTGCCACTCGCTCACATCAACCTTGTTCTAGCTCGACGTGTTTCGGCTGAGAGCAGAGCAGCTAGAGCAGCACTCGCACTTGTTTGGGTACGTTACGTATGGTGGGGTCTGTACGGCACACGTCACGACGCGCTCGAGCTTCCACTCCACGCTTTCCAGAACGAGATGCAGATGCATGGGCAACACGTACGGGCTTAGCTGCTCGAGTGACTTCAGCAGCATGCACCCGCCATGAGCTTCAGCTTCGCCCGGAACAAAGAAGAGCGGGGCACGAGCTTCCGAGGATGCAAATTGAGAGGTCTGGCGGGGGTGAAGACGCTCGCACATTCACACTACAACACATGCAGACAGGGATGCGTTTCGACGTGAGATCGAGAATCCTCTCTGCTTCAGGAACGGGCCCGCTCAGACGGCAGTTGGTGCTGGTAGGGCGATCGAGGGGCAGAAGCAGGCGCTGTCAATCTGTGCCGAGCCCAGCAGTGACCGATGACTGTAGCAAATGATGGTCATCACAGCCAGAGCTAGCTGTACCAAAACAACGAAATATGCTCGCGTAACTCTTCCGAATCACAATGAGCGTTTCATCTCCACTTGGGCGGTGCTGTGTGGCCGCGGGATCTGAGTTATGATGAGCGCGCAGCTGCGCGCGCGTGGATCATGCACGAGATCCCTCACCGCTAAGGCGCGCTAGTGCAACGACGATGCCGGAGCTTGAGAAGCAGGTCTCACCCGCGTGCTTGATGTTTCACCGCGGGCGCGCGCGCAAGCCGCGGCCGTATACGGCTATACTACATACACTGATGAGACGCAAAAAGCATCGAGCGATTAATTGACACAAGCATGATGAGCCGGACTCACATTCGATATTTTTGGGCCTTTCGAATCACGAATGCGAAAGCTTCCTTCCGAATGTCAGCGCTATCCAATTTCTTCGGATTACTACCACGCACGCCGAGTCGAGCCCAGCTGCTTCGCACACGTCGCTCGCGCAGTATCCGGTGCCGTAGCGCACCCAATGCGAGTCTGACTGGTACTTTTGTCCGCACAAGATTTAAGTTTGGCCTTGAACGAGGCAGCCTGCACATGGTGCAGCAGCCGACAGGGCGACGAATCGAGAGCTCTGAAGCGGAGCGTTTCCCCCGATATCGCATGCTGCTGTGAGTCCGGATGCTTGTTCTTTCAAGCTTCAAGCCTCAAGCCTAATCGGCGGCAGTCACGGCTCTCTGACGATCGCGCGCTCATCGCGATTCCTAGTCTTGACTGATCAACACCACCAGTGGCGCGACGAAGCCCTCATCTCATCCCCGGAACCTCTGATCGGACGCGCTAACTCCTGGAACTCCCACCTTGTTCCTTCAGCACAAGCCCTATCCGTGTTGTTGCCCTGCTGCTCGCATCAGCCCCTCGCGCGCCGCCTGCCGTGCTTACAAGTCGCCTCGACGCTGTTGTGGACGATACGCCCCTCTTCACGTTCTTCGCTTCCTGCTTCGAGGCGCTGTGCGGCACCGGCAGCTGTGCAAGCTTCGTTTCTGTCCAACCTTCTACGTCCGCCTTTCCCTTTTTCATTGGCATTCTCTGGCAGGAGCCGTCCTTCGAAACATTGCAAACTTCCAAGCTTCGACCCGTTGCCTCGCAGACAGCCTCGTCGTCCGCTCGGTGAGGCAAGCTGAAGTGCACATCTGCTTTTTGGCCTGAAGAAGAAGCTCCTGTTGAGACACGGCGCAGCAGAGCCTCCTGATAAAACGCGGCCCGTCTTGAGAACCGCTCCCCTTACTATCAAGTCTTTTCGCAGCTCCGTCTGCGCTTGTCGCCCGCCTTTCACCTCCAACGCTCACTCAGTGACAGCACGGATCAGAGTCCTTTCAGTAGTTTCGGTCCGAGGTCGGAGGATCTTCGCTCGAGACCGCGGACCGCTCAAGGCCTCTCTTTACCTACACATTGGCACGCCTTCGTTTGGACCAGCTCACCTCGGGGCAAGGGTAGTACCGCACAGTCCGTGTGACGTGCCTACCCCTCTCGAGACAGTCGCAGGCGTTGCTGAAGGAGCAAGAGGCGACGCAGGAACCGGCCAATTCGGTGCACTTGTGCTCCGGCGTCTTGCCATTTGACGTTCTGGCGTCTAATTGCACATTTCATGGCGCTTGATCCGCCGCTACCAGTCTTTATATCTTTCTTCTACCAGCAAAGCTGCAGTGGCGGCTGTCAACTCGATCGCCGGGAAGCCACCTGAAGAGCGGAATTGAGTTTGGCTTAGCACATCATCAGGTAAAGTTGTTGCAAGTGAGTAAAGTCGATTCGAGGCTGGTGTAGGATGGCGCTTGCGCGTGCAAAGGTACGGACGGACTGGCAGAGAAAGATGTTACGTCAGCCAAGGAGAGCCTCTCGTCTTTTCCCGCGCAAAGTATCAGCCCAGCAGTCGCGACGAGGCTGACTTGGGCTGCACCCTCCACGCGAGCGCTTGGGTCCATTTCCCACCGTTGACGAGCTTCGACGCGTTGAGAGAGACTGCCGCACTCTGAATTGGTAGCTTGTCGATGTCGCTGTCATGCGTACTCAGGCTGCGCTGACATGCCATCTCCTCTTGCAATTTTGGTCCTTTAGGTGCTACAAGGAGCCGCTTTGCTGAGGTTGCGTGCCCAGCCGCAATTCGAAGTGCTGTCCTTCTCTCGCTAGTTCTGAACCAGGACCTACTGGAGAGCATGGCGATCGCCTCAGCACCTCTCAGAGCTCGTTGACGACCCAGGTTTCCTTTCACGACCTTCATTCCTTCACGAGTCACTCTTGCGCGACCACCATCAGCCACTAAGCTTTCCTCTCCAACCGCTGACTCTTAGCTCTGAGGCTCCAGTACACATCGCCGAAAAGGGAGCCAGCGTCAAACTTCCATCCTGCTCGGTCTGCGCCTCTCCTAGTCCTCACCATGGGCGGGATCACAGAGCCCACTTTCACAGGGTACATGTGCGTGACCAGCTAAGAGGTAGCGACAGACGTCCTCGTGCTTACCAACGATCACGCCCTCTTCACCCACGCAGTGCATCAACACACGACGCCTTGCTGGTCTTCGAGGCAGTGCGCCAAAAGAAGATGTCGAAGATTCCCCGCAGGCTACGCGATGATGAACGTAAGCTGATCCGAAGTGGATCGGTGTTTGTGTTCGACGAGCGTGAGAGCGGCATCAAGCGCTGGACGGACGGGCTTTTGTGGAGCCCAAGTCGCATACTGATGAACTTTCTGGTACGTCCCCTTACGTGGTCCAGTAGCTTGGCTCTTAGCATCCGCTCATAGCCTGCCCTCGATGTCGCAGGTCTACCGTCAGATAGACAAAAAGCAGCACCAGGTCAAGGGCTCTTCCGACCCTTCGTTGCGGGAAGATGACAGCTATGAATCGATGGCGGACGAGTCCATTGGTACAGGCCTTCCTGTGCCTGCTACAACAGAAGAGCTTCATCCCTTCGAGCTAGGAGTGCCTATGGCAGATTTTCCGGGCACTGATGCCGTCAATGACTTTCTTGGTTTGCCCTCGACAGACCTACCGTACAATCCAAATGCCGAAGCTATGTCCAGACTCAAATCCGAGGGCAGCGTGTTGGACACCGCTGCGGCTTGGAACTCGGCAGCAAGCGATCCCTCAGGTTTCATGAACTTCGGCACCTCGACGATTGGCTTTGCTGGCGCTGGTACGGCTGCCAGCGGCTCGCTGACAGACGCAGACACCTCTGCTTCACAGAGCTCTGGAAACGTCGGCCGCCCCAAGTCAGCGCCTCACTCTGCAAGTGCATACGATCAGGCAAGCTTGGCCAAAAGGGAAGCCGACTTTGAGCGGAGCTTGGTCGGCAGTCTCACGAACAGCTACCCGTTTGCCAAGAATGGTCTTTGCAAAAAGGTTCGTCGCGTTTCACTTTACAGAAGCGCCTATACCACTCTGCAGCGCTCATTCTTGAAACCTTGCCCTTGATCTAGACCATTTCCATGCAGGTTGAGGGCTCCACGCAGCACCTCATCTCGTACTACAGCGTTGAGGACGTACGAGCAGGCCGTCTGCGCACACCCTCGACGTTGCCGGAGATCAGTGCGATTCAAATTTCGCCCGTATTCCTAAGCAAGAGCTCCTTCAGGTTTCCTCCCAAAGTCTTCTATGACCCCGATGGTCAGCTGCGGTACTGTCGAGATACGAACGTGGAAGATGAGGGTGCATACAGTCTCGACCTCGGTTCGAGCGGGGAGGGTACCTCGGGCAGCGACAGTCGAAGCCGCCGTGAAAGCCATGAAGCCAACACTTTTGGTCTCGGTCCTCGCCACGCTCCAGGATATGGACGCACTGTGCCGCCGTTGCGGACAGCCGGCAACATGAGCACTAGCGGCTGGGACGCCTGGACAAGCTCGAACCCAGCATCTCCAGATATCCAACTGCCAGCAGGTGTTGGTGACAATCGGCCTTTCAATCCCGGCATGCCGCGCCGCGCCTCAGACGCCTTGACGAGATCTCGATTGGGCAGCGGAAGATTTGAGCCTTATCCGGGAGCTACAGCGCATCCGATGGCTGGATCCGGATCTCCACCTTTGCTTCCACACTCTGGCTATGCTGGCGGTCCTCACACCAGCCCAATCCAGAGTCCTCAGATGGGACGGCATCGAGCGGACTCAGAACGTCGACAGAGGATTGGACCGCGATTGCATTCGTCGCAGTCGATGTGGAATCTCTCAGAGTTCGCGTCTGCCTCTCAAACCCACCCAAGGTTTGAAGCACACGGTCGCCTCCAACCCGCAAGTGAGTTCGCGCTCGGCGAAAGCGCTCAGGGATGGCTTCCAACGCAGTCAGGCAGCGGCACCCTGCCTTCGCGTCAAGGTGCGTGGTCACCGACTCCCCAAGCATACGGAAACAATGTCGCAGGTGGTCCGAGCGTCCGAGAGCCGCCATCGTGGTCCGACAGGCCGATCGCAAGAGCGGGACCTTCCTTGGGCTCGCCCGATAACAATATGGCTCGGCACTTCCTCTCCAGCACTCCTTCGGCGCACTCGGGCTTTGCATGGCATGATCGCATCCCACCGTTGGGAACCACATTCTCAGCCGATACCAGTGCGAATCAACGTGGGTTGTCAAATCCTTATCAGCAAGTCCTGCCGCCATCAATCTACACCCCAGCAACCAGTCCAGCACTCGGCTCGTCACATTACGATGGGACTGCGTGGAGCGGACCCTATGAGCGCGAGCCGCAGCAATCCCATTCCACGGCTTACAGGACAAATGTGCAGCGGCCAGACTCGAGCGGTTCCAACGTGTCCAACCATGCTCTTGGTACATCACCGCAGTACGGCAACATGGGGATGCAGAGAGGTAGAAACCAGACGCAGAGCCGACCTGGAACGGGCAATTCAGAACTCGGTACCGTCTATCTATCCAAGCCATCAAGCGAGTCACACCGATCGCCTCGCTGATGTTGTAGTTATCATGAGCTCAGATCTCCGAGTAAATCTTCCGCGAGATGCTTAGGTGATAGGAGCTCGCCTCTACACGCTTCTGCCTCGCCACCGGCGAGACATGCACTTGGCGAGCGACGTGATTCAGCTCGAGCGTCGCCCATCCACCAATCACACTCATTCAGTTCATATCAACTTCGGCCGCTTGTATTAGAAGGACATCTTTTGCCTGCCGCCCCTTCTTTCGAGCAACCCGTTCGCCGTCATCAGCATCACGCTCATTAAAGCCTCATCTTCGCTGCACCAATTCCCCTTGTGTTGCGTCACGGACGCGTGTATTCCGTCTGCTGTATACCAAAAATGGGCTCAGAATGTCACGGAATGAAAAGCCTCACTCGTTGACTACTTGTTCCAACATTCTTGACGTTGTCGAATTTTGATGAGACTGTGCCCGCGTCTGGTCCAGGCTGCAAAGGACCTCTTGAACTATCAGCATCGTCGTTGTGAACCTTTATGCGCGTAGACCGAACCGAGATGCCATTGCCTGTGCTGCTAGACAGAGATGGGTGCTAACCTCGTGTGTGGGACAGCAAGCCTCCACCAGTCCTTGAGTCACTCAAGATTCAAATCTTGAATGATTGATGAGTCGAGAGTCACGAGTCAAAGTCACGACTGAGTTGAGTCGATCTGGATCCGCCGCTCAGCTTTATCACGTGGCAGAGCCAACGCAAGGGCCATCCCAGCCGCGCTGACGACGCCTCGTGCAGCAGCATGGAGATAAACATCATTCAAAATTCAAAATTCTGATGAGAGGTCAATCATTGAACTGAACCAAGCTGCGCAAGACTTTCCGCGTGAACCAGTCGGAGCTTTACAACAAGAAACCCCTCGGCTGCGCCCATGACGCATCTTACTCAAGACTCTTGACTCTTGACTCGTCGTGACTGCTGCATGGATGCGTCTATAGTGGGTCTCATGTTCATCCACGTGATTGTTGAAGCCCAGGTCGAAGGGGTTATTATTGCATGGAGGTCGTCCGTGTAGCAGTCATCCATAGTTTTGAGTGCGGATCTGATCGCAGTGCAGACATTTTGACTCAGATTCAAGATTGCATCCGCTCTTGCCCTTGTCTCGAGAGAGTCGAGAGTTTAGTTGCGTGAAGATGCCACAAGTCCCTTTTGAATCACGAATATCATTTTGCCAGTCTCGAGGCTTGGTCCTTACAGCAGCAGCTTTGAGACGCGGGGGGGACTCATCGCTTGGAAAGCGTGTATCCGCGACGCTCGCGGATGCACGGCGTCAACTATAGGGCGCGAGACTGTGATGTTAGATGTGTATGCGACCCTTTCGGCGCTGCTGATGCTGCTTAGGCAGGGGCGCGCATACACAGGTGTGAAGCGAAGCTCGTTCAAAGTGGCGCGCCCTCGGATATCACACATGATGTATCCGCATGCACGCTGACGGCGAATGCCTCGCGCGGCACGTCGCGAGTCTTGGCGGGTCAGATGCGTTGGTGTCCTCTCTGGTTGCTGCATGCTGCTGCTGGCTGCATGCATGGTAGCGCAATCCGGTGGGTATCGCACAGCATCCATGGCAGGCGCACGGCCGGGGCGGGCATGCAGAGCTGTGATGGGGGCACGGTGCACCTTACCACGCCCCAGGCTGCCACAGCGCGGGCGGGTCTTCACGCAGCAGCTTGCATCGATGATGATGCATGCAGGTCGCACAGCTCAGTCAGCGCAACTCCACTGCCTCTTATCATCGCACACGCGTACGCGGCTAGCTACTCCTGAGTCAGAGTGGAGTAAGGGGGTGCGGCCGGTTCACATCAGATCTGATCGACCAAGTGGACCCGTTCAGCACCTTGTCATCCTCTCTCACCAACAACCAGCCCGAGCTCCTTCATCGAGGGCCATCTGTTCGACGAATCCCGCGCTGGACCTCTAGGCTGCCGCACATAGTCCGCAACATTGACAGTGATCCACTCTCCCGACGTTCCCATCTTCACTCTATCGTACATTCCCGAGGTTGAGTACTACTGCATCCACACATCATGGTTCGTGTTCTACCTCTCGCACTCGCCCTTACGGGAGCCATTGGCGCTGCAGCGGCTCCTGCTGCGACCACCTCTATTCCTGCCTTTGTGCCGGGACAGATGGTGTACACTGGCTTTGAACCTGCTCAAGTCGTTTCTCATCCTACACGTCAGCCTATCAAGAACAACTACATGGTTGTTTTGAAGGATGGCGTGAGCGAGAGCTCTCTGAACATGCACACGTCTTCTGTGCAACAGGCTCAAGCTGCTTCTTTCTCGTCGCTGAGCAGCGAGGGCCATGCACCAGGCGTCAGACACGTCTACCACCTGGATGGTCAATTCTCTGGGTACGCTGGCGCGTTCTCAGACGATGTCTTGGCTTACATCCGCGCGCATCCCGACGTTGCTTACGTTGAGGAGGACACGGTAGTGTCCACTCAAGAGATGCCTCACAATGGTGACCACGTCTGGGACGTCCCGTACGAGTCCACCATCGAGCAGGCTTACGCCATGGCCGGTGCTCCCGAGCTCAGCCCAATGGCCGTCGAAAAGGGTTCTCCTTGGGGTCTCGTACGAGTCTCTCACCGCCAGGCCATTAGCTTCCCCATCTTTGGCCAATATGTCTACAACAGCCACGGAGGCGAAGGTGTCACCGCATACATCGTTGACACTGGTATCAACACAAAGCATGTTGAGTTCGAAGGTCGCGCACGCTGGGGCAAGACCATGCCTGCCAACGACAATGACGAAGATGGCAATGGTCACGGTACTCACTGTGCTGGTACGGTCGGCTCTCGCAAATATGGTGTCGCGAAGAAGGTCGAGCTCGTGGCTGTCAAGGTTCTCGGCTCCGGCGGCTCCGGCTCCATGTCTGATGTTACTGGTGGTGTCCTTTGGGCTGCAAACAACGCCACAGCGATCGCAAAGGAGCACGCTGCCAACCCTAACACTGCCGCTGCTAAGAAGCACAAGGGATTCGTAGCCAACATGAGTCTGGGAGGTGGCAAGAGCCCAAGTTTGGACAAGGCCGTCAACGGAGCCGTTCGCAGCGGTCTCCATTTTGCTGTTGCAGCCGGAAACGAGAATGCTGATGCCTGCAACACCAGCCCTGCCGGCGCCGAGGACCCCGTGACTGTCGCTGCATCCACCTTTGGCGACGAGCGCGCGTACTTCTCTAACAAGGGCCCCTGTGTCGACATTGCTGCTCCTGGTCTCAACATCCTCAGCACCTGGATCGGCTCCAACACCTCCGTCAACGTGAGTGAGAGAGAGGGCCCGCAATTTCCTTGCCCACTCTTAATTCATTTTCCTATCCCCCTAACACTCTCGCATTTGTTGGCAGACCATCTCTGGAACTTCCATGGCTACGCCTCACACTGTCGGTATGCTCGCTTATCTTTTGAGCGTGTACGGCACGCCTGAGTTCTACGAGGGGGCTAGCACCACCCTGTTCGATGTGGAGCAAGCGTCTCCCGTTCTGCGCTTCACTGGTCTCGCACGCGTGTTCGACGCTCTGCCCCTCCCCAGTCTCATCCTCGAAGTCGCTAGCCGTCTGTTCGGTGCCGAGAAGACGGCAGTGCATGCTCTGGCACCGGTCCCCGCCATTCCAAGCGTGATCGAGCCCTTGAAGCTGAAGGCTGCTCTTCAAAAGCTGGCCACCAAGGATATCCTCACCGACATGGCCGGCACAAAGAATGTGAGCAACCGATCTCTCGCTGCTTTCATATATACTTGCTGAGCCAACTATTCGCTTTCTCATCCGTAGCTCCTCATCTTCAACAACGCTACTGACGCCACCAAGGGTGCTTGAGCGTTGCGTATCAAGCGTCTGTCTTGATGCGGTCTCAATCACTGACGATTCAGGTCTGCGACCACATGCTCCTTGTGCACAATCGCGAGCGACTCGCTTCCGGGAGTCGCTCTTGACTCGAAACCTCATCATGAACCTGAATTTGAATGGAATACAATGCAATGCAATGACCGTGCGCACTCGTTCCGACTTTGACATCGGCCTGGGCGCTCATGCTCTCCCCTACGTGCTGCTCGAACGCTCGTCGATGTTTTGCGAGGACCTCAACATACCGCGATGCGAGCGAGACCTTTGATCAGTTGACAAGATCTCCTACGCCTGCACCATCCGTCGCTTTGACGCCTAGACATGTCTGACTACTTCGCATCGGAATTGAAGAGCATGACTAGTCTCGATTGAGGAACGTCACGTCTGGAATAGTACATGTATTCTCGCCAAGCGCGAGAAGAGCGTATGTGTGGTGCCGAGAAAGTGCGTGGGTTGGCGTGCGGTGGAGTTCATCTTTGCGTTTTGGGCTATTCAGGCCTTGATCTTTCTATTGAGCGCGAACGCCAAGGGAAAGAAAAAGCGTGTGCTTAGCTGAGACTCAGAACCAAAGTAGTGGCTGAAACCTGGTGCGACGGAGCAAGCACTCACGCAGCCTGACGAGAGACGAGAGAGCGTCTCTGCTTCTTGAGGAGCATGATCTGGAATCTGTCAAAGTCCGAGGTGTCGGCCTTGGCTTGACGAGCGGCTCTCTTCTTTGCCCAAGCGCTCTGAGCGAATTTCTCATCGACGCCCGAAGCTTGCCACTTCTTGGCGATTGCTCCGGATCCCATTCCTCGCGCGACGGCCTTGATGACGTAGGGAGTCAAAGAGATGTTACGGTATGCCAAGGGTTGCCTGTCCACACCGGTGCAGGGGCCATCGATGAGGGCCTGGTTGAGAAAAGTGGGTACGGTCAGGCTGAGCTTGCAACATTGACCGACTCCCAAACGCAGCGTTGTCCGGCCAAAGGCGCTTGTGACTCTCGATGCTGACGCCGACAGGTACCGCGCTAGCCAGCCTGAAAAGCCTTGCACTTCTCATCGTTGCCAATACACCTGGCTCCTGTGCTTCCTGACAACGCATCGTTTCACTGCATGCTTTTGACTATCCAGTCAACTTCACCTGCAACGTGCAACTCCTTGACAGATTTGGCCAATGTGCCTCTTGCGTCCGCCTCTGTCCGCCTTCCAAGCAACGTGCCACTCACTTTGTTGTGGTCGATGATCTCAACGATGACAGCCAACTTGCCCTCGTTGGGACCCTGGTTGATGAGGACCACTCTTCCGACCTGAACGTAACGCTTGAAAGCCATGCTTGCGATCTGTGCGGCCAGTGAATGAGTAAGGTGTCAGTCTCCACATTAAGGAGCGAAGAAGTCCCAAGCAGTCTGCTGATCTCGAGAAGCGCCATAGGTGCCATGGCACACGGAATGGCGGTTGGCTGACGATATCGGCTGCAATTCGAGATGCTCCAAATGGGCGCCCCTACCGACCGCCACTCCTCTGACGAGCGGCCCTGTAACCGCGATCATCTTCCATGCAATAGCAGCTTCTCTTTGAAGCAGGATATCCATTCTGTGCTGGCGCCCAATTCGCCACGTCCTCATGACCTGCCGCCATGCCCAACCATCTCACGCCGTGCCAACAGTGACAGACCCTCCAGGGGGTGCGGCGGGTCTGGCAGACATCGTTCCCGTTGGCACCTCCTCCGCAACCCAAAGGCGTCGATCGGCTCCTTTGGTGCTGACCCCTACGACCCACGAGCATCCTCATCTACGTGCTGCCTCTCGCAGCACGGGGCTGAGACACCGTCTGTGGCAGCTCGCGTCGGATGGCTGAGAAGTTGGAATAGAATCGACTGAAATGACGAAAGGCTGGGAGATGCTTACCTTGTGTGGTTATGTCGGCGCTAGTTGTCTTGAGGTGTGAAGGAGCTGAGCACATTGAGAGTCAGACTCTGGATGGGTAGGCTGGACTGTGACCGATTGGTATATGCTCTTCTCGAAATACCTGCAGGCTGCGGACGTACCGCAGGGCCGACAGCACGCCACGTGGGTTTAGCCTATGTGGCAAACTTTGATATTTTTCCGCACGAACTCACGTGATTTTTCGGCTGCCGACTGGCGTATGAAGAAAACGCGGACACCAAGATTATTCTCGAAGACTAGAATCAACCCTCTCCGCTCGGGCCATGCACTCAGACTCGATCGGGCATGCACTGCTGATGCTCTCTCCGCCCACCGTGGGTAGTCTCGAGTGGAGTTGCATGGGCCTCGCTTTGCGGCCATGCTTGCACGGTGCACCTTGCCTACATCACACCACACCCACGGCTCCGCTCTTGCACCTTTGCAGTTCCGCCACTCGCACCGTCACATGCTACTAACAGCATCCAAGCAGTTTGCGTCTTCATTCAGGCCTTCAAGCATCACTTCTGCGGCTTTCTCCACCCGAGCTCGGATCAGCATGTCTTCGGCACCTTTGCAACTGGCATCCTTGAGCGGCGTCGAGGCAGCCAAACGAGCGGCCGCATACGCAGCGGTGGATGCTCACGTAGGCCGCAACGATCGCATCATCGGCATTGGCAGCGGCAGCACAGTGCCGTACGTAGTGGAGCGTATCGTGCAACAAGGCAAAGATCTCAACGCTTCTAGAATCTTCTTGCCGACGGGATTTCAAAGCAAAGAGCTGATCGTTTCCAACGGACTCCAATTGGGAGATGTAGATTGTCATCCCATCATCGATGTGACCATTGACGGAGCGGACGAGGTGGATCCTGCTTTGAACGCCATCAAGGGCGGAGGCGCTTGCCATCTTAGGGAAAAGGTGTTGGCAGAAGCTGCAAAGAATTTCATCGTCGTGGCGGATTACAGGAAGAACTCCAACGGCGTGCTAGGAACTGCTTGGACTCAGGGTGTGCCCGTAGAAGCTGCCGAGTTCGCATACAGCAAGGTCATGAGGGACTTGACGAAGCTGGGAGGGAAGCCTGTGCTTCGAATGGGCAAAGCGAAAGCTGGTCCAGTCGTCACTGACAATGGGTGAGTCTGTCTCCGCTGCGCCCCTCATCCCCATGCCGTTGCCTGATACGCATCTTCTTTCCCAATTCTTCAGCAACTTCGTCATCGATGCTCCCTTCCCGCCCGAGCAAATGGCTAAGCCCAAGGAGCTTCTGCAGCAGATCAAGCTTTTGACAGGTGTCATTGTGCGTATCTTTGAGCCTCTTGCGATCTGTACGCTGCTCGAAAGCTAACCAACATTACGCCTCTTGGCTTTGTAAGGAGGTCGGCTTGTTCGTGGATTGCGCCAAAGCCGCATACTTTGGCAATAATGATGGTACCATCACAATCAAGACGGTAGACGGAAAGGTGCAAGAGAATGTAACTTTCGATGTCAGCAAGGCTCCAGTTGTAGCATGAAATGGCAACGGCACGGTTCACCAATCCGCGTCTTTTACACCACTAGACATTAGATTGTCTCAACGCTAGAGGCTTGTTCTGCACGCACACACTTGGAGCAGGTCGTGCCTGTACTACGGCCATATCATTGTCTGGAATGTTGTACACGTTGATGACGAAGCGCGTCACTGGTATGCATCGTGCAGGAAGATCAACAGCGAGCACGGCAGACTCGCGCGTATGCGAATCAAGAAATGGCAAAGCAGTCTGGGCGCGAAAGTGGCTAGCTGAGGGTTTCGTTTAGAAGGGAAGCAAAGGCATTCTTCGGGGGCGGAGGTCTATTAGAAAAGGATTTGCCAGGCGGAGCGTTCTGCTTAGACCTAGCGATGCTCTGTCCCTTCTTGCGTTGTTGTCTCCTCGCTCTCCTCTCCAAGTCCAAGTCCACTGCGAGGTGCTTTTCCAAGCCACCTTCGAGCACTGCAGAGAGTATAGCTTGCTCGAGCGTCGTGTCGCGGCCAGCTTCGCCCGATGGACGCTTCAACATGATGGCATGGAACGTGGGCCCGTCGTGCAGGGCAAAGGGCGGCGGATGCGCTTCTTGATCCACAAGCAGAGATTGTGAGAAGAGGTACGACGCTTCGAGGACAAGCTGCAAGGCCGTCGAGGCGTGTAACGCCCTCGTTGTGGGAAATAGCGCTTCGTCTCTGCGTGAGCCAGCGTCTGTGTTCTTGGACCGTGCAATCTCGTGCGCTTCCAGTTCACCAGTAAGGCGCTTCACCCTTGACGGAAGCGCTCGTTCGGGCTCTTTCCAAATTCCAAGAGCTGCGATACTCGAACGCACAGCAGCGCGCAACTCCTCCATGCTCCAGGCCATCTTTGCTGTCTTTTCCCCGTACCTATCCGCGTCTGAGTGGACGATGTAGCGCAGGCAAGCTGCAAGAGGCTGAACCTGACTTGGCAAAGCACGCATCGATGACGTGTCCGCCTTGAGCGCGCAGAGGTAAAGATCGTGCTTGGTTTCTGCTGGCAACAGGGGCGCAGCATCGTAAATGTGGCCATCCCGGAGCGGCTGAAGCGATGCGCAGAGTGATGTTCCTCGTGCTTCCAGAAGCTCCGCGAGCGTCGAGACAGGGAGAATGTCTTTCGTGACGCTCTCGAGACGACGCACATACTCCGTAAGGACCGGCGGAGGTTTAAGTCTGCCAAGACCATCATAGTTGCCATCCTCGACGCGGTCGGCCAACGCCGAGTTGGGTCTATTTGGCAAAGCGTCAGGGTCGAGCATCGCGTCACCCTCCATGTCGCGTGCTCCAGATTCGCTCTGTTCCTCGCTCGATTCAGTGTTAACAGAGATGACGTCGTCGGGCATCTCGCCATCTTTGTAAGCACCGCCGAAGGGTCTACGCAACGCTTGCGCCACGTGATCTAGTCCTTGGTGGTCATCTCCGGCATCGACTTCAGGCTCTTCGATGGTCTCTCGTGCCCACCACATGCCCCAGGTGTCGAACAAGATCGCCCAAGCCCATTCTCTGATCTCTTGTGCGGCAAACTTTTGGGTACTCTGCTGGTCCGGATCTTCCGCGAACACCTTGCCAATGTATACTCGATGGCACAGACCGGTCACGAGGTCCACATGGAATTTGCCCTGCTTGTACGCTTGGCGATATGCTTCAACGCCTCTCGCGCGTGTACCTGGCGGTGGTGGAGTGGAAAAGAATTGAGAAGCTGGGCTCGGTAGTCCGTCCGCGCCTTGTGAGTGCGTCAGCAAGCTGTAGGTAGCTGCGCTCTCGACGATGCCGTCAACCATTTCCTCCTTTTCGCCCGTCGACACGTATCTATTTGGCCGTATCTGTTCTGCTCTTTGGAGAGCAAGACCCACGCAGTCTTGCACCAACGCCCGCACCGGATCTACCTGCTTGAGCTGCTGAGACTGCAAGAATGTGGATTGCAGAGGTGTCGCTGTTGCGGAGGACGCCGCAACGGAGCCCGACTCGCTGGGCGTGTCTGCAGCAATGCTTAAAGCCATGCTGCCCCTTCCAGGGCCTGATCTGGTCGTTTGCGCGTTGACGCGCATTTCACGAGCCTTCTTGCCATTTGCGCTGGCAAGCCACGCTCTTCGAAGCACTGCAGCTGCTTCTTTGAGGCGCTCGCTGCCTCTGAAGGGTTCAAAAAGTATTCGCGCCTGTAATTCGGGGAGGTAATCGTTGCCCGCCAGCGCTGCAAAAAGCGGAAGCAGCGCGACTGGAAGATCCAATAAGCGCGCCAAAGCTGCAGACGAATACGATCCGAATCTGACTTCTCTGAGCATCGAAAGATCTGTTGGTGGGGCATGCAGCACTGCGGTGGTATCAGAGCTGGAGGGCAGGGCTGGAGCGGGACCACGTCCCCGCCGCCTACGCCTGGGCACTGTTTCGAAGCCGGCCTCATCGGCTGGCTCTGACGACGCATCGGCGGTAACCGCAGTGTCTGTCGGCAGGTCGACAACGTATTCGAAGGAGCTCAGCGGCACGTAGGATGTATCGTCGCCTCGTGCGCAGAGCACAAAGTAGTCGGAATCCTCGCTGACGGCATGACCTTTGAGCGTATGGGCAAGCTCAACGACCACGCCGTCCGCTTCCGTCTCTGCGAGCACAACGGTGGTCGGCGGCGTTGTGTGCTGAAGCGCATCCAGCATGGCATATGATAGCAGCGGAGGAGCGAGGGAGGAGATCGAGCGAGAGGCTGGAGGAGAACGCATGTACAAATTCGCCTCCTTCGCTGCCTGTTGTCGCCGGCTCACTTGCCTAGGCAACTTGGCTGGAAGGTTGGGACCATCGAACACAAAGATGGGATGCAAACCAGCAGCTCTGCGTCGGTGCCCCGCCGAGAACAAGTGTCAGATCGACGAAGCTGCGTGGAGCGTGATGTGGGCTGTGCGCTCGAAAGACCACTCACCGCCAAGCATTGACATCCGCTTGTATGCTAGCCACAAAGAGCGCGTAGTCTCCTCCACGGGCAACGTCAAAGTCTCCTCGCCCGATCATCGCAAACATGTGGGCCAACGCATCCACTACCAAAGCTCTTCCATAGCGTGGAGATGTTTGAGCCGCCTCTTCGACAGTCAAGAATGCTGGTGATGACTGGGCTGAAGGCTGGAGAGAAGCTGAAGAGCTCGCTTGACAGGAGAAGCTCAACGTTTCGCACAGCAACCTCGCATTCTCCTGGGCAAAGCTACTCAGGTTCCTCACACCCATCTTGTGCTCGTGGACGACAGCCCGCTTCTCGCAATGGTCGATCAAATGTCGACGCTCTATATCTCTACGGTCAGAGGGTTACCATGAATAATAAGGGTGGCCGAAGAGTCGCAGGTGCGAAATTGCTGGTTTGTCGTGGGAGAAGTGAGCGTCAAGGATACGCCATGCCTCTTGCATTTGGGACTCGAGAAGCCCAAAGGGAGGGAAAGTTGGTACTCAAGTGATTGTCATTGCTTGCTGCGACTTGTTCTGATTTCCTGATTTGCAGCTTCCATGCTTGCTGATGCTCAATCAGCGTACCGGTAGGCAGTGGTCTAGCAACTTTAGGTGGAGGCTGCATGCTCCTCGCTCGACGTGCTGCTGATTGATAAGCCGGGTGGAGCCGGCCACGTGGTTGAAGGCTCTAGGATGTAGCCGTGAGGCGGCGCAACCGGTCGGTGCTTCGACTCAGCTTCAAGCAGCACTCAGACTCAAACTCAAGACTGACCGTGAGCGGGCCTAGTCACGCGACTCGCGGGTGCGGTCAGCTGAGCTAACCCTGACTCAAACCTTTGACTCGTGGCTCGTGACTGTATGAGTGAGTCAGTCGCACGAGTGCAGCAGCTCATCCGGGCTTCCAGAAAGGTCTCGCGCGAGCGGCGGCGGCTTGTGCGGTGCGCTGCACGCGCGTACGCGCCCTCCACCACATCAGCGCTGCACATTGCATGCAGACCAGCGCGGGTGCAATTTCTTCCAAGCGCTTCTGCATGCTTGGCTGGGGGAAGCGGCAAACGCCCGAAAAGGGCTCCCTGCGCACGAGGATTTGGAAGGCGGTGCGGTGCGGTGTGCGAGAGAGCGGCGGTGGCAGCAAAAAAGTCAAAAACTTCAAAAGTCACGGGTGCCAGCATCGTCGCTGGTGCTAAGTCTCATCTAAGCAGGCATTTGATTCCTCAAGTCTCTCCCTTCACCTTGTGTTGCACGCAGTCTTTCGCAACAAAGCGCTTTACTACCACATCGAGCAGCTCCTGGAACGATCCATACGCCACTAGCCTCCTCCCCACACCCGCCCACAGCTCAGCATGTACGGCTTCTCTCGGGGCCTCAGGGCCGCCGCCACCCCAGCGGCGAGGTCAGCCATGTCCCCCGCTATGATGAGAGCTACTGCTTCTCCCAGTGCTGCAGTGAGTGCGATGGCAGACCTGTAAGCAACCCTCACCGCACGCTCTCGCTGACTGGTACGCTCTCTGTCATTCTTACAGCGCCTTGCCCCACTCGGTGCAAGATTGCAATCAGGCAGTGAGTAGTGCATTCAGCTAAGCACGATGATTCACGTCCCGCCGCGACATCGCTGACGAAGCTTTCTTTCTCGTCCCTTCATGAAACAGAGGTCACTGGCCCCGTCATTGGTATTGACTTGGGTACAACCAACTCTTGCGTTTCCGTGATGGAGGGTCAGACAGCTCGAGTCATCGAGAACGCAGAAGGTGGAAGGACAACCCCCTCAGTGGTCGCCTTCACGAAGGAAGGTGAACGATTGGTTGGTGTCCCTGCCAAGCGTCAGGCTGTTGTGAACCCAGAGGCTACGCTTTTCGCCACCAAGCGATTGATCGGTCGTAAATTCCAAGACAAGGAAGTTCAAAAGGATATCGACAATGTCCCATTTAAGATTGTGCCCCACTCAAATGGCGACGCCTGGCTGGAAGTACGAGGTCAGAAGTACTCCCCTGCTCAAATCGGTGCTTTCGTAGTTGGAAAGATGAAGGAGACTGCCTCTGCCTACCTTGGCAAGCAGGCAGGTCACGCTGGTGAGTGAAATGAAGCCAGAGCGCGAGCTGCTCGGCGCAAGGCCGCAGATGCCCTCGAAGGCTTTGCTCATCTCACCCTCTTATCTCCGCCCAGTCATTACTGTTCCCGCTTATTTCAACGACGCACAAAGGCAGTCCACCAAAGATGCAGGTGCCATTGCAGGCCTTGACGTTCTCCGTGTCATCAACGAGCCCACAGCGGCAGCACTCGCATACGGTCTCGACAAGACTGCTGCTAGCGTGATTGCTGTCTTCGATCTGGGAGGTGGTACATTCGATGTTTCGATTCTGGAGATGCAAAAAGGTGTTTTCGAGGTGAAGAGCACCAACGGTGACACGCATCTGGGAGGTGAAGACTTCGACATTGTCCTCGTTGAACACCTCGTGCAAGAGTTCAAGAAAGAGTCTGGTATCGATCTCAGCAAGGACCGCATGGCCATCCAGCGAATTCGTGAGGCAGCGGAGAAGGCAAAGATCGAGCTGTCCAGCGCGTCGCAGACAGACATTTCCTTGCCATACATCACTGCGGACGCTTCTGGACCCAAGCACATCAACAGCAAGATGAGCAGAGCGCAGCTCGAGGGTCTTGTTGGCAAGCTCATCGACAGGACTGTTGAGCCTTGCAAGAAAGCTATCCAGGATGCCGGCATCAAGCCTCAGGATGTCCAGGACGTCATCATGGTCGGTGGTATGAGCCGCATGCCCAAGGTTCTCGAGACCGTGAAGAGCATCTTCAAGCGTGATCCATCTCGCGGCGTCAACCCTGATGAAGCTGTTGCGATCGGTGCTTCCATTCAGGGTGGTGTTTTGAGCGGACAGGTCACCGACATCTTGCTGCTTGATGTCACGCCCTTGTCTCTCGGTATCAACACCCTGGGAGGCGTCTTCACCCGTCTCATCAACCGCAACACTACCATCCCCACCAAGAAGAGTCAAGTCTTCTCCACGGCCGCTGATGGTCAGACAGCCGTCGATATTCAGGTGTACCAGGGAGAGCGTGAGCTCGTCCGGGACAACAAGCTCCTTGGAAACTTCCAGCTCTCCGGTATCCCTCCTGCACCCAAGGGTGTGCCTCAGGTCGAGGTCACCTTCGACATTGACGCAGACGGTATTGTGAATGTGTCCGCTCGCGACAAGGTTGCTGGCAAGGAGCAACACGTTACCATTGCCGCCGGCTCTGGTCTCAGCGACGACGAGATCGAGCGCATGATGGCCGACGCAGAGCAGAACGCAGAAGCTGACAAGGCGCGAAAGTCTTTGATCGAGGAGGCCAACAGGGCGCAGAGCGTCAGCAGCGAGACTGCCAAGGCGATGGCAGAGTTTGGCGATCAAATCGAAAAGGCAGAGGCGGACAAGGTCAACCAGCTGATCAAGGAGGTGGAAGAGCTTGCGGCCAAGGCACAAGCAGACAACTCTGCTGTCGATGCAGAGGAGCTCCGCAAGGCCATCGACAACGTTCAACAAGCCAGTCTTGGTCTCTTCAAGAAGGTTTACGAGAAGCGCGCGCAGGATGGCGAGGCGTCTGGTCAGGCACAACAACCAAAGGAGGGCGAGGGAGAGAAGAAGGAGTAAAGCAATGGTAGATTGTAACCCTTCTTTCTGCCGATTGATGTTCGTGCTGTCTCCAAACCGAGACTGACTACGAGATCGCCTCCGTCTCACTATCCCCGCCATCTTGTAATCTGTGTCACTCATCCCCACGCTCTTCTTTTTGCACAAAAGTATCACCGCTCTGTAGATAGAATATGGGCAGGACGTGCAATTCCTGTCTTGGCCCTGCGCCACGGGATAGCACGCCACCCTTTTTCAAAAGGCAAAATCATCACACTGCTTGCACGAGTCGTTGGTGCGAAGGCCAAGAGCCCTGCGTGCGCGAAGAAGCGGTGCATACCTGAGTTCCTCACCCCTTTTCAAGTCTGATGAGCGTCTGAGATTATCCTTTGCACGTCACTTCTTCACCAGGACAGTCGAATCGCTACGGTCAAAATGAACGTTGTGATAAGCAAAAGGTAAGAAGAGTCTTCCGTCACAGGTCGCGTGAAGAGTCACGTGAGTCTTGAGTCATGAGAGTCAAGAGTGAGCGATGCACCACGTGATGACCTCGGGTCATTGGGAATCTTCTCGGTTCGTGGGATCGACGCAGTCCACGGCCGCGGAGTTGAAAGCACGCTGTGGCCCCTTTGCGCGCAGCGCCCGCACTTGCCCTTGACCCATCCTGCCATTGGGCTCCATCAATTCAGATTCTGACACGAAAGGCTCGAACTGGGCAACATCAGACTCCGCGCGAACGACTGAGACGGGAGTTGGGCGGAGCTGATTGGTGAGTGTCTGAGTGCTGACCACCCAGCAGGGGGCCAGGCTCACCGCTGCATGCGTACACCAGCTGTATCGCAATCGGACATTTTTGATTCAGATTGACTGCTCTGAAGGCCCTGACTTGCCGTGGTTGCGGCCTCCCTCTCAACTCGCCCGCCTATGGCGCTTCCCGTCGCCGTTGCAGCACTCCGGAACGCCGCTGATCTTCAGCCCGAACGACCAACGACGGTATGCCGTTGCAACAATCTAAATCCCGAATCATCCGAACTTGAATCGACTCTATCTTATAATGATCCCATTCTTGATTCAGATTGAAGCGGTCGCGTCCCACATGCATCATACGCATGAGGATGATCGAGTGACATATGCGCTACGTCGCCGCGGTGTCACACGTGCCTGCAATTTGTTTCAGCGAGAGCGAAAGTTGACCGCAGGTCTCATTGTGACAGTCACGAGTCTTTTTTGAGTCAGAGTCATGAGTCCTGCGTCTAATGCATTCTTGATTCTTGATTGGACGAAGATGTATAATAGAAGTCAACCAAAATGAAGAAGGAGCTGGGGCCTACATTAATGACTCAAGCACGATACAAGTCCTGAATTTTGAATTGTTGAATGTGAGTCACGAGTGCGAAAGCTGAATGCAACTCAAGACTCAAGAAAAGGTGACACAAGCGAGATGGCCTGGACTTCTCTCGCTCGGTCTCCTCTCTCTACACGCGCACCGCTCGGGCACCGCCTACCAGAGAAGACGAGCCAGCCTAGATTCGCGCTTGGATGCTGATTCAAGATTGAGCTTTGTTGAGACTGACCGGACCCTCCTCTGCCGCCGGCTGATGCGCTTCAAGACCCTGTCCGGCTCGTGAAGGGCCGCGCGCGCGCGCGCCCGGCCCCCCCCCCCCCCCCGAGGTCACTTCGAAATGTCAACCCAAGATCAAGATCGGCAAGCAGTCAAGAGTCATATTGTCCAACTTTTTCTAGGAAGGACAAGCAAAGTCAGACGCTCTTGGCGAACCCTGAGTTGCGCAAAATACCGAGTCGTAATCTTGAATGATCATGATGAGTCGCTTGGAGTTTGAGTCCAAGTCAAGACAATCTGAATGTCAATCAAACACGAATTTTCAATGCGAATCAAGAATGGTGAATTTGCATGACCTCGACTAAGCTCATCACGATCGATCTGGTCGTGTGTCTGCGCTCTATCGTTTGCAGACGCGGCCACGGAGCATTACAGAATCGTAAATCACTGTTCAAGATTGTGATCATGAGGTCTGAATCTGAATCACCATGCGCTGAGCAAGCACGATGGGCTTCTCACACTCGATTGCAGGCGGAAAATCCCTCTCACGATGACTTTCGCTCGTCTTTGATGAATTGACCGCGGATAGGTTTGCTGCGCCACCCCTTCACGCGGCACCCATGCAAGCCCCAAGACGCGGGCGATGGGTCTCAAACACGCGGGCACGCGCGCGCCCCACGCGCTCACGCCTCACGCAGCATCAACGGCGACCGTTGCTGCCCCCGGTTGGGTCGCGCGTGTCTGCTGCCCGCCTTGTTTCTGCGGTGCACAACAGGAGCACAACGCTTTTTCAAAGGGGGCGCGCCATGCCAACGCCAAATCTCACCTTTACCCTCGCCTCATCGCCTTTACCCCATCACACCATCGCAACTCGGCCACTTCTCGCAAGCACATCGAGCTATTGAAGCGTTTCCTCATCACAGAACTGCGCTTTCGTCGCAGGGTTGCCACGCTTTCGAGCGGGCGCCCTTACTCGGCGAGCAGACCATCCATCTCACCCCACAGCAGCAAGCGTTTCGGGTCGTCGTCGAGCCAAGCACTGCTCTGCGAAACCTTTTTTGCTGGTGCCTCCTCTGGTACAGCGACTCGCTCAGGACTGCTGCGACCACGGCGCTAGTCGGTAGCCGCACTCGAGGCTCTTCCCCTCGTCGAGCTGCAACATCTTCCAGGCCTTTCACCATGCTGGATTGTAGTAACCTCTGAGTGCTTGGCCTACCAGGCCTCAGCGCTTTTGGGCGCACACATCGCAGCGCCTCTCCTCGCACCAAAGGTCCTTACATCGCCTTGCTCACATCCGCACCTCCGACTGCTTGGCGTCGCGCTCCTCGAGACCGCTTTGCCACCCAGGTCACCGCTCTACTTCGGACACAGGTTGCGCGGCAATATTTCTGACAACGTCGCATTCTCGGCTCTCCTAAGACGTACACATCTCTTTCGCAGCTTCCTCGTATAGTCACAATCCTCTCCGTGCAGCCCTGCCGCTGTGACGAGCATACCAACGCGTTGGCCGGTCCACGCGCAACGTGCAGCATCCACTTTCGCAAGCGCACAACACGCCATCGACACACGCAATCTATCGCAGTCGACACCATGACGTCGCTCGATACTATCGCATTCCCATCTGATGAAGTGGACAACCTCCGCATACAAACGCTCATCACCACACGGCGGCGGTCACTCAGTACTTCCAGCACAGTCTCTACGGATTCGGAGACTGCCTCCCCTCTGCCCACGCCTCGACAGGTGCCTAGTTCTCTCCGAGCATGTCCTGCGCGTGCACCATGCCTTAAGCGCAACACGTCGGCCCCTCAGCCCAGCATTTACAGCATCAAAAGCATCAGCGGCGCCGGCCAGCAGCTTCGCACCGTTGCCGAAACAGACGACAGCGAGGATCCTGGCAAGTCAACGGGTGGCGTCCACAGATCTCGCGCCGGTGATCTGGTGTTGCCGAGTCTTCCCGCGGTCACGACCCCACTCTGTTCGTTCGCTCCACCTCGGTCGTTCTGTGCGCCCCCCCCTGCAAGGACCGTGCGATTCTGCGACTCGCCCCCGGAACGTGGGCTGACGCACAGTGGAAAGCACTACGACCGTCGACCTATCAAGTGTACTCAAGGTGGCAGTGCAAATGATCTCAGCCTTCATAGGACCTCAACGGTCGGAGATGGAGACTCAGAAGAGGGCGCCAACGAAGAAGAAGAAGGCATTCCAATGGCCCAACGCAGCGCGGGCAAGACCCGATGGAGCGGTCTCAAGAATGGATGCGTCATCGGCAGCGCTCTCGGCGCTGATAGTGCCGCGGCATCTCGAACGCCGGAGGCATTATCAGATCCAAACGTCTGCAAGCTGCCGTCGCACAGTGTGCACTCTCTCGGGCGCCTGTCCAATTCTGGCATTGGTGGGCTGGCAAAGAACCAGAGCGGTGGAGGCAACTCCGACCTTTTGTCACACAATGCCGACGGTGAAGAGGAAGAAGACGCAGAAGAGTCGAGCGCAGATGACAGTGAAGACACCGCAACGCCAACCGTGCGCTTTTCGGAGGTTCTCGCCGCTTTGAAAAATAGTCCCGATGCTACACCAAGGCAGAGTCCAGCAGTGCGCATCAGATGGGAGACCTGTGAATCTTATTTCAGCGTTCCTGCCATCAGCGCATCAAGTTCTGATGACGAGACGCCGCAGACAGTGACGGCAGCCGTCGATGCTAAACATTCCGGAGAGGAGAGCACGCCTACCACGACCAGCCCTTCAGGCAATGATTTCCGTTCTCCGTCGCAGCAGAGTGGACCTCCGCGTGAGGCTAGTCCACGGACAAGTCCACTAGCGAGCCCCTCTGCTGAGCGAAGAGAGGTGGTCGAAACACCTTCAGCAGCACCTCCGCGTACGTCTTCCGCAGTGCGAAAGTCATCGCTCTCTCCAAGTGCTATGGAGACACGCCATCCTCAGCCGCCCGCCGTACTTGCCTCGACAGCGTCATTCGCAGCCTCGCTCAACTCGCTCGGTTTGGCATCGCCGACGGATGTGAGCGAAGGTAGCACCATGTCATCGTCTAGCAGTCTCAGCGGCAGCCACGGATGCTTTACGATGGACTCGTCCCCCATGTCCTCTAGGTGCTCGAGTGTTGATCCTTGGAGCGGGATCAGCAGCGATGAGATGGAAGGTGCTCATCTTGACAGCCCGACAGGCTGCGGATGGGGTAGCAGCAGCTGTACGAGTCCAGATCTTTGCCCAGTCGACGTAACAAAGGCTCTGGCTGCGCATGCACAGCAATACCACCGTGAAGACCCGTCGATGACGCCGCAGCAGCGACAGATGCGGCGGCCAGGAAAGCGGTCCAGCAGCCCGTCTCCAGCAGCCAGTCCGAGCGGTGGTGCTGATCGCCCCGTGCTACCCGCTGCAGGCGACGCTCCCAACCCTGCAGTCTTAGATGCAGACAGGATGCATCTCGGACTGCACTCGGCATCGATCAGGTCGAGGAGAGCCGCAAGCCGTCTGTCCACCGAAGCGAGCTCGTCGGCTTCAGCAAAGACGTCTCCTGTCATCTTGCCATCATTAAGCATTTCTCCGATCGACTCTGCTCCTGCATCACCTGCCTTGGAAGCTCAAGCAGACGCGCCTCTCGATGAAAGGATATCGCCCACCAAGAAGGAGCGAAGCACGTCACGGGAAAGTGGGGATGGGAAATTATCTGGCGGCGCAAGACGCAAATCATCTGGCGCAGGCGGTGGGCCTGGCACCAAGACCAAAAAGTCTGGAGGACGCGTGTCTAACGGATCGGCATTCTCTGGAGACTGCTCATTCGGCGGCGACGAGGGATGTCTAGGCGGTTTCTGAGGTGTAGGTTTAAGTGTCGGACTCGGGTCGTTGTGCTAAGACGCGGAGTAGAGCACGGCGACGCTCCGTGGCGAATGTTCGGCATTGGTGGTTCCCATTCTTGAACGAGTTGTGGTGGGTTTCTTGCGCTCATCGTTTCAGCACTGCACAATCCTTTGCAATAGTAATCTGCTCCCTTGACAATGCTTTCACAACTGCGAATCAGCCAGGGTCTCCGCACGAAACTCATTGTGCGAGCGGAGGTGCTTGCTGAGTCTGAGTGTTGACAATTAAGGCTTTTGAGTGGCTCAACAGATTTGTCTGTGAGGCTACATGAACACGTGTGCCTAGTCTGGAGAATTGAGTGCGTGTGCAGCCTGAATCGGCAAACGTGAGAGTCCCACTGCACGAAAAACCTTCGGGCCAAGGGTCACAATCGGAAGCCCAGAAATGGAACACGAGCGCCGCACCAGCAAGTAGTAGCACAGGCCTCGAGTTCGATGGTGTCGTGCTTGTACGGCACCGTGTGCGTGTTTGGGAGCGACTTTTCTCTTCTTTTGCTTGACTTGTTGGAGCGTCTTTGTGTGTGCGCGGGCAGCGCACGTTCGTCAGACGCTAAGAGCGGCCGTCGGGCGGCTGCAAAAGGACGCCTTGCCTTGGTGCTTGATTGCGGCTTGCACGCACACCAGAGGTCAATGCTCATCAGCAGTGAGCTGGTGCGGTGAACAGCAAAGCTTTCGATTCGTGATCATTGCTATAGGCCGAATCATTCTGCGCGGCGTGCCGCCGGCTGCGGAACATGAACATTTTCGCGAGTCGTTGAGCTACACTCTGACTGACAGCGAGCCGACAGCACAGATGACCTTGTTTGTTGCTCCCTCGCTTGTGCGAGAGCTTAATTGCTTAGTGGCTCTGCAATGCGCCACAGCTGTGGCGGTACGCTGAGCAAGCAAGTTGCCATCGACCCCTCGAGAGAGAGACAGGCCGGGTGACCAGAAGACAGTCGCAGTGGGCTCATCGTAGCTAGGCACAGGGAAAGAGTCTGATGAGTCGCGAGTAGTGCAGCACGGTCGGGTACAGCTAGTAGGCGCCCGCATTGCAGGTAACCGCCGGCTGAGCGAGCGTAGGATCGGAAGTCATGAAGTCTTGCCGTAGATTGTGCGCTAAGCTTTGACGAGGAGCAGCTTAATTGACATCAGGCACATCGACCTTGTTGCATGTGCATTGATGAGCGAGCTTGTCATTGGCTCGACCACAGATCTGGGACTCACAGCATGCCGAGAGATCAGACTGTCAGGCAAGTCTCCACAGTCGGAAGAAGCGAAATTGGCAAACGTCTTTGGTGCATCTCGTGTCTGCTGTTACCTTGGACTTCCGGCTGTACGTAGCGAGCTTGGGCTCCTTTTAAAGCGCGGGGTCTGCTTGTTATTGTACGGTTGCTCAGCAATCCTTCTGAACAAGCCTAAACGTCCCTTCCCTACACAATCTTGACATTCGCTGATCCCTTCGTAGAAAGCCTGCAATCATGCTATCCTCTCGCTTCTCCATTCTTGCCGTCGCTGCTTCACTGGCGTTGGCCGCTAGCAGCGTCAGCGCCTACTCTAACCGCGTCTTTCTCATCCGTCACGGAGAGAAGCCGTCGGATGATGACCAGAGTGAGTCACCGCTCGCTTTTTTGACCTGGCTGTGCTGCTCGTGCTGCTCATCGCGTGTGCTGATCCTTTGCGAGCTGATTGATCGTCATCCAGCTGGTCTGAGCGCACAGGGCATGCAACGCTCTCAATGCCTGCGCAACGTCTTTGGCAAGGGCAGCGGCTACAACATTGGCTACATCATCACCCGTGCGTAGCATCTCTTTGGCGCTCTCCCTGTCCAAACGAAGCTGAGCTGAATCGACTCCCTTTCTGACAATCTCGGCGCGTAGAGGACTACAAGTCTGACGGATCTCGAAACAGACCTTATCAGACTGTGCTTCCCCTCTCTCAAGATCTCGGCTTGACCATCGACCATCACTGCGATCGAGACGATGCAGACTGCGCCAAGGACAGCATCAAGAACTTTGCATCCAGCAGCGGTGCGGACATTCTCCTCTGCTGGGAACACAAGGCTCTAAGCGACATTTCAAAGGCTCTGGGTGACAAGTTTGATTACCCCAGCGATCACTTCAACTACATTTACGAGATTCAAAACAAGAAGCTCACTGGGAACAGCCCTTACTCGGAGAACTGCCCGGGTCTTGACAACTAGACTAGACTAGACTAGACTAGTAGTGGTGCAAGCGAGAACAACGCTTTGCAGCACTTGACGACCTTCAAAATGGGACGGGCACGTCCTCGACGACTGCAATGACACCTATACAGCTTGCATGGGTGTGTCGCGACGATCGTGATCTGTGCACGTCCGATGAGTGATTGACGGGCTCCCATGTGGGCTTGCCGATCCGCCGCCATCTTGATGACGACCCCGATGGTCGATGAATGGGGAGATCGTAGGCGGGTTGCAACGTATTGCACTCAACTACACTCTGGTGGGTGATGATGGTGAGCGCCGTGTCGTGCCGCGGCACTCGCGGCTGTGTGACTGTGCGATTGCTGGATCGATCCATCTTGAATGACGCATTTCGCGCGCGCCGCGGGAAACAAACGAGATTTTCCAGCGGCCGGCCTGCCATCAGCCAGCCGCTGTGCGCGTGCATGTCACGTACGGCACGCGGACGGGGTTGACTGGTGAAGCTTCCTTGCCAGACATCCACCAACACGTCTGCGTGCTGGACGAGCTGTTGATTGTCTGAGACATTCGGAGTAGCAGGAGGAAGTGAGTCGTCATCGATTGCCTAGTCTCCTGCCAAGCGTCACAGGAAAAGCGGTGCAGCGGGTGCAGCTGCGTGGCGCCGCTAAGAGGTCTATATGCGCCATCATGAGCCACATCGATGCTTCAGGAAAAGCTGGCCCAGGCCAGGCGAGAATGCAGGCAAGAGCCAAAGCCTCGGACCCCAAACCAGCTCCGAGACCAGAAGATGAGGCGGCCTTTGATGCTGAGGCCTTCGAAGCCGGCTCTGTTCATGGGTGAGCTGCGGATGGACGAAGGACCTCTGTGCATCGGCGGTTCACATGTTGATTGTGTGCGCTTCAACTTTCTTTGGCATACAAACTTGACACCCGCGCTCACAGAGTGTACGACGTCATAGCTCCGCATTTCAGCTCTACGAGGCATAGCGCATGGCCTCTGATCCCGAGGTTCTTGGCCTCGATGCCAGCGGGCTCCCTCGGCGCAGACGTGGGCTGCGGAAACGGCAAATACTTGAGATCCGCACGATCAGCGTGCCCCGAGTCCCTCATGATAGGTGTGGACAGAAGTGTGCCCCTGCTAGAGCTGGCAAAGAGCAACGTGGAGCCTGTGACGGAGAGCTCTAGCAAGCTGCGGGCTGCCCCCGACACAAATGAAGTATCGGCGGGCGATGCTAGAAGCTCAGGACTTCGACCAGCCATCTTTGTGAGTAGGCCCATCCTCGTCTTCGTCCTACCGTTGCTCGCAGGGAGCTGTACCAAATTGAACAAAGCGAGCCTCTGTTGCGCCACGACAGGATTTTGCAATCAGCATAGCGACGATACACCATCTGAGCACGTTTGATAGACGGGTGGACGCCGTCAAGGTGCGTCCATTGCCAGGCCCTTGCCAATCTGTTTCTCTGAGCTGACAGATACACGCTGGTGAAATCCTGCCACAGGAATTGATCCGCCTTTTGCGCCCTGTACTGAGCCACGATTATAATACCAAGATCCAAAGCTGCTTGGATGGAGCTGAGCTAAGAGAAGACACCATCCTCGGAGGGCCCGGACAGTTCATGATATACGTCTGGGCACTCGAGCAAAAGGGCCAAGAAAGACGGCGCTTCGATGAGACCGAGGTACCAAAAGTTAGTGTCCCAGATAATAAGGCAGCTCTCACCTCTGCGCGAGGCATCGCTCGGGATCAGACTTGGTCCGAGCAGCAGGACCTCATGGTTCCTTGGGTCTTGCAAACTTCGGGAGCCAAAAAGAAAGGCGCAAGTAAAGATGTCAGCTCTGACGTCGCCAAGGATACGCCGGCCGACGCTGACGCAGTTTCATCGCCAGTATACCAAAGATGTGCGTTTGCAGAGCAGACCGGCGATTTTTGGTGAAGAACAAAGTTTCTGCTGACTAGGCTCACACTCCGCCTGCTCGCGCCGGAGCAGATTATCACGTCTTTCGCGCAGGGTTAGTGAGAGCGAATGAAGAGGCGAAAAGGTGCTTTGTTCTGACGTTTCGGTCCCGCTCACTTGCGCTCTTCTAGAGAGCTAGAGGCGACAGTAAGAGCGGCTGCTGAGGCCTTTCCTCTTCTCGAGGTACGACTGCAAGCGTGCGGGTGGGAGCGAGGCAACTGGTGGGGTACTTGGAGCGTCCACCAACGCCTCGATGACTCGACATGACACGTGCTTTGCTCAAAGCTCCTCTTCTTTCTGCTGCACCCGGTCTGAAGTGGCATCGCACGAATGTGTGGACTATTCTGTACAGCTCTGACGCCACGTCGCACACGTCTGTCCACCAACTCTAAGGCAGCACCCAGCCTGGCTAGCTCTCGCTGCTCGACTTCTGAGAGCAGCCCGCCGAAAGTGCTCGAGAACGCGATTAGACGCAAAGAGGCGCCAAGCCAACAGCGATGATAGGGCAGCTTCACAGTGTGCTTCACTCTGGCGATCGGACGTCGGCTCAAGACAAGTACATCGAGCTCTGAATATGTCTTTGATTGTCTCGCGTGGTCGTCGGAGTGCTACAAGAGCTTCAGTGGCGTAGGGAGCGTGTGCCACTGCCCCGCTATATACAACCGCTATCCGTCTGTATCAGTTTTGCACGCGCAGCAAGTCGTGCAATCTCATTGTCCATTCGGAATTTTGCTGGAAACTCCCTTCCCCTTTTGGCGTTCACCACATCTCGATTGTGTCAATTTTGTGAATTTGTGCTCTGCGTCATTTGTGTCGACCCTGTCCCTGAAGGTTGCCTAGCTCATCAAGCGCGAAGGACAGTCTCTGCCGTTGGAGTGGAATACGAGACCTTCTCTGATGCATCCCGATTGGCCAAGCGTGCCCACTTCTCCCAGCCAGCTCCTCTCCTTCTCGTGTACTTTCACAGGGTGCTGGGCTGTCTAGTTGGACGGTAGCTCCGCCAAAGCACCTTTCAGATCCTTCGATTTGGACAGGCGACGAGACGGAACGCGATCAGCATACTCGACATGTCGCGCATCTCAGACAGCCTCGTCGAGCTGCAAAGACCACTCACTGCGCTGTCCGGATCAAAGCTGAGACCCAAGCGATAAGATGCTCTGGCCTCTGCATACCTGTTGAGGCCCGCCAAAGCTTTGCCCTTTCTGAAATGAGCCTTGCTCCAAGGTCTCTTGAGCTTCACCACACCCTCTGCATCTGCCAAAGCGGCGGTCCAGTCCCCGGCTTCCGCAAAGGCCGCGCTCCTGTTCGCAAAGCAGATTGCCAACTCGTCCCTCGCCACTTGGTTATTCTCCCACAGCGGCCTGGAAGCGGCAACGTCGATGGCCAGAGTGAACAATCTGATAGCTTCTGTCAAGTCTCCCTTTTTGAAAGCTGCATTGCCGTCCTCTTTCGCCTTTTGAATGGCCATGCTTCGTTGAGGTGGAACGACGTTGGGAGGTGGCGGGATGGGGATCTGGGGAGGTAGGGATTGTAGGCTGCGAATGAGCGCATTGAGGACTGTGAGATCGTGCGTTGGAGAAGAGAGCTGGTTGGACTCGGGATCCAAACCTAGCGCTACAGGTTGAAAGTTGGCATCGGCAAACGCTAGCTGCTCAGCCGTCGGCTCTGGTGGAGCTGGCCCTGACTGTTCCGACATGTTCGTCGATGTTTGTGGTTGCAGCTGACGCTTGAGGTTTTGCCTCGTCGAGCTTCCTAGCGGTCAAACTCTGCCTGGGCCAAGATCAGGCTGCTCCTGGGTGGCGGTGCGATTGAGTGAGAGCTGAAGCAGCTGATGAGTGTCTGTTTGAACGGCACAGCTCGCAGGATGACCTTTGGCCGTAGACCAGGTCCTGAATGCAAAGTGGCTTGCGAGCGAGTTCAAGATGCTTGCAAGCGTGATGCGCTGGGCAACGTGCAGCCAGAATGAAGAGGCAGGAGCTCATGCAACGGATCGAGTCGGTGTGATGCAAGTCGAGTGTGACAGCTATGGTCGTTGTTGTTGCAGTCTTGAGTGTCCTGGCAGTCCGAAGAGCTGACAATCAATACAATCACGATTCAAGAAGGGCAAACAAGCATTCAATTGCGAACTCGCGACTCATAACTCGTGACCCGTGACTTTCTGATGAGCACCATAATCACAATCGTGAATAACCAAGAATCACACAATGAGACGCTTGTGACTGCGCGCATGCGTGCATGCATGCCTCGCACCTCAGCCCCGAATCATGAATACGCCGCCGCGTCACGGGTTCCAGCGCATCGCGGGCGTGGATTCGTGATTCAGATTCAAGATTGCAGCTATATAGCAGCATCCATGCAGCGCCTCTGCTATTATGCTGGTATATAGTCACACATTTGCTGTCGGTTGCGCTTGCGTGAGTACGGCGCGAGTTTGCAGCTAGCGCTAGCTGGGGCAGGTTATAGCGAGCGTATTGCGCTCGGGCCGCCAATCTCACCCGCCTCTCCACTCACGCAACACTCCCAATATTCGTGATTCACTCGTGTTGATGATTGCTCGCATCACCCAAACGTCATTCGCATGTATGCATTCCTCGTGTAGCCAGCATCATCCACTCCTGACCGCAGCACAAGCAGGAGTTCAGGTATGCGCCTCTGTGGAGAGCGCTCTTCAACGCTCGAAATTGGTACAGATGCTGTTGCGTTAGAATCACACCGCGCGGTCCACACGGCACCGCCTTTGCGACTCGTCGCTGTCCATATACGACCGGCTGAATTCCAGGACGAGTGCGGGCAAAGCGCAGAGCTTCTGGCAGTCCATGACAGTCCACGCACACGCTTCATGACATGTTCTGAATCCTCACTCGAGCTCTCTTCCTCACTTGATCGTATTGCATTGCCATTTTGAGCCTGCTTGTCACCGTAGGGCTTCTGTAGAGGCTTGGCATCCTTTTCGCAATCTACAAGTGACCTCGGCCTTCCTCCTCCAGCGCTTTACCGACCGCTCGAATCACCTCCGCATGCACTCCCTTTGGCGCAGCAATGACGCCCCTGTTCAACTTCAAAGTTCTGCCCTGCCCAAATTCCAAGGGTTTGCCTCTGCAATCGGAAACGATGCCCCCTGCTTCGTGCACCAACAATGAGCCTGACGCGTGGTCCTGAAGGAGTGAAGAACGCATTCATGCGTATCAGCACTCACTCTGATGTAGCGGCTGCGCACATGATGCGCGCAAGATCACAGACATACTCCGCAACTACTCACCCAAATCTTTTCCTGGTAGCTACCGTCGCCCACGGGCAATCTGAGGTAAATGTCCCCATCGCCTCGAGATACGCTGGCATACTTGGCCTGCGAATCCATCCTGACCGACTCCTTCGTGATGCCCAGCAGTTCTGCTATCCGCTTGTTGGTGCCGTGCGACGAATGGCCTGCCTCTACGGATTCGCAAAAAGACGCGTCCTCGAGACCGCTGCTGGTTAATTGTCTCATCGAGATGGATTGTTCCTTGCCAGATGAGGATAGAGATCTTTGAGAAGCCCCTTGTCCGCGAACAGCAATGAATGCTACACCGAGATCCGAACGCGAATTAGACGCTGCATCTCCTTCCTTTGGCAGACCATCCTTGGGATCCAGTGGCAGGTTGGGACAGCCCATCACGCCAACTTGAACCTCTCCATCCACCAAAAATCCTAGACAAACGGCATACTGCCCGCCTCGCAGGAAACCTTTGGTGCCGTCGATGGGGTCCAGCGCCCACATGCCTGACAGTGAGCAGAGGGGATGTGAGCCTTGCCTTTGTGAGGGCCAGAGCAGCCGCGCCTCTTCCACTCACGGCCCTTGTTGCCTCCTTGGTGGTTTCCGCGGTCCAAAGCAGCCAGAACCTGTTCATCCGACACCGGTCCATCCCCCCAACTCTTCTTCTGCGCGACGACCTCCTTCTCCTCGAGCGCCAAGGCCTCATTGACGAGCTGCACCACTTGCCTCTTGAGCGTCTCGCTCTCGGGTTTCCTCAGATGCGCTGCATCCTCTTCGCCAACAATGGGATCATCCGGGAAATAAGCCCCGAGCACAATGTTCACCACTGCTTGAGCTGCGTAATCTCCGACTGTGACTGGAGAAGCATCGGATTTCGTCACGGAGGCCGAGGAGGGGTCGGACTTGGACACCAAGGATGCGAATACGCGCGAAGTGAGGGAAGAAGCGCGGGTGACGGCGCTCAGCGCTACGCTGCGTTCCAGAGTGTAAGCTTGGGCAGACATGGTACGATGAGGGAGGAGGTGACGATGAAGTGTAGAAGAGAGAGTGGGAGTACGGAGAGATGTCAGGAGCATTCAGCCTTGTGCGATCGCAATGTGAATGTATGGAACGGTGAAAGATGCAGCGATGAGATCCGATGTTTTTGTTGTTGCTGGGCGGGGTCTGTGAGTTGGTGAATCGCGATTCACGTAGCGAAGCTTTTCGGACAGAAGAGGGTGACGCGCGTGCAGCAGAACCTCGCACAATTAATTGCCATCCCACGTACACGCTCGCTCCACTTCAACTCCCCCAGCCGAGCTGCTGTGGCGCGCCCAAGCCACAATTGTGAATTCATCCACGACTCAGAGCGAGACTCAAACTCAAAACGGTTGATGAGACTCAAACTCTGCAGGGATGCACGTGACTCGTGACTCGTGACTGCACGCGGGCTGCTCTGTCGTGGACCGTGACTGATCTCTTGGACTCCCTGCTGACTCCAGACTTCAAGACTCGTGACTCACACTCATCAGAAGAGTCTTGACCGCCGTACCCTTGATCGCTTGACGGCGAAGGTACGTTTTCATCAGGGCCGGCCTACATACCGGAAGTAAGACTCGTGACTGTATGGTTCGGCCTTAATACAGTCAGACAGTCACAACTCAATCAACCCGCCCGGCGAGCCTTTCATTCGACCTCACCTCATGATCAGTCATCGGGGATCTCCGACACCTCGTCGGTGCCTAGCACCTCACACGATGCGTCCGTATGAAACATGGGCGGAGCGATCGTATCAGCATCGCTGAAGATGGCCATGACGTGGGAGAGCGCAGCGCCAGAGTGAGGGTGGACACGCGGAATCACGCATCGCGAGTGTTGCACTTCTGATTGGTGGCTCGTGGATCGCTCGTCCTGACCGCTTGTCGACCAATCGTGAATCGTGAATCAGGAAATCGCGACTCGCGACCGAGTTCGCCATTTGGTCCGAGTCATGAATCACGAATGAGGCTCCGTCTGAGTGGGACGCCAAGCGCGACAAGTCTTGGACGTTCCGTGGCGGCGCAGTCGTGGATGAGGTGTGCATCAAAGCTAGAGACGCGCAGCACTGCTGCTGCTGAGCCAGCCTGCCATGGCGTGTAGGATGCACGCACGCACGCGAGCGTCAGCGTCATCGCGTGTTCGATCAGTGCTGATCGTAAAGGTGCACCGCCGAGACGGTGAGCGCGGATGCAGCCATCATCCTCATCATTGGTGATTCACCATTCGTGCTCCTCAATTGAGGGCGAGGCTTTTTCAAGGCTCCCATTGACACCACGAATGTCGAAATATCGCCTGTCCACGCGCCCACTACCCATCAAAGCCTGGCGCTCTTAGTACCGCAAGGCGTCCACCACCATGTCCACTACAGAGGCAGACGGCTCGCGTGTAGCCGGAAACGGCGGGCTAGACAGCACCCTGGGTGTTCAGGACAAGCGTTCTGCACATGCTGCACAGCCAGTAGTGACAAGCTCGTCGGGCACAGAGGAGGATGATGAGGATCCTTTCGTCTACCAATCTTCCGGATCTCATGCAGATGACGGCGCCTACGACATCCCTGACGCCCCTTTGGAGCCAGAGGGCAGTTCAGCCGATACCGCTGGGGCGGAATCCGCACCTGGTGCTGATGAGCGACCCCCTGCTACACCAGACAAACCTATACCTGCCCCACCGCATGCTGCCAACAGAGCCAAGCAGATACCTCACCACACTCAAAGCGCTTCTCGAGACGCATTGGACGATGGAGAGAATTCGGCGTCGATGTGGGGCGGCAAGCCTCACGTCGAATCTCAGAGTCGGCCACAAGAACGAGCGCACGCGAATCACGATGCACCGAGCGACTCGTATGATGCACCTGCCAACAAAGCGCCAGACGATGGGGATGCATCACTTAGCGCCTCGACTGTAGCTCCCGTCAAGAGCGGGCTGCCAAGTTGGGATGAGGCGCCAAGCTCGAGCAGTAAGAAAGGCACACAAGCAGAGGTGAGCATGGCTCGTGACTTGGCGAAATTCACCCTTGCCGCGCTGATTGAGCAATGCGCACCTCTCGAGTCGCCAGCCCCATGCCACACTACCTCCTGGATCTCATGGTCACGTTCACGTGACAGATGCTCTCAAGTCATCAGATGGAGGCCCATCCACCTTCATAGTCTACGTCATCTCGCTCCCGGCGCTCGGCATCTCTGCCAAGCGTCGGTATTCCGAATTCGAAGCTTTCAGGGCGGCCTTGGTTGCGCTTCATCCTACTCGCATCGTGCCACCCCTTCCCCCCAAGCACAGTCTGGGTGACTATGCTGCTAAGCAGGGCAAGGCAAAGGAGGATGCAACGATCATTGCCAGGAGGAGACGCATGCTTGGGAGCTTCCTCATGAGATGTGCAAAGGATCCAGTGATTGGCAAAGACGAAGTACTGCGACGCTTTTGCGATGGGCGCGAGAGTTGGGTAAGTCGTCAGCGGCTTGCAGCATCGAGAAGCTTGTAGGGCTGACCCCAGCAGCTCGCCCTTGATTCTGCCTAGCATGAGATCAGCACTACGCCACCCGTGGCCATCCTTCCAAAGTCTAACCTGCGAGCGCCAGTGCGAGACCCAGCAGATCCGAACGCCTCATCCGCCTACGCAGCATTGCCCATTCCATCCGCTGCAACGCCTTTGAGGAATCCGAACGGGCGATTTGCAGACTCGGAAGCGTTTACCAATCGCTGGGCTGCGCATGTGGGCGGAAGCCTGGAGAGATCAAACAGGAGGGTTGCGAGGAGATGGCAAGGTGAGCGAGGGCGGATGAGGGAAGTGCTACCATGCCCTAGCTGACACCGTGGGTGCATCTTTCGATCTCTTCGATCCCCAGAATCATCCTCGGACTACGCGGAGCTCGGTGCTGTTCTCAATGGATTTAGCTTGGGAGAATCTGGCGACTTGGCAGTTGCGATCGAGCGGACTGGGCAAGCTGCAGATGGGACCTTCATGAGCATTGGAGAGATGGTGAGCGGAAAGTCGAGACGACTGCAGGCGATGGAGTCAGCCACCCAGTGCATGGACATGCTGACGAGAATTGCATGCCCTCGCCCCAGCTACAAGAGTGGGAGTCGACCTTCACAGAGCCCCTGTCGGAGTACGCCCAGTATGGCGTGATCCTGCAGAAATTGCTGAAGTGGAGACATCTCAAGCATCTCCAATTCGAGCTGGCTGAAGAGGCTGTGGAGAGCAAGCGTCAGCAGCTCGATGACTTGGAGCGCGTCGAAGCTCACTCGACCAGAGTCACGGCGGCTCTGGATGCTGGGAACCGGAATGTGTGGGATGAGGGTTCTCTTGGGCCGAACTCGACCGCTGCACCCGTCCAGAGTCGCGCAGGAGTGTGGGACAGCGTCAATGCAAAGAGCATGAGGAAGAGCGTGTTTGGCGCTGCTGCTGAGGAGGACGAAGAAGCGGCGCCTCGGACAGACGCCAACCACGCGAACAGTAATGCTCATGGCGATGCTGACGAGTGGGTAGACGGCGCAGCTCCTAGCCAGCCGGGGTCCAGCTTGAGCGGCGCATCTACGCGTAGCGACCCGACGGCGCACAGCACAGCTGGGAAAGCTGCTGCTGCGGGGGCTCCATCTGCCAAGACGGCGATGAGCAATCCGGCTGCTGTGCGAGCAGCTGCGCCTCCGCGGCGCACCGGTGGCTTCTTGGGCGCGTTGAGTCACACGCTCAACAGCGTTTTAGATGTGGATCCAGAGTCCACGCGGAGGAGCAACATTTCGAAGCTGAGATCGAGCATCGCAGAACTGGACGAGGCCTTGTCTTTGACGGCAGACGATCTCAGATTCGCCACTAGCGCCATTCAACAAAGCCTGGATGGGTTTCAGCGGGACAAGGTGAACGACTTGAGAAGAATGTTTATCAGCTACGCCAAGTTCCATCGGGAATTTTGCAGAGTTGTAAGTCCCATCTTTTTCACGTTGCTCCTTGCTCTTGCCGAACTCTGTACAACGTGTCTGACCCCCTCCCCCCCTTCACCTCTCGCGCGACCATAGAATCGTCAGAATTGGGAAGAGGTGAGCAGAAGGATGTGCAGGAACATGTCGATACTTGGTGGACTGATACGCTCTTGCGCGCCCTGCGCTCTGACTGGCAGGCCAAGAAACAGATCGACAGCGTTCAAGCAGAAAGCGTGAGTGACCTTTTCTTCCCTGTGATGAGCGTACATGTTCTCTTGGCTGATGCCCTCTTGCTTTGTCATCCCACACAACAGGCAATGCCAGAGGCGAATCTTGTCAAAGCGCACGACCGGTCGTGAACCTTTATTGGGTCACACTGGGCCATCCACGTCGCGTTGAGACTCCAGGTCGAGGTGACCAGCAAGCATCATCTGATCGTCATGTAGCCCACACCACGTCTAGTATCGTATCCCAGCATCTCAAAAGGATATAGCACGCTCTGCGAGACGCTAGGTCGGCCAGGTTGATGGTAGCAAGCATTTTCACAATTGATTACAACATCGCAAGGCGAATAGTGATACAGTATTAGGCGTCATGACACGCTATGATGGTGACTACGTGGGAACGTCGAGTACGAGCGTCGCCTGCGCCTCAGACAAAAGCCTTGCGCGCATCACGGTCGCGAGAGCCGGCAAAGGGACCCCAGACGTTGCGCGCACCGTCGAGCACGGACAGTGGTGCCTGATTATGTGATCGAGGACCGTTGGAAGATGTGTTGGCAGAGACGGACTCGTACGAAGGGCCAGTGACGCTCGAGTTGGACGGTGAAGAAGCACCGATGGAAGCAGCTTGCTCGTCCCCTTGACTGCTCTTGTCGCCGTTGACAAAAGGTGGGCTCAGTCGAAGCGAAGGCAGACGATTCAAGGAGGGCAGAAAATTGCCCGAGGCGCTCGAGTGGTGCCTTGGCAGTTTTGCCGAATCGCGCTCGCGGAGCGACGAGGGTGGCGAAGCTGGCAGGGTTGGACGCGATCCTAGTCCAGGCGTCGAGTGTGCCGAGGGACTTCGGCGAAGTCCGTATCCGGCAGGTGACGGAAGGACCAGGGCCGGAATGTTTGAGCCCTTGTTGGGAGGCGAGCGCGAGCCCAGTCGAAAGCTGGACGTCGTGGGTGTGGCTTTCTGCAGCAAGCTCACGAGATGCGCCGTGGCGTTGGGCTGTAGGCACCAGTAGGTCCTGGCAACGTCCCACCAGCGTGCAACTTCGGGAGTGCTCGACTGCACGTGAGCGCTAATGACCAGAAGCGGTAGGAACACGAGTGGTGAGCGTCTGCAATCCTCTCCCATGGCGTCGACGATGATCTTGATGTTGTCGAGTGCGGCTGGTCTGGTCTGCTCTTCCAACAAGAATGTGGTGCACTCTGCAACGACGTGCGTGCTGGTCCAGATCCACGCCTGCATTGAAGACATGGATGGCGTAGGTGGTCTCATGAAACGTCTGTCGTGGTTCTCGTTGAGTGCGCGAGAGGCGCTTCCCAGGTTCGTCGCGTCGTAGCGGGCACTGGCGGGGAGCTGGCTGGCCCAGTTGCTGACGGTTCGGTCGTTGACCGGAGCGACGCCAGTGCGCCTGGCCTCCATGGCGCTGGTCAACAGTGAGGTGATCTCGAACAGCCGGATGAAGGCACGGCTCGTCTCATCGGAGGTGAGAACGTCCGTAGAGTAGGCAGATCGCGCCTCGGTCAGCTCGTTAGGGCTAAAGGCAGGAGCTTGACCGAGAACGAGAGCAATCATGGCGTCCAGCATCGCTGCGACGCACACGAAACGCGGAGTGTGTTGCGCTAGTTGCTGAGACGACGCATCTGCGTTCCGATGACCATCACTGCGATTGCTGAGAACGTTCAAGCTGCGGCTAAGTCTCGCACAGTGGTTGATGTAGATTCCTGCTCTGACTGTGCGATTCATGCCAAATTCGTGCGCAGAAAGAAGACACGTCGCCAAAGCTGTTGCAAACGTCGGCGTCGGCGTGTCGAGCAGCGAGTTACCCTCGGCGTCTTCGGCGTGCAGCATGCGGCGAGCGCTCTGAGCGTAGCCCTCGCCGGCAGCCCAGGCGGGCACGCCGGTGTACGTTGATTGTTGGAAGCGAGCAGCGAGAGCGTAGACGCTGTAGGACAAGACAGGCGAGACTTGATCGTTGGTGACGTCACGCGAGAAGGAGGCCTCGTCCACGATGGCATTGAATGGTGGCATGCGTCGGAAGAAGGTCTCGATCAGAGACGTGCGCTGCTCCAGAGTTGGTGGGGGACATTCTGCACCTTCGGACCACGAACGCAGGCTAGACTTGGGCGAGCGTGCATAGTCGGATGACGACGTAGCGCGAGTACGCGAATAGATGCTGCTGATCTGTCGAGGCTCTGACTGAGGGTAGAATGGCGTCGCCGATTGGGCGCCAGCCGATGCTGCGTACGAGCTGACAATCTGTGACGGTGCATGATCGGAGCTCATAGATGCGCTAGAGCTGCTGTGTAATCTGGCATGCATGTTCATGACGGGGGAACCGCTGTGGCCTGGCGGTGGCATGTTCGAGGGCGCCGCAGCAGATGGAGCTGAGGGCGCTGCGCTGGGAGGACATGATCTTTGCGTGGGTGGTACGACATTTCCCTGGGCATCAGAGTATGAGCAGGTGCGCCCGCTAAGGGGGGTCGATGAAGCATGGTGTCAGTCTATCGAAGCGTCGTCAAGTGCGCCTTGCGACATCACGACACCCACCTGAAGTCGCAATTCGAGCAAGGAAGACCCCCGTCGCAGCGGCGTTTGGCCTTGTGGCAAGACACGCAAGCTCTTTGCAGACGCTTGCGCTTGCGGCCTGTCGCAATATAACCGCCTCCAGCCTGAGGGCCTGGAGGCGAGGCGCTACTAAGCGTGTGCGACATTTGGGAACCTGTCTGATGAGCAGTAGCGCCATTTTGTGTTGCTGATTGATGCTGCCACGATCCGCTTTGGCTAGACGAGTCGTAAGGGTGGTTGTGGCCAAACGCAGGGGACGATGCTGCGTTCCACATTGGCGTTGAGGAGGTGGCTCCGTGGGATGATCCATACCAGCCTTGAGCGGCGTTGACGCCGTGTGTGGCTAACATGTTGACAGGCGTGGACCGGACTGGACAATCGTATAGAGATGCGAGGAAGTTGCAAATGTTGGTGTGACCGTGTTGGCGCCGGAGTCAGAGGGGCTGATATCAGCGTCAAGGCAAGATGTTGAAAAGGGGAGGTGGGGATGTGCGGGCGTGAAGAGGCCAACGTTGCTCATATTTAGGGTCAATGAAGAGCGATTTGCGCTGCGACCTGTCAGACTGTGGTAAAGCGATGCAGGGCAAAGCCTTGGCAGAGTGTGTGTACCGTACCATGTCCGCTCGAGCGCAGCTGCTCAGTGTAGCGTGCTCTGGCTCAAGCAGCCATGATCCATGTCGAAATACCGAAGGCTTGGCAATCTGCAACCGAAGTGCTCGCGCGCACGCAGGCTTGAATGGCAGGTCCGCTCTAGCGCGCATCCTGACCTGTGATGCCGTGACGGCGGGGTGCGGTGCCCAGGTTGAATATGGGAGCACACGATAATGATAACTCAACACTTCCTATAGCTTTCCCCCTTTCGTTGCAGAGTGCCCAGCAAAATTGCGGCACCTCGCCAGTCAGAGGGGCAATTTGCGGCGACACTCAAAGGCGGGTGCTGCATCCCGCCCGACGGCAAGCCTTCGGTAGCCGGTGCAGGTGCGCAGCCTCTATTAGGTACTGCGCGCAATCAAGCGGCGCTACTGCTGCCGGATGGTGCAAACCGGGTGCGACACCTGAGCACTCACGACTCCCAAATCAGCTTCTGCTCACGATCGAGTTCAGTCGATCAAGCACACCTCATCAAGTGACGGCCTCAAAGCTCATACGCTGCTGCTGCCGCTGCTGCGTACGTGCACAACTAGCTGTATCCCTACACCAAACCATGCAATGCTTGGCTTGGCTGCGATGCACGAGGGAGTCTTGGCAAAGACCATTGGTGCATGAACCTCGCAGCAGAGGGGTCGTGAGTGGTGCAGAAGAGACTGCTGGGACGCCAGCATGCACTGCTTGGTGGATTCATTTTGTGGCGTTTGAGCCGCACAAGCTTCAGCAGCTGAGATCCGCGGAGCTGGCGCGTGAGGCCAGCAGCGCGGAATCAAGCTAGCGCAGCTGATGCATGTTGCATGTGTCCCCATGAGCATAGTGTGGTGACCCAGTTGCGCGAGACAATTAATTTATCTTCGCGGGTCTTGCGCAGGACCACTCCTATTGCGCGCAGAAGCTGCGCCAAGCAGACGCTCGCAGCTTGGCGGCCCGGCTCGGGCATCTGCACTGTCTCGATTGCGATGCAACCAGCCAGGCACCTGCCGCCGGTTTCTCATCTCCGCCTTACACTGCTGAGACGCTTCTGGTCTCAAACCGCGGCATCCTGACGGCCAAGGAACGGGCCCGAGAGCCTGTCCTCATCTGATACTGCGTAAGTCCAGCCAGCTGAATTGCTGCTGCTTCCAGCAGCTTTGTTGGGTTTCAGGCTGATAGAACGTAAGCGTTCGCGGGCAAGCCGGCACATGTACCCTGTGCTGAGGAGTAGGCACGAGGGAATCCAAAATAGAACAGTTTCGAATGATGAACAGCACGAAGCCGTCAACGTGGGATCGTTTGGCGAGTGCGCGTCGTTGCACGCCCGGATGACGGCGGAGCAAGATCCGCGTTTGGTGGTACCTGTACACACGTACCGCAACGGTGCGTCTGGTCTCATTGGGGCCACGCGCGGTGGCGATTCTAGAGAGAAGCCATAAAGGTTTGCGCTCGATCCCAGCGAAGCCGAGGTACGCCTGGAAGATTAGAGGTCACGCCACGGCCTTTGACCCCTACGCAATTCTTCCGTGCCGTGAATGTCCGACGAGCCCGGAGTCCGCGCAGACTCTGTCCGCGGGCGCCAAGGGATTGTTGAAAAGGCATCTCTATTCGAACTTCACTCATGACTGGGAGGCTAACAGCTAGTTACGCACGATTCTTTGCAGACAAATGACGAGATGCGGCCACTTCGGTGACGCGCTGACACTCCGAGCACAATCCTGCACTCGAGGCTGGCCGCGATCGTGGAGCGTTCGAGCACGTACCAGATCGAGGCGTGGACCGCGACGTTGTGATACGTAGCTCGTCGGCCATGGCGCAGTCGGCGAGAGGAAGTAATTATGGTTCGGTTTCCCCCTGCGCAGGGTACCAAGCACGGGGAGTTTGTCTGCAGAGGCATGTGGCCCTTCTCCTCACCGGGCCGTAGGCATTGGAGAACACTAAGCAAGCGACCCGCATAGACGACGGCTTGGCTGATGTAGCTGGCTTGACCTGCACTGAATCGTAGCGGCGATATGCGCCAACCGTGGAGAGCACGTGCCGAGATGCGAGACGACCAAAGCCACAGAACAGTACTTGGGTACGGACCAAAGCCAGCGCCAAGTAGGCATCGATGATTGTGGGCCTGCTTAGTTCAGACTTGTGAACCACAGGGCTGCAGCCTTCTACGTCTAGCCCAGCGCTTCTCGTTGGCTCGAGCCCCAAGCCATTCCGCAGATCTATGCCCGACTTACGCAGGGCCTACCTAACGCGAAAATTCGAAAGACGTGCAAGCATCATTACGAGCACTTGTCAGACGTAGCCAGACGGAGATAGGTCTCGAATTGGGAAAGCTTTCGCAATCGACAAGGGGGCGTCCGTGCAAAATTCTTGCAAACAAGCTGTCCAGAGTTACGAAGAATGGAAATTGACGCATCGCGGTCGAGGCAGCAAGGGAGCTCACCCCTCTCGAACGTAATTCCTGAATTTCGAAAATGGCACCGTTGAGCAAGTATCAGACGTAAATGAAAGCGCTTGACCACTCACCCTGGAAAGACACCCTGCACCCCATGCACCTTGCCTGTCCACCAGTCCTCTGTGGAGGCTGTACGCTCGACAACCTCTGGCGGCATTGTTCGAGATTCCGCATCAGCGCATCACACCGAAGGGCTGCGACACCAATCCACACACTCACCTATCCTGTCTCCAGTCGAAAAGCTCAAGTCGCCATCGGCTTGCGCGGTGTAATCGTAAAGTGCGGTGACGTACGTCACGCCAGGCGCTGCGCCAGGCTTGGGCTTGGTAGGAGGAGGCGGAGGCGCTCGCTTGCCCGCTGCTGCGCTGCTGGTAGCCGACGATGCCCCAGCGGTGTACGCAGGAGGCGCAGCCGCAGACGCAGTCGAGGCTGAAGCGACTCGATTGTGCGTAGGAGCAGCCTTAGGTGGTGGTGCATATCGAGATGCGGGAGGCGAGGCGGGGCTGGAGCCGCTGCGCGCTTGTTGTAGAACACGAGCTTTGATGATCGGCACGTTTTGTGAGCGCACTGGCTTGAATCAGGATGGGGCAGGTGAACTCACCACTTGGAGGAGTCGGCTTGCGAATTGTCAAGGCCTCCAGCCGCTCGGCAGCATCATTAAGTTGCTGCACGTAGGTGTCCTCAATGCTGATCCCGGACGTCTTTGCAATGTCGTACTTGCCGTCAGCAAATGTTTGCAGTTTGTCCAGAGTCAGGTAGTAGACGTTGAGCCTGCCAGAACAAGAGAGCGACAAGCAAGTGAGCATTGTAGTCGAGCCTAGAGAAGCCCTTGACGCGCGTCTGGCTCACTGCATATAGTAGAAGCTGTGGAAGATCGGCGTGATGAAGCGCTGCGCCATTTCGAAGAACCGCGGCAGCTCCTCTTTCAGGTTGTTGTTGAAGTATTCGTAATCCGCTGCTGCGGTCTCAAAGTCCTGCTCCACCTTGAAGAGGTTTTGTTCGTCTTTCAGCGTCTTGTCCTTCTTGTCTTTGAGCTTGGTGTATGAATTATTATGGCGATCGTAGTCGATGAGCTGTGGGCCAACAGTAAGCATCAGCACGCGTGCTGACCATCGGGAACGTATGCTGCCACTGAAATCTCAAGTCGTAGACTCGAAGTCCAGCATTTCAAGAGACAAGTCTGCCGAATACCACGCATGCCGAAGCAGGTCAAACATGCCTCTGCTTCATTTTGCCCCCTCGCTAGACGACCCTTGCCTCTTCCCCATGTGTTGAGAATGCGCGCCTGACCCTTCCACCCACCTTGTGATCGCGCTTTGTGATGTTCTTCCGTACGGCTTTGCAGATCCCGATGAACTCGTTGGCAGGACTGATGATTCGACTCTCAATGAGCTCGATTTCTGGAGTCAGAGTCTCGCGAAGCTCTTCCATCATCGCATCGTAAATGGGTAGGTACGCTGCGGTCTGTTCAGCCTTTGGATAAGCCGACCGATTTGACGCGTTGGCGAAGAGGTTCGCGAAGGCAGATCCGAAACCAGCACCGCTCAACAGCATGTCTGCGGGACGATCAGGGGTGCGCTTTAAGCAGTCATGCTTCAGACCGTAGGAGGTTGTTCTGTGCGCTCACTTTTGACCCCATCTTTCATCGCTGTGGCGTCCTTGTGCAAATGATCCGCATTCTTCTCAAACTGACCAAACTTCCTATTCAGCTCGTCGAACGCGGCATCATGCGATTTGGCAGCCATCCCCACCTTGCCCTGAAGCAGGTGAGGCGTGCGCTTTGCGAACTGGCATCATCAGAAGGCGTGGATCGTTCCATCATCAGCATCTGTAGGCGACTTGCTCCGTCTTGACCACAACTGGGCGCTTCTCACCTTCAATGCACCCTTCATGATCGGAGGAGGCACAAAAGCAGCGCTGATGCGGTTCAGTCTTCAGAGGATGTCAACACCAAAGCTGATGGCGGCTTGAGGTATCGATAATGGTGGAACCTGTGGTGATGATCGAGGAAGGAGCTTGTGAAGGACGTAATCGCTGCATGTACAGCCAATCCCCGCGAGCACAGCATACCATGCAGTCACGAGTACGCATAGCGGCTCGAGAACAAGTGGAGCGCTGCTGTCATCGCGCGCAGACGCTTCGTCGCTCACGCGGGGCAGCCGTGCCGAGTCAAGTCTGCCGATGATGAGTCTGAGTTGAGCAGAGCACGCGCCCGCCTGCTGCTGATGGATGAGCTGCTTATTGCTGCTTTCCACGTGCCTGCGCTGCATGCACTCAAGGCGCCTATGCCCATCACTCGGATTTGTGTGCAGCACAGCCTCAAGAACGACCACGCGCTCGCTCGCGCTCTCCTCTCCTTACCGCCCGCCTGGCCGGCAAGTCGATCCACTCGCGACTTCACGATTCATCGCTCAACAGGACCTTTACGATTGATGAGAAGAACACAGTCCACGACTTGATGCTCCTCACATAGCGGCATGCGCTGTGGGCATGCGAGCGCCGCAAATGTCTGTTCACGCGACATCGGCCAGCTAAGGAAAGGCTTGCTGGCAGGCTTGCAACTAGTCATCCGAGTCTGCCAATCGTGAGTAGTACACCGCGAATCCGACTCGCGATTGGCTCATCAGGTGTGGACGATAGTAATGCTTCTTCACGTGATGCCCCCGAAGCATCGCGATGGAAGGCAGAGCAATCAAGAATCGTGAATGATGGAGTAAACGGATCGGTCTTCACAATCACGAATTGTCTTCATGGGGTCCGCAAGGCATCGTACCCTTCTCGAGATCCTCGATACATTCCGCCCAAGGGAGAAGGAGGGGCACGTGATGAAGGCTCTCTCGTTGAAATGATTCATCCTTTTGACTCAGGACTCGACTCTTGACTCTTGACTCTTGACTCTAAAACTCAAAAACTCAAACTCAAGACTTTGACATACGTCTCGTGACTCAACGACTCGAGTTTGCTCCTCGTCGAGGCCTCTCCGAGCGCGAAGAGCGCAAGGCAAGTTGAAGTGAGCCCCGAGTGGGGAGCAATTCTTGGGACGAGGTCCCTATAGAGTCAAAATCGCGTCATCAAGCCTGCTGCTGTGGCCAGCTTGTCCAGAATCGTGTCAATGACGAATGCGTTCTCCGCTGCCTTGACGATTGAGACGCCGAGCGGCTGCAACACGGCTCGATCAGGAAGGAATCGGATCGACAGTCGTGAGTCTTATTAAGCGATTCATTTAGTGTGACTCAAGTCGGACCGCGTAAGTCACGAATGCGGCATGGTCAAACGTTCATTCATTTGCATGTCCACTCGCCGCTCAATCGTGGATCTGATGGCTTGATCTCGAGCGATGGCACGCTAGCTAGACGATGTTGTGTCTAAGTCACGAGTGTGAGTATTGGCGGCCGGGCGAGGCCGACGTGCAGTTCGCGCGCGTCTTTCTGTCGCAAAAGAATAGGTAAAGGCCAAGCCTCGTTGCAACGCAAACCCCGCTTATTTAGCGTAGGGTTCAGACACTTGACTCACGACTGCAGAGAGCATTCCTTAACGCGTCCTTTGCAAGCTGCAGGGGGGCCTGGCGATAGGCGGGCAACTCACGACTGCAAGCCTTTCTGGGGCAAAGGTCGGGCGGGCACGCTTGACGCTAGGCTGATCAAGTCGATCACTCGAATCGCAGTCGTGAGGCGGAGTCTGATGAGTGATGCTGTATCTTCTGCTGCTGCTGTGGCTAGCAGAGCCACCTATAGCAAGTCTCTTGTCTGGGGCCTCGTGTGTTCGCGACTTGCTTTATCTGCCGGCCGCTGGCTCCCAATCAAATCGCAAAATTGCGTTTGTGCGTGCATGCTGCGTGGCCGCGTCGCCGGAGAGCGCGTGGAGAGAGAGGCCTTATCGATGCCCTGCTCGGTGATCGCCAAGATCTCTCCTCTCCTGCTCAACGCTGCTGCTGCTCCTGCTGCTCCTGCTGCGTCTGCCGAATTGCGCGATCGACGCATCGACTTTCCGCAACGGGCGAGGTGTGCAGGCATCTTTATATTCGCGCCGCACCAACATAATCACGAATGTGAATCTTAATTGTTGAATCACAACGTTGAAACACGATGGCGGCGAGCGCGCCGCGTTTGACGAACTGCGACCCCACCTTGACTCACAACTGCAGCTGTGGCTGGCTTCACAGCAGCTAGGTCAGACGATGAGCCATCCAGCCGGAAAGTTGATGCGCCGTGCCGCGGCGCTGGCTTTATCTCGCTTCTTTGACTGCACAGCCCCTTTTCATTCCGCACCCCCATCCAGCCCCGCTTAAGTTTGAATGTCGAGGATTTTAACGTCGAGGACACCGAGCCTGCTCTTGCTAATTTGCTCCTCGCGCCGACCAGCTCAAGCAGGGCGCCGCTTACGCTCTGGCTTTGGAACGTAATTGGTCAATCTGAAGCGGCATCGACAACACCGCGCGAGCAGCTCTGCGCTCTGACTACGACTGACACTCTTGACTTCGACCCACTTTCAAGCGCATCCGACCCACCTCGGAGCCGCAGGGCTGTGTTTGCTGGTGGCCTATAGTCACCCGCTACGTTCTATCGGCATCCATCGCAGTGTCCGCAATTGCGCTGCCCAAGATGACAACCATGCCGTTGCTCTTTCTATATCATCCCGTAACGACGGCCGAGCTCAATGCTAGGGATCAGCGCTGGCGCCTAGCACGAGAAAGGGCTTATGCGCGAGCTACTTTCGCAGACGACGCGACGTTGGTCGGCTCGATGGCACGCTTCGCCGCCGCTCAACATCGATCTCGACGTTTTAGCCTTGCAGCTCTTGGCCAGTCGCAAAATCAAAGACGGACATCTGGAAGCTTGCTGAGCTACGAGAGCGACTCAACTAGAGTGCAGCCGTTATCTAGGCACGCCTCGAGAGTCTCCAGACCTCAAGTCGTTGCGGCTGTTCGAGCATGGGAGCAAAATGTCGACCACACTGCTTTGCCGTCGCATGTGGAAGATGAGCAAATCGTAACGCAATCGGACGCAGGTCAGGATTTCGATGCCACCGTCACACCTTCTAGGGCCGCGGCGTTCGCAGCTGCGCTCGAGCGTTCCACACATCAGCGCTCCTCTGGCCCGCGCGCATCGGCTGCTCGATCTCAATCAGCACAACGAGCGAGCGAAGCATTGTACACCCACGACGCACGAGGTGACAGCGTCGGCAGTGCCCGTAGCAGCCTCATCGATACCCGTCATCGCCGGGGCTTCCGTAGAGGCGTTCGAAGGGCCTGGAGACGATGCGTCAACGCCGTGCATGCTTGATGTCCTACATCGGTCTCCTCCACCCGCACACTTCTACGACCCGCCCAGACTAACGACGCCACACGATGCAACTCGTCAATCATATCTTGGAGATCTGATATCTCTCTTCCACAATACACGGCTTCAATTTACCTTCATCTTGCGCAGCGTCGCAAATCAGAACCTGCTTGCTTCATTGAAGGTAGCAGCTCGGCATCTCCAGGGCCGAGGAAGTTCATATTGGCCTTTAATGCAGCTTCAAACAGGCTCTCTCAAATTACGCACCGATGTCACCAATCATTCTTGATCTCGCCCACCGTGTCGTCCTCGACGCGCCTTCTGACCGCCTTCAGAATGTGCGTGAGCTTCTTCTCGAGCACCACGGACTCTGTTCTCGTTTCAATCTGCACACGTTTGCAATTCTGCTAACTTGGTCCACTCTTGTGTATTATCATTCTTCACTTCGTCGTCTCGTCATTACTAATCGAATTGGCAAAGAGAAGTGCTCATCGGATCGTGTATAGAAGTGATGCTGCATCAAAGTCGGAAATAGCCATGAATCGCTGACTTGAAGTTATTCTTGAACGCTGGGTCAGAGGTCGTGAGAGTGTCGTGCAAGGCGCGAGATGATGGTGGAATACTCGAGAGGTTTTTAAGTGGTGTATGTTCGAGTATCTGTATCACACTTTGCGAGTCCTTCTACGACCACCACCGCAGCGGCAGCAGAGCACCTTGATTGCAGCGAAGCGTGGATACAATGTCAGCAGGGACAAGCAAGGTCACGAGGGCACAGCACGTAGACTCACATCTCCGATGCAGTTGAACACTGCAATGAAGGCCGTGGCGATCGCACTGACGATGCTGTTCAGGATTCGAGCCTGAGAAAAGGGTTCGTGCTGCAGATCAGCACGCAGCACGTCGACCTGCCGGGACACGCTCCACGACTTACGATGCCGCTAAAGATGGCGGTAAGGGCTCCCGCGATAGCTGTGGAGGATCGAGCGTCGTGTCCAGCGAAGAAGATGGTCAGCAATGCGTACCCAACAACCCTAGCTCAGGTGTATGAGCGCTCACCGGAGGTGATGGAGGAGAGGCAAGAAGCGACGGCTATGGAGTGGGGAGGTGGGGCAGTTTTGAGCGATGTGAACGGCATGTGTGGTCCACACGCCGGACTTACCACCCATTTTGGCGTGTAGTGATTTCTAGAGATTGCGATGATGTGTATGAAAGGCGTCCTGGTCGCATTCGGTGTTGTGGATGATGATGGTGGTAGGTGGACGTCTCAAGCACACCACAGAGAGGGCTCGAGGATAGATGTCGTCAATTGATTGGGACGATCGTGGAAATCACCTTGCCGGCAATCCCACGTCACCAGTTTGCACAGAAAATGTCAAGAAATTCGACTTGTGCAGTGCCTGTGATGAATGCACGAGACGCAGTGGTACATCACCGCTTTGCCTTGCAGCTCTCGAGGCTGTGCTTGGCTTTCATCATCGATGCACTTCAGACTCATCTCGATTGGGCGGGCAGGAGAGCGGAGCTTCATATTTCCACAAATGGTGTGGCTGGGCGCTAAGGCCTGCTCCTCACAGTCGTGACTCGTGACGCGTGACTCGTGAGCTATCGTTGGTGCGCTGCACTTCTCCGGTCTCGGGTCAAAAGCGTTGCAAACAAGCGTGACTCGAGGTGCCCACGGTGCGGCACAATTTCGTCCACAGGGGCCCCAAAGCTGTCAGTCCGGTCCCGCTGCGTCGCTCTTTCTTTGCATCTTGATATCAAGAGGCCCGCGTCATAGCGCTGCAATCACGAATTCGATCCAAGCAACGAACACAGCGGTGACGTCGGAATATTTTACGGGACCCTGCCCTAGAGGCACGCTGGCAGCGCGCACAGGAGGACGTTGCCCAAGCGTCGGCACATGCTCCGACCAGCCTGTCCGCGCCGAACAGGGTGGGGAAGGGGGCGCCACTCCTCACGACAGGAATCAGGTCTGACTGTACGCACGAGTGCGGCCGACGACTCAACGACTCACAATTGTGCGTCTTTACCGAGATTAGTGGTGAGGAAAGAAGTGCGGCGTGGCGCATGCAGGCGAATTCAAACCCATCATGACGTCGGCTTCGTGCCTGCAGCTGCTAACGGCAGCTTTGAGTCGCAGTTGTGAGTCTTTGAGTTGCTTCTTTTGGCCATGGAAGCGCGCCGCTTGACGTGCCGTGGCTTCACTTTGACCGATGCTTTAGCTGCATTGCCAGCGCAATTGTTAGCTGCTCGACCTACCTGTTGTGGGTGCTGCGCCATCGCGCTGTCTACGGCAGCTGTTCAAGGGCCGCCGAGGGGCTTGCCGTATCAGCAGGATCGTGGCGGGTGCAACGCAGAACACCAAGCACCCATCCTTGCTTGGATGACGTCGTTGATGCCCTTTCTCCGCCGCTGCTCGATCAACGCGGGGAGGACCCTGCAGGTGTGCCACGCACGTGACTCCATGTCTGCATTCCAGGGAAGGATGGTCCTCATGACCGTTGTTCGTCGCATCCGTGCCTCAACATTCACTCGTGACTCTTAATTGATTCACGAGCTCAGCTGGATGAGCTGTGGCCGAGTGTGGCCGAGCAAAGTGCCAGTGAAGCGGCACTGAGCTGTGCCTGCGGTAGCAGACCGACCTGGGCATCCGCGTGATTTGCCAAACTCATCAGTCGTGGACAAATCACGTGAATCTTATCTTGAAAGAAGAAGATGGGACTCAAGACTCAAGAATGCCTCCATTCGTTTCCTCTCATTAAAGTTTGTGATCAATCTTGAATGTTCAAGTCTTCGCCTAGAAGCAAGCATCGCACCAAAGGTCAAAGTTGATCGTCAACTCGCGATTAGAAAAGGCGACTTGTGCCGTGTCGAAAAATCATCAAGATTGATGATTTTTAATTATTCAAGACTTGACTCATCAGATTCGCGATACAAATCAAGAATCATGAATCTACTTTTGACTCAAGGCCGTGGTGACTGACTGCGCGCGCGCGTGTGCGTGCGGGCGACACACCCTTTCATCACGTGACAGTACTCGACGCGTTGGAGGAGCGCGCCGCGCGAAAAAAGACCAAAGGATGGTGGCGCGGTGGTGAGTGCACATCACGCGCACCAGCAGGTCGTGCTGTGATGGTCGTGTTGATCTGCATGTGTGGCACTCGAGACTACTTACTGGTGCGAGATGGACATTCGTGATTCCAGCTAAGGTTGATCAAATCACCGATGTTGTCCTCGCCTGGTTTCGCGAATGACCCGCCTCGACCATACCGCGATTGACGCACACGCTACGAACTCTCTGGCAGCCGCATCGCGCATTTGATCTTCACCCTTGCTGCTACAAGTTCGCGTGCCGGGAATGCGGGACTAGGCCGCAGATAAAGGATCGAAGAGGGACAGCGCCCAGGACTGTCCATCCAAATCACCACTTTTGTGCGCTTGAGAGAGAAAAGAGCAGCAGCAGCAAGATGAGCTTTTTAGGGGCTTCTTCGGTGGACGAGGATGAGGTCAGACGGATGCGCAAACAGCTGAAGCAGCAAGGTGAGTAGCGCGGCTTGAAGAAGCACCTGAGAGCGCCAGGGCTGAACACATGCTGTGCACTTGACTCAGACATGGAAATCGGTCAGTTGCAGAGCCTCAAACAGACATATGAGACTGAGCTATCATCGCTACGCTCTGCCAAAGTAGAGCTGGCTACTCAGCTAGATGCAGAGACGCAACGAGCAACCGCGGCGGAAGGCGAGGCGAAGCGCGCCAAAGACGAAAGAGCCCGAAGTGTGCTGCAGATCAGCAATCTTGAAACTGCGCTGGATAACGAGAAGAGAGCCGCGCAAGAAGGCTTGAGGGGCAGAAGAAGGGAAGAAGTTGAGAGGGATCGAGCATTGGGTCTTCACTCGAAGGAGACGGAAGAGGAGCGCAAGCAGCTAGAAGCAAGGGTGAAGCAGCTCGAGAGCCAACTGGGCTTCAGCAATGAGGAGCTCCGCAGACTGCAGCAGTCCGAGGTGAGTCCGGCTGCTTTGTTTCGGACAGAAAGAAAATTGCTGACTCACGGCACCGGACCATCCTCTTCAAGGTATCGACAACGAGGCGCGCTGGCCGTGTCGATCCTGCAGCGCATGCACTCGCACTGGAAAATGAAGTCAGCGTGCTGAAATCGGAAATCTCCAGGCTGCGAGAAAGCAGCTCTGCCCTGGGAGCAGCGACACCTGTCAAGCCTGCTGGCAGCCGCAGGCGTCCACGCCGGTCATCTATTGGAGGCTCTGCGCTCGCTCCAGGGGATGAGGGCGAAATCAAAGCTCTGCGCGTGGACGTCGCAAAATTAGATGAACAGGTCAAAAAGGCAAATGAACGAGCAGAGAAGGGCGAGAAAGCAGCACTCAAAGCTTCGAACGAGCTAATCGTCGCACAGAGAGGCCTGGCTGCTGCGAAGGAAGCCGCAAAGGAAGCGACGGACGAGCTGCGTGAAGAGCTGAGGTGGGCGCAAAAGGAAGCAGATGAGCTCAGGTCAGAGCTAGACGCCGGCGCGAAAGGATCGTCCAAGCGCAGTGCGCCAACAATGGATCCAAAGGTCCAGCAAGAGCTTGAAGATGTCAAATTGCAGCTCGCCTCGAAAGTGCAGGCGTGTGCACAGGTCGAGGCGGAGCTCATCACTCGTACTCGCCAAGCGGAAGAATCATTGACTCGCGCACAGGCGGCTGAGAAAGCCGCGAATGCGGCGCAAGAGCGTGTGCGGGCCTTGCAAGCTTCAGCGTCTGCCGGCGAAGGTCTCGATCCTCAGAGGGACGGTTCTGCGGTCAACGCTTCAAGCTCAAGTAACGAGGGTCGCGTTGTCAGAGAGCTTCGCCGGGAGCTGAAGAGCGTGACGCAGGCGCGAGATGCTCTGCAAGTGGAGATCAGCCAATTAGAAGACGAATTTGAGAAGCTGGGAAATCAAGGTGATGCTGCTTCAAAGAAAGACGAGTTTACTTCGGAGCTTCGTGAGAGGGTCAGGTCTTTGGAGATGGAGCGGGACACTCTTGCTTCTCAGGCAGCTGAGCATGCGTCATTGCAAGATGTTGGTGGCAAGGGTAGTGAGTTTGACAGGTGCTCAAGGCTGTCAGTGCTGAAAGGTCCTTCTGCTCATATGAACACGCGCTCGAACCGTGCAGAAGAGATTGACGCTCTGCAAGAGGAGCTCGAGCAAGCAAACGCCGAGCGGGACCGCCTGGTGAAGGATCTCGAAGAAGCTAGAGGTGCGCTGACCGAAGCTTCTGAACACCACCGTCAACTGCAAGAGCGGCTGTCAACCCAAAAAGAACATGTAAGCCTTGCTCAGGATCGGATCGCCACGCTGGAGCGCGAACTGGAGTCCTCGCAGCCATCATCAGCCGACGGCCTGGCGTTGAACGAACTCCGCGCGCTGCTTCAGCAAAGCGAGTCATTGGTGGAGAGTCTGCGGGCAGACGTCTCTGCTACCGGCGATGCTGTTTCGAATGCGCACAAGGACTTGCACTCGGCTCAGTCGGGCCGACAAGAGCTTGAACAGCGTCTTGCAGAGAGCGAAAGGCGGCGCGAAGTCGCCGACGCAGAGCTGACTGCTCTTCAAGCAGAGGCTGCTGCCCCCAAGGAAGTCGAAGACCTAAAAATAAGACTCGATCAGGCACAGCAAGAGCTGGAAGCAGCACGACAATTGGTTCGCGAACGTGACGGACTCTTGACGCAGCTCCAAGATGCGTCCGAAAAGGCGAACGAGGCTCTTCAGGAACAGAACGACAAGATCGCACAGCTCGAGAGGCTCGCCGGAGACGCTGAAGCAGAGGTGGGTGAGATCAGCGTCGTGAAGCTGAGGCCTGACTGACCGCAATCTCCTGCAATGTGCCACCAGCTTGACGCTCTGCGATCTAAAAGTGTCACAGATGTCGGTCAAACGGCAGACTTCGATGCTCTGAGAATGCACTTGCAAGAGAGGGAGGGCCAACTGAGTGATACGCTTCAAGCCCTGCGTAAGCGCGAGGGCGAGTTGGCTTCGGCTAAACGGCGTGTCCAGCGCTTGTCTTCTGCAATCCGGGTATCGTTCGGCGCGAGGGGATCGGAAGATCTATTGGCTCCCTTCGCTGGAGATGAGAGTACCGCTACCGCTGTCCAGGACTCGGACGTCTCTGTTTCGGTCCTTTCAGGAGCTGAGGACTCTTTCTTCATAATGCCCGGCGCAAGGCCCAGCAAGAGGTCATTTGAGAGTGACCTTGCAGATGAGATCGAGCAGGTGCGCATCTGCATCGAGGATGCAAAACAGCGCGTCGACTTTCAGCAGGTCGAAATGGTCATGCAGCTTCGCCGCGCACAAGAAGAGAACCACACTGCGAGTGTTCGAACGATCGATCTTGACGATAGCGAGGATCGCACACCTAGATCATCAGTCAAGTCTGCTGGACCACTACCCAGTCCCCACAAAGCACAGCTCAATGGCTTCATTGACGATAACGGCGAGTTCTCTACGGCGCCAAACGACGATGCTGAGAAGCTCGAGGCCGCTCTGGCGCTGCTGCGAACCTACGAACAGCTACAAGCAAAGCGAGATCGCCTGAACTCGATCGAGGGCCCCCAAGCTCGCACAGCTGCTCTTGAGGCGTCGCATAGCGCCGCATTGAAGAAGGTCGAAGCATTGGAGGCTAGCATCGAGACCCAAGAAGCACAGACTCGGAGCTGGACGGAGTTTGCTCGAGAAGATGCCCATCACTTAGCGATTTGCCGCCAACGCACCTGTCAGCTGGAGTCTACGTTCGCTGGTGCTCACACGACGAACGCAGAGGGGTCTCGAGCGGCGCGCGACACGACAGAGCCGAAGGTGGCCGAATTGGAGGAGCGCATTCAGCGCCGCAACAACCAAATTGCTCTTCATCAGGAGGAGCTGCGCACTGTACATGCACAGCTCGAAGCATTGCGTACGAATCTGAAGCTTGCCAACGATGGGAATGAAGTCCACTTGGAAGAAAGGGAGAAGTTGCAATCTCGTGTCATAGACGTTGAAGAGCGCTCAGCAAATCTGGTCAGGCAGTGTGCTGATCTGGAAGTGAAAAATGGAGAGGCGGCTGCGCAGCTGTCAAGCAAAATGCAAGATGTGAAGCGACTGAGCGCCGAGCTCGACAGCACGCGAAAGACGCTGAACGCCCTCCAAGCGTCGATGTCAGACCCCAACTCTAAAGCCAGCGATGAAGCTTTGTTGGAGGACCTGGCTTCAAAGACGAAGGCGCTTGCATCTTCAGAGGGGCGATTGGCGGAATGGCAGGCGAAATTTGCTGACTTGCAGCGTGATCTAGAGCAGTCGCTGCAAGAGTCAGAGACACACAAAGCTCTTCTAGAGGCAGAGCGAAGCAGCTTTGAAGGCGTCCGAGCAGACGCACAACGGGCGAACGAAGAAATTGCGATTCTTGAGCAGAAGCTGCACCAGGCACAGAGTGAAGGTGAAAGCTCTCGAAGGACGGCCGACGCGCTGGTGGAAGGAGCTCGCAGAGAGGCAGAGCGACGATTGGAGGAGCTCGAGAGCGTACGCAAGGTCTTGTCAACTGCAGAGGCTGACAGCAACGGCCAAGCGCAAGTCCTTGAAGATCTGCGCGTCCAACTCTCGAGAGCGCAATCGGAAGCAGCGATGGCGGAGCGAACTGCCAATACTCGAGCTTCGGAACATGAGAGTGCTCGTCTAGAACTCGAGTCACAGATCGAGAGTGCCCATGCCAGGTATGCCGCCGAGCTCTCCGCAGCACGAGAGCGAGTGACCACTGCGGAAAGCCAGCTTGAACAGGCTCGCGACAAGATCCGCTCCTTGGAGACTGAGGCCACTTCTGCTTCTGAAACAAGTCACGAAGTCGGAGCGTTGATGTCTGAACTGGAAGAAGCCCGCACGGCCAGAGAGCAGGTCTCCGCCAAGCTGGCAGAACTGCAAGCCAATGCCGAGAAAAACTCTAGACTATACGCCGAAGAGCGCGAAGAGCAGGACAAGGTGTGAGTGCGCTACCCAGCCCTGCCAAAGTCGTCGAGCTGACTGTGACATTCGCTTCCTTTGCTTTGCAGCATTGCCGAGATGCAAACCAAACTGCATCACTCGACAGAAGTGGAGCAGGCTCTCTCAGATCGAGAAGAGCAGTTCAGAAGCCTGAAGAATCAGTATGACATCAATCGGGCAAATGCTGAAAAGCTCGTCTCTCAGCTGTACGAAGCAAAGGAGGAGGGTGCTGACTTTGAGCGCAAAGCGGAGAATGCGCAAAGACAGCTCGAGAAAGTCTCCACGCAACTCAAAGACGCCTTGGCGACCGCAGAGAACAGGTGCGTCTCTCGAGCTACACCAGATCGACGTGAAGCTGTCCTTTGTCTGACCCGTTGGCGCCTTTCGACGCAGTCACATGGTCTTGGAGCGGACACAGTCCCAGCTTAAAGAGCAGCGCGCCGCGGTCGAATCGCTGAGCACGCAGCTTCGAAGCGTCGAGGACGAGAAGCACCAAGTGCAGGAAGAGCTTGCATCAGCCCGGAATGTAGCCTCGTCCAACGAAGCTGTCGCTCAGCTGGAAGCGCGTATGCGTGAGCTCGAAGCGGAGCTGGAGACCAAGGTCATCGAGATCGAGGATAATGATGACAAAGTAAGTGCTTTGGTCAATTGTTTGAGACGTGCGCAGCCTCGCGAAGGCGCTGACTTTCCACCGCTTCCCTTCAGATGATGGAACAGATTAAGCAGAACAAGAAGCAATCTCTGCGTGCCAAGGCTTTCCAGGAAAAGGTCACTGCCTTGCAAGCGCAGGTTGACGATCTCAAATTGCAGCTCGACGCAGCCCTACAGATGAGATCAGAGGCGTCGCAGAAAGGCCTGCCGCGCTCTTCCGAGGATAGGACAATGTCGCCTTCTTTGCTTTCGAACAGATTTGCCGAGCCTCTCAGAGAGGCCCCCGCACGACCGGTCTCCACACCCCCATCGACATCGCGCAAGCGCAGCTTTGCAGAAGCAGACGATGAAGCGGCCACAGCAGTGCGCAATGGCGCAGCCGCCCCGACCGTGAGAGCCATGTACGTGCCGGTCTCGCCTAGCAAGACGTTTACACCTGTTCGAAAGAGCAAGAGCGACGCCGCCTTCTCCAACGGCGCCACGCCTGGTCCCACAGCGGAGAGAGTTGTCGTGGCGCAAAGAAGCGCGAGCACGAACCCGACGAACGCTGGCGCCATTGGCACATCTAACAATTTCGCAAAGGATCGGAGGGACGCGCCGCCTGCGGGAAGTCTCGTGGATCGCACAAACGTCAAGGATACAATCTCTAGCTCAAAGGCTGGACCTTGGCAAGCAGGCGCTCGAGTCGCTTCGAACGGCTCGGCCAGACCGGTAGGAGGTCTTTTGAAAAAATTGCAAACGCTCCAAGACGGTCGACCGCGCCCTGCTTAGTGGCTGTCGCATCTCAATATGAACGTCACAGTCCAGACAAGAGACCAACAGACAACAGCACCGAATCGCACATCTGCTAATTGTATGCTTTCGTGAAGAATGTAGGCGTGATGTCGATGTGGCGGCTCGTGTACTATGCATTGAAAGTTGCGGTATCAGGCGCGCCAGAGAGAGTGCTGGCGTCTTGAATTCAGCGAAAAGTCACTGTTCCAGGCGTTTTGAAGGCTGGCGTGACGAAGCTGGCATCCCTGCTGCTCAGATTGAAGTTGGGCGTGGCTTGCCCTGGCTGTTGTTGCGTACTGACGGTAGAGGATGTCAAGTTGGTCGAGAGCTGATCAGCGCTTGCTTGAGGAGGAGGAACGGAGCTGCTAGCGCTTCGACGTAGTGCCAACAGCGCTCTTTCCACTTCCAGCTTGTCCGTTGATTCATCTTGATGCGCGTTCAAGTGATGGGTGATGGAGGTGCGTCAGAGGAACAGTGGAGGCGATTCGTCTGCAACACATCGTTTCAGCTCACCCGGATCAAAAGACTCGTCTCGCCAAGAAGAAGAGTTGTGCGATCGTCTTGCCTTGAAGGCGGCCATGGTTCCCGAGACGTCCCTGCTAGAAGACGGAGAGCTTGTGCGACTTCCAGAACCGTGGATGCCTAGGGAGCCGTACTGTTTTGGTCTTCTCGCAGTCAAGTCCAGACGATCTGCACTGAAAGCGTTGCTCGGATGCCGACTTGAGCCTAGTGATGCCGGACTCGAGGATTGGTAAGAGAGGGCCGGATTGAGATCGCGCCCGCTGGCGCTCACGCGCCTCGCCGCATCTATGCTTGCTCTCAGGGGCGATCCTTTACAAAGTGCATGAGGGGTGGTGGATTTGTTTCGAGCGGCAGAGCTAGAGGGCTGGTTGCGTGCAGCTGTGGCGTGGGGGCTTGCGCTTGAAGTAGGCCTGCCAGGTGGCTGAGCGAAAGAGGGCTTTGAGGGCGGCAGCTTGCTGGGCGCTGCGTTGGAGCCAGCCGTTTGGCCCGTGTAGAGCTGAACTGAAGCTTCCAAGATGTTCAGGCTAAGCAGAATCAATGCGGCCAGTCTGCACCAAGAAAGAGTGGACGCGAGCGCTGGTGACGCGTCGTCTAGCAAGCTGAAGTAGAATGTGAAAAAGGGCGTAAGTGGAAGTCCATCGATCGAGCTCCTCATCGCATGTTGTGCGAGCTGCCCTCCAAAGTCACGACGCAGAGTTCTTCCGAGGCAACAAGTCGTGGGTGCAGCCACCTGCAACCATCCGACCGACCACTCGGCAGACCTCTCGTCTGATCTAGTACGAGATCTTCGCGTAGACGCTGACGCACCTGAAAGCTTCATCGGAAAGCGTCAGAACCCAATCAGGCGTGACGCCTCCCCAAAGCAAGAGCACCGCACCAACGTTCCATTTCAATCTGGATCTCAACTCTTGTCTTGTAGGAGTAGTATGAGAAGCTTGTGCGGCGTCCGACGAGCTGTTGAGAGCGAGCTTGGACGCTTGACTTGTCAAGCGTTGGAGCACTGATGAAGGGGTGATCGCCGCCGAGGACGCAACAGGTGCTGAAGCGGGTGCGCTCCGTTGGACTTGCGAAGTGCTGGACTGCGTGGTGGAGATTTTGCCAGGCGTGTGAGCGATCAGTGCAGAGCTGCCGTTTCCCACTGCTTGCGCTGCATATGTCGACGAAGGCGGAGCATCGGAGCTGGGACCAACTAGGAATTGTTCCGTCGTGTGCTGCTGCTGCTGCTGGTGTTGTTGGTGGAAGGGGGTTGGTGGACCCATGGAGGGACGAGGAGGAGTGCTAGAGATGGGATATGAGCCGTACGACTGGGCCATCGTCTTTGAGGCTGATTGAGCCAGAGGCTGAGCAGAGTAAGACATGCTGCTGTTCCTCCTTGTATCTGGCGTCATACAGAGATGACCTCGACTCGCGCTGTCGATCGAGACCAGCAGGTACGTGCGCACCTCTCCTGTCCGCCGTTCCGGCGCGAAGCTGTGACAGCTCAACGCTTGGTCCGACAGCCTCGAGCAAAAAAACTTCCAACGTTTGGTCAGTCAGAAAGGTTCGTGGAAGAAGAAGAGACGCGCTAAAGTCGTGAGTGTTACATGTGTCGGCTATGATGGAGGGAGGGTTTCACCAGGAAAAGACTGCTTGTGAAACGCCACGGGCGCGTCAAGTGTCGCGCACGACTTGCCCTCGCGACATGGCTTGCCAGATCAACACACGCGCGCGCACGTGACCGTCTCAAGAAGCAGCTTCACGAATCGTGTAATTTGATGTCGAGGCCGCTCGAGAGCGTGCTCGCTCTCATCGTCTCGGACTCCTGCATCGAGGTTTGTAGCTGCAAAATACATATCACTTTGGCAGCGATCATTGCGTGATGTCTAATCAAGCTCGTCTCGTCCAAACACTCGCGTGCGTGGAAGAGTGACGAACAGTGGGGCCAGACTTGAGCGCAAACAAGGCAGGCAAAACGTATCAAGGCTCGATCGGATACACAGGTGCACGAACATGTCGCATGACGCTGCAGCATCTCGGAACAACCCTCATTCGTCCAGTTGCATACCTGAACGACGCGAGATTAGAGGTACAACGCGCCATGTCAGCTACACGCTCCCAACGAGCGCAAGGCAGGCATTCCAGCTTGACCACTCACCCTCGAGCTCCTCGGCCAACAACTCGTCGTCCCTGATCTTGGGAATATCGTCATCATCTCCCCACTCGCTCTCCCCGTCAGTCGTGAAGCCATCGTCGTCCGTCATAGCTCCGTCCAGTGCAGCCGCACCACGAACCTCGACCGCAGCATCCGCAGCATCCTCCACCTCCATGCCGCCATCAGCATCGCCGTCGTTAGAGTTGAGCTTGCGAGCTCTGTGAAGCGCCTTTGCTTCTCTTCTCCTCTTGGCCCTCTCTTCAGCCTCCGGATCTCTATAGAGGTTCACGCCGCTCCTCATCTCTTCATCCTCTTCAAGCTCTCTCAAGAACATTTCGTAGTCCCTCTCCACTTTCTTGCCATCCAGGCCTCCCTTGCGACCGAGAGCCCCTCTTCCAGTTCCCTCGCCAGAGTCATCTCCAGCTTCTTTGGCTATGCTGCGCAACTTCCAGTTTCTGCCTCGTCTGCGCTTTTTGCTGTCCGGATAGCTCTTGCGCACGAGCACCACGTCCGGCGTCTGATCATGGTTCAGCGTATCCCAAAGCGCATCGTTGAAGTTGGCCGATCGGAGATTATAGCCCATGGCTGTATCTCCCGGCTGCAAGAGCCCACCCAGGTGCGTGCGTGTGTGATACACTGCATCTGCTTGTCCGAAGGAAGTCGCATTGAGCGGACTGACTTGCGCATCAGCTGCCACCCACTTTCCGTTCGTGACGCCCGTGGGCTCAATGTCCAGCACGAGAAACTCGACGAGCTCGGGAATGGCACACAAGCTGCTTACTGGCTCCCTCCAGTACTTTTCAGCAGCCAGATCGGCCACCTGAAGACTTGCAGGATCGATGAACTTGAGAGTGTTGCTGATTCGCTGACACAACACCAATTGAGGCATCTGGCTCATGGACCTCGCCAAGCTCTTGGGTAGGCATACCAAGTCGTCCTTGCAGATGGGCGCAATCTCAACGCTGTAGCTGAATTTGTTGTTCACCGTCGACGTGTGGATATCCATGCTCACTACCGCGCTGCTCGCTTGCGTTCGCACCGGCACCACAGAGGCGAGGAACTCGCACATCTTGACTGCGTGTGCTCGTTGAGAGTAGTAGAAATCGAGGCCGTCCTTCTTTTCTTGAATGCTGACAGTGTCTCTGTGAGCATTGTGCTTGAGAATGAGCTGCTCGAGATACAGAAATGTGCGCTTGTGAGGTACTACAAAGACATGCAGAGTCGGTGTGAGCGGGCAGGCGTGCAGTGGATGAGGAAGTACTTCGCTTACCCTTCTGACGGACTTGAACCATGGCCTTCCAGGTGTTCTTGGCAGCCATGCGCGTGCAGTCTGGGCACTGGCCGTACTGCACCACGAATTCTATCTCGAACACTTGTTGCAGAATGGTCGAAGTGAGCACCTGTCGGACCAGCAAGCACGATCAGTGATCAGCGGCTGCATGGGTATCGGGACGCGCTCCTCGCTCACCTCTTTTTGCACAGTGAGCTTGACTCTGAGCCTCTTGGAGTGAGGTTCTGTCCAAATGAAGCCAGCATCAATGAGTCTGACCTTGTTCAAGCCTTTGAGCTTCTTCAAGCAGATGGCCAGCAATTCTCTGCTCTCCAGCTTTGCGGGTACCCAAGTCTGAGGAGGGTTCAAGTACCGCTCGCAATTCCTGCAAAAGTTGATAGCGGCTTGCTTGGGAATGCCTTCGGTGATGTCGACCGAGTTGCGAAGACAGGATAGGCAGAGGTTGGCAGAAGAAGGAAGGATGGGAACTCCGCAGTCTGCGCAGAGGACCATACCCTGCTGAGGTGCTTGTGCTGCGAGCTCCATCGTGGGTATGTGTGAGGAGGGTGATGGGCGGTGAGTGGGTGGCGACACGCTGTCGTGTGCATGCACGTCCAAGGGTTGCAGAGAGCGTGCCTACGCGACAAAGTCTTGATCAGCGTCAAGTGTGCGGGAAGCTCGAGCGCGACCGAGTGCTTGGGACGGCTGCGTTGGAACGGGGGACTGCGGTGTGCCAAGTTGGTGAGTGAAGGTGAAGATGTGCTTGATCGGGTCTAACATCAAGCAGCAACTGCGCATCAGCTACACGTACTTGTTTATGTCCGCGCAAGCCTGCTCTCGAGAAAAATAATCAGGTCACGTGCCGAACATGTCGTCCGCACAGCATGATGGGCTCATGCGCGCGCATGCAAACGGAGGCGTGATGCATTCACCGCGGCCGCGCGATCAAGCTTGGGCGCGAAGTCGCAGCAGTCGTTTCACTCACATATCACTCGCGACTTCACGTTGAGACGGCCGAGGTGCCTTCCGCTTCCATTACATTGTCTTACAATCTCGACGCCTAGAGGTTGACCTCCATCTTCTTGCGACTTTTGCTTCGCCTTCAACGCACTTTCGGGCGCACCATTGTCTGCCAAGAAGTCTCGGCATTATGTCAGATGTGGACGACGAGCTGCTAGCTCTCGCTGGAGGAGATGTGTCGGAAGACGATGCTCGACGGGCATCGACGGGGTCGAAGAGGAAAGCTGGTGGCGGCGTCTCGACGTCGCGGAAACGTGGCGGTGGTGCCAAAAAAAGGCGAAAGAGGCTGGACAGTGACGACGAAGATGAAGATGAAGATGAAGATGAAGAGGAGGAGGAGGAGGAGGAGGACGCAGAGGGTTCTCCCGACGAAGATGCAGTATCTGATGGGTCGACAGAGCTAGAAGCGAACGTGTTTCCCGTAGAAGGGATCTACAAATCCGAAGCAGACAGAGAGCAATTGCTGGACATGCCCGAGATCGAGAGGGAAACGGAATTGGCTGCTAGAAGAGATCAGATCAGCAAAAGGAGACAGCAGATGGAACTGAAGGCGCTTTGGCAGCGTCAGCAGGCTCAGCATAACCGTGGTGGTGGTGGTGGTGCCGCACAGAGCAAGACCAAGACGAAGAGCGCAAGCAAGTCAAAGACCGTCAAGAAGAAGGGCTCTTTCAAATTGGCTTCCAAGGCACGCAGCACGAGGTATGCCGACGAGGACGAGCCTGCTGAGGATGACGACGAGGAGCTGTCGGCAGAAGAGGAGGAGGAGAGCGATTACGAGGCGGACCGAGGTCTGCGAAAGACGGGCCGAGCTCGCAAAGGAGTTGGCGCGAGCGACAGCAAGACCGCCAAGTTGCAAGAGTTGCAGCGTCGAAGGCGAGCCAAAGCGGGTGGGAAAGGAGCCGACGAGTCGCCAGGCAAGCGAAGAGGAGATTTGGAGAGCGGCGAAGATGATGAGGAGCCGGAAGATGAGGAAGACAGCTATGCGAGCGATTCGGATGGTGGCTACGGACACGGGAAGGCAAGCAGGGGACGCTTTGAGAGCTCGAGAAGAGGAGCGAGTAGCACTTCGAAAGCGTCAGGAAGAGAAGCGAGGAGACTGGAAGATGGCAAGGAGTGGACGCCTCCTGGCAAGGACGTACTCAACGCTGCTAGAGTGACTAGAGATGCCGTCTCCAAGCACATCTTCAAGACGGGCTGGCAGGACGCCCTGGTCGGTGAGTGGCGTAATGTCAGCGCTTAGTGCCCTCACAGTGCACTGATTGTCGGGCTGCATATCTTGGCAGGCTCCTTTGTGCGTCTAGCCATCATGGAAGGAGGTCGTCAGCTGTACCGAGTGTATCAGATTGAAAGTGCGTCATGGGTAACGCTGCTAAGCTTTTGCCGTGTATAACAATCCTGCCCAGTCGACTGACCCCAAAGCGCTCTCGGCCCACGTTCCGCGCGCCAGACGTGAAAGAGGGCAGGCGCTACTACGACCTAGGGGATGGGCGGGCTTTCACAAACTTAGAGATATATGTGAACTTTGGAGTCGATCGACATGGGCCCTTCTCACTGAGTCAAATGAGTAACTCGCCGTTCTCGGAAGTGAGTGCAGATGCGAAAACTGCTGCTGCTTCAGCATTTTCGTCTGACTTAGCCCCTCTGCGTCTGCAGGACGAGGTGTCACGCTACAATGCGGTGCAAGAGCATCGATTCAGGGCCAAGAACAGAAGAGGACCGTCATCTGAGGCAGTACAAGACTCTGGTGAAGCCTGGCAAGCGTTCGTCGAAAAGCTGGTCCAGGATCAAGTAGAGGCTCTTGACATGGTTAAGCGTCGCAAGGAAGCTCGAAAAGCGTTCGAAGAGCAACAGAAATCTCGCTCGAATGGCAGAGGTCCTCCACCCGGTCCTCCGCCCAGCAGACCACCTGGCCTTGGCGACCTAACCAACGGTCATGGCGCCTCTGGCACCGCCTCGCCAGTGCCGACTCGCAAATTTGACGCTCTGACAGTTGCGGAGATGAATGAGCGCAACAGGAGAGCAGAGAAGGAACGCTTGATCGACGTGGATGTGAGTGTACGAAAGCAACGGTCAGTATCTGAGTTCCGATGCTGACCGAAACGAACCTCATTGCTTTGCCACTCACCTCACCTCACCAGAGGCGCAAAGCGGCCGCTAAACGCGCAGCGCTGGCGGCCGAGGCGGGCGAGAAGAGCAAGCTGAATGCCTTGCAGAGCGAAAACGAGTCGCAGGAGCAGAAGAGCGAAAAGATCGTATCGGCTTCCAATACCGCTACCGCGCATGCCGCTTCTCAGCAGACCAAGGATCTGGAGGTGGACCTTGGTGACTTCTGAATTGGGGGATGCAGAGCGCTACCTCGTCCGAGTGCAGCAGATTTGAAATACGATTTGCATTCAAGGTTGCTGCTTCGCGCGCCAACATGAATCTCACGGCTGCACGCTCGGGGAATTGGACGGCAACGGACAACACCAAAGGCACGCTTCGTCATCCGCCTTGAAGTGACCATCGGCTTGAGCGCCCGAGCACTCTCTCACACATGATCCTCGAATAACGTCTATGCGGCTTTTGCGCGAGCGCTGTCCAAGAATAAGACGGGGATCGGCATTTCGAGAAGAGCAGAAAGGCCACACGAGTGCGGATCTGAACGCTACTATGTGAAAGCTGTGTGCGCAGGTTTACAGGGGGGGTCAAAAGGGCAGATCGGAAAAGGGTCGATGATGTACTTGGGGCACGAAACGTAAGAATCGGTGAACGCCGCTAGCCCTGCGCGCCGCTGTGTAGGGCGCAGGAGACGTGGCTTGGTCCATCCGAGGAGAAAGCTGTTCATTTTGACGTATTGGCAAGGGCAATGCCGATGGGTCGTGCAGTCACGCTAAGCGCCGTCTGTGTCTTTTGCTGGCGGGGCAGGAGCCTCTTCCGATGACGCGTTGGGAGTGGCAGTAGTGGTAGCCGCGGCAGACGAAGGCACATGACCAGGCGGATGAGGAATGCCATGCTTCTCCCTGACCAGTTCGAAAGTCTTGAGCATCTTTCTGCGAGCTCCTAGAGCAGCCACGCCCTTCTCTTCCAAAGCCTTGTCATCCATCTGCACCATTTCTTTCCAGTTGCTCTTTTCAAAGTTTGGCGTGTACTTGTGAAGACGAAGGTATCGAAGCCAGGCTGGCACATCTTCCAGAACTGACAAGGGTGCCACCTCTTCCTCGCCGCCAGGACCAGCACTGCTAGGGGCCCCGCTACGAGCAGTGTTTGGCGTGCGTGCTGTTCCAGGTGATCTGCGACCCGAGTTGGCCATCGAGGCAGGAGGCGAGAGACCAGCACTGAACGCAGAGTTGCCGCGTCCGCTAGCTGGCTGCCTGAAAGCGGATCCGGCAGCTGCAGCAGCGGCCTGAGTCTGAGCTTGCAAGATCGATTGCTGCATGGCCAAGAATTGTGCGGCACTCATGTTGCTTAGGCCACCCATGGCAGCCATTGCGTTCATCATTTGCATGTTCACTGGGTTGCCCAGACCTCCGCTTGGACTCTGAAGTCCAGCGAGCGCGTTGGGACTCATGGCCATGTTAAAGCCTCCCTGAGAAGCGGCGGGGGAGACATTGGCCATGGCATGGCGTAGGAAGTCGTTCTGAGTGGCATTCCAAGGGCCTGGAGAAGTGGCAGATGCAGGCAAATTGGGACTGGCGCCTGGGCTGTGCCCAGCATCATACATGCCGGACAGCACGCCGTGAATGCCATTTTGCCCATTGGTGTTCTGAGATGCCGAGCCAGGCGCGCCTTGCTGGCTCTTACGACGGAACTTGGCCACGTCTGGGTCGAGCATGACGCGAGACGCATTGTTGCCGCCGGCGACCGAGGCGAGCTGAGCAGTGGCGGCATCCAAATCGACGTTGGACGCACCTTGACCTTTTTGGGCTTTCTCATCAAACATGGGCATGAGGGGCGTGTTGACCATGCTAGCCCAGCTGCCACTTTGAATGGGACTGAGTTGATCATCAAGAGGACCATTGGCACGAGGGCTCTTTGTGGCCTGGCTGAGACCATCAGTGCTCTTGGGTCGCAATGCCGCGTTCCCACTGGCGTCTTGTCCTTCCGCGACCTGGTCAAGGCTGCCGCCGCTAAAGTTGCGGCCGCTTGCATCGCTAGGCAGCTGACCCGGAGCGGAGATGCGATTCGACTTGAGCTTGGCGCGCTGCGCAGCTAGCATCGAGGCAGCATCGCCGCCTACGCCAGCGCTGCCTGGAGGGTTGCCGTACATGCTGGCAAGATTAGGGGAGAGGAAGCCAGCCGCGTCAGACGACTGGCGAAGGTTGCGACCGCCAGGCGAAGCAGGCGCTTTCATGGCGGAGGGCGATTTGAGCCCTAGGGAAGCTAGCTTTGCTTCCATCTGGTCGGCCATGTTGTTAGGATGGCTGGGACTCAGCAGAGCGCTCATAGGGTCTGAACGAGCCATCTGCTGCAAAACAGTAATGAAGAAGCGAATCTGCACCTGGGTGGACTCCTGGAGGAGCGAGTAGAGAGCGGCTGTGCGCTCAGCCTCGGAGAGAACGCGGAACCCTAGGCATCGCGGCGAAGTGCTGCATCAGCAAGGGCCTTTTCGCCCATTCAATTTTCGAATTCAGCCCGACTCACACTGCTCAATGGCAGAAAGCTCCTCTTTAAAGTTCTGGTCGAGAGAGGCAGCAGCCATCTCCTCAAGTGTGGCTTCATAGTGACGCAGATCCTCGAACCACTTGTCAATAGCATCGGCTGTGAAATGCAAACGGCTCGCATGAGCGCGATGTGATGGGACGGGCGTGTGTCCAGATTTTCGCGCTGCATTTTCGGCCTACTCACATTCGGCGGTGTTGCCCTGCTGTTGCAGGGCCGCTGCCATACCTAGCATCTCGGAGCTGGGGCGAATGCCAGCCGAGTGCAGCGCTTGCTGGGACAGCAGCGGGCTCTTTTGAGGTTGCTGATGATGATGATGGTGCTGCTGCGGATGCGACTGCTGATGAGCAGTCGGCTTGCTAGCCGGCGAGTAGCGCTGCGCTCCAGCGGCAGGGGAGCTGCTGCGGTGGAGACCGGTCGGTGCGCCAGCTGGCGAATGGGGAGGACGAAGATTGTAATCCCCAGACATGGTGCTTGTGTAGAGTGGAGGAGAGCGTAGATGTATGCTTTAAGAGGGGGTGGGGACTGCGTGCGGGAGGCCCTGAATAGTCGAGAGTGCGAAGTGAGGGAGGGTCGAGCAGATGACACCTTCCTGCGCAAGTGGATGAAGTTCAAGAAGATGGAAAGACCTCAAAAGCTGAACCTGGCTTGCTTCCCTTCTTGCCCTTCTCACGTCAAGTGTTGTGACACGTTGCGACCAGAGGTGTTGTCTCTTGACCGTTGTTTGCAGCGAGAGATGCGAGCTGGCGCACCAATGCGAGCTGATTTAGGGAGTGTGGACGTCTAGAAGTGTGCGAGGTGCGTTGCGCAAGCGCAACGTTGGTGGAGGTGAAGACTTGGCTGGTGGAGATGAAAGTCGCTATGGCCGTGGACGATGAGGCAGAGCTTTGCAGGACTGGCTGGCTGGCTATCTGGCTGTCGGTGTGCAATGTCACAGAACCTCAACGATCTTGTAGTGAGCTTGCCAAGCTATGCTCCTGATGACGGAATGGATCTACCACGCAGAGTCCTCCTCGAGCACGAAAGGGATGGTGGCGGTTAGGCTTGTGGGAGTTTCGGATCGTGAAAGTGGCAGCAGAATTCTCGACTCATGACTGTGACTCTTTGTGGACGATGAGCACTCATGCAAGCGGCATAGCTGCACTGTGTACTGTAAGTGGACGCACGCACGCACGCAGTTGCGCGTCACAACAACGATGCGAGGTATAGGCGCAGTCAGAATTGCGACCTGCCCGACAGCCTGCTGCTGCTGATGATGCGACGTGGTCAGGCCGGTGCTCGTGGCATGGGAGTTGCATGTGCTAGCTGCGTGCGTATGGCTCTGGAAACCGCCAGCTATGGCGCCTCAATTAGACTCAGCCCTCACCACGAAGCATGCATGCAGACGCATGCAGTCAAAGAGTCAGCAGCAGCATCAGCATCCCCGGCAGCTCCAACAGCTCAGGCCCAGCATCGTGTATACTCACGACTGAGCGGTAGGAGGTGCGCCGCGGCTCGCCGCTCAACAAAGCTCGCTCAATCGCGGCCTTTGCGCGTGCGCCCGCGCGTGGCCGCCACGATTGCAGCACATGCACCGCGAGGGTAACAATCGTTGAATTGCATAGATCCGCGCGCGCGCGCGCGCAGCTCATGGCCGTGCTTTTTTTGCGTGCGCAGGTCTGCGGGAGCCGAGGGCGGGCTGCGCGCGTATCAGTATTGTGTGTAGCAAATGTTGTGGGCGGGCACAGTCACTACAGCAGTGTATCCGCCACCTCGATCTGCACGCAGACGACTTTGCTTGCATGGGCGTAGCGATGCATGAAACATGTGCAGGATGGCGCATATGCGTGCCTGGAATCATCCGGTCTGGCTCAAACCGCGACCCTGCGTGGGCTACATATGTCCGCATGGGCCATTCATTCATTCATGATCCACGTGACTCTGATTGTATGGCCAGAAGTCGAATGTTGAATGCTGGGGAGATGCATCGGGACAGGCATCCGATAAGCACAAGCTCCATGCATCGACCTCTTCTTCATCTTCAACAACCAAGCAAGTCAAGAGTCATCATACTCGACACCGATGACGCTATCGCTTGGTGACGAGGAGCGATCTTGGCCCGTCCTCGACGAGCCAAGTGTGGCTGTGAGTCGTGTATTCTCATTCGTGATTCGATCACGATTGGCCCAGCGGGCGGAGCAAGAACTTCTCTTCTATACACATGTAGAGGAGTAGGGTGAGGCATACGCAGACCACGCTTGCACGAAATTCAAAATTCTATACAGCATGTGCAGTCACGAGACACGAGTCTGAGGAGTGTTGAAGCGTGAGTCACGAGTCACGTACGAGTGTTTGTCTCCTTACCAGTATACACCGACATCACTACTACTACTACTACTCTGGCTGAGACACTTGTTGTACTGACAACCGGAGCAAGGTCGATCAGGGTGGAAATCCACTCTTGACTCGAACCTAACCTGACCTACCAGATTGTCATTACATTTTGTCAAATCTGCCCAGCGAACTCCAGGGACATTTAAGCTTTCCTCCGAGACTCTTTTCTGCGACGCTATTATGACTCGCGACTCGTGCACCGATATTCGCGAGTGTGAGTGTTGTGACGAGCTCCATGCACTTCACTATTGACTCACGTCGCGCGCCTCTCTCTTCTATCCGTCTTGGAGAAGTCGTTGAATAAGATACCGCTACATGATGCCTGCTGCGAGAGTAGAGTCTCTCTCTTGATCGACCCGCGAGTGGCGCGACGTTCTCGGATGTTGATGAGCCGCGCGTGTGAGAGTCACGCGCATGTATGCTTCCGCCGGCGATCGCGATCTCGAATGAAAGAGGGAAGGAAAGATATGTCGGTGGGCCGTCATGACAGTCGGATCCCTCCTTCGCTTCATCATTATTGAAAGTTCCGTATTCATCGCGCGGATATGCAAATCACGAATGTGAATGATGAATGGCAAACGATCGATTTTGACGATTATCCGCGATTGCATGCACGCACATGCAACTATACAAGTCACCATGGTATTTCAACTGCGCGAGTCCTATTATTGCTGCTGGCTGATAAGCTATGCGCGATTCACTTCGGGGCTGTTGCAGCCATGCATCCATCATCTACTCACGACTCGTGACTCATGCCTCTCTACAAGAGGCTCTCACATTCACGATTCGTGATAATTTCGCCATCGACATGCGGAACTGACTTGAGCACACATATACCGCATTCGCTATCCAAGAGCTTCCCTGCCGCATTTTCTCACCCATCTCCCTCCACTCGCTCCGCGCGCCTCTATCCTGCTCTTCTGTGACGCGCGCTGACACACAAACTCACACGGCACGTAGCAATCCCATCCGTCAGTGCCTTGCGCCTCTTCTAGGAAGCCATCATGCCCACCGCCCTCGCTCCGTCAGCCCATGCCCACGCCCACGCCAATGCCAATGCGTCAGTCTCGGCTGCAGGTAGCAACAACGATCGGCAAAATATTCTTCTGCTAGGTCTGCGCCGATCAGGCAAATCCTCTCTCGTCTCATACCTCTACAAACAGCTCCCAGCAAACGACACGCTCTTCATCGATTCCACCGCTCGGCCCTCCTACTTGGATCTGGACATCTGGACAAAGGTCAAGGTTTGGGACACTCCTGGACTGGCTGTTGGGGCCGAAGGTAGCGGTAGCAGCGCACAAGTGCTTCATGCTCAGCAACAAGGCACTTCGAATGCCGGTGGTGATGCTAGTAAAGGCAACGCTGGTTGGCAAGGCTTTGCTGCTGGGACTGCGGGTCAGCTCCGTTGGACTCAGACGGGAGCGGTGGTATGGGTCATCGATGCTCAGGTGAGTTCGGATGCGATGCGCATCGAGCCGCTCCTTCGCGGATCATGTCCTCCTGGGAGGGCTGCTGGCTCGCACGGCATTCTTTGTGAATCCACCCGAGATGCGGACTCACCACCGCTCGCTGCTTCTCTCTGGGCTACAGGACGATTTGATCGACTCTGTCAGTCGCTTGCACGGAATTCTGATCGAAGCGTACGCCCATAATCCAGAGATCCAATTCCACATCTTTGTTCACAAGGTGGACGGCTTGAGCGACGATTACAGGGATGATACGGAACACGACGTGAAGCAGCGCGTGTACGACAATCTGGCAGACGCTTCGGCATCCTTCACCTTTGCGCCTAGCGGTATCGACATCTTGCAATCGCCCACGGTGGATCTGGCTGCCATGGAAGGATCTGCCGAGCCGGGCGAGGGCACGGATGTGCTAAGCGCGGAAGCCACCGCGAAGAATGTGGCTGGGGTCACTTCTATGACCAATTCAATAGACGCCTTGGGATCCGCGGGCGGAGATGCATCAGGCTTTGGCTCGACCAAGGAGATGACGGGAAGCGGTTCTGGCAAGCATGCGACCGGAACGGCCACACCTTCCGGCTTTTCGTCTCCGCATCCGGGTCAGAGCGCCTTTAGAGCAGCGGGAGGATCAGAGCATGTTGCATCGGCCATCGATGCACGAGGAGCATTGGACGAGTCCAGGAAGGCTCAGGCGATCCCTCCTGCGTTGATGGGTGCTATTTCTTTGGATACGGACGTGAAACTGAGCTTCCACATTACTTCTATCTTCGACACGAGCGCCAACATCGCCTTTTCGAAGGTGCAAATGGGCCTCGTTCAACCCAGCGTGGTCGAAACGCTAGAGGATCTCTGCGACCATCTTTGCAGTGTGAGTAACTCTTCGCAATGCCGTTGCAAGGCAACACAGCGTTCTGAAGCACATTTGTCCGGCTCTCGTGCACAGTCTTGCAAACTCGAGAAAGCATCCATCTTCGATGTTCCTAGTCGGACGTTCGTGTGCACAGACACTGGCCCTTCGGATGGGAACACTTTTGACGTGACGAGCGACTACTTGGATTTCCTTTTGCGCTTCACCAAACTCTACTCGTGAGCATGCTACTGGTCGACGCACGCCATCTCCTCTCATGGCTCATGTCTTTTCTTTTTCCCCATGCCAGAAATTTGAGGCCTGCAGAGAACGCTGAAATGGGCTCCTCGCAGCTTCCAAGAGCGTCTGTCGGCGCGAAGCAATCTTCGAGCTCCGTTCGGCTTTCCAACGACACGACCATCATCTTTTCGCAGCTTAATGGGTTAGTTGGACCGTATCGCCCCAAGTGCCGCCTGGTACAGAAGATTGAACCACTCGTCTCTTTTGCCCCACAGACATCTCGGATTGCTTGCAGTCTTGAGAACAGATGTGCACTCTAAGCATGCTGGCATGATCGTGAGTCCAGAAGGCCTCCACAGTCCGCAGGCGCAGTTTTCATGGGTCTGACAGGCCCGTCGCCTCATACATGTCAGGGCTTCAACATCGATCATTTCCGCAAAGCCATTGTCGAGCTCTACGAGCTCAGCCAAGGTAGAGTTCCGCCAGAATGAGCCTGCGCCCGTTTAAGCCGCGGATGAAGTCATCTATTCTCGAAATGTCACCTTGTTGTCACGGGCTCGCTATGCGGCCGCCCCTTCTTCACGAGAAAAGCGTGGTTGATGAAGGCCTTCCTCAGATACCAAGACTATGATCTCGTCCATGACAGTGGCAAGAGGTTTTGACTGGCACTTCGAGACTCTATCTAATCCGAGATGGTGGTATGCTCGGCTAGCCAAGCGTCCAGGTCGTCCTCTTCTTCAACTGCAACAATGTCTTCATCTGGAGCTGCAGGACCAGGCACGGAAACTTCGCCGCTCCGAAACGCGTTGTTGGACTCGGTCAAAAGGCCCGTCTCTCCACTTTGAGCCTCGAATCGTGCTGAATCTTTGGCAGATGGATGGCCTGTATGAGTCCGTGGCGAGCTGACGCGGGACTGCTGCACGACAAAGCTAGCGTGCTCAGCGTGATGCGGGCCTGCAGCAGGGCTCGAAGACGATTGACGAAACACGGGCAAAGGGTGAGGCTGCTGCGGCAGTGAGCAAGGCTGTTCCATCAACTCGTCTTCTTCCGAATCGTCTATGACACAAATCTGGTTGATGAAGGAATCAAAGTCTTGCTCGCTGTTGTGCATCGGTGGGGCAGCTTGGCCAGTCCCAAAGTCAAGTGCCTCCGTGGGAATGGAATCTTCGACACTGGGTCGCACAGGCTCGAGCTCGTCCATATCATCGTAAATCTCGTCCAGCGCGTGATGATCAAGGCCACTTTCCAGCTCGTCGTATTCCTCGCTGTATTCGTCGAGGGCGGCTTGGTTGAGATTGCTCTGTTCGCGTTCGCTCTGGTGCTTGTGTTCTGGCCGCGGAGGCAATACGAGATCAGGAAGATGAGGTGATAGACTTCGTCGTTCGGAATCTGCATTGACCTTTGCGCGCAGCCCAAAGTCTGGTTCCTTGTCGCACCAGGTCAGGTCCACAAGGCGTTTCCGAGCCCTTCGACCATCCTGCTGGCCTTCTGATCCAAGATCGCGCTGATTTGAGGTACCACGCCGAAGTTCACCTATCTGATCAATGTCTGCGCTCGCCGGCTTTGCCTTTTTCCTGAAGCTTGGGAGCAGGTCGATGGCCTCCTGCCGACTTCGCTTCGAGCTGAGATCCAGCTCCGGCGGTAAGGCTGTCGCATCGTCCTTTTTGCGGGTTGCACAGTCCGCAGCGGGCGCCGTAGGGCTTCCCGCCATGCTACTGATCCTTTGTAGCAACGAGTGCTGCACTGTTTTGGAAGCCGATGCCTGCCGTTTCGAAGGCAGAGGTGGCTTCTTCAAGCCTTCTCGGCAGCACTTATGCGCACACTCCTTCTTGCATTGGTGATTACATCTGAACGGTCTTCGGAGTATTAGCTCGGGTGCAGGAGCCAAGATCGTAAGACTCACTTGTAGTTTCCGTTGGGCATTTTCTCGTGCGTATGCGCTTCTTTGCGCTGCTCCACGATGCATGTACTGTCGTCTCGGCCGCAACCGGCGGTGCTCAATGTTGCTTCGAGGCGGCAGCTAGGATGAGTGGCCGCGCGCAACAGGAACTGTAGAGCTGGGACTTACGGATACTGCGGGCTTGACCAGCAGAGGTAGTGTAGCTGCGAGCGCCCGAGGCTGTCTCGGCCATAAACTCATCTACTGTGGGATCCTCCTGTGATTTGGCAAATAGATTCAGCACGCAAAATTCCTGCTTGTTAGCAACACCTTGGCTCACGCAAGGAGAATTTCCATACAGCAGTGCTGGTCCTGGGAAGTCTTGTGGTGAGAAGCCTTGAGGTCTCACATCCGCACGAACCGCGGTGCCCGAAACTTCGCTGCATCCAACAATGAGGATCAAAGACTGCGAGGGCTTGGTGAATGTGACCTTGAAAGAGTATGTTTTGGTCTTCGACAACTTGCTGACGGGCATCTTTCTGCCCGGCGCATGGTTGAGGAAACATTTGTCCACGGCTCATCGTTATGCAGAGACCGATATGGTGCTCACCTGAAATCCACGAGCTGGTGGTGTGCGGAATGCAGAAGTTCGGCTCAGCGGGACACCATGAACAGGCTGAAAAGCGACTACGCGATGCCTTACCTCGTTGTCGCTGGTCAATGCCAAGCAGACGACAAACATGGTGTGTCCAAACCGTTTGCCTTTGCACTCCTCCTGCTGTTGCTCTACTGTTGCAGAGACGGATCCGCACACGCCTCGACCGGACACCGCTTTCAGAGATTGTTCTTGCAGCTCAATGTGAATGGCAAACCTCGGCAAGGCTTTTGCACTCTCGATCACCTTCTTGCCGAACGGTGGTTTGCGATTTAGAAGAATTTCGATTCTATCGGGTGTGCAATCCATGACCGACGTCAGGTCTGTCAGGCGGGCATCGGCTAGGATCCTTGCTGATTTGTCGCCAACGCTGGTCGAGCACACGAAAGATGAGTTGCAAGCACTTTCTGTCCTCTACTCTGAACCAGCTTACCCGTCCAATTGGCGCAGCGTTGCCCATGTGCCATCCCAGGCCTTGCCGCTGACACTTCGCAGCCTAAGGAGGAGAAGTTTACACAATCGTCAGCCGCAGCGACGTGCGTCGAAGGCCCCAAGCAGGATGCTCACAGTTCAAAGGCAGACTTGACCGTTCCCCCATCGGCATTGAGAAGGGCAACGTCTAACAACGCTTTGAGACTGACGATAAAGCGTCGCCTCGATCAGTTGGGTCATGGAACTATATCGTCTCGGCGACTCACATGCGCGGGACGCGCTCAAATACGTAGTGCACGTCCTGAAAACTGTGATTACGTTCGCTCTTGTCGCATTCCATTGCCTCCGCAATGGTGACCCCAGCAAGCGTCGCCTGCGACATCGAAAGGCGTGAGCTGACGACTTAGAAAGACTCAGGCAGACAAAGGCCTTGCTTATGTCTGACCTGTATGATAAGAGTGACCTTATCTGCCGCAGTCGTAATCTTGGCTGGAGGAAACCGAATGGCTTCGTGCCCCTTGACCTTTGTCCAAGCAGCCTTTTCGCCAGACCTGAATCGCAATTCCTTCCACTCTTCAGCTTGGCATATAGCCTCTAGAATATCGCCAGTCTTGGCGTTGCGCGGAACCCGCGTGAGCCTGTGAAGCGTGTCCAGCCCGAGGTAGTACTTTGAAAGTATATTGCCTGTTTGAGGGCGATATCAGCCAAAGCTCGGAAACATTGAGCAACAAGACTCACCGAGGTCGGTGGAGCAGATCAGGCCAGAACAGTCTGAAGTCGCTTCTCGGGAGATGTAACCATGCTCTTGCAATTTGTCTAGCGCATTTGACAGGATGGCTGCCTTCACTTCGCTGAAAGCTGCCCGACCAGAGGTGACGCCTGCTACCGCGTAATGGCTCGGATTCTTCTGCATCCTGACAAACAAGAACATCGACTCCAGCCATTCTTGAATGGCACTTTCTTCGGTTCTCTCTCGCAGGGTGAGCTATACATGAGCACCCATCAGCGAACTTCTCCAATGCACTGTACACCTTGCTCTACACTTTGCTGCGACCCACCTCGGCGTTGACATGCTCTCTGCAAGTAATAGGTAGATGTCCATCAATGACCTTTGCCAACCACGCGTTGACTCGGCACGCACATGAGCTCATGATGAAGGACGCTCTCGACATTTGTCCCTCCCTGGACGAGTTCCGAGATTCGCTTGCGCTCCCTTTCTTCCGTAAGAATGCACGCCACACCTTCGCGATCGTAATTGGGTCGGCCAGCCCTCCCGATTGCTTGCAACAAGTCAAAGTCAGTCAGATCAACCTAAACGGCGGGCAACAAAGTGAGCGCAGGTAGCGCGAGACGCGTGAGCCCCGAGGCCGTACCATTTTGGAGCCATCGTACTTCTTGGTGCCCTTCACGATTACGAGGTAGGCGGGAAGATTGACGCCCACCGCCAGCGTGCTCGTTGCACCTATCGCAATGCAGCAAATCAGCAGAGAGCGCGAGTGCAATCATAGGACACTCACAAAGAGCACCAATGGCACCACTGCGAAAGTCTCTTTCGACAGCTTGACGGTCCTGCTGATCGAGACCGGCATGGTGAACAGCAATACCGACACGAGCGAGGTCTGAGAAGAAGGCAACAGTCAGCTTCTTCCCTATCGCGCGAGCCACAGTGGTGCGCACCATGTAGCTGCGGGTCGATATAAGACGAGAGTTGGTTTGCGGATGGTCTGGACCAAGGCGTCACTTCTCCTCGCTCTTCCTGGATCTTGAACTCTTTCGCTATAGCTTCGGCAGCTTGCACCGTCATTTTGCGCGTCGCCACGAAGATCAGGGCTGGACGCCGCCTGGCATGCTCCGTGATCAAAGGTAGCAGCCTGCGACGATCATGGTCGATCAGGGTGTCCCTGCGCAGCGCACGCATGGATGCTCACTTGCTGTTCAAGGTATTGTTGAAGCTCCACAAGTCGCCGGTCGGATTGGGGTAGGCATATATGTACTGTGCTCGGATGCGGTGAGCATCGGGCGCAGCCAAGCGCGATCGCAGGCACTCACTTTCTTGAGTGGGCATGGCCGGAACTCTTCGCCGAATTCAAAGAGCTTTGCAGCACTTGGAACTGTGGCATCGGAGAGCTCGATGCCGTTTTTGGAGCTGCCGCCAGAGCTGCGCAGCCACTGCGCAATGTCTGAAGCGTTTGGAATTCTGCACGGATGTTTCAGTTTGAAGCCCGTCAGCAATCGTGGATCCCGTCAAGACATTGTTGCAAGTCAGACGCACGTGGCTGAAAGGGCAATGATGCGCACGTTATTGCCGTACGTCTTCATTCTGGAAACGAGTACTTCCACGCGCGCCCCTAGTCGAGAGTGTGTGATGAGCAAGGCGTGCGTACGAACGGGGCGCGTACGACACTCACCGCGTTGCCGTTCCCTCAATATGTGGACCTGAAGAGCTGGGAGCGTTGAGCTGCCGGACGGCACGCGCTTCTCGTCGTGCTAAAAGACTGACCTCATCGATCATCAAGACCTTGACCTTGTCAAAGATCGCACGTCCCTCTTGCCAGCTACGCGTGACGCTGCGCTTGGTAGCGCGTCAGTATCATGTGTCTCCAAACTTTATGGCGAAACGAGCTGACCTGTCCCACTTTTCCTGCGCAGGCTGGGAGCGGATCAGCGCTTCATTCACGCATGGGCTGCACACCTCTCGCACTCACAGGCGTGGTCACAATCACACGTGCTCTTTTGGTGATTGAGAGATCGCCTTTGCCGCTGTCGCCCTAAGAGAGGAGAGCATGGCTGTCGGCGAACGAGTGCCAGTCGTCGCCACTCATATAGCACTCACGGTGAGCTCGGCTACGGTGCAATTGGCGTGCGCAAAGCGGCCAGCCCAATCGGCCGCCCGCTCAGAACACAGCGCCTTGGTTGGAGCAACATAGACCGCCTTGGCGTTGACGCCGTGGTTCTGAAGCATGCGTATGATGGCGAATTCAAAGATTGCCGTCTTTCCCGCTCCTGTGGGCGCTGTGACCACACAATTGTCATCGGATTTTAGCATCGTGTCGAAGACGGTGCTCTGAACAGCGTTGAAAGCTGGAAATTGAAAGAGTGACCTGTAGATGTCCGCTGAGAAGCGGGGAACATCACAGTGGAGCCTGGAGCAGGATCAGACAGGAGTGCCTTGAGGCATGTATGCGCTGGAAGAGCGCACGTAAGATTGATACTGGTCGCAGCTGCACCCCATGCCGCTGTCGAGCATGAACCACTGCATTGTGAGTGGTCGTGAACGCAAGTGTAATGGGATGCAAGCGATCAGCCACTTGTATGCGATTAGCACCCTTGCTCAATTCATTGCTGACCATCAGTCTTTGGGCCCGAGCCCGCAATCGAATGCTGTTGGGGCGAGTGTTCTGCGGGCGGGATGGATATCAGCAGGTGAGCTCTGCGCAGCATCGCGAATGGTCAGAATGGCTGACCAAGACGAGGCTCGACGAAACCTGTGGAGGCAAGGTTAGCCGGGTCAATGCTCGGGCCTGCTCCAAACACAAATGCAGGCGTTGGCGAGGAGCGTTGAGGCAGGTCGTCCATGCCTTCAGGCTGTGAGTGGCTCCAGACATGGGACAATGCCCTCAAAGGGACCTGTTGGGCTGGTTGAAGTCCTCGATATTCGCTCATGAAATACAGGGGCGCGCGATGTGGCGGTGCGCCACCTGCTGAATCGGATTCAAAGTCAAAATTGCGTGTTTGCTGCTGCGTCGCAGGCTGCGTTGATGGGCGACTATAGTCCTCCTCGGCAGGGCGCAGGAGAGCCTCAACACTCTGATACAAGGCGTTATCATCATCCATCTTGGGTATCTGCGAGACAAGACTAGTTGATACGGTGAATCAAGAATCAAATGTGGTGGTTTGAAGGACGGCCAACGCAACGCATACACGCACGCTTCTTCTTCTTTCGTTGCCCCAACACGCGATCCGTGATTCACGATTGGCGAGCGCGTCGAAATCACGTGCGAGGCGCAGTTCCCACCGTGGCAGCCAGGCAGCCAAGATCAGACTCTTCTGACTCGTGACTGATCTCTACACAAGACCTCAGTCGTGAATCAAGAATGGAAGCTCCATATCAGCTGCGACGACTCATTGCCAGTCAACAATCGTGAATCGAATAAACACCATAGTCTGGAGCAGAGATGCATCTATTGCAGACGCCGTCTCGCGAGTGTGATCGTGACGGAGCTACTTGGTGGGGAAGCCCTTCCATGACGCTGCAGCCTTCTTCATAGTCTCGCTCTGCCCAAACGTCTCGTCCCATTTCTGCGTCAATGCGATGCCGCGTCCGGCAGAGACAGTGTCCGCATTGGACTCGAGCCCTTTGGCCGTATCGCTGATCCACTGCTCCACGCGCAAGCTTTCCGGGTTCTTGTGCGAGTCTTCCGGATCCACGCGAGATCTGTGGAGCTCGGTGGCCACAGAGGGTGGGACCAGCTCGCTGCAAGTAGAAGAAGGCGTTAGGCGCTTGTGAGGCATCGCCGTGCCCGGAACTCCCCTGTCACAATCGCCCACACTCACATTACGCGCACGTTGGTCTCCTTCAACTGCACTCGCTGCGCAATGGCCCAAAAGTGGATAAAAGCTTTGGTGCCTGTGTGTGCAGAGAAGCAGTGAGTGGATGGGCGCGCGTGAGCAAGTCGACAGTGCCATCCGCCAGCATGTCGACCAAACGCACCATTATAGACGGGATTGAGGATGCTAGAAGGCGCGAATCCGAGCACGCTAGAGACGTAAAAGATGCGCGCAGCAGGCTTGGACTTGAAGTGGTCCAGCAGGTGGGTGGCCAAGTGAACAGGGCTATGCGCATTGGTCCGAAGTTCCGCATCCACATCTTCCAGCTTGAGATTGTTGACGTCGAGCGGCAGCTGAACGCCTGCGTTGGCCACCACAGCATCGACCTCCGGGTGCTCCTTGATGAGCTTCTGCGCAAAAGTCTTGACTTGGTCGAGGTTGGACGTGTCGACTACGTAGTAGGGCAGATCGCCCAGCTCCTTGGAAGTCTTTTGCCTTGTGTCGCCCAGCCTCTTGCGTGTGTAAGCGTATGCAGGCTGCAGCCTTGTTTCAGACGCAGCCACTCCGCTACTCACAACTTTGACTCGGTGCGCCCGGCGATGATGACCTTCTTTCCGAGCTTCAAAAAGTACTCTGCCAGTGCCCGCCCTAGACCACCAGCGCCGCCAGTGATGGCGACGCACTGGAAATTGAGTGTGTCAGTGGGAGCCATGGTAGTGTATGGATGTACCTTCAGCAGGGGTTGCGAGGAGGAGGTGCGCAGTCAAGAGGGGTATGACGGGCTCCATGACGGGAGCAGAGATGCTAGCTCTCTTCCATCCTTAAATGGCCTTCCGACCGATGAGCAGGATGGAACACACAACAGCGGTCGGCCAGGGTGCATGGAGTGCGGAGTGCGGAGTTCCAAACTTTCAACTTCGCTTGCGTGCCGAGATGCGTGGAGGCTTGTGTCCTATCGCCATCGTCTATCCCGCCCTCGGCTATACATATTCTCTTCTATATAGCCCGATGGCGGCGGCATCGGTGATCAAGCTCGTTGCGCATGTGGAGGGCGTAAAATTGCTCACGTGTCATTTTGAATCCAAAATTCTTGATGCAGATTCAGATTCACGATTCAAGATTTTGTCGGCTTGAGTCGTGTGCGCTTCGCGATCTTGTTTCGAACAGAATCACAACAATCTTGAATCTTGAATACTCGTGAATTTTCTCCATCTTTAAACCAATAAACAACGTTCAGCGTGAGGTAATGATGAATTACGGATCACAAATCGTGAATCACGAATCTTGAATGAGTCTTGAGTAGATCTTGAATCTTGATCCCGCAGCTCATCCTGTTGCGAGTGACAATAATGATAGGTAATGAACACTTTCGACTTTGCAACGCAGACAATCAAATCACACGCAGACTCGCGACTGAATGAACCATCGACCATCGCAGTCAGAGTGAGCTCGCCTGTCGGAGCTCATCCCTGCTTCTCAGCTTTGGCAGCATCGACGTGAGGTCGTGGAAAGGGGCGGGGGGAAGGGACAGTCCATCGTCATCATCATGGGCATCTGGAGCAGGATCGCCAGCCTATTTCAGCGCCGCAGCCTCGAGCTCGCTCCGCTCACGCTTGCCTACGCAGGACCCGATTCTCGCGAGCTGCAACAGGTGGATCTGTTCCCTGCCGAGCGAGTGCGGTCAGCTCGTGCGAGCTCAAGTCGCAGTGTGGATGGCGCGGCAGGCGAGGAAGGGGCACCGCCGCCACCGCCGCCCTTGTTGATCTTCATCCATGGAGGTGCTTGGCGGAGTGGAGACAAGTCAGATCACTACAGCATGGCGCGCCACCTGTCCAAACGTGGTGTGTCTGTAGCGCTGGTCAATTATCGTCTTTCTACGGCAACAGGAGGACAAGTGTTGCATCCAGCGCACGCACACGACGCGTTCAGAGCTGTAGAGTTTCTGCTCGTCGAGGATCCCAAGCACCCACCAGAGGAATGGCGAAAGACTTTTGATGCGTCGAGAACTGTGCTGGTTGGCCACAGCGTCGGAGCGCACATGGTGGCAGCGATGAGCTTGAATGCCGCAAGCAAAAGCACGACGTCTGAAGCGGACGCAGTTGCACCCATGCCAAGCCTAGGCAGACAGGCTCGCGGGCGGATCAGGGCATGGGTAGGCGTGGTGAGTGGGTGGAGGAGCGGCACGTTCTTGTACATCCGCCAACCGCGGGGTGCACAACACCTGACTCGCCTTTGCTTTTCTCCTTGCTCAGTCTGGCATATACTCCATCATTTCCATGCTGCGCGCATATCCTGAGTACATCTCATTCGTGGAGCAAGCGTTCGGTAATGGCGCGCAAAAAGGAGACGCAGCAGAGCGTTATCTCCCAGCATCGCTCGAATCCTGGACGCTCGCCATGCCGGGGACGTATGCGGCACCGGCGCACAACGCACCCAAAGTGCACCTTTTGCATTCTAGAGAGGATGAGCTTTTGAGCGTAGGGCAGACCACAGAGGCTGCTGAGCATCTTCAACGCTTGCTCGAGACCCAAGGTGGCTCCGTCACGGTCGACTTAGACAGCTACAAGGTGCGCCACAGATACGAGATGAGGAAGATCCACAGAAGGCTTCTTTGCTAGCAGAGACTGACCACAAGATATTCCCGCCGCAGGGCACCCACGATGGCAGCCTACAGACTGAAGCCTACTTCGAGACGCTGCTGAGCATACTGAAGCAGGAGCACATCTTGTAGGTCGTCACTTCGCTCCCAATCAGGCGCTAGATGGGGTCAAGTCCAGCAAAGTCTCCCCTGATCAGATAGATTGCCGCCTCGCACGGTCTCTGTAATGAATGAATGGCACCTGAAAGCGGCCGCATTGAAGATCATACCGGTGTGTAGGTATCAAAACGCTCTAGTCACCTATACATAG